TTTTAATCAAGATTATTACACCCAAAAGTATTTTACTCAAAAATATTAAAGGCACCCAACAAGTGTTGTACTTTTATATTGAACATTATTTGAATAGTAGTTAAAGCATTGCTGCCACGAATTGTCAGGCATCGATAGCTAGTAAAACCCTTATTGTCATTATATTAAAAGAGATATATAAAATTCAATTTGTAATTCTTACTAATAGAGACCGTAAGCTTAGTAGAGTTAATTACATTGATAATAGACTGATATATCTCAATAACCAAGACCAAAAAAAATCGTATAAAACATATTTTATTTTTATTTTTTATTATTTTAGATAAAGGTACTTCTTTTAGATTTCCTGAAACCGCCACACATAGCTTACCTTTTCTTTGAGAGAAGACAACCCTTTTCAATTCGAAAAATAATATGATATTGAGACACCACCATCGTCATTTGACAATAACTATCCGGATTAAAGTGATGAGTCCGACGATGAGAATGAAGCTGACATTTTCGGCAGCATACACTCGCAATCAAAAACGTTTCGACCCCGCAAAAAATGACTAAAAAATCATGAAAAAATAAAAATAAAAATATTGTTTTCTCCCAATATTATTAATCGAATCCAACCTTCAAGTCACAAATTCATCAGAAAACACCCACGGATTATATGAGAAGGCTGATCCCTATAAATACAGATGCATCATCTACATGCATTTAGCAAATTACGGTGCAACCCAGATTTCATTGGTGGTTGGCATGAGTCTGTCAACCGTCAAGTACATCATTAAGAGAGTGGATGAGACAGGATCGCCAGAGCCAAGGAAGGGGTCCGGACGATCTAGAAATATTGACGAGAGGACGGAAAGGCACCTTGTACAAATAGTTCGTAAAGAACCCTTTGCCTCATTTTCTAGGCTAAGGGGTTCCTTAAAGAACACGGATATATTTGTCTGTAGAATGACAATAATCAGTTGTCTGAAGCGTTTGGACTTCGGATTATATATCACAGCTCACAAGTCAGCTTTAACCGAAAGCCACAAGAAAAGAAGGCTGGAATGGGACCGTGAACATGTCAATTGGACGGATGACCAGTGGAAAGGTGTAGTATGGTCAGATGAATCACAATTCACAGTCGAGGGTAATAATGGAGGATCTAGGCCAATCAGGAAAGTCGGTGAAAGGTTCAAGGGAGAAAATATTATCGAAGGAACCAAGTGGTGGAAGGGTGGTGTGATGATCTGGAGCTGTTTCTGGACTGGTGGTTTTAGGCCTTTGGTGTTACTGCATAGTAACGTAAACCAAGACCAATACGTGAACACTTTGGCTTAGAACTTTCTCCCTTGGTTCCAAAATCTTTTACGGGAGCAAAACAAGAGCTTCGTGTTCCAAGAGGACAGCACTAGCTGTCATACTGGGTCGTATTCGAGGCGGTGGAAAGATAGTTATGAGATCCGAGGTTTAGACTACTGGCCCGCTCAAAGCCCGGATCTCAACCCCATCGAGCATCTCTGGCGGGCTCTCCAGAGGCGCATGAGTGACAATAAGGCCAATATCAACAACGTTGAAGATTTGAAGGTTGTAATGTAACGAGAGTGGCAAAGGGTAGGTCTCGAACTTGCATCAACTTTGGCCGGCGGCATGCAGCATCGATGACATGCTGTAATTGAGGCCAAAGGAGGTCATACAAATATTGTTCTTTTAGTTTATTTTTATATTTCAATAATAAACATACCTATAATCTTTTATTTGAAGTTTGAAGGCTTTAGCTATTATTACTGATGAGCAGTTGTATGTTGAATACATGCCATGATTTATTTCATGCATTTTTTGGGCTCAGAGGTCGAAACGGTTTTGACGGTGGCTGTAGCTGAACTACTTACAAATAAGTCGCAATAAGAGATACTCGGCTGAAATACTTGACCATGTATCCACAAAGCTTGCAAGATTAATATATGGGCTTAATATACATATGTTGATACAATTGGTTATAGTATCTTAGTATTAAAAAAAGCTAGAGGGTAAGTGGATTAATTAAGCTCATAGTTCATAATGTACAAAGCTCGTAAGCTCCTATTAATCAAATAGCAAATGATCAAGTGTATTTTGCATCAGGTAACCTTCTGTTTAAAAAAACATAGGCCTTTCCAATCCATCAAAAATCCACCATTTCGGATTTTACACTTGCATCTTTTGTAAATGGAAATTCAACTCATGCTCAAGTTTCTGATATATTATTGCTATGTCCAAAAGTATGACTAATTAACCACCAGCCATAACCTTTGGCGGACAGAGTTTATGTAAACCAAGTTGAACGGTTTATAATCTAATAAATAAACTACAATTGACAATTATATTCATGTGCAGTTGAAATACTACTGCCTGCTTAATATTGAAACCAACACTACAAAATTTGATTGATTTTCTTATTATAGGTCTTAATTGATCTCAAACCAAAAAAAAAAAGGTTTCTTGGAGAAGAGGTGTAAATGCAAAGAACTCGATACACCTTTAGCAATTTTTTTTTTAAATTCTCTAAATATTTCTCTGAAGCTATTCTTTGTTCAAATTTGAACTTTTTTTTCTTTTTGGAATTGCCAGCAAATTTAGGATTTTTGCCCACTTTGGCTACCCTTTTTTTTTTAAGAACAAATAAAACAAAATATTTTTATTATTTTTAAAGCTTTGGTTGATATATTTATTTATTTTTGGTAAAGCAAATTCATTAATATTAATATATCTTTATAAAAATAAATAAATAAATAAATATAAAAAAAAAAGAAAACACAAGGCAAAGAGCTGATGATAACCTTTTAAGGATATTTTTTGGTATTCCGCCTACTCCTCTATGTTGCTTAAATTTAGATGGATACCCAACCATCGTTCTTTGCTGCTTCTAGACATTTCCCTCGGTCGACTTGGGATTCCAGCACATCCCCTGACTCCCCCGCAAGGAGCTCCCAAGAAATATATATCACATGATGCCTCACCACAATCACAGTCATCATCACTCAGCTGCAGACTCCTTTTTTAATCGAGTTTTTGGCCATCATTCATCAGAATCATCTCGAGGTAATAACACTGAAAATAGTCCCTCATTTTATTACCCACACCCATCTTAATCTACTTCTACACTCCCTTTATTTGTAAGCCGGATCACCTACACCACAGGCTACGCCACCCATCCCCACCCAGACATTATCTTCTACCACACCACGAGCATCCTCGCGTCACACTCGTAATTCATCAGTCGGCACTCTTCCCTCGCCTACTAACACAGCCTCTGCCGCTGTCCTTCCACTGAGCATTACTGCCCATAGACGACTCTCATTAGACACACATCCACTGCAAGAGATTGCGTACAACATCAATACTCCTTACTCCGCCTTTAACCCCTCGAAACAAAAAGAACAACAAAAAGAACAACACCAACAAAATACAATGCCAACAACACGCTCCCAGGACGCGTCTAGACAACAAGCCAAGCACGAGGCTGCCCGCGCACCTAAAATAAACACCGTTCCTTTCCCAAGAGGAGGACGTCATATTGGTGAAGCTGGGGTGGTCAGTCCAGTGCCCACCTCCATTAATCCTCTTCTACGCAGGAGCAACTCAGGCGAGATGCACAAAAACGACCCTGGTCAGTCTGGTATGGTACACGGTAGACTACTCAAAAATAAAACTTGGCCAAGTCAGCCTTATGCCATATGCTTTCTTTCTTTCTTTCTTTCTATATTGGCTTTATTATACAGTTGATCCTACACTACTATCAATACATGCACCCAAGAACAAAAAAAGACACCTCTTCTATGCCTTTACAAAAAAGAAAGGTAAAAACGCCTTTCCGTGTCAATTAATTGCTAACGAACCAAAGCAGACCCTCCAATTTCATCGCGCGAGCGGGTTGATTCTCCAAATATGACTAACAATAGCACCCATTCCTTCGCCTACACTGGTTCCAGTGTCTCTAGCGTTCCCAGTAACGCATCTACATCTTCTCTTAGTCAGCGTAAGAAATCTAGCGAGCATGATTATCGTTCTGGATCTCTCCATCCACTCGATGTATATGTTGTCGATGAACCTCTGCGTTTTATGCAAAGAGGTCCTCATTATTTCAACTCAACTGCACACATAGAAAGAAAACGTTCAGGGGGATCAAGCGGAACCCGGAAAGGCAAAGACAGGGAAAAATCAGATAACAATCTTTATTACTCCATAGATCGTCTTGCTGGTCAAAGAGATACAAAGGTAAGTTATCGATTAACCTTCTTTTATTTTCTTCTGTACCAAGTCATGTCTTTTAATTGTTTGTTTTGGTAGAATAATGAATGTAACTATCAAACTATTCTTATGGATGAGCTTATAGCTAGAGGCTCATCAGTATATATATATATATATATATATGTATATATATATAATTAGTAGATCAAAACTTTGGAAGTATGGAAGGCATCGTCAACTCAAACTATTACAATTCCCATAACATGCCATTCACAACCAGTGTATTATCTCGCGATCAGGTAATTGGATAACAAATAACAGTTTATGTTGATCTTTTGATTATAAAGTATAATACTATATATATAAATATTGGGTGCCTCCTTCTGTTCGACTGCATGCTTGTTGCGTATTTTCCTTTTACTCATTGATATATTTATATTGAACCTTGTCTATTTTATTTGTGTCTATGACTGTTGCTGTCATCACCATCATTGTTATTATCATTATTTCGGTACTTCAATATTTCTTGAGTGTAGATGATTGACCCATCGATGGGTCCAGAAATATGGGAAGCTCCGGATAGTTGGGCTGTCCAAACTGCGATTATTACTGGAAGTAACAGCAGCATCATGACAGGAAGCACTCTAGTAGATAACGATCCACAAGACTTTGAGGACAATGTAGTACAAAAACCAGATTGGGGGGAAGCACCAAAGAAGAATGTAAGTGAATCGCCAAAAGAAGGACTCTCTATTTAGTCCCAATGGATTAAAACTTCGACCACATCATAGTTTTGTACCCGTATCTTCCGTCGCGATGAAACCTTTAGTACATTACAAGTGCCTTTAAACATCACGACAGCCGAGCTCCTGCAAAAGATAGGAGGAAAAATGTTTTTGGAAGATATGAACAAATATCGCCTAGTGCTGAAGACTAATATTGGTGGTAAGATATATATGTACTATTCTTGATTATTCTTACTGTCAGAATGGTCTCTTAATATATAATATTATCAACAGAGCGTGTCTTGCAAGCTACCGAAAGACCGGTGTATATTCAAAAGGATCTCCTGGTCAAATCTGGATATACCGATGAAGACATAATTGAAAACGTCGGAATTGAGGATACTTCTTATCTGTTTCGCTTCATATTCGAGCAAAAAACCCAACAGCAAGCTCAAGAAGAGCTTGGAATTCGACAGCATGTAGATCTGCAGGCACAGAATCTACCGGCAATCCCAATTTACCTGTTTAAAAACGCTTCTAGGATTGTCTCCCTCAATGTTTCCAAGAATCTTCTCATGGAGATTCCTGTAGATTTTGCTCAGATGTGCATCAGTCTAAAAGAACTAAGACTTACCAATTGTGAATATTCTACAGTACCACCTTCGATTCGTTTCGTTTATAGTCTCGAGAGTCTCAACATGTCCAACAACTGCTTGACTACCCTAGAACCCGCTCAACTTGAAAATATCAAGGGCCTAAATACTCTAACGATATATAACAACAAACTCAGCGACCTTCCATCATCATTCAGTTCCTTTAAACAACTCACCGTCCTCATGATTTCTAATAACGATCTCTCTATATTCCCTGCAGTTATTGGTGATATAACAAGTCTTGTCCACCTCGACATTAGTTTTAACAAGATAACCACTATACCAGATTGTATCGGAAACCTTACAAACCTCAATGTTCTGCTAGCCATTGCCAATCGTATTAAAGGAGGTCTTCCACCTAGCTTTGCAGGGCTCCAGAGCCTGCGGGAATTGGATATACGCCAGAATAGCATAACCGATATTGACGTTTTATCAAAATTGCCCAACCTTCATTCCGTATCTGCAGATTATAACTCTGTGGGGATTATTAATTGCGAGCTTAACAATATACGGCAATTGAAAATGTGCAAAAACCATCTTACCCATTTTAACCTGCTCAAAAAGGCCGAGGTTATCTCAAACGAAATACCAAACACGATTACCACATCACCCGAGAACCAGCTGACTGAACTAAACCTTTCCAACTGCAAACTATCCTCTCTTCCAGATGAACTTTTTCTCAATACAACTCTTCTAGAACGTCTCATTCTCGACAACAACACGCTTACTTCTATCCCTGACAGCATCGGAGTCCTGTCCAAATTGATCCATCTATCCATACACACAAACAACATTGACAGCCTTCCAGTAGAAATTGCCAAACTTGGCAATTTAAAGACTCTCGACGCACAGAAGAACAACCTAAAGACACTCCCCAAAGAGATATGGCTATGCTTATCACTCGACACATTGAATTGCTCATCAAATTTGCTCGAATCTTTCCCCGTGCCTTATTCTGCACCTGGTATAGCATTGCACCTTCCCCTGACCCCTCAAGCAGAGGCAGCTGTCACACAGTCTGTTATGGCTAATGCAGTTTCTGATGGCGTTTTGCCTACTCAACTTGGATCAAATGCTGGCCAGGGAATTGTTCCCATGACGCCTAGCGGGAGCCCAAATGAACCCGCACTTCCTACCTTTATTGTCACAGACTCTAGTATCGAAGGCAATTTTATAGACTCGGGTATAGCAGGCGAAGGTTCTAGTCCAAACAGTGCTCTTTCTCAAAGACCACCCAATTTCAACCCTCCGTCTTTCTTTGCAAGCCCTCGCAATCATCCTCCTCCATTGTCCCTCTCATTGCGTACCCTGTTATTGGGCGACAATCGTTTGACAGACGATGTCTGGTCTCCTCTTTCGCTATTTTTGGAATTACGCACCCTTAACCTATCATTCAATGACCTGTACGAAATCCCCCCTGAAGGACTTTGTCACCAACATTTGTACGAACTTTACCTGTCTGGAAATAATCTAACATCATTACCTGCTGATGATATTGAACGGCTCAGCTTCTTGCGTGTATTGGCAGTTAATGGAAACAAACTCCAAACTTTACCAGCTGAAATCGGCAAGTTAAGAAAGCTACTCGTCTTAGACGTTGGTAATAATGTGTTGAAGTACAATATTGCTAATTGGCCCTACGATTGGAACTGGTAAGCTTTCTATAAATGTATTCATCTGTATCATCTATATACTTATTTTTTATTCCCAATATAAATCGATTCCAAGGAATTGGAACTTGGAGCTTAAGTATCTCAACTTGTCGGGGAACAAGCGATTGGTTATCGAGAAAACTCTGCCAGATCCAAACAATCCGAGCAACAAAGACCTATCTGATTTTAGTGCACTAAAACACCTACATATGCTGGGATTAATGGATATTACTATCTTGGGAGTATCTGTTCCCGAAGAGAGCGACAATTGTCGTGTGCGTACGTCTCCCTCTGACGTTAACGGGATGGATTATGGTGTGGCCGATTGGCTCGGTCGTCCTAGCGATCTTGCAACCTGGGATCTTGTGATGCCCAAGTTCAGAAACAAGGATGATGAATGTGTTTTCGGCCTGTTCGACGGAAGAAGCAATACAAAGTCATGCTGCAAGGTCACCAAGTTCTTGAACAAGAATCTCACTATATCTCTCAATAAGGAACTGAATAAAAACAAGCACGATGACTCGATTGTATCAGCCATACGCCGCACATTCTTATCATTAGAAAAAGAGCTTGGTCTGGCCAAGGATGAAAAGAAAGACTCGGGTGCCTCTGCCGTGATGTGCTACATTTCTGGTACAAAACTTTATGTTGCCAACGTCGGTGACGCTTTGGCAGTTATCTCGCGCAACAACGGACAGGCCTATGAGATTACTCAAAAGCATATTCCACTTAATCCTGGCGAAGTCTTACGTATCCATGCTGCCGGAGGCTATGTTTCGAGTCTAGGACAGCTCAACAGCGAGCTCGCTGTATCAAGAAGCTTTGGTCATTTCCATTTAGTACCCGTGGTCAATGCTAACCCTTATGTCTCAACCATCCAACTGACACATGCTGACGAGTTTGTTATTATGGCTTCGCGTGGTCTATGGGATCGCATGTCGTACCAGACTGCGGTTGATATTGCACGTACAGAGAAGGATGATTTTATGGCGGCTGCACAGAAGCTCCGCGATTTTGCTATTTCGTACGGTTCCGGAGACAGTCTAATGGTTATGGTGATCGGTGTTGGTGACCTGTTCCATAAACGCGAAAAGAAGATGCGCAACAGAGGAAACATGGGCTCGAACCGCGGACCAGATGGGACAGGAATGATGGGGGATGACGGTGGTATGGTTGGTAAGAGTAAACGACGAGGAAAAGAAGATGGTCCAGGTGACTCGGTAGGTGTCAATATTCAAAGTTTCAGGTTGAGGTATTGTTATTTAACGTGAAGATATATATTTATGTGTGTGTTTTGGTGGCTATTTGATGTAGACTCTTGCTCGTTTAGAGAAAGAGGTTCATCCACCAATGGGGCAAGTTGCCTTGGTGTTTACAGATATCAAGAGCTCTACTCAGTACTGGGAAACCCAACCGGAAAACATGCGGGCATCGATCAAAATTCACGACGCTGTTATGCGCCGCACATTACGAAGTGTGGGTGGTTACGAAGTCAAGACAGAAGGTGATGCATTCATGGTCTGTTTCCAGAATATTACAGCAGCATTGTTATGGTGTTTCACTGTCCAGCTGCAGCTTCTGGAAGCTGACTGGCCTGCAGGAATTGTTGATTCTGAGGAAGGAAAAGAAATCACAAAAGATGATGTTGTAATCTACAAGGGATTGTCTGTACGCATGGGTATCCATTGGGGAACACCTGTATTTGAGCGTAATCCTATCACCAACCGAATGGATTACTTTGGACCTGTGGTAAACAAAGCAAGCCGTATCAGTAATGCGGCAGATGGCGGACAGATCTGTGTATCTTCAGACGTAGTTGCAGCTCTGAGGAACTTCCCGATTGTGTTTAGCAATGAACAATCTCTTCGTAGCGATGAAGTTGGCGGAGGTGTATCGATAACAGGAAACCACAGTATTGACCGAGACCTTCAACAGCTTAAGCGTCTTGGATTTCATATCATGGAACTCGGGGAGCGATATCTCAAGGGTCTGGAAACACCCGAAATGCTTAGTCTCGTTTATCCTGGTCAACTACTAGCACGCACGGAAATCTCCATCCCCAAGAGTGAGATTTTTGCCCCTGTCCATATTGGGCTCAGTCCCTCCCCTTCTTCAGAGCTTTCTGCTGCCTTTGTGGATACTGTATCCGATCTTCAAGTCAACGATAGTACAGATGTACGAAAAGCACTGGACAAAAGGATCGAAGATGCAACAGCCGCTGTGTCTGTATCATTACCCCGCGCAATTGATCCCATGCTTATATGTAGCGTGGGAAACATTGCGTTGCGTTTGGAGCATATCACATCAAACAGTGTTCTTTCAAGAACAAATGCCGGCAGTTCACTCAATAATGTGTATACTTCCGACGGTATCGATAGTGAGGCCCATAATGTCATCAGCAATGCGACTACACCATACGGACAAGTCTTGGATCGACACATAAAGGAGGTGGCAACAGATGAAGAGTTGATATTGTTATTAGACAATTATGTGTCTCGTGTAGAGGTAAGCTTAAATACATACATGTATGTATTTTTTTATGGATATATTTAACACAATTATATATATATATATTAGAATGCTGTTTCTAGTCTATACTTGCAAAAGGTGGGACATTTTGCAGCTGTACTCGAGAAACTTGGGGAAGCAATTGAGTTGGACCCTTCCCACATTTTAAGAGCTTTGCAAATGTACGCCGAAGTATCAGGATTATCGACGACAGAGTCGCCATTTTCTTAGACGTCAAGAGGTTTCATACAAACATACACATACACATACACATACACATACGCATACGCATACACATACACATACACATACACATACACATACACAGACACAGACACATACACATACACAGACACAGACATATTCTCTAACTCACAGACAAACAAGAAACATGTTGCCCATTCTTTTTATTTTCGTTCTTTTCTTTTCTTTATCCTTTCACCCTTTTTAACTCCACTCACGATCTTTGTCTGATAGAATACCCTATCGCACTCATTCCAGCATTTATGGCATTTCATCATGGCCTTTCTCATTAGAGAGTTTTATGTATACTTTCCTTCAATATTATTCTGTTTTTATCCTTCGTTCCCATTAATTTATATTTATATATCAAAATAGTTCAAAGTAATCATTATATTTTAAATTGAATAGAGAAAGGATTCTGATATCTATTTGGATTGCTATATTTTCATGGCCATACATAAACAAATATCAATAAATAACTCATCCACTTTTCTATTTAAAAAGGGCTGACTGGGGGATGTCAGTTATTTTATTTTCTTGCCTTTATTATTGCATCTAAGGCAACGGTAAGATCTCGATCCCACAAACGATAATAAATTGACTTTATTTTATGTATGATATTCTTAATACACGTATACACAAGAGCTATATTTCACACAGCCTTAATTAGAGCAATACCTTATTTTAAAATCAATTTATTCGATACAAAAAAAAGCTCGATTGATTGACTGAGTAGACTGTGAATTGCAAAAGAGTATATGGAATTAACAATGCATACGCTTGAGAAACGTCTTCATTGATTACTACAATGTTTCTACTTGAGATTGAGACGATGCTAGTTAGTGTTTTTTTTTGGACGAAGGAAAATTAATTTCTAGACAATTTTCTTACCTTTTTTGGACAAACAAAAATGAGAATTGAGACACAAAAGAATAAAATTTGGGATGGAAAGGGAATTTAGTTGAGACAAGGTAAAAATGACTACAATGTTCTTTACCTGTAAGCATTTTTAAGTTCGCCCATCGGAGTGAGGAGCAACTAATATTGAGTGTATAGGACTGTCATTGGTATTTCAGAAATATATTAGGTCTTTAGTCTTACAGGAGTTGCAAGCATACACAATCTCAAGTTGATTACTAATGTTCTGTTGTGTTCCCAAGAATCCGCCATGGTTTGCCGGGATATCAACCCCTGGCATCCAAATTAGAAAAATACGCATATCTGTACCGCCTAAAGATAATTTCTCAAGTCTGATTACATATCAAATCGAAAGATTTCGAAACATTAATAGCCGATGGAGAATATTGATTTTACATTTAAATAGAGAAGCTATTCATCACAGAGACAATCATCTCTCAATTCAACTTTCAATTCTCAAATTAAACCATGCCTACCGCTCTATTCACACCAATTAAAGTCGGTTCATCTCTCTTGAGGCATCGTATTGTCATGTCTCCTCTGACCCGTCTTCGTGCTGATGCCGACCACGTCCCTGTGCCTTTGACAACCGAGTATTACCAGCAACGCGCTTCTGAAGGTGGCTTACTAGTTGCTGAAGCCACATTTATTGCTGAAGATGCTGGTGTCTATCCTTCTGCTCCCGGTATCTACAATGACAAGCAAATCGAGGCTTGGAAAAATGTAACCAAGGCTGTACACGACAAGGGCGGATCAATCTATCTCCAGCTGTGGCATGTTGGCCGTGCAACTGTGTCTGCTTGGATTCCCGGAAGTAAACTCCCTGTATCTGCATCGGCCATTGCTATCAACGGCAAAAATACTGCTGGAATGGATTATGAAGTACCCCGCGTCCTTGCAGTTGAAGAAATCTCCCAGATTACACAGACATATGCCGATGCTGCAAAAAACGCAATCAGCGCCGGATTTGATGGTGTCGAGATCCACGGTGCAAACGGCTATCTAATTGATCAATTTATTAATACCTCATCAAATATACGCACAGACCAGTATGGTGGATCTATCGAGAACCGCACTCGTTTCGCCTTAGAAGTTGTAGAAGGAGTTTCAAAAGCAATTGGAGAAGAGCGCACTGCAATTCGTTTGTCACCTTGGTCTGGATTCCAGGACATGAAAGACGATACACCATATGAGACCTGGGGATATCTTGTGAACCAGTTACAAGAAAGACATCCTAGACTGGCCTACCTTCACTTTATTGAACCTCGCGATCAATTCATTAATGATGGTAATCCAACAGCTGACAGAGGAGATGCTGTAGAAAGCTATAGCACTGAGCCATTCCACAAAGCATGGAAGGGCCCATTTATTACTGCCGGTGGATACACCACTATTCCTAAACGCGCATTTAAAGCTGCCGAAAAGTTGGAAAACACCTTGGTTGCCTTTGGTCGTTCATTCATCGCAAACCCTGATCTTCCTCTTCGTATTAAGAACGACTGGCCTTTAAATGACTATAATCGCTCCACTTTTTATGGTGGAGGTAGTGTTGGATACACTGATTACCCCTTCTATAATCCTGATACAGCTCATGATATCAAGAACTGAGTCATTGAATAGAATCTTTGCTCATAGCCCTAGTAAATAGATCTTTTTATGCTTATATATTATACCTTTGTTTTGCTTTAATAAACTATTTTTTTTTTACAAACTTATATCGAAATAATGTGAAGTACATAAAAATATTGTGGTAAAAGATGATTTATCTGGATAAAATATCTCTAAAAGTGACATTTCTATTGACCTTAAGGTATAAACATACAGTGAGAATGTGTAATAAATACTAAATTTGCTAAAGGTGCGGTCAAAGTAGAGGCAGCTATGATGTATATTTAGGATTTAAGCTTTTGTCTAATGTCAGAAAATTAATTTAGAAAATATATCAAATTGTTCTCACTATAAAAAAAACTTTAAAAAGTAAAAAAAAAAAAGCCTCCCACCCTTTCAGTAATCAGATTTAATTGAAATATTATGTATTGCATAAGTTTATTAGTGTAATGAACATAAAAACCTTGGTGGATCCAAAGTATGGACAATATTTTATATTCAAGCTGTTTAATAATCTTTATAGTAGACATGTGTATTATGCGACATATTTTACAAAATATCTATTGAAAGCACAGAGTATAAAGTTTTGGCTTATTAATACTTTGAATGTAATACATTTGACCTGAGATAACCATAAATACTCGTAGCTAAGCAACTGTGATCGATCAAACGTATTCAAACTTAGCTTTGCAGCTTTATAAAAGTAAAAGAAAAGTGTGATTCTTTAGGTGTATTCCTTATATTCCGCTATCAATATGACTATTAAGGTAGAACAACATACAGTCAAAGTTGGATACAGTGAGAATAATAGCAATATAAGAAAAACCCATGTCACTATCATTATCCCTATATCGAGTTTGACTATATTCATATACTTTAATCTTATAACTGTTTTTGCATTATTCTCAAAAGAATCTCGATTTAAAGCTGAACTTCTTTATAATACATGTGCGTATAAAATTTATACTCTTATAGAAAAAGAAGTCCGGTCAAAGTTATTCATAGAAAAGTAAACAGACCTTATCCAGAATATGAACATGTTTCAATATTATACAAATCAAAGTTCTTTATGTACTACTTCCTTGTCTGCTTTAGTAAAGTTTCTCTGGAAGTTTTCCCTAAATTAATAATCCATGATTGTGGTAATATTAAGATTATTGGGTTACCAAATCAACACCTTGCATATTTCGATAAGAACAATAGAATGATGAGTAAAACTATATCTAGTACTACAAACCTACATTGTACCAGACTTTGCTTATTTCTAATATCAAGGCTATATTAGGTAGCTATGACATAGAGATCAAGAAAGCATAATTTATTATTGATTATATTACTAATACTTTGGAAGGTTTGTCTTACCCACCCAGTAAAAATTCAGCCACTTTTGATACAAATTAGGAAAGATATTACCTCTGTACTCATTAGAAAAATAAACTTTTGTGCTTTGATTACATATCTAACTCCAAGGTCTCAAAACACTTAACCATCAAAAAACATTACTCGATATATAAATACTCTACTCCAAATCACAAAACAACCTTTATCTCTCAATCCAACCTTTAATTCAAATAAAACTATGTCTCCTGCTCTCTTTGCACCCATCAAAGTCGGTAATTCTCTCTTGAACCACCGTGTCGTTCACAGTCCTCTTAGCCGCTTTCGTGCTGATGCCGACCACGTCCCACTCCCTTTGATGGCCGAGTATTACCAGCAACGTGTTACTGAAGGTGGTTTGATAATTGCCGAAAGTACATATATTACTGAGGATGCTGGCCCTTATCCTTTTGCTCCCGGTATCTACAACGACAAACAAATCGAGGCATGGAAAGAGATAACCAAGGCTGTGCATAACAAGGGCGGAATTATATTTCTCCAGCTGTGGCATGTTGGCCGTGGATCTGCGTCTGCTTCGTCTCCTGGAAATAAGATCCCTGTTTCTGCATCGGCTATTGCGATCAAAGGCAAAAACATTTTCGGACAAGATTATGAAGTACCTCGTGCCCTTGAAATTGAAGAAATCTCTCAATTTGTACAGATATACACCGATACTGCCAGAAATGCAATCAGCGCTGGTTTTGATGGTGTTGAGCTCCACGGTGCAAACGGCCATCTAATTGATCAATTTATCAATACCTCATCAAATGTACGCACAGATAAGTACGGTGGATCCATCGAGAACCGCACTCGCTTTGCCCTAGAAATCATAGAAAGTGTTTCAAAAGCAATTGGAGAAGAGCGCACTGCAATTCGGCTGTCACCTTGGTCTGGATTCCAGGACGCAGAAGACGATACACCATATGAGACCTGGGGGTATCTTGTAAACCAATTGCAAGAAAGACATCCTAAACTGGCTTACCTGCACTTTATTGAGCCTCGCGATGACCTGGTTAACAGTGTCTATCCTGAAGCTGATAGAACAGAGGTAGTAGAGAATGATAGTATTGAGCCATTCCGCAAGGCATGGAAGGGTCCATTTATTACTGCTGGTGGATATACCACTACTCCTAAGCGTGCATTTGAAACTACCGAAAAGCTGGAAAACACCTTGGTTGCCTTTGGCCGCTCTTTCATCGCAAACCCTGATCTTCCTCTTCGTCTTAAGAACGACTGGCCTCTCAATAAGTATGACCGTTCTACATTTTATACCAGTGGTAGTGTTGGATACACTGATTACCCTTACTACAACCCTGGTACAGCTCGTGATATTAAGAACTGAGTCATTACATAGAAATTTTAGTCATACCCTTAGCAAATAATTATTTATATTTATGTATTATGCCTTACTGTTATTTTAATACTAAACTTTATTAAAAAATAAACATTTGAATTTTATATTTTAAAATAAATGCTAATATTGTTCCAATGTGATGCTTAGTTTTTTATAGAAGACCTTTAAAAGTTGTGTCTAAATTGACCCTAAAAAAGGAATTGAAAAGGGTAGTACATGGTTATAATTTCATTAATGTATTTAAGACCAAAGACAGCTATGTCATATAATATATTATTGTAGTCTTTGCATGATGACAAAAAATAATCTTAGTGAACTCTTATTAAGCTGTTTCTATTTTTGAACACACCTTATGAAAGGTGCTTACTGAGTGTAGCTTTGAAGTGAATAAGGCATGTAGGTAGCAAATCACGCGCAATATTTAGCAGTACTTTAAGATAACAAAGATAGGTATCGTGTAAGCGTCTAGAGTTTTCTGTTATAGAAAATACTATACTTTCAAAGGCTTGATCCTGTCCGAGAATATTTATTAGATATATGAATGAAAAAACTTTATTTTTCAATTATTGTTATTATTATTATTATTATTAAAGTACAAAATATGCTACCTTTAAAAATTGTATTCACTAACTGTATAATTATTCGTCTCATTTTGAATAAAAACTCACTAGTTTTTTAAGCAAGAAAGATAACAAAAAAAAACGAGAGAGAGCAAAAACAAATGGTGCTCACAGAAGCTGCTGCTCTTAATAAAGACATATCTTTATATTTGGGTTAAAAAGTATATCATCTTCTAAGCTCTCACCTGTTTGTCGTCGACCGGTTTTTTTCGGCGGTCGACCGGTTTTCATTTCCATTTATAGACCATACTTTCATTCCAAAAATGGACAACACATTCAAGTAATACCAGTGCAAGAGCTATATATGCACTAAATCTCGTCCCTTTTAAAGAATTCTTAATTGACGAAGTTTTTTAAGCTATGACAAGTCTTTCTCTCTTCCTTTTTGTTGTTGTAGTCTTCAAGTACTTGCTGATATACATAATTGCTTCTTTTTCTTATCTTTAATCATTTTTAATAGAGTTAAGGCTCCTTCTATAGAATTTCATAATAAAGTGTGCCTCATTGAAGTCTATGTATTAATTGCTGTTACTATCTATTCATGATTGTAAACAGATATAAAAATAAAGGTGTGCTCAGGTGTTATTTTAGTAAAATCCAAATATTCTGAGCAACTGACTTCAGAGGACTGTCTTTTTCATTTTCTATAGTTACTATAAACAGTAAAGCGAAGTTGGGCGGTCGTCCACAACTAGGTAAATGCCTTTTGCTTTATTGCAAGGATATTGTCTATGGGTTCTTAACTCTTTATGTGCTTTATTATACTTGTAAAACTTTTAAATGCAAGACATATTTCTACTATTAATCGATTTTTTTTGGACTTTGAAGTCCCATTCCATTAGCACTTCAAAAGGAAAACAATATCTTTGAATTTCAGTAATCAGATTAAACTTAAACTTTATATATAGATACATGTTTATATATGGTATAAGCTTTTTATAAGTGGGACCATAAAACAACCTGATAGATGTTAACGTGTGATAGATTTGCTTACACATACTGTACAATAATATAGTTAACATTAAATACTCAGCGTTGTGTTTTATAGTTATTTCCTTAGAACAATTCAACTGTAGGTAGCAATCACAAAAACTATGTATATAAATGGGAAGTGTTGAATTGGTTTGGCTATGAGACGCTGTCACAAATTAAATGGATGAAATAACTACAAATGAGTTTTAGGAAGCAAATATGAAAATAATTAGAAGTGAAAATCCTAACAGCTCTTTGGTTTATCTAAAAGCTAGATTGTAATTTAAATGTATAAAGAAAGAAATATATTCCAAGTTATACTTCTTTAATTATAGTCAAGAGTATTTAGTAGGCCAGAGACGACAAATAATATTAAAGGGAAAGGAATATGAGATATATTAAAATAATTAAAAAAAAAAGGTAGATCAAGATAGAGGTTGATTTCTATAATTATATTCTACTGTGTGTATTTTACATTAATAAAACACATACATTTTACAATAAGCCACACAAAAGACGTAAATTATGAAATACTCTATTCAATTAATGGAAAGTAAATCCTGCAAAAAGAAAAAGTATAGTGCTTTTTTGCAGGGTCTCGTTTTCGAGTGGATCCACAACAGCACCCATAATGTGTTAATATTTTTTTTATCAAATACATATGCTTATATGCAATTCAGCCTATATTAATTCGACACGACGTAGAAATAACATTCAACCTATTCGTTTTATTTCACATTGTAGATGTTCTTGTAAAATCATCAGAAACTACATATTTAAACCAAGTCTCTATAGAATTAAGCTGTGTGTTAAATGGTTATAGCTCTTAAGAAAATATTAAATTCAAAGATATTCATAAAGATATATTTCTGCTTTAGCCAAATAATGCTGATATTAAATATTTCACAAGCTGGATTTTCTTTATCCCCTGAAGCTTTGTCTAGTAAAATAAAACATCTCTATAAGCTTTTATGTTTATTTCATGAATTAGTAAGCAGTACTCTATGCAATGTTAAGGCCATCAAACTGCAAAGCCAACGTCTTATATATTTTGATATGAAGAATGATGTATTAAGCAGTATAATGATCTCTGATATTACATGCTCACATCGCACCATATTTTGATTTATAAGCATAGCCAGTCTTTTCTTCTTCTGATACTAAGTCTATATTAAGGTATTATAGCGTAAGAGCCAAGAAGGCTTAAGTTTTCATAATGAATAGCTTACTAATACTTTGTTGACCTTGTCCTACATATTCAGTAAAGATCTAGCCCTGGTGGTCCAAATCAAAGACAATAATGATTTTGTACTCACCAGATAAATGACCTTAAACTTTTGCTGACATATCAAATCAAAAAATCTTCAGGTCAATATACAGCTATAAGGCGACAGAAAAAAATGCTGATAGTATATAAGTAGTCCCTAGATCAATCACAAAATAACCATCATCTCTCAATTCAACTTTCAACCCTCAAATCAAATCATGACTACTGCTCTCTTCACGCCTATTAAACTCGGTGCATCTCTCTTGAAACATCGTATTGCCCTGGCTCCTCTGACCCGCCGTCGCTCTGATGAAGACCATATCTCTATCCCTTTGATGACCGAGTATTACGCACAACGTGCTACTGATGGTGGTCTACTCATTACTGAAGGTGTCTTCATTTCCGAAGAGTCCGGTGCTTACCCACATGTTCCCGGTATCTTCACTGACAAGCAGATCGAATCATGGAAAGAAGTAACTAAGGCTGTTCATGACAAGGGTGGAATTATATACCTCCAATTGTGGGCCGTTGGTCGCGCCAATGAATCAGCTAACATCCCAGGCAACAAGCTCCCTGGCTCTGCATCTGCTATTGCAATTAGAGGCAAGAATGATTCCGGAGAGGATTATGAAGTACCTCGTGCACTCGAGACCGAGGAAATCCCCCTTATTGTGGAGCAATACGCCCAAGCTGCCAGAAACTCGATTGCTGCTGGGTTTGATGGTGTTGAGATCCACAGTGCTAATGGTTATCTTTTGGATCAATTCCTCAACAGCTCGTCTAATGTGCGTACAGATAAATACGGTGGATCAGCTGAAAACCGTGCTCGCTTTACCTTGGAGGTTGTCGAAAGTGTTTCCAAAGCAATCGGAGCAGATCGCACTGGTGTTCGTTTCTCACCTTGGTCTGGATACAAAGATGTGATCGACGCCAAGCCTTATGAGACCTGGGGATACGTTGTAGAGCAGCTACAGGAGAACTATCCTGACCTGGCCTATCTTCATTTTATTGAACCTCGTGATGACTTTATCAGCGGCCTTCACCCTGAAGTTGATAGAACTGAGATTCTTGAGAACGATAGCATTGATCCATTCCGCAAAGTATGGAAGGGTCCATTCATTACTGCCGGTGGATACACCACTCATCCAAAGCGTGCATTTGAAACTGCTGAATTGATGGAAAACACCTTGGTTGCCTTTGGCCGTTCTTTCATTGCAAATCCCGACCTTGTTCATCGTATTAAGAACGACTTACCTTTAAATAAGTATGACCGCTCAACCTTCTTTACCCTGGGTAGCGTTGGATATACCGATTACCCTTTTCATGACCCTGAAACAGCTGATAATAATTAGACTTAAATTATTACGCTCTCTGTTTATATTCGTAGTAGATGTATTGGCTTATGCTTATGCTTGTAAATTATATAATAGTATATGATTTGTTATTTTTCATACAATAAACTTGCCTTGAAAAAAATATAACTTTATGGTGTGAAATCTTTGTGACCATTTTGCCAAATAATATGTACTATTTATAAAGAATATTTCAAAAAGATGTTTAAACTGGGACAAGTGTTGAATTGATCTGTCTATGGAACTTAGTTAGAGTTTAATATATGAAAAAGGCTGCTAGCAAATTCAAAGGGCAAATTTAAATAAAATAATGTGGGAAATATTGGTTAACAGAAATATCAGCTTAACACCACCCTTAAAAATAAAAAAAAGCTTGCAATAATCTCTCACTAAAGTTCAATGGACTGTGGCTGTATGTCAGTCACAAACTACAGTAAGTACTGATTTACTTTCGAAAACCTCCAGTTTGCCTTATCATCAGCATAGTTGTTTATTCTTAACAATTTATATATGCGTATGTTCTGTAGATATGCAACTATAGATATTTAAACTACATTGTGCTCCAGGACATCAGAATCATACAGCATTGCAAATAATTTATATTCATATATGTATTAATTTAATGATTTGTTTACTAATTGACTAATTAAAGAAAAGTCTTTAGTATACGCATTCTACATTTCCACCCTGAAGAGTCCACTGGTGTTTCACATCTTGTTCTTGTGCTTCAGAATCTTCTGTAATAAAAAAGAAAGAAAGAAAGAAAGAAATATAAAAGTACATACCTGCAAAACCAAACACGCAAAAAAGACGAGCCCAACGAGAAAAATCAAACTAAAAACACAGTACGAAGTTTGGGACATCTCACTTATACGACACCCAGTGGATCAGCTCACCAAAGTGAAGGACGACTAGCCAATCGTCAAAAAAAAGAAGGAGGACGCAATGCCTTTAAACCCACATATTCTAATTCTAATATAATATCCTTGAAACCTTTGGCCTCTTACTCAGAATCCTAGACACCACCAGAGCTCAATCAGGGTCTCGAGGGTTAACCTGTTGGCTTCAACCTCGTATATACAAAATAAGAACAAGGTAAAGGGCTGAGATGCTTTGCTTCATTTTATGTTTTGGAATGATCACTTGCCGAGTATAAGAGTCCACCAAAATACTCGCGTATTTTAATGAACTCGCTCGCTGAACTGCACTGTTTTTTTTGGTAAAATTATGCAGACAAAACACGTTAGTATCTTTTCATGTTTAGTCGATAATTAGCAAACATGGTAATTAGCAGCAGATTTTTTCGCACAAGAATAAAAGCAAGAGCGTTTTTCTAGACTTCTAGTTATGTTTAACTGTCAGTATATAGTAAAGAACAAAAAAAAGTTAGATCTTGCTCAAGATTAATGGGCATGAGCTTGGTAGCATTAGTCATTCTCTCGTTTTCTTGAATCCAAAAGGTTGAAAAATATGGAGCGCCTCTTTAAATAAAAAGGCGAAAATTTGCTCAGCAGCTTTTGACACCGAAAGAGACATATTTGAGCTGGCTTTAACACACTGGTGGTCTTTACATTCATTACTTACCTAGTATACACATGGATAGGCTTGAAGGAAGGGAATGCAAGTAAACGAACGCGTATGCCCTTGAAATATTTTTTCGTGCTAATACAGATGATATCATCAATTACTTGTGATGTAAGCATTCTTAGCCACCATGAGAAAAAAAGGGGCGTTTCAGGGAGGAGAGTTAAAAATATCTTAAGCATTCTTCAAAATCATCCTTTAAATCACCCCCTTTCTTTTTACCGTAATGTAAAGCAAAATAATCACTATTCTGAGGAGCCAAAATTTTATTACTGAAATCTTTACAGTATGATTTGGCTTATATCTATGTATATAAATGAGCTTGTAATTTGGGATTTACGAAAAGAGAAATATATAAGCAGAATATAAATCTTAATATGTATCTGAATAGTAAGGTTATTGAGATTTGTACAGATAGAATTATTAAATTTATAGTATATTATGTATATTGATAATATTTTTTTAAAAAAAGAATAGGATCTCAAATTCACTCGGTTTTTCTTTTTCGATTCCTCGATTCTTCTCTTTCTGTAGATCTAATGAGCCATAAACTAGTTTTAATTGGTAGAATGATAGCTTAAGCTACCAGCGGTAATTCACCCTCTTGCATAATTGCAGCTAATAAACTACAGACTTGCCCGTTTATACCAGAACAAGGATAAACACACACACAAGTCTTTAATGAAAAAGAGAAAGAATCAGACAGACAAGTTCCTTTTTTCCCCCTCTTCTTTCGGCTTATTACAAACTCTGTGGTACTTAGTTGAATGTTTTATTGGTAAACTTTTTTTTGGTTCTTCTTTTTGTCTTGGTAGCGCATACTGTTTTGAATGGCCGTTTCCCCAAACTATCAAGGTTTTGGAATGAGCGCTTTTTTTTGCTCCTCTCTTTTCTATGCTATCTTCCGTATTAATCCAGAAAAGGAAAGGCCAGAAAAGATTCTGGCTCTTTAGCAAGCACGATCCATTTTTTTTATAAATGAAGGCTCATTTTAATTTCTTTTTCTCAGAGCCAATTTAGTGCATGGGAAAGACCCATATTTTTTTTGTTACTAATTATTAACCCTGGGTGTGGATTTGGGCGTAGGACATTGAGTCTGAACCACTTCCCCTTTTGTATTTATTGATATGTATACAAGTTTTTTTAGTGGTGTTAAATCGTTAATTAGAGTTCGTCCGTCTTCTCTTAGGGTTTGGACATCAAAGTCCCTCGATCAACGCTTAAAAAGAAGAACAGTATTGGAACATTGATGATGTCCCAATTGATGTTATTGCTATATACGTAAATATATATTTGAAAATGGCATTGGTATCTATAGCTAGACTAGTAGTTAACCAGTTTCAGTAACTCATCATGTATTGTCAAATCAAAACCCCAATATATATACCTTAAGAAAATCAGTAATTATCTACATTAGATAATAGTTCCGAACTGTATTGCATATGGTTAGTCCATTGTTTTTATGATGATAATGATGATAATGAAGATGTTTATATATGTTTATTATATCCTATATATATATATATATATATATATATATGTTCTTGTTCTTTTTTTATGCACAGAAAATGATAGGACATTTATGATAAAGCTTAAATGATGTTTGAGGGTTCGAGTTTGTAGAAAATCGTTTATATATAATTGGCTATAAAGGAAAACTAAGATAGTTTATAAATGAAACATCAGGAAACTCTTCTTTTTTATTTTTATTATTATGTATAGTAGACTTAGATCAAGAATGTTAATTTATACAAGATGTATTTAGTGTTATTAGTATTAGTATAAGAATAAAAAATAAAAGTAATAATGGTGCGTTTGTACAATACAGTTTTGAAACTTTTGTTTGTTGCTAAGGTAGGTTTACTTTAGTATCCATGGTAATAAATTCCCAAACAACTTTTTTTTTTTGGTTTTTGTTGTTGTTGCAAAATATCCAATTGATCACTATTATACAAATACCGGGTTGTGTACCCGAAGATAGAGTAAGAGAGTAAAATCAAAATCATTTGGAATGGAGCACCCGCATAGAATTTGATGCCTGCATCTTTACTTATCTAATCGATGGTATTTTCTCCAAATTGAACGATGTCAATATACATGTATATATATGTATAAAATAGAGAACCAATAAAAGAATGGACTCAATAAAAAATACCAAAATAATATAAAAATCCCCCCAAAAAAAAACAAATGAAACAAAGAATAATAATAAATACAACAAACGATAATAATAACAACAAATTTTGTGTATCCGTGTGTGCGTGTGTGTATACAGTCTGTAGTCTGTAGTCTGTAGTCTGTAGTTTGTTCTATGCAGAAATAGACAATATAAATTTACATTGGAATTGGAATTTTTTAAAAAAAATGTGTATAATTATATATATATATATAAATATGTCTGTGTACCTGTATGTGTGTATATGAATTGTAGTGCTGATAATGATAATGATAATGATAATAGTAATAGTAATAGTAATAGTAATAGTAATAATAATAATAATAACAATAGTAATAATAATAACAGTAATAGTAATGATAGTAAAAAATGACGGTTTAAATAATAGTGATAATAATCTAACTGTGAGAGTTTTGGTTCTTTTTTCTTTATGGTCTCTCTCTAGCTGCTCTGATTAGAGGTGCAAATGAGCGCAATGGCTCGGCTTTGGCAAGGAAAGGGTGCCTAAGCATTTTTGCGGCCGATGGTCTCTGGTCTGGGTCAACTTCTAGACAATAGGACAGGAAATTTTGGAAGATTGGGCTCAGTGAATCGGGATCCTGGAGCTGTGGAGTGCCGTTGGTTGCAATAAGATAGAGTGCACGAAGGGGGTTCTCATTGAGGTAAGGTGGTTCTCCTTCTACCATCTCAATTGCCATAATACCCAATGACCAGATATCCACCTTTGCACCGTATTCCTTGCGAGTAACTACCTCTGGTGCCATCTAATCAAATACAGCCATTATTATAAATATTATTAATGCATGACATAAATATAAATTAATTAAAAAAGAAATTTAAATATATGCACACATAATTAGGTAAGGTAGATAATGTAGGAATATGTAAGAGATTGATAATATTTGTTAATGTTTACCCACCCAATAAGGTGTTCCAACCATTGTGGTGCGTTTCGTCTGATCATCCCCGAGTTGAGCACAGAATCCAAAATCAGCTACAAGAAAGTAAGAAAGTTAGGACGGGGCGGCTGTTGAGAGACACAATTGAGAAGACAACCCCCCCCCCCTCTTACAATATAATAAAATAAAAATAAAAATAAAAGCAATATTTCTCCTCTTTCTATGTTGCTTTTGTTTTTTGGTCAATTTCAAGTCAAAAGATAGACTTGAAAAAGAGAAAAGAACAGGATGAAGTAGGAGAAACAAAACCCTACTTACTCAATTTGATGTCACCCTGAAGACTCAACAGGATATTGTCACTCTTTATGTCTCGGTGGATTACGCCATTGGCGTGTAGATGTTTGAGGCCCTCTAATACTTCCCGACAAACGGCTGCAATTTGACCCTCTGTCACCATACTGCAAGTCACAACATCTGTCAAACTTCCTCCTTCCATGTACTCCATCACAACCCAAAGATCGCCCTTCCAGAGATATGAATCGATGAAATTGACAATGTTTGGATGCGTTGACTGCTTCATGACCTTGATTTCGTTGATAATTAGTTCTTTTTTAGGCTGCTTTTCGAGATTCATTTGCTTGATAGCCACTAAAGTTTGGGTTCCGGTACGGTAGGACGTGTACACTCCACCAGATGCCCTAATGGTAATAAAAACAACCAAGAAACACCCCCAAAAAGAAAAGCATATTAAATAGTTGCGCCTCAGATAGCATATATGTAACAACCAGAAAGTATAATGGTAATAAATAACACAACTGCATTTGGTGTCCTTATTTTCTTTATGAAAATATATATACCACTCTCGAATTCACTCACCCTTGTCCGATCTTGACCATGTCTGTGTACAATTTTGCTGGATCCGTATTTTCACATATCTCTCTCAATACCTTCATTACCTCGGCATCTTCCATTCCACTTTTCTTTTTATCTTTTGACGGGCGTCTTTTGACAGCCCCCACAGATGAAGACGACGCTGATTGGGCGGTGGTGGCTGTAGAAGCAACAGTAGTTGTGGTATTGTTGCCAGTGGCGACAGATGTCTCATGCCCCGGAGACAAAGGAGCTTCCCGAAGAAGGACTGGAACAACAGGAGATTCGATCCTGTTCGATTTGGATGATTTGGATGACTTTGCTGATTTGGATGACTTTGACGAATTTGACTTTGATAGCTTTGATGCTGAATTTGACTTTGGGGTCTGGTCAATTGCTGCAGCAAATGTCATGGAGTCTGAAGATATTTTTGTTGGACTTGTACTGTTAATATCTCCATTATAATTGTTGTTGCTGCTACTGCTGTTGCTGTAGTAATAATAATTATTATTATGGTTATTGATACTTGAAAGTATAGCCTTGTTTGGCTTAAACAGGGGAGAAGCCTCACTGAGTTCTATTGTATTGCCATCAATCAAATCGACCAACCAATCAATCAATCAATCAATCAATCAATCAAAATAAGGCCAAAGAAAAAGAAGTTAGATGCTTTTCTTTATATATACATATGACCCCCTAATATTCGTTATGCTTGCCACGTTTTTTCTTTGACTTACCTGGGGTCGTGGTTCCACCTGGAGACTACAAGTTCAAACACAGTAAAAACAGTATATTTTATAAGGTGAGGTGGAGTGAGGTGGTGCGAGGGAACGTGAGATGAGGTGAGGGGATGCGAGGGAGCGAGAGGGGACGTGAGGGGTCGTGTGGTGATATGATATGAGGTGAGGTATGTATGGGTGTGGATGTGGGTATATAGCCAAAGAAAGAAAGAAAAAGAACTTACATGTATAGGTGAATTGTTGCAATGCGGGCTCTTCTTGTTGTAATCTGGTAATTTGAGTTTGGAGAGACGGTGCCATGACTTGTTTGAAGGGCTTTTGGAAGACAGGCTCGGTGGTCTTTCCGCGGCTTGTTCATAACGATCGCTGTTCCGTTTAGTAGACGAGGCTTTTGGGATTTTGTTCCACACAGATTCACTATTAGTGTGGCTCTCCTGATAGAACTCAATTACATCAATTACAGCCTACAAAATTGTTATCATTATTTTGATTTTTGTTGTAAATATAGAGATATAGATATAGATATATAAAAGACCATATTTTAGTATGATTTGTCCAACAGAAAAGCTAAACCAAAAAAAACCAAAAAACATCTCCCTATAACCCCCGAACCTGAGGATTTTGTTCTTGCTCCTTCTTTGTGATTCCACTTTGCTTCAGTAACACATGCCACTCTTTCGGGAGACCTGTAAACTCTCCAGTACTAGGCTCGTAACCCACATGAGTGACGTGCCTAGTGTTGTACGGAGAAGAGATATCCATTGACTTTCCGGCCGTAGTAGGTGAATTGGAGTTGCTATGGCTATTTGATAGTAAATCTGCATTTTTTTTTTGGTTTTGGAATTTTCATATAGTCAACAACTAAACCCAGAAAACAACAACAACAATAACTCAAACCTCCCCCTCCCACAATTGAACTAACTAGCTATATGTATATGTATATATATAAGTGATAGATATATAGTTAGATAAATGAAAATTTTACCATTGAGCCCAATCACCAATCTATCAAGAACACCTTTCAAAGTTGTCCTGTCTCTCGGTTTTCCAATACCAGACGATACCGCAATAATATGATCTGCGGATTTACGAACAACAAGGTTGGTCGGACTAAACGTGTTCTTATGCCTGTCCTGGCCATTTACCGAACTCAGAGAGATTCTCGATTGAGTAGAGTTGTTACAATCAAACGAGCAAACACTTCCACGACTCTTTATCTTTGATGTATCGGGCTCAAGCTGGTCACTGAACCCATTATGATATGACACTGTCGAGGACGTGGGAGAAAAAGCAGACGACGGTGTATTGTTATTGTTATTATAATTATTGGTATGGTTAGTATTGTTGCTGTTGCTGTTGCTATTATACATTTTTGGAGAGTGTTGTCTGTGGACAAGAGAAATTGTACGAGAGAGAGCAGGACTTGATTTGTGTGATTTGATGGCGCGATTGGGTGATTCCGATGATCTCTTTGAGTTTGTGAATTGTTCAGCAAGTGAGGTACGTGAGTCTGAGTTGCCTAGAGACTTTGTGTGTGGTCGTGTTGATCCTAATGGCAGAAAAGTTTGTTTTCATATATATATATATATATATTTAGCAAAGACGCCCAATGAAGAAGATAGAGAGAGAGAAGGGATGGGGTGGGTGAGCCCACTTTTGCCATTTCAACATGAATTGACTGGAAGGTTGAGAAATTGCCTTTGTGTACGTCTAGGCTGGGAAACGATTGCATAGTGAAGCGAATTTATTGTACTGGCTGGAGAAAAGAGAGAGAAAATGGCGACTTGAGGGTTCGATCTGGTGTACGGTGCTGTGTCAAAGGAAGAAAGAAAGAAAAAAGCAAAAAGAATCAAATAGAAGAAAAATATAAGAAAACTAGGATAAAATAAAAAATAAAAATAAAAAAGTGAAAGAAAGAATAGATCCTGTTTCTGAGGTGTGTATGAAATTAAAATAAAAAAAAATAAAAATAAAAAAAACCAAAAAGGATATTGAATAGGAGGGAAGGGTTGAGGGTTGAGGAGAAAGGGAGAGGATTTATTTGATATTATACATCACCCAAGGGGAGCCACTGTGATGATTTTTTTTAAATAAATTTGTGGCTTTCCAAAAGGAAAGTAAAAGGTAAACATGGCTTCTTATTCTACACAGCCAGGACACACTTTGACCTATAGATACACACTCTGATTTGCTTTACTTTATTGACGTTGAAGGACAAAACTATAAATGTCACGACTTGGACCTTGTATTGCTCGGACCCATGAGGTAGACTAACCGTTATATCAAAATATCGGTTGTGTTTCTGTGCGTCTCTTTGAACATCCAAGTCTGTGTGTGCGCGTTTACATATAATAGTTCAAAAAACACGATTGAGAGGACCATGATAGGAAGGGCCTGTATATGCTGTAGAACATGGCTGTAGGTCTTTGTGTGATAATAATCAAATGCGTATATATTATCTTGGATCCTGTGTAGAATTATTACTTTATGTTATTTGCGTCGTGCTACACAGCCAATGTCGCGGAATCGGATCTGGGACCTTGATTTTGTAGGGTATTCTCAGTAGATATAATTGAATTTGGTATTTGGTTGGTGTATTAAAACCACAAATTATGGTAGTACTTAAAGACTCTCTCTCTCTATAAATACAGATAGATAGATAGATAGGTAGATAGGTAGATAAATTATTTACATAATACTTGTAATAAAGTAAATAAATAAATAAAACTTTATATTTGACCATTATACGATGCCTTATAATGATTTGCATGATCAAAAACTCCCACTGGTCAAGTTGAACGGACAGACCATGAAGACTACAAGGATCGGGGCTCAGGCGTGTCGTACTTGACTCATTTTAGGTATCCGTAATCCAAAAGTCGTTTCGTCTATCATGAGATCGTCTCTAAAATATATGTATTCACATGAGATTTAAAACATTTATACATACGTCTTGTCCAAGCTATAAAGAAGTTCAGAAATAATATATATAATTTTTTTTTGAAAGGGGAAGGGGAAGGAAAAACAAGGGTGGCTTACATAGTAAAATGGTCATTTTTTTTTTTAAAAAAATATTTGGTGTGCGTGTGTGTGTATACTGAGCCAGAGAATGGTATTTATCAAATATTCATATAATAAATGGCGGCACCATCATGGGGTTCAACTGTAGTTAGTCTAAGCGCACGAATTCGTCATTTATACTAGTGTTGCAATGGGTGAAAGAGAAATAAGCAGTTGCAAAAAGTGGCCAGTTTTACCCGACCCCTTCCTTCCTTCCTCTCTCTCCTTTGTCTAGCGTGGCAAAATCTTGGGGGGTTTTTTAGGTAACTATATAAATAACTGTCTCACTATGTTTCGGTTTCTAATGAGCCATTTAACCAAAGATTGTATAAATATATCAAAATTATTCACTTTTCAGTTACAATTCATCCTTTCTTTACTCTCTCTCTCTCTCTACTTCTTTCTGCGTCTTGCTATTTTATTTCTTTTTCATAATATACGCATACACGCATATATAAATTCATACCTGCATACATATATTAAAATATACTCCTTGAAATGCCACGTCTTGTTGTCATTGATATCTACAGCCACCACCACAGGCTTCCAATAAACTCTATTCGAAAGGAGAGTTTTTCATCGCACGTCTCAGTCAGTACCTCCAATTCGACCAACCCGTCCTATGTTTTCTCTTCGGGATCCAGCGTATCAACCGAAGCATCACACTCGGAAGAAAAGAAAAAATCGGTCCGGTTTTCCAAAGTGGTTGTCGTAAATGACCCTTCGCTTATATGCCTCATTGATCCAAAGAACCGAGGAGACACAAAACGAGTAGTTGACCGTTACTACGGTCATTCTGATGGAAAAAGACACCTATAATAGTATCCGTAGACCGGAAGACTCTGATTTTTTTGTCTCTTTTCTTTTATTCATTTCTACCGTCAAACCAAACCGACTCCACCTGTATATGTTCTTCTACTTTTACTTTTCATACCTATTTCTTTAATTCATTTCATTTCATTTCAATTCAATTCATTTCAATTCAATTCAATTCAATTCAATTTCTCTGTTTATATTATAGAAAACAATATTCTTTACATTCCCATTTGTTCCTTTTTTCTTTTCTTTTTATAACCCCAAAAAAAACCGAAAACGTACCTAAACCACAGGCATACAAAGAGAGCACGCCACCACGCCACCACGCAAGCAAGCAAGAGAGAGAGAGAGAGATAAAAGTGTAAAAAATATGATGATTGGATCTCCTCTTGATACCTCCCCCTTATTATTATATTAAAAAATAAAATAATATTGGAAAATAAGCTTTTTTATATTACCTCTGTGAGAGTATTTGAGTAAACATATGCATATTACATATTAAATACATACATATCTACATAAATATCTACGCATATGATTATGATTATGATTATGATTATGATTATGTTTATGACTATATGTATGTTTATGGTGATATACTTGTGGTATTTTCAGGGCAGATTATGTAAGAGTCACAAAAGATTCAGTCTTTTATAGCCAGAAAAAAAGCCCCTTCCAACAGTAGTAGTAATATGAATATGAATAATGTTTGTCAGAATTCATTAAACAGAATGTTAATCTTTTAGTTAATATGTGTATGACCTAGAAAGAAGACACGGAAAAGATCGACTTGTGAAATTAATTGTGTTCCACTCAAATGGTACTTTTCTTTTTTTTTTTCCTTTTGGTATTTCTTTATTCCTTTCTATTTTTCTATTTTTTCTTTCTATCTCTCTTTCTCTTTTTATCTATCAACCTATATTTATTTGTGTGGCTAAATGCACGCAGAATTCCCAAAAACAGATGTTTCGCCAGCCAATTATAATCGAAATCTCTAGTAGCTAACGAGAATTCCAGTATAGAAGGAAGTTTAATTAAAGGCATGAAATACAATAAGCAGTTATCATTAATGAGCATTTATCTATTTTGCTTACAAGGTCATTATTATTAAAGAATGAGTGAATGAATGACAAAAAGATATTAATATCAATTATATCACCATTAACATCGCTATTATTCTGATATATAGAATACGTTGGGCCTGTCTTTTGAAAGGTACTTTGATAGCGCTTGTTAATGTTTAAGGTCAAAAAGAAAAATAAAGGTGCAAAATACAGGCTATATAAATGCTAGATACATTCAATCTTGTATTTATTCCGTTCATTGATATGTTCCATACAGTAGCGACTGTGAATGATAGTTATTTTTTCCATATTTTTTTTAAAAGAAATTGTAAGAAATCATACAAGCATTCATAAAAGATGAAGAGGAACTAACTTGTAGCTTTGAAATAAATGAAAGAGAAAAATGGGAGTTACTGGACTAAGTACTTTCATATTCTCCAGCTTATTGTGAATATATATACACATATTCAAAACAAATATGTTAAATGGTCGTATTGATAGATGTTATAGTATTAACACCTTTCTTTTTATTAACTTTTGAACAAAATGAGGTCTTTTGTAAATATATTCGAAAAAGGCAATGCCTAATGATAAATAGTAATCGCTAAAGTATATGACCAGTCATTTAGTCAGTCAGTCAGCCAGTCATTAGCCAAGATCATAATAGTAGCATCAATAGGGTATGCAAGGGATTATTATTACTATTAAACCTTGTTCTATTCAAATTACATTAAAATACCAGTTAGCTACTGTAGTAACTTAGTATGTGTACAAGTGTATATATGTATATATTTAATATAGCTAAATTACTGTTAATTTTACTATTGCTATTACCATTACCATTACCATTACCATTATATATATTTAATATTAAATCTTCTAATTACCATTATCATTCTTGCTCGTATCTTTATTCTTATTCTTTACATATACATATTCATGTACATACTAAATCATCTTTTTTGTGTAAGTTTGAATACGGATTGTGGCACAAATATACCAGAAATAACTTATAAACTCACTCGAAAAGCAAAGAAAAAAGGGCAAATAAATAAATATGGGCTGTTTGGTTTGAGAGAGAAAGAGATTGTCGGGATATTAATTTAAGGAAGTACCAAAGTGTCTGTGCCATGGTGACAAAAAAGAAAGAAGAAAGAAAGGTCAGTTGGCTTGTTTTATTCTTCTTTTGGTTCTTTTTATTCCCATGATTATTCAAGCCCACAATGGAACACGTATTATCTCTGTTTTTTTTTACCAACGAGCACAATACTTCCAAAAGCACATACACATAAATACATACATAAAAAACAAAAAATAAAAATGAGCAGGTTAGAGAAGCACATGCATTTGCAAATTGTAAAACAAAACATAAATCGTACAAGTAGTAACAACGTGCTCTTTATAACATACATGCAAACAGAAAAATAAATAAATAATTAAATGCCTCTTCTATTTTTCCCATTTTTTGTTTGCATGGTCAAGGAGTTCGAAGCACACCTAAAGATTAAGTATATCGATGAATCGATTTATCAATATATATATATATATATATATACAGGCAATTCGAACTTGTCCGTAGCACCTTTTTATATGTATATATGTATATATTATATTATTCACAAACAAGGTCAGTGTACAAAATCATGGGCGCTGAATAAATAATTATAAAGTACAAAGGAGACTCATTGTTGGTTGGTCAAGCCTGGCTTAAAAGGAGCTTGAAAGAAGGGCGACCCTGGATCTCCTGTATTTGAATTAAAAGGAGCCTCATCTGTTTCAGCCAAATAAAATCAAATTTTAAAATTTAATTTTTTTATATATACATATAAAATAAATAAAGTAAAATAACAAAAACAGAGAATCATTTTGTATTCTTGAAACAAAGTGGCTGCAAAACAAAGTGGCTATAGACAGAACAAGTGTCAATGAAGAGAGATATACAAACAAAAGTACAAAAACAAAACATAATCTTGTATGTTTTGTATATAGTGTGTACAGAAAGGCTTCTATATAAAAATATCTTCTCTCTCTCTTTCTCTTTCTCTCTCGCACACACACAGACACACATTCCAACCAAAACGGAACATAATATATTCTGCGAGTGTGGTTGTGTGTGTTTATATACTTATTGATAGTCCGGGGTGCAATTGATCTTATTCTTTTTCTTTCTTTTTTTGTGTAAGATGATCAATTCAAAAAACTGTATATTGCACTTCTTTAATAATAAGAAAGGCGTTTAAGACCAAGTATATATATATATATATATATATATATTCACAGTAATAATAGTAATGATAAAACTGTAGAAGAATCACAAGCGGCCCGAGGTAATTGGAAACCAAGATCAAAGTATGGGGCACGTGCTTGATCCTTGTGCTAAAATCACCCACGCATTCAAGACAAAATACCTAAATCAGACACGATGAATAAATTGGCAAGTGAGCAAGTGAGCAATCAAGTAACCTAGCAACAAACCAGGCACGTAACCAGGCAACCAACAGACGAACCAGGCAAGTAACCAAGTAACCAAGTAACCAAGTAACCAATCCCCATATTGGCCTCACAAGCTTTTTTTTTATTCTTATGTATATTATTCTTCTTCAAGGTAGTGATCTTCACGCACTTATATATCCTTTTTGTTAATATTGACGTGATAGATCGCCTGGTGCCATAATATCTATATTAAATCTTGTCTCCGTACCGGTTTAGTTCAACTCAACTCAACAGAATTGAATTGAACTGACTTGAATTGAACCAAATCGAACTGAACTGGCTTGACTTGCACTTGGCCTGGACTGGATTAGACTGAACTAGACTGAACTGAACTGGACTGGCCCTCTAGTCTGACTTGGGCTCATTAAAGGCCTCGGGCCGATGATACAATATATGTACACGCATTTGTATAAATGTGTTAAACGGGAATTTAAACGGTAGCAAAATAATAAGAATAATATATATATATAAGTTTGGCAGACAGGCTTTTTTTTATTGTTTTGGTGAAAATCAATACAATTTTTTTTAACAAAGCAGTCTTTTCGGGATCCTTGTCGGACGGGCAAGTAAAGTTACCCAGCCGCTTTTTCTCTCTCTATCTTTTTATTTGTGTTACATAAAAAAAGTCCAAGTTCTTGTTCAATCCAAGAACCGCTGCTACAAATCGACAAACTTTGACATGCTTAATTTCATTCAGGGATCATGGAATAAGAATTAGTATCAGAATATAATATAAGGTGGAATAAAATAAAGTAGGCGCACGCATTTTTGCATATTCGTAAGTAGAAGTATGCATGTATGTATGTATTTTTGTTTGTTTGCTTGTAATTTATGGACTATAAGGCTTATTTTCTGTCCAATAATAGTAGTCTTTCCCCCCTCCTTCCTTCATTTTCATTTTCTTTTTCTTTTTCTCTCCTATTATATTAAGGGCAAGCTTAAGATATTCTCACTCTCTAGTATATATACAATCCCTGGACAGAAGTTTTCTCTATTTAAGGCCACAATTTTATATTACAGACCTCTATCTATAAACGCACTATAAGATATATGCAAGTATCCTAGAACTCTAATTCTTACAAACACTCTAGTAAAACGAAGTGTTATTACTTTGAGTTGTAGGCATAATGGTGGAAATCCTTATTGAATTTAAGAGAAAGAGAGAAAAAAAGTATGGATACTGATTTCAGAATATACAAGAGGGGGTTTTAAATATAGAAAACTTTTGTCCATGGATTGTACATTTGTTCCAGGACAGAATGTCGACATGGAGAGTATTCTACTATGTAATGAAATATTAATAAGAGTGTAACCGTTTAATAACAGAATAAAAGATAAGTTTATGATGCTTGAAACACAGATATGATTTTAATTCAACAGTAAGTAAATTAAAAAAAAACACTTCATCCTCATCGTCTTCATCATCGTCCTCTTTTTCAAAAGTGGGATTTGTTACCCAAGCATTGTAATTGACCTCTTTCTTTTGATTGGCTTAAGTTAAAATGTTTTTGACACCATTTTTGACACTAGAACTACTATCATAATAAATCTTACGTAGATCATCCAACATGTTCTAAAAAAAAGAAAAATAAATAATGTTAGATAATGCAAAATATTGGTTGTCTTGTCCTTCACATTACATCAATTGTAGATAGGAAAAATAATCAAGTTTTCTAAGGATCCTATCTGAATTTGCTGCAACGACTTAGGAAAACGAAAAGAACAAACATCCTCCAACTTGTACCCTTTTTTCTTCGGTAAACTCATAACAGAGGGGTTTCCATTGAAACCAGCTATATGATTTTTTTGACATCTTTACAAGGGGAACATATTGGGCATGAATATGCGGTATTTACTTTATAGAAGTGTTTAGACAATACTTTGAAGCAATGGTGGACTTAAGCTTGTCTTTGTAAATCTTTTTTTTAGTGATGCTTTTTTGGCAATCTCTCCATTACAGCCATCGACTATATTTTCATTATCTTGTATAATCACCAACCACAAGTCCAACTTAAATTTTTGGCCAGCTTTTTTTACAACTGCCGCTTATGGTGTCACACCTAAAAAATAGTTAGACAAAAAATAAGTTGCATAAAGTCAGAATAAGATATTCACCATCGCAGTACAACATTTTGTTTTCTTCCTAAAAATGATTCAAAGATGTAGCACCAGAATTTTTATTGTTAATCTGGTTCCAAATATACCTCAATGAACTGCTTCGAGAAGATCCACAGGAGGTCTGCAAGCATTTCGAGACTAAACGAAACCATTTTTAGTGGCGTTTATAACATCAGCAACCTTTGCCAGAGTCTTGACCTATATGTAAAAGCAATTGCTTTATTAGTCACCAGAAATCATTTTTATTAAACGAAAATTACCTTTTTGAACTGAGTGGATATTTTTTTTGGGCTAATTTTAGGGAGACGACGTTTCCTGATGGGGTATGACATTTTGATTTTACCGGACCACAAACCGTGGTCTTTTTGCCGGCATGGAATAACTCTATCTGGTTCCTAAGGATGCATTCTTTTTATAATAATTAATACCAGCCAGGATACAAAATATCCATAATTTTTTTTGTAAAGCAAAAAATAGTAGACAGGAATTACTTACCAGTTAGGGCTGTCAAACTCTGGGAATATAAGTAGGTGAAAGAAAGAAAAAGACATGCTACGCGTAAGAAGGCTAAATAAATAGTAAAATATCAAACAAGATTGCGTCAAACTTTAATGACAGCAACTTCTTATGATATTCTGCATAGCTGACTATTGGTACAGTATATTTGTGACTAACCATTGTTTTTCATGACTAAGTAAGTCTAAATTCAGGGCTACTAATTGAATATATTGTATGAATTTTAGGGAAAGATGATGTGTCCTAAAGAATTAAAGACACCGGCCCCGGACAGGTAGCCACAATTAATTAGTCCGGCTAGATAGAAACGTCGTGCCCCACCAGGAAACGTCTTAGTAAAATTACTGGTCCAAAATCATTCAAAAAAGTGGGTGGGGTTGTCAAAAATTAGGTAAATTGAGAGTTGGATCACAGTGCTAGTATAGATACAGACACAGGCTCATAGCATATACATATATGTATGATGTATTGATGTATTGATGTGCAGAGAAAATGAGAAAAATAGCGAGAGAGAGAGCGAGAAGAGACCTGGCCTATGGACGTGTGTTACAAGTGTAGCCGTATGAAATCGAGCACTGTCGTGACCGCTACTGTTCATTCTCCGCATCCAGACCTTTATAGACCTTTTGAACCCTTTTTTTTTATTTTGGCCATTTCCTTTACTTTTTTTTTCTTTGTTTATCACAGCTGGTCTGTAACTCACACACAAAAAAAATACTATATAGAAGAAGTGTATAAACCAATACCCACTCTTCTAAGCACACATACAAATACATCTGCCCAAACGCTTGTTCGCTTGCACAACTTGTATATCTTTTATCTCCATTTCTACTTCTTTATCACCCAATTGTTCATAGTCCAACCAATACACACACACACACACTGTACACATAATATACCTACCTGCTTAAATTCGTACGTCATTAAAAAAAAGCAACAACAACATAAGTAGTAGCAGTCATAGCAGCTACAACACAAAGAAAGAGATAAAGACTATAAAAAATAAACCACCATACAACAATGAATCGCCATCCCACTATTCATCTCAATGGAGAAAAAGGTAAAAAAAAACCAAAAGCCAAAAAGCTAGAAACGTTATTCCAGCATATAGTCTAGCTCAGCATAGCAACATAGTAATAAGTGCTGTATAATAAGTCATTACCACGGAAACCAATCAACTAAAAATTTAAAGTAATATATATATATATATATAATATAATACAATATATAAATATATGCATATATACATACATACATACATAAATACGTACATATTTATTACAATAATATTTATACTAATAATATTTAACTTTTTTTTATATTTTATTTATTTATGTATCCTTCCATAGTAACAACAACACCAAGCACTACTAATAAAACTACCGCTGGAGGTCGCAGTCCGTATCAGTTGGAAATTGATCATGCCTACTTAGCAGAACAAAACGCCCATCTTCACAAAGAGCTTGCCTTTTCTCGTTACACGATCAATGCCCTCAAGAATATCAATGTCCAAAAAGATGATGCTTTGCTAGAGACCAGACAGGAACTGGACCGAGCCTATATGCACATCAAGTTGCTCGGAATGACCATAATGAGATACCAACAACAACAACAACAACAACAACAACAGCAAGGTCAAGGTCTTTTGACTGATCCGTCCGGCACGGAGCAGCTTTTGAACCAGGAGACCGCAAGACCACTGTTGATCAGTGATGCTGACTCGTCTGACGACCAGGAGTTGTCTGATGAGGAGGAGTGTAGCAATAATACTAGTGGACCTACAGACATAATGTCTAAACTGCCATTGAGACGTCCTGTCAGTGTCTATGAGTTGTAATCCTTTTGCTTTTTTTTTCTTTTGCTTATATATTTCATTTTTTCTTTTCTTTTTTTTTTAATTTTTTTTTTACTATTGTTATTTATATATTTGTATATAAAGTGCATCAATTTTTTTTAAAGTAGTAGTAGTATTATTATTATTATTATTATTATTATTATTAGTAGTAGTAGCAGTAGTATTAATGGGTGCATTGAAAAAACAATGGTTTATATAACCCTGCTAGTCAGGATGAAGAAAAAAAGAAGTATATATGTATATATAAAAATAAAAATAAAATAAAAATAATACAACAAGAAAGAGATATTGGGTGAGCGGATGAGGGTGGGTGATGCAAACATTACAGTTGTATGGGCCGATGATTTGACGCGTCCTACATATGCATGATGAATAAGATCATTATAATTATAATTATTATATAATATATATATATATATATATATATCAATCCAGCTTTAATGAGTTAATGAGGTAAATGGAAAAAGGAAAAAAAAATGACGATGGAAAAATATGGAAATGTTGGCCGAGGACAAAGGCCGACAAGCCTACAAACACCTGTAATACTATTTATTGTAGGAGACCGAGACACTTGGCTGTGTTACAATCAACTATTTATTTAGGCGCAAATATTCAGATAGATAGATAGATATATGTAAACCCTTGCTGTTCACATTCTATTATATTTACTATTATTACGTTTTAGGTGCGTATAAAGTAACCACAAAAAAAAGGAAAACGAAAGCAAGGCAAGGAGTATCCAGTTCCTTTGTCTCCTGGGAATAATGTCCGTAAACTATAAACTAATACTACTTCATATTACTTAATATTCATTCATTCACTAGAAACTTTGAATGTAAGTCTATATGATCGTTTAAAGGAGAATACAAAACCAAGACCTTTCTAAAAATAAAAATAAAGAAGAAGAAGAAGCTGTCAGTTTTTGCTTTAATTGTCTGAACAGGGTGTTAAAAAAAAAGAAATGAAGTCCACAGAAAAAACCTGTAACACATGCACAAAGATATACTTTCACGGAGAATAAGCCAATAGTCTAGACCAAATTGGAGTCCAGGAAGATGTCAGGAAATAGAGGGAGGGAAGAGAGAAGGCAGGAGGATTAGGAGGATGAGGAGGAGGGACTTTACTTAAAATGTATTATATGCGTTTGAAAGAATACAATAAAATAAATTCCAAACAACAGCAACATTTTGATTTTGAAACAAATGAGCTGATCAAAATGATGAGTATAGTTTTGCACCAGTCTCGTTGCAAGTAATACGCTGGAACGAATCAAAATGCGGACAAACTATACACAGAGCGAGCCGTAGCGGGGCTTGCAATAAGGTCAAAGCACACGGGATTCTTGTGGGGTTTGAATGGCAGTAAAATCTTTCTATCCATTGACTAAACACCATATTACTATTAGTGAAATTAGTGAAAAATAGTAATAACTAGACAATCTTTCTCTGTAGGATCATTGGAGATTTGTGCCTTTTGTTTTATTTGAATAAAAGTACTGGTAAAGATGAAGTATAATTCTAATAAGTTGAAGCTTTTTCTATCGAAGACCATAAAACAATTTTACACAAGCCTGAATATATATACATATCAACATAGAGAAGGGGTTTTGAATAAGAAAGAGTCGATGTTAGCTATAATCAATGTTACTTAATGCATCGTAATAAAGAAATGACATTTTTTTTTTCAAAGAATAAGCAATATACATGATGCATACTATTAAACTGCAAACGGTTGAGTTGTTTTCCTATTCTTTTTTGAAATAATTTTTGCTATTTTGTTCCGCTTTCATGTAGTATCTCTTACTAAGATAATGCTGCACCGTTACATATCTATGTATACATACATATATATAAGACTATACTCCTCTGTTTACTGAATACAAAGTATCCACACTAAATCACAAACTCAAGTAATCAATGTTTTAACAGCAACAACAAAATGAATGAATACTTGTATTTTGAAACACTAAAGAAATTCAATGATATTTATTAATCAGCATTGGGCCTAACAACGCATAGCTTTTTTTTTATTTCTTTCAACGTACGTACTTGAATTATGCTCGGATCGTAGGTGTTGAATGTCTACAACTGATATGTATATATATATATTGTATCATAAAGCAAGAATCTTAAAGAAAATGAAATAAAATGAAACAATAAAGCTTGGTATCCAAAATTTTCCTCATTAATGATTGGCTTCTTACAAGTATGTACTCTTTAAAAGTAAGTTGACATGCTTCCCTATATAACCTTATCATGTTTTTTTGTTTTTGTTTTTAGAAATCACGTTTTTTTATTTTATTTTATTTGATCTTACTTTAATATTGATGGAAATACCAGCCAAAAGACATACGATTCTTATCTCTGTAAAAATCAAACAACAAATAAGCTAAAAGAAAGCATATTACACAGTTTGGTTGAGTCGATCATTTATTTCCTCCGTATGCTCTCTATTATTACTGACTCAACATCCAGAGATCCTACTGTGCTTTTTCTGTACATAGCTTTAAAAGCCAAGATAGAAAAAAGACTAATAAAAAAATGAAGAAGGTCATCCAGTCAGCAATTTCATTAGAGGCGGTACGATATCTCAGAGAGGTCTTTCTCAGCTTGTCCACACAAGTCTATCAACTCTAATCTCCCTGAGCACAGGAAATAACATGTGAAAAACTTGACTGAGCTCTGGTGGTATCTAAAATGTTTGGTACGAGATTAAAAGTTGCACGGGTATTAGCTTAGAAGCATAGGCATGAGCTTATAGGTATAAAGATTTACTACTACTACTATTTATTATTCTTTTTATTCTTTTTCTTTTAGGTGAAATAATACATTGGGTCCCTTATGAGTGAGATATCTTTAGACTTCAGTATTATACTCTTAGCTATTCACCCAGGATTTGATATATAAATATTCGCTTTCATTTCTAGCTTTTTCAGGTACATATTTTTTATTACAGTAGATTTCGAAACACAAGGATAAGTCTCAGAACACCGATAGACTCTCCCGAATTGCCGTGTAGGATGCAATGACTGAACATTTCTCTTTTAATAAAGTCACCCAATTTACAGACAGACACACACACACACATATATATATAGTTATTATCTCCAATATAATACTTTTCTAGGATAGTGTAGTGTAGTGTAGTGTCGTGTAGCTTTGTTATTTCTGTATTTGTATGTCTGCAAAACATAAACGTATTTATAAAGCCGGATAATAATGAATAAATATATGAGTAATAAAACAAGATGTCTATTTATGAAGATTAACCAATACTTGATATACTCTTTCGGTATTAACCAGTGTTTAGATAGTTCTTAAATACAGGACAGTACTGCGAGAAAAAAATATGGTAAAAAATTTCCATAGAGTCTGGAAGCCTAATGTAATTAAGATAATGAGTAAAATGTTGCGATAAAACTCGGACCTGTCCAACAACTAGATTGTGATTAAAATATACAGAAAAAAAAGAAATATTTCAAGTCGTATCCCTGTTATTATATTGGAGAGATAGCACTCATTAATTCATTTTATTTCACTGCAACTGGCCTTGTGAAATCAGCAGAAAACACATTTTAAACAAAGCTTCCGTAGGCTTTACATGTTTATTATATGTAGATTGTTCTAGAAAAAGCATTCTGATAAAATTTAATCTAATATATATGCTTATAATTTAGCCGGATAAAGGTTGTTTTTTTTTCATACATTAATAAGTAGTGCAATTTATGATGTTAGGTCTATCAAAGTCCTAAGCCAATTTCTTATCTATTTTGATATAAACAATAGAGTAATGATTAGGCTAATTTCTATCGCTACATACTTGGATCGCATCATAATCTAATTTATCACTACGTCTATATTTCCCCCAATAACAAAACTATAGTATAATATCTTAATGTAAGAGTCCAGAAAGCGTAATATTCGTAATGAATAGATTACTAATGCTTTGTAAATTATGTTTTACATTACCACGAATTTTATCAGACAGCTAAGCCAAATATGGAGACCATAGTGCCTTTCTAGTCAATAGATAAGTAAACTTTTAAACTCTTGCTGACATATCAAGTCGAAAAACTGCTCAAATTATCAATAGTTATCAAAAGAGAAAAAAAATCTGCTATTTGTATATAAATATCCGCAAAATAAAATCACAGAAAATTACCATTTCTCAATTCAACTTTCAATTCTCAAAGCAAACCATGTCTACCACTCTATTCACACCAATCAAAGTTGGTACATCTCTCTTAAAGCATCGTGTTGCCCTAGCTCCTCTGACCCGCCTTCGTGCTGATGCCGACCACGTCCCTACCCCAATGATGACCGAATATTACCAGCAACGTGCTTCTGAAGGTGGCTTATTAATTTCAGAAGGTACATTCATTGCTGAGGATGCCGGTGTCTATCCTTCTGCTCCAGGTATCTACAATGACAGACAAATCGAGGCGTGGAAACATATAACCAAGGCTGTGCATGATAAGGGAGGATTTATATATGTCCAGCTATGGCATGTTGGTCGTGCATCTTCGCCTGCTTTTATTCCCGGTAATAAGATTCCAGTGTCTGCATCTGCAATTGCGATAAATGGCAAAGATTTAATTGGACATGACTACAAAGTACCGCGAGCCCTTGAAACTGAAGAAATTTCCCAGCTTGTACAGACATATGCTAATGCTGCCAGAAACGCAATCAGTGCTGGTTTTGATGGTGTTGAGCTCCATGGTGCAAACGGCTACCTAATTGATCAATTTCTCAATACCTCATCAAATATACGCACTGACCAGTATGGTGGATCTATTGAGAACCGCACTCGTTTTGCCTTGGAAGTTATAGAAGGAGTTTCAAAAGCAATTGGAGAAGACCGCACTGCAATTCGCTTATCGCCTTGGTCTGGGTTCCAGGACATGAAAGACGATACACCATATGAGACCTGGGGATATCTTGTCAGCCAATTGCAAGAGAAGCATCCTAATCTGGCCTACCTTCACTTTATTGAGCCTCGCGATGATAATATTACTACCATGTTTCCAGAAATTGATAGAACCGAAATTATAGAGAACGATACAATTGAGCCATTCCACAAGGCATGGAAAGGTCCATTCATTTCTGCCGGTGGGTACACCACTACTCCTAAGCGTGCATTTGAAACTACCGAAAGGCTGGAAAACACCTTGGTTGCTTTTGGCCGTTCATTCATTGCAAATCCTGATCTTCCTCTTCGCCTAAAAAACGACTCACCTCTCAATAAGTATAACCGCGCTACCTTTTATAGCAGTGGTAATGCTGGATACACCGATTACCCCTTCTATAACCCTGATACAGCTAATGATATTAAGAACTGAGTCATTGCATAGAATCTTTGCTCATAGCCCTAGTGAATAAATCTTTTTATGCTTATATATTATACCTTTATTTTGCTTTAATAAACTATTTTTTTTTACAAACTTATATCGAAATAATGTGAAGTACATAAAAATATTGTGGTAAAAGATGATTTATCTGGATAAAATATCTCTAAAAGTGACATTTCTATTGACCTTAAGGTATAAATATACAGTGAGAATGTGTAATAAATACTAAATTTGCTAAAGGTGCGGTCAAAGTAGAGGCAGCTATGATGTATATTTAGGATTTAAGCTTTTGTCTAATGTCAGAAAATTAATTTAGAAAATATATCAAATTGTTCTCACTATAAAAAAAACTTTAAAAAGTAAAAAAAAAAAAGCCTCCCACCCTTTCAGTAATCAGATTTAATTGAAATATTATGTATTGCATAAGTTTATTAGTGTAATGAACATAAAAACCTTGGTGGATCCAAAGTATGGACAATATTTTATATTCAAGCTGTTTAATAATCTTTATAGTAGACATGTGCATTATGCGACATATTTTACAAAATATCTATTGAAAGCACAGAGTATAAAGTTTTGGCTTATTAATACTTTGAATGTAATACATTTGACCTGAGATAACCATAAATACTCGTAGCTAAGCAACTGTGATCGATCAAACGTATTCAAACTTAGCTTTGCAGCTTTATAAAAGTAAAAGAAAAGTGTGATTCTTTAGGTGTATTCCTTATATTCCGCTATCAATATGACTATTAAGGTAGAACAACATACAGTCAAAGTTGGATACAGTGAGAATAATAGCAATATAAGAAAAACCCATGTCACTATCATTATCCCTATATCGAGTTTGACTATATTCATATACTTTAATCTTATAACTGTTTTTGCATTATTCTCAAAAGAATCTCGATTTAAAGCTGAACTTCTTTATAATACATGTGCGTATAAAATTTATACTCTTATAGAAAAAGAAGTCCGGTCAAAGTTATTCATAGAAAAGTAAACAGACCTTATCCAGAATATGAACATGTTTCAATATTATACAAATCAAAGTTCTTTATGTACTACTTCCTTGTCTGCTTTAGTAAAGTTTCTCTGGAAGTTTTCCCTAAATTAATAATCCATGATTGTGGTAATATTAAGATTATTGGGTTACCAAATCAACACCTTGCATATTTCGATAAGAACAATAGAATGATGAGTAAAACTATATCTAGTACTACAAACCTACATTGTACCAGACTTTGCTTATTTCTAATATCAAGGCTATATTAGGTAGCTATGACATAGAGATCAAGAAAGCATAATTTATTATTGATTATATTACTAATACTTTGGAAGGTTTGTCTTACCCACCCAGTAAAAATTCAGCCACTTTTGATACAAATTAGGAAAGATATTACCTCTGTACTCATTAGAAAAATAAACTTTTGTGCTTTGATTACATATCTAACTCCAAGGTCTCAAAACACTTAACCATCAAAAAACATTACTCGATATATAAATACTCTACTCCAAATCACAAAACAACCTTTATCTCTCAATCCAACCTTTAATTCAAATAAAACTATGTCTCCTGCTCTCTTTGCACCCATCAAAGTCGGTAATTCTCTCTTGAACCACCGTGTCGTTCACAGTCCTCTTAGCCGCTTTCGTGCTGATGCCGACCACGTCCCACTCCCTTTGATGGCCGAGTATTACCAGCAACGTGTTACTGAAGGTGGTTTGATAATTGCCGAAAGTACATATATTACTGAGGATGCTGGCCCTTATCCTTTTGCTCCCGGTATCTACAACGACAAACAAATCGAGGCATGGAAAGAGATAACCAAGGCTGTGCATAACAAGGGCGGAATTATATTTCTCCAGCTGTGGCATGTTGGCCGTGGATCTGCGTCTGCTTCGTCTCCTGGAAATAAGATCCCTGTTTCTGCATCGGCTATTGCGATCAAAGGCAAAAACATTTTCGGACAAGATTATGAAGTACCTCGTGCCCTTGAAATTGAAGAAATCTCTCAATTTGTACAGATATACACCGATACTGCCAGAAATGCAATCAGCGCTGGTTTTGATGGTGTTGAGCTCCACGGTGCAAACGGCCATCTAATTGATCAATTTATCAATACCTCATCAAATGTACGCACAGATAAGTACGGTGGATCCATCGAGAACCGCACTCGCTTTGCCCTAGAAATCATAGAAAGTGTTTCAAAAGCAATTGGAGAAGAGCGCACTGCAATTCGGCTGTCACCTTGGTCTGGATTCCAGGACGCAGAAGACGATACACCATATGAGACCTGGGGGTATCTTGTAAACCAATTGCAAGAAAGACATCCTAAACTGGCTTACCTGCACTTTATTGAGCCTCGCGATGACCTGGTTAACAGTGTCTATCCTGAAGCTGATAGAACAGAGGTAGTAGAGAATGATAGTATTGAGCCATTCCGCAAGGCATGGAAGGGTCCATTTATTACTGCTGGTGGATATACCACTACTCCTAAGCGTGCATTTGAAACTACCGAAAAGCTGGAAAACACCTTGGTTGCCTTTGGCCGCTCTTTCATCGCAAACCCTGATCTTCCTCTTCGTCTTAAGAACGACTGGCCTCTCAATAAGTATGACCGTTCTACATTTTATACCAGTGGTAGTGTTGGATACACTGATTACCCTTACTACAACCCTGGTACAGCTCGTGATATTAAGAACTGAGTCATTACATAGAAATTTTAGTCATACCCTTAGCAAATAATTATTTATATTTATGTATTATGCCTTACTGTTATTTTAATACTAAACTTTATTAAAAAATAAACATTTGAATTTTATATTTTAAAATAAATGCTAATATTGTTCCAATGTGATGCTTAGTTTTTTATAGAAGACCTTTAAAAGTTGTATCTAAATTGACCCTAAAAAAAGGAATTGAAAAGGGTAGTACATGGTTATAATTTCATTAATGTATTTAAGACCAAAGACAGCTATGACATATAATATATTATTGGAGTCTTTGCATGATGACAAAAAATAATCTTAGTGAACTCTTATTAAGCTGTTTCTATTTTTGAACACACCTTATGAAAGGTGCTTACTGAGTGTAGCTTTGAAGTGAATAAGGCATGTAGGTAGCAAATCACGCGCAATATTTAGCAGTACTTTAAGATAACAAAGATAGGTATCGTGTAAGCGTCTAGAGTTTTCTGTTATAGAAAATACTATACTTTCAAAGGCTTGATCCTGTCCGAGAATATTTATTAGATATATGAATGAAAAAACTTTATTTTTCAATTATTGTTATTATTATTATTATTATTAAAGTACAAAATATGCTACCTTTAAAAATTGTATTCACTAACTGTATAATTATTCGTCTCATTTTGAATAAAAACTCACTAGTTTTTTAAGCAAGAAAGATAACAAAAAAAAACGAGAGAGAGCAAAAACAAATGGTGCTCACAGAAGCTGCTGCTCTTAATAAAGACATATCTTTATATTTGGGTTAAAAAGTATATCATCTTCTAAGCTCTCACCTGTTTGTCGTCGACCGGTTTTTTTCGGCGGTCGACCGGTTTTCATTTCCATTTATAGACCATACTTTCATTCCAAAAATGGACAACACATTCAAGTAATACCAGTGCAAGAGCTATATATGCACTAAATCTCGTCCCTTTTAAAGAAATCTTAATTGACGAAGTTTTTTAAGCTATGACAAGCCTTTCTCTCTTCCTTTTTGTTGTTGTAGTCTTCAAGTACTTGCTGATATACATAATTGCTTCTTTTTCTTATCTTTAATCATTTTTAATAGAGTTAAGGCTCCTTCTATAGAATTTCATAATAAAGTGTGCCTCATTGAAGTCTATGTATTAATTGCTGTTACTATCTATTCATGATTGTAAACAGATATAAAAATAAAGGTGTGCTCAGGTGTTATTTTAGTAAAATCCAAATATTCTGAGCAACTGACTTCAGAGGACTGTCTTTTTCATTTTCTATAGTTACTATAAACAGTAAAGCGAAGTTGGGCGGTCGTCCACAACTAGGTAAATGCCTTTTGCTTTATTGCAAGGATATTGTCTATGGGTTCTTAACTCTTTATGTGCTTTATTATACTTGTAAAACTTTTAAATGCAAGACATATTTCTACTATTAATCGATTTTTTTTGGACTTTGAAGTCCCATTCCATTAGCACTTCAAAAGGAAAACAATATCTTTGAATTTCAGTAATCAGATTAAACTTAAACTTTATATATAGATACATGTTTATATATGGTATAAGCTTTTTATAAGTGGGACCATAAAACAACCTGATAGATGTTAACGTGTGATAGATTTGCTTACACATACTGTACAATAATATAGTTAACATTAAATACTCAGCGTTGTGTTTTATAGTTATTTCCTTAGAACAATTCAACTGTAGGTAGCAATCACAAAAACTATGTATATAAATGGGAAGTGTTGAGTTGGTTTGGCTATGAGACGCTGTCACAAATTAAATGGATGAAATAACTACAAATGAGTTTTAGGAAGCAAATATGAAAATAATTAGAAGTGAAAATCCTAACAGCTCTTTGGTTTATCTAAAAGCTAGATTGTAATTTAAATGTATAAAGAAAGAAATATATTCCAAGTTATACTTCTTTAATTATAGTCAAGAGTATTTAGTAGGCCAGAGACGACAAATAATATTAAAGGGAAAGGAATATGAGATATATTAAAATAACTAAAAAAAAAAAAGGTAGATCAAGATAGAGGTTGATTTCTATAATTATATTCTACTGTGTGTGTTTTACATTAATAAAACACACACATTTTACAATAAGCCACACAAAAGACGTAAATTATGAAATACTCTATTCAATTAATGGAAAGTAAATCCTGCAAAAAGAAAAAGTATAGTGCTTTTTTGCAGGGTCTCGTTTTCGAGTGGATCCACAACAGCACCCATAATGTGTTAATATTTTTTTTATCAAATACATATGCTTATATGCAATTCAGCCTGTATTAATTAGACACGACGTAGAAATAACATTCAACCTATTCGTTTTATTTCACATTGTAGATGTTCTTGTAAAATCATCAGAAACTACATATTTAAACCAAGTCTCTATAGAATTAAGCTGTGTGTTAAATGGTTATAGCTCTTAAGAAAATATTAAATTCAAAGATATTCATAAAGATATATTTCTGCTTTAGCCAAATAATGATGATATTAAATATTTCACAAGCTGGATTTTCTTTATCCCCTGAAGCTTTGTCTAGTAAAATAAAACATCTCTATAAGCTTTTATGTTTATTTCATGAATTAGTAAGCAGTACTCTATGCAATGTTAAGGCCATCAAACTGCAAAGCCAACGTCTTATATATTTTGATATGAAGAATGATGTATTAAGCAGTATAATGATCTCTGATATTACATGCTCACATCGCACCATATTTTGATTTATAAGCATAGCCAGTCTTTTCTTCTTCTGATACTAAGTCTATATTAAGGTATTATAGCGTAAGAGCCAAGAAGGCTTAAGTTTTCATAATGAATAGCTTACTAATACTTTGTTGACCTTGTCCTACATATTCAGTAAAGATCTAGCCCTGGTGGTCCAAATCAAAGACAATAATGATTTTGTACTCACCAGATAAATGACCTTAAACTTTTGCTGACATATCAAATCAAAAAATCTTCAGGTCAATATACAGCTATAAGGCGACAGAAAAAAATGCTGATAGTATATAAGTAGTCCCTAGATCAATCACAAAATAACCATCATCTCTCAATTCAACTTTCAACCCTCAAATCAAATCATGACTACTGCTCTCTTCACGCCTATTAAACTCGGTGCATCTCTCTTGAAACATCGTATTGCCCTGGCTCCTCTGACCCGCCGTCGCTCTGATGAAGACCATATCTCTATCCCTTTGATGACCGAGTATTACGCACAACGTGCTACTGATGGTGGTCTACTCATTACTGAAGGTGTCTTCATTTCCGAAGAGTCCGGTGCTTACCCACATGTTCCCGGTATCTTCACTGACAAGCAGATCGAATCATGGAAAGAAGTAACTAAGGCTGTTCATGACAAGGGTGGAATTATATACCTCCAATTGTGGGCCGTTGGTCGCGCCAATGAATCAGCTAACATCCCAGGCAACAAGCTCCCTGGCTCTGCATCTGCTATTGCAATTAGAGGCAAGAATGATTCCGGAGAGGATTATGAAGTACCTCGTGCGCTCGAGACCGAGGAAATCCCCCTTATTGTGGAGCAATACGCCCAAGCTGCCAGAAACTCGATTGCTGCTGGGTTTGATGGTGTTGAGATCCACAGTGCTAATGGTTATCTTTTGGATCAATTCCTCAACAGCTCGTCTAATGTGCGTACAGATAAATACGGTGGATCAGCTGAAAACCGTGCTCGCTTTACCTTGGAGGTTGTCGAAAGTGTTTCCAAAGCAATCGGAGCAGATCGCACTGGTGTTCGTTTCTCACCTTGGTCTGGATACAAAGATGTGATCGACGCCAAGCCTTATGAGACCTGGGGATACGTTGTAGAGCAGCTACAGGAGAACTATCCTGACCTGGCCTATCTTCATTTTATTGAACCTCGTGATGACTTTATCAGCGGCCTTCACCCTGAAGTTGATAGAACTGAGATTCTTGAGAACGATAGCATTGATCCATTCCGCAAAGTATGGAAGGGTCCATTCATTACTGCCGGTGGATACACCACTCATCCAAAGCGTGCATTTGAAACTGCTGAATTGATGGAAAACACCTTGGTTGCCTTTGGCCGTTCTTTCATTGCAAATCCCGACCTTGTTCATCGTATTAAGAACGACTTACCTTTAAATAAGTATGACCGCTCAACCTTCTTTACCCTGGGTAGCGTTGGATATACCGATTACCCTTTTCATGACCCTGAAACAGCTGATAATAATTAGACTTAAATTATTACGCTCCCTGTTTATAGCCACGATAGATTTATTGATTTATGCCTATAAATTACATATTATTATATGACTTGATATGATATTTTTTATACAATAAACTTGCCTTGAAAAAAATAATATTTTATGGTGTGCAATCTATGAGAGCATTTTGCAAAATAATATGTACTATTTATTAAGAATCCTTCAAAAAGATGTTTAAACTGGGACAAGTGTTGAATTGGTTTATGTATGCAACTTAGAATTTAATGTATGAAAAATGCTGCCAACGAATTCAACGGGCAAATGCAAATATAAAAATGTGGGAAATGTTGGTTAAACAAAATATCAGCTTAACACCACCCTTAAAGATAAAAAAAAGCTTGCAATATTCTCTCACTAAAGTTAAACTGTGGCTGTATGTCAGCCACAAGCTATAGTAAGTACTGATTTACTTTCGAAAATTCCCAGTTTGCCTTATCAATTTATATATACTTATGTTCTGTAGATATGCAGCTATAGATATTTAAACTACACTGTACTTCAGGACATCAGAATCATACAACATTGTAAATAATGTATCTTCATATATGTATTGATTAAATGATTTGTTTATTAATTGATTAATTAAAGAAAAGTCTTTAGTATAAGCATTCTACATTTCCACCCTGAAAAGTCCATCGGTGCTCCACATCTTGTTCTTGTGCTTCAAAATCTGCTGTAATAAAAAGAAAGAAAAAGAAATATAAAAGTACATACCTGCAAAAACAAACACGCAAAAAAAAAACGGACCCAACGAGAAACAAAAACTAACTAAAAACACAGTACGAAGTTGGGGACATCTCACTCATACGACATCCGGCGGATCAGCACAACGCCGAGATGAAGGACGACTACGCGTCAAAAAAAGAAGTTGGCGCAATGCCTTGAAACCCTCGGCCTCGTACTCAGAATCCTGGACACCACCAGAGCTCAGTCAGGGTCCCGAAGGTTAACCTGTTGGCTTGAACCTCGTTATATACAAAATAAGAACAAAGTAAAATGCTGAGATGCTTTGCTTTAGCTTGTGTTTTGGAACGATTACTCACCGATTAAGGAGTCCACCAAAGTACTTGCGCACTCTAATGAACTCGCCCGCTGGACCGCTATTTGTTTTGAAAAAAAAATTATGCAGACAAAACACATTAGTATCTTTTCATGTCAAGTTGGTAAGTAGTAAGCATGAAAATTAGCAGCAGATTTTTGCACACAAGAACAAAAAAGGAGTGGTTTTCTAGACTTCTGGTCATGTCTTGCTGTCAGTCTACTGTAAATAACAAATAAAAAGTTAGATCTTGCTCAACATTAAGTGCATGAGGTTGGTAGCATTAGCCATTCGCTCGTTTTCTTGAATCTGTCAAAGTTGAAAATATGGAGCGCCTCTTTAAAAAAGAAAAAGGCGAAAATATGTTCAGGTTAGCTTATGACACCGAAAGAGAGGTATTTGAGCTGGCTTTAACATGCTGGTGGTCTTTACATTCGTTACTTACCTGGCGTAAACGTAGGCTGGCCTAAAGGAAGGGAAATACAAATAAACAGACGCGTATGCCCTTGAAATAATTTTTCCTACGCCAATACAGGTGACATCATCATATATTTGTGATGCAAGCATTCTCACCCACTGTGAGAGAATTTATTAGAGCAAAATAACCACTGCGGTAAAAAAAAAAGGTGTGATTCAGAGGGCGATTCTGTAGAATGCATGTGATTTTTTTAAAATCACCCCCTGAAGCGCAATTTTTTTCTCATAGTGGCTAAGAATGCTTGCATCACAAATATATGATGATGTCACCTGTATTGGCGTAGGAAAAATTATTTCAAGGGCATACGCGTCTGTTTATTTGTATTTCCCTTCCTTTAGGCCAGCCTACGTTTACGCCAGGTAAGTAACGAATGTAAAGACCACCAGCATGTTAAAGCCAGCTCAAATACCTCTCTTTCGGTGTCATAAGCTAACCTGAACATATTTTCGCCTTTTTCTTTTTTAAAGAGGCGCTCCATATTTTCAACTTTGACAGATTCAAGAAAACGAGCGAATGGCTAATGCTACCAACCTCATGCACTTAATGTTGAGCAAGATCTAACTTTTTATTTGTTATTTACAGTAGACTGACAGCAAGACATGACCAGAAGTCTAGAAAACCACTCCTTTTTTGTTCTTGTGTGCAAAAATCTGCTGCTAATTTTCATGCTTACTACTTACCAACTTGACATGAAAAGATACTAATGTGTTTTGTCTGCATAATTTTTTTTTCAAAACAAATAGCGGTCCAGCGGGCGAGTTCATTAGAGTGCGCAAGTACTTTGGTGGACTCCTTAATCGGTGAGTAATCGTTCCAAAACACAAGCTAAAGCAAAGCATCTCAGCATTTTACTTTGTTCTTATTTTGTATATAACGAGGTTCAAGCCAACAGGTTAACCTTCGGGACCCTGACTGAGCTCTGGTGGTGTCCAGGATTCTGAGTACGAGGCCGAGGGTTTCAAGGCATTGCGCCAACTTCTTTTTTTGACGCGTAGTCGTCCTTCATCTCGGCGTTGTGCTGATCCGCCGGATGTCGTATGAGTGAGATGTCCCCAGCTTCGTACTGTGTTTTTAGTTAGTTTTTGTTTCTCGTTGGGTCCGTTTTTTTTTTGCGTGTTTGTTTTTGCAGGTATGTACTTTTATATTTCTTTTTCTTTCTTTTTATTACAGCAGATTTTGAAGCACAAGAACAAGATGTGGAGCGCCGATGGACTATCCTGGATAGGCATTTAGGATATACCGACTGGAATTATATATATACTTAATATTTACCTTCAATAAATAAATAAACAAATAAACAAATATATAAACATTATCTCTTAACATACATTACCCTTGTACTTATATATTTAAAATATATATATGCCTATAAAGCTGCAAAATAATGAAGATATAAGCTAGTAATAAAATAACTTGTCATCTCAGTGTTTCAACCTTGAGATTGAGACAAATTGGAAAATTTTTAGATGGAGAGAAATTAGTTTTCAAAGTAGATACTTATTCAGGAATGTTATCTATAATTATCTAAATATCTCAAGGAGACAAACTGCTTACGTTACAGTTACGGGATTGCTATTTATGTGGTTATTGGCGCTTGCTTTCTTGCTTTTATCACACCTTTGAAAAGCAGTTAGGCGTATGAATTTTGTATTTTTTTTCTGTACACGTACTCAGGTTCATTAAAAACATATGCGCCGGTAAGATTCCAGAAAACATTACATATATAGTATATATTAGCCGTACCGAGGATGGAATACTGGTCAAAAAGAGATGCTCAAGCTGTGCTTATTCTATAAAAGAAAAGTTAAACTTTTGACAATCTAAAGTTGCCCTTTCTTTACTGGTAATTTTATTCCTATTCTTCTTTTAACAATATATATATTATTGGTTATTTGCCTTTTATAAATACATTGAAAATATAAATTTAATAATTTCAAGATTGTCAGGCTCAGTGAACATAACTCGTGGGATTTTTTTGCTGCTCATTTCCATAGACCATTGTTCGTTTTAGCAGAAAAATATACGAAGAAAGAAACTCAAAACACAAACGTCAATTTATTATGTTACGCTTTATATAATGGTGCCCGAAACGTAATCGGTACAGATTCTCTTAGTAAATCTAGCACGATATAGTATAAATTGATGGCCATGCCTTGATATTAATCGATAGCTCTTTCCATTTTGCTTTTATTTTGACATGTTCAAAAGTTTTATTCTCAAAAAGAAAGTTTGAAGAAAACGTAAATGATCCTTTTAAAGGTAAAATATAGTAATTGCTTCGATCAAGTCCATAGCATTTATAATCGTGTACCTTTTGCTATAGACATGATTATAAGGGTTGCGGAGAAAGAGAGAGGGCATACAAGTACAAAGTATTATAAATGCACATTTTATAAAGAAACTTCAGTTGAAAATGGTACTTATTTCAACCCGTCTCTTCTATATAGCTATTTTTTTATGCTAATGGACATTTTTTTAATTACTATTATTATTGATTGGAACATCTAGTAGAGCCAAAAGAAGATAAACGTAAAGCTACACGAAGAAGAAAATTGGACGCATGTTCTTCCTTAGCTCTTTACAAAAGCTGTCAACAAGAGGGTCACAGTACATCGCGATCTCATGAATGCCCTAATAATATACCATCGAAGTCCGAAGACTTTGTAAACAATCTTGGATTTCCTTACAAAGCTTTCACGAGAAAACTCCCATTGGACACTGCTGTCAACAATGAATACAAAGAGCTACTAATAAATAAGATCATTATCACTTCAAACGATCCCCGTAATATCATATCCAGGGCAATGATGCTCATAAACAGCTACTGCCTGGCACCTTCTCGTGATTCAATACCTAACTCCATTTACAAACAGAAATTTTGGTACCCGGTATGCCAACTTGTCAAGGACAGAAAAGTAACAAAGAGCGCTAACGTACCACCAGATCTTGTAAAATCCTGGGATACCTATAGAGCCTCGATTAAAAATACCGTATACGATCAAACCTCATAAAAAGGGCCGGAATATTCGGGAAGAACTTGGCAAGACTAAAGAATAACTGATGTGGAGTGACAGGAATTTTGTGGGAGGTTTTGAAGAAACGAGAGAGATGGAGGACTTGTAGTTGTTACAATAGATGAATACAATACCTCAAATACATACAACAACTGCCAAGCGAAGAATTTAGAATATGCAAATCACACTCGTGGCCACAGTGTACTGGTCTGTAAAACCTGTAATACACTGTGGCAGCGAGATGTTAATGCTGCAAAAAATATGATGACAATTGCTTTGTAAACTTGGAAAGGAACCCATCGACCAGCCGCTTTCCAAAGATCTGATAAAGGTAAGTAAGCGAGCAAGCAGAAGTTAGCAGCAGTAACAACAGTAACAACAATAATCTAATCACTATAACGTAAACAGGTTGTCTATTTGAGACATTTAATTACAGGTAAGATGTTTGAATAAATTTCTACTTTAGAGAGGGTGTCTTCGAGCCTGAATTGCAAACGTTTGCAAATTTTTATTTTACGCGGCGAATTAAATTCCAGTATTTGTTTTTCAAATTTCATGGTGGAGGCCATTTAGTGAGCATTTGAAGCCAAAAGTTAGGTAATCCCTGATTTTTTACTTCAAATGCTCACTAAATTTCTAGTAAAAATTGGGCTTTTTTTTCCCACTTCAAAACAAAATGTATGATAGCCAGTAGCCTCTTCTTCATACTTAATAAAATAAGCCTTGGAAAGTCAAGTTTATTAAGGTCAATTTCCTCTAAATTTCTTAGTATCAATGTTTTCAACTTATAATATTCATAACTGTGTCTGAGCTTTATTTTTATTTTTGATTGGGCTTTACATAATTATTTTTTAGTCATCTTGAAATTATCATAACTCGACACCCTCTCTTTTGTCTAAATTTCATTCTCGTTCTGTCCACAAAAGGTAAACATACTGTCTACTATCACATTTTGATTCGTCTAAAGCATTTCCTAATTTGTCCCAATCTCAAGTAGAAACACTGTATTACAATCCTGCTTTGTGGGACTACGGTTGGAAAAGCTCGAAAAAGATTTACGAAATTAAACAGCATTAAATCGAGCGTTTACTGGAAAGTGAAAAGAGAGGTATAAGCATAAATATTCTCCAATTTATTTTTATTTTTTATTTATTTTTTTTACAAAAAGCCTACCTTTACTATAAAGGAATGATGTAAAATCGAAAAGAAAGCTTTATTTCTTAACAGCAATAGTTAAAAAAAAATGGTTAAAAATCAAAATTGGACAGAGAAAAGTGAGAAAAGTATTGGTTAATCAAAGTATTACATATAAACACACCCTTGAAACCTCAAACAAGTTTATAGAAATGTCTTAAAGTCACTTTATTCTATATTCCTATTGTTTTGGTAACTTTATTATTATATCATATGATCAAATATAATTCAATTCATATTCTGTTTTACATACCTTGAACTAGTTTTTTTCTTATTGTATTAGTATTAAGACCATTTGTTGTAAGAATAAAGAGATAATAGCATGCTATAATATTACTGTCAGCGATAATGCGTGCATAGGATACAACCCAAGTAAATCCCCACTTCTTGTCCTTAAAACCAACAAACCACTTCATAATTTCTTGCTACACTTGATGTAATTCCTTTTATGAAATTGACAAAAATAAATGGAACAACTTTATCCCATTGATATTTGCCTTGTGTATTCAAAAAAAATTGATAGCTAAAGATTCTTTTATGATGCAAAATTTGGTATGTCGTTCAAGATGTTAATTAAGACTTCAAAGAAGAAGAGGAAAAAACGGGCTCTTTATATAATTATATCTTCTTTTTGCAACTCTTTAAAACTTGCTTTTCCCTTGATTTAGATTTTTGTATGATCTGAAAATTAATTAGTACGATACACGGAAATATATTGGATCCTTATTTTGGAGATTCTCTAATGGTCTTTACATCCAAACCTGACATTTAACGTGCTAAATCCCATTTATTGGTGCTCACGAAATTCTTTGTGGTGTTCACCAGAATACAGATCAAATTATCCCCAGTAGAATTTTTTTTCTCGCCTCCAAATATTGAGTTATAAGCGCAGAGAGCAGACAATTGTCCAAAAATGTAAGAAAGATAAACCACTACTGATAAAATTCATTATAAAGGTTGCACGATTACACAATAAAAGCATATCGAACAATGGGTAAAGACGATCACATTATTGTGGATAAGAAAAGATTAAAAGCATGATCATTAGTCAACTACACCGGGGGTTGAATGTATCTCTAATATAACGTCAAATCAACTTTGGTATTTATGATTTTTCTTTTCATCCCACCCATGTTACTTGAACGCTGCGAATGATTAGAGTCAAATTACGTTTTTTGGGTCAAAAGTGAAAACGACGGACAGGTGAAATGGCTTCTATATAAAGTATGTCACTAGCTAAATTTGTAATTCTTGACCTTCTTCCATTCCTAAATAATTTGATCCGTATGCTGGCGAACACTATTATTCGGGCTAATGTAGTCGAATAACGGAAACCTTAATCTACAAATTGATCAAGACATATACAATAGCCCATTTTCAACACTTATTTTTTCTGGATAAAGTTCATCTTAAAATCTTTGTCTGGAATATGAGCCAATTCTCTTTCTCTTTACAGCTCATATTTGCAAAGTAACAACTGTAGGAACTGCAATGATTCAAGGTTGATAAAATAATTCAAGCACCGATTACGAATGGCTGCTAGTTTTGCCTGGAGGACTAACGAGTATCAGCATGCTCTCTACTAAAGTGAAGCTACAATATATTGGCTAAAACAACACAGACGCACGCGTATATTTTCTACAAAACCGGAGTTATAAATCCTGCCATATCCTACAGCGTTAGTTGCGTTGAAAATTACCACAAATGGGTGGAAAATCAGTGGGTGTGATAAATATATATATTGATTTCACTGTGCGCCGGTTATTTTGACCAAAATGCCCTATGTATAGTCTTATTTTATGTATATAATAATAATAATAATAATAATAATAATATTTATTATATAGAGCCTTCAATTTTTTTTCCTCCTCCCCCCTCTCCCTCCCCTCTCCTTTTCTATCTGTGTGTGTGTGTTTTTTTTTTTTTAATATTTTTTGTTTTTTTTTTATTTTATCTATTGTTGTTATTATATTCTTACTATTCTTACTATTGTAATTATAATTATCATTGGTTTTATTTTTCTATTATCATCATAATCAGTCTAAATTTCACTATCGATTCAATCAATGTCCCGCATTGCTAGACTTAATGGTGCTGGAATACCTCAGGATCCCTTTTCAGCACCTCGCACAAAACTTTCCTACAGACCAACCAGACAATCACCACCCGATGAACCAAACACAACCCTTCCTGCTGCAGAACCACCAAAAACACAGCGTCGATCCATCAAGGATTCTCCTATTCCCCAAAAACCACTCACAGCAATCACCCAAGCTCGCTCAGTAATCGCCCGAACATCAACATCATCTACAGATGAAATGAGCGAAACTGAATCTCACTCTAGAATATCCTCATCCTCAAAGACATCCACTTCACGTTCTTCTCTCAGTCGGTCTCCAACAATCCCACAACGAGAACAATCTCCTTCAGAACAGCTTGTTCTCAACGAACGCGTTGCTGTACCAACAATGAGCGTCATCGGCACCCTACGCTTCATCGGCCAGACCAAATTCAAGCCTGGAATATGGACAGGAATTGAGTTGGACCTGGTCGGCTCCGGTAAAAACGATGGCTGTGTTCAGGGGTAAGTTGAATCAGACCCAAATCCTCATCATCCTCATCCTTAACAGAAAAAGGCAATAACAACAGCAACAATAAATAAATAAATGATAATAATTATTCACACCTACTGTTCTATATATTTTGTTTTTTTTTATGATTATTATTTGCTTTTATTTTTGGATAGTGTTCGATATTTCACTTGTCCTCCCCAGACCGGCCTTTTTATCGTTGCTACTAAAGTAATTCCACTCGTGGAAGAGCGGACCGAAACTGTGCGTCCGCCCATCAAAAAAGTGTCGGCAATCCCAAGCAGCCGCCTACAGACAATGATAAAACCCTCGGTCAGCAAATCTACGCGCATCTCCCGCACACCCCAAGCACCCACTCCAACAGCCACCAAGTCCACTGCCACTTTACGCACATCTGCTTCAAAAGGTACTGCGAATTCTGCAAACGGAACTGCGGCCGCTCGAATGCCGCTGCCAGAACGTCCAACTGCCTCTCGTACCCCACGCAAACCTACAGTTGCTCGCATTTCGGTCACATCTGACCGCTCTCTGGATACATCACTACCCTCAACCCCTAAACGCCACTCTTTCCCTGTTCAGCAGACCGAAACACTCGAAACACGACCCCCGCTCGATCTGGTCCTGGCCAGTCTTGGACCTGAAACAAACATTGACTTCCTTCAGGGATCACCTACCGTCGACTGCCCAAAGGGCCGCATGGATATAGACGAGCAGAAACGTATTCTCGAATTACTTGAGAAAACAGAGCGTGAGAACAGGCAGCTCAATGAACAGATGCGAGCCAAGGAGATTGCGTGGGAGCGCCTAGTGTCATCAAAAGAAAGCTTTGCTCTGATGGTTGAAGAAAAAGAAGGTGAACTTACAAGATTAAAATCGGCCCTCACAGAAGCACAGGACAAACATCGCTCTCTGCAAGGTGTCCTTGTTGACAAAGAAGAAACGCTGGCGAAGAACAATCGTGACGATGTGAATGAAGAGCAATATCAACGACGTATCGAAAAGCTCGAGCGGCTTGTTCTCGAACTCCAAACCCAAGCTACAAATCAAACAAAGCTTCACGAAAATCAAGTACGTGACCATGCAGGCCAGATCGAAAAGATCCGTCGCGAAGTTGTTGAAAGTGAGAAGATGATTGTAACACTCGAGGGCGAGTGCGAGGAATTACGTAGAGCTGGCTTGGAAACCTTGAATGCCTGCCAAAACACTGTACATCAGATTGAGGAAGAAAAGGTAGCATTTGGTGCTGAAAAAGACAAACAGATCGAGCATCTCAATAGAGTAATCGAAGATCTCCGTAGACGGCAGAGTGTCCTGTTTGGTGATGATGATGTAGACTACAGAGACGACGAAAACGATGCCGAGTGGGAAGACCAGCGGAGAAGAATGGAGGAGCAACTGGAGCTTGCTACCACTGAGCTAGAGAACGAACGTCTCCAAGTTAAACATGGCAAAGCTGAGCTAGAGAAGCTTCGTCAACAGATGGCACAGCAACAGATCACGAGTGCTGGCTCGGATGAACGTGTCGCAAATCTCAAACGGGAACTCGAAAAAGAAGTGGATGACAAGCGCCGTTTGATTGAAGAGGCCGATGCTGCTTTTGAAGCTCAGGCAAAGGCAGAAGACGAGAACTACGAAATGAAGCTTTCGCGTGTCAGGATGGAAAGCGAACTTTCAGAGGCGCAGCAAACAATAGAAGCGCTCCAGAGCGCAGTTGGTGGAGTGAATAGTGAGTCTAAACCACCCCTCAGCACACAGACCGATGAGTTGCAGCGTGCGTTGGAAACCAGCCGACAGACAGAGGAGAGGTTGCAGAAAGAATGTGAGAGACTTCAGGAGATCAGCAAACAGAGCGAACAGGAGTGCATGCGTCTGATGGACGAATTACTGCAGTTAGAAAAGTGTGGGAGTGAGGACGAAAAAGATTACGAGGGAGTATCTAAATATGACAAGGCTACACGGAGGCAGATGGAGAAATTGGAGAAGGAGTTGGTTGATACACAGCACAAATACGCTGCTCTTGAGCTTAGCAAACGAACTGAAATCAGTCAGCTTAGCAAAGATTTGGCTGATCTAGAGGCATTGGTTGAAAGCAAAGTATTTGGCGAGGGGGATCTTGAGGAATCCCTTGAACTGGAAAGGAAACGTGTCGCAGATCTGGAGAAGCAGCTGGCGGCTTACAAATCTTCTAGCACGCGTAGTCTGACCAGCCCAGTCTCACCCATCACTCGAACATCTCAATCGCTTGCTAATCTTCGGACTGAGCAGGATGATAAGGATGATAAGGATGATATTTACTGCGAGCTATGTGATGAAACCGGACATGACATTATTGATTGCCACGCTTATACCACAGAGATTCCTGATAGCGACACTGATAAATTAAGGATGGTGAGGGTTGATAGATTTCAAAGATCATAGATGATTATTTCATTGGCCAACTAACAAACTAATTGATTGATTGATTGATTTGCATATGTAGTATTGTGATAATTGCGATGAACATGGCTATCATACAACCGAAAATTGCCCAAATCAAGACGAAACGTTTTAAACCTAAAACCAACAGCAGCAACAGGAAAAAAAATACATATAATACTTCTTCATGGTCCTCTTTTCAAGCTACGTTACAATGTAAGGTCAAGGGAACAAACTTGTAAAATCCGCTCTTATATTCTGTATACCCACCCACCCTCTTGTCTTTCTATGTAGTCAGACTCTTGGCTAATAACTACACATTTCTCTTTCTCTCTCAATCGCTTTTTCTTTTTGCATTTACTGTGCTTTCTATCTATCTCTCTTTCTATCTATATCTTTCTTTGTTCATTACGCATTCCCATCTTTGACATATACATACTCGTTGATTATCTTTCAAAAATAAAATAAATTACATTAAAAATACATCAAAAAAAATACCATTGTAGTACACTAATTTTGGTTTAGATATACCGCTATCTATAAACGCTAGTGTGTGTATATATATATGTGTGTGTGTGTGTTGTGTTTGAATGCCTTTATTGATTGTCTTTTTTTTTATTATTATTATAGGTTTCTTTTTCTGTATTTTTTCTTTTTTAAATATATAAAAAAATTGTGTTTGACCATGCGTTTAATCAGTTCCAAAGTATCTAAACAGTATTTGGTTAGTCTCCAGATAAGAAAATTTAAAATAGCAGTGATTTGTTCTTACCTGCAGCCAAAATCACCGCAGCCAGGGACAATATACTTTGCTGCATCAAGTCCAGCATCAACCTCACCAACAACAATCTTGATCTTGGGGAACTGTTCAATGAAAGAAGCAATACCCTCTGGGGAAGCAATCAAGTTCAAGAAGATAATACGCTCTTCCTTAACGTTGTTGTCCAACAAGACCTTGACAGCCTGGATAGCAGAACCACCAGTAGCTAGAAACATGTATATAATTTTTTATTCTCGGTGTAAGTATTTGTGCCAATGTTTCCATCCACCTCTATATATATATATATATATATATATCCTTCCTTCTGTAGGATCAATTAGCTTACCGAGCATAGGGTCCAACAACAAGACATAGCGGGAGGCAATATCCTTGGGGAGCTTAGCGTAGTAAAGCTACAGACGCACACGCACGCACACACGCAATTTGTATATAGGTCGCGTCAATAATGTGTGTTGCCATAGTAATTAATACTTCATACCTTGGGCTGGTGGGTCTCTTCATCACGCTGGATGAGGATCTTACCGATTCTCACGCTCCTGATCACCAGATTTAGTTGCTGTGTTGATTGACACGTACACGCATAATAATAGCAATAAAGGGGAGTTAACCCAATAAAAAAAACTTACCGGCAACATTCTCTCAAACCCTGCTCCATGGCTTCACCAGCGCGCATAATGGAAACACCACAGATACGACCTTCGAAGGAAAGACCGCTGTACTTGGATCCAGTGGGTGTCTCAATAGCCTTGTTGATAACGGGAAGGTGGTTGAGTCCTAAGGTCGAAGTTTATTTTAATTGAATAAGCGCGTTCGGATATGGATATGGACGTGGATATGGACGTGGATGTGGACTTGGAATCAAATGTGGGTGTACATGGTTTTGGCTTTTTCATTGTACGCTTAGCTTACCTTCTTCGACAAGAAGACGAATGATACGGTCAGCATAGAAAATGAAGTCGCCTCTCTGGGTTTCCTTTGAGCGGACAATGGTCATAAGTCCCTTGAGCTGGGAGGTCTGGTGAAGGAGTTGGACCTGGGATGGAAGCTTGTAACCGGAAGACATTGTAAAAAAAATTAAGAAAGAAAGAGAAAGAGACAAGCGTTTGCTTACAGGTACAATTTGTTCGTTATTTTACAAGAAAAAAATAGCACACCAAGTCACAAGTATAATCACCGCCCTGACCAGATCAAGTAAGAAGGTCCAGGGCCTATATTTTGTCGTTATCAGGTGAGACTTGCTTCATTTTTTTTTATACTTCAAGGAAGCTTCTCTTATACCATCGACTGTTATTTTAAACAAGCAAAAAAATTATATAGAAAAAAAATAAACAACTTGATGTGCGTCAATAGCCTATCTTATCGTTTCGTGAGACATTGAATCCAGTAATCCTCCTATTGGGTAAAGTCGTGCAATGCATCGGAGTAAACAAACGTGACTACAATCCTCTGCTTTTGATAGCTTGCCCTTCATTTCACTCACTCATTTACTCACTCCACCCAACCTCACCAAGCTCACCAGATACAACTGCATAGTATGCTCGTCAAAGATTTACCACTAGAGCAACGACAAGCACTCGAGGTTACACACAATTTTTGTTTGCAAGAAATATACTTATAAACTTTATTTTTATATACTCTTGGGGGATAATTTTCTACAGGACTTGACTAATGACATTAGCAATGTCTTCAAGTCAATCTCGACAGATTACCTTGAGCAATGGCGCATTGATTGCGAGCGTGGCCCACTAACCGACTGCCCCGAGAGTGTGAAGCAGGTCAGTGCGTACATAATATATAAAAAAGAAATGCCAATTGTTGTACTAAGACGACTGCATAGGTTGAACAAGGGTCCAAGGCCATTGGTCTTGATCACCTTTCAAAGTATATTCATGTGGAGCCCGACTACTATGACTGGGAATTGCAGCAGCGCGCGTAAAGTATTAAATCCCACATGTATATTTAAATATATACAAACGTATGCACACACGCATGTGTGTGTGTGTGTGTGTGTGTGTGTGCATATGGGGATAACGATCCTTGGGCTGAACACCCGATCCATTTGTTTAGGTTTAGAGTTCAGGCACCTTCTCGCGAACACATGTGCAAAAGTGTGGTCCTAGAAAATACACGCTGTACCCATAGTTCCATTGAAGGTAAAGTAGTCAATTTTTTTAAAGAAAAGCTACCAAAGAAATAATTATTAAAACCCGGAATATACGCCAATAGATCGGGATAACTCTCGTTACTACTGTGTCATTACTCAGGTACTAATAAAAAAAATTAAAAATGAAAAATGAAAAATGATATATAGGTAGATAAAAGAAGTGCTTTATTAATGGGTGTCTTACATACCCCATTTAAACCCACGTACACACACATGCGAATATTAATAATTGCTATGAATAATTATCTAGTATGTCAAACCTGTCAACACTCAGAAACTACTCAATTTTGTAAGAGATTTGAAAAATAGAGAAATCAGTAAGAAGTATTACAATTTTCGTCTGGCCGACTCAGAGGTAAAATAAATAAATAAACTGGTATTGACAAAAAAAAATCAAAATCTTATGCAAAAAAAATTGTACTTTAGAAATCACTTGAGCTGACTGGTTACAAATCAGGAGGAGTATGCCCTGTTGGTAAGTTCATTGATTAACTCAATCAGTCATTAGAATGTATATAAAATTGATATTGGTATTAATAATCGATTAATACAGGCATGACTCAACCTGTTCCTATAATTATTGCCAAATCTATTCTTGACCTGGAGGTAAAGATATTTTTTATTTATTTATTTATTTAAAGAAGAGTAGCAATAATGACTTTTGACTAAAAAACAACTCCTTGCTTAATCTTAAAAAGCCTCCTGTGATTTACTTGGGTGCCGGTCACATTGACTGGAAATTGGGTGTCCCTGTAAAGGACTTTATCGAAGCCTCTGGCTGTTTTGTTGCAGATTTGGATTAAATGAAGAACATAGTGAATATTTAGAGTAATGTAGATATATAGATATATAGATATATATTAATAGATTGTATCTTGCTGACAAATTTAAAAGTTTGCATAATATTTTGATAAAGAGCATTATTTAGAGATTAAATAATAATATAGCTTCTGATATTTATATGTGTGTTTGTGTGTGTGTTTCAATTTAAAGCAACACAGGGAGGTTTTACAGAAAATTCCCAGTTTATGGAATAAGGATCAGCTGAACTTATTAAGTTTTTTAAAGTCATTCATCCAATAAGCATTCTCTATTTTGTTACTTGGTTACACACACTTTGTATTAAGCAAAATAAGACCAAAAAATAAATAACCAGCTTGAATGTATTACAAATACGAATCTACATATTAATAATTCATTCTACCTTCTAAAAGCAATAGCAATCAATAGTACAAATTGGGTATGCGTATTTGCGTCCGTTTCTTATTAGACCTTGATGATCTTATTAAAGAAGTTTCCAGTGAGTTGAATAGCTTGAGTTGCTCTCTTTTTAACAATTTCATCGGACCAGTCAGCACGAGAAGCAGCAAAACCGTGGTGAACATCATCAAAGCGGTAGTGCTCGCAGAGATCACCAAAAGGCTTCTTGGCAAGGACAGCCATGTACTCAGTCATGTCCTTTTCATCCTTACTGGGAATTGCCAAGATAGGAGCATTGGCCTTTTCGGCATCTTTGACATCGATAAACGAAGGGTGAATCATGCTTGCAGCAGCAAAGAAGGAATCAACAGCAGTGATTTGGACAGCAATCTAAACAAAGGGAATTCATATATAATGTTTAATTTGGTTGAATATTTACATTCGCTATATACTATCTTTTCTTTTTTGTTATTTAAAGAAGCGTACCTTTGCACCCCAGCAGAATCCGACTAATCCAGCAGCAACAACACCCTCGTTCTGGAGTTTGGCCTTAACGCGCTCAATGAGAGGGTAGATAACCTCGAAAGAGCCAAGCTTACCAATCCAGTTCAGCAGTTTTGAAACATCGCCCATATCCTCATACTTGTAGGGCTTTCCATAGAAGAGATCAGGCATGATAATCTTGTAACCACAGAAATTGGCAAGAACGTCACAAAACTGCTTTGTGTTGGGATAGAAACCAAAGATATCATAGATGACAACGATGGCTTTCTTGGCATCCTTGGATCCAACAGTGTAGACGGTCAAGTCACCAAGAGTCTCAATAGAGCCAATTGGCTGGTAGTCGGACTGGACAGGAGGGATGGTGCAGCAGGCGCGTGTAAAAGACATGTTATATTGATAAGCAAAGGGATGGTTATCTTCCAAACCAATGTTTTATACCAATTTTTTTCCAGTTATGACGTAACAAATATCAATTTCAAGGTAACATAAATTACACCGCAAAGGAGCAATATGTAACCAGATGAACAAGTTTGAAATGTATACTTTTCTTTAAAAAAATGCCCCAAATAATTTGCTTAATAATGCATTTGAAAAAATCTGTAGTGAGTAAATGTTGTATTTTTGTATAAGTAGTCGATGTGTGGAATTAACAGTGCGGAAATGAGGTTGACCGATTTCCTTACTGTAAGCTAATTCTGTGACTATTTAATTATTTTTTTCTTTTTTTTGGGGGGAAGGAAAGAGGGAATATTTTTCTTTCTTTGTTTTTACTGTATTTCTATTTTAATAATAAACACCATAATTGAAACGTTTCAATTTAGCTGTCAAGATGTGACAGTACGCAGGATTCTTGGCTGTGTAATATGTCCATGATAAGCATAGAATACACAGAAAAAATAAAAGAGATGTGGTGTTTTGTTTAAGCGTGCTTGTGAGTTTGTTTCAATTACATACTTGAGTATTAGACTTTTGAGATGGTAATTAAGGTATCTTTAGATAATTTGAGTTGAGCTACTTACTGTATTTATTCCATTTGTTGAAGATCTCTTATGTGCTTTGTTTTGAATTTTAATCTTAAGCCTATCTATATTTATATACAAAAGATCACCTTTTTGTTAACAAAAGTATAGAGACCAACCAGAGAGCCTTTTATATTATATAATTGTGAAGAGGAGCTTGAATCGTTTAATGTGCGTATAGAATTAAGAAAAAAGAAGGGAAAAAAAAGCATACTTGCCCTATTTTTGGCTTGGAAGGGGGACTATGCCGGATCTTACGAATTAAGGGCATCTTGTCTTTGGAGCAAATTTTTTTTCTTCTTCTTATAATTCTCATTATTATTTTATTTCCTCAAACCCCTTGTTTTCTTAATATTCTCTCTTTCTCTTATCAACAGCAGTAAACTTGATCTTTTACTATCTTTCATTTTAAAAAATACCCTTCATTATGTTTGACAGGTCGGATTCAAAGCCGGAATACAGCCAACCACCTGCACTCAAACATATGAAAAGGGTCGTGAGATCAATCCAATACTTAACACACTGGGATTCCAAAAGATCAAGCACGCGTCGGTATCATATACAAAAGCGAGCTCCTCAAGAACCTAGTGATGACAACAGCGAAACCCCAACCACCGAACCTGAGCCTAACGCAGAAGACACTCCCTCTGCCAACCCAACGAAGCCAGAAACAACTGCAGCCGCCGAGACATCTTCTAGTCCACCCAGAACTACCGAGGCCTTCCCTGAAACAACAGAACGCACATCATCCGTAGAAACTCAGGAACCCTCATCTACTGAAGCTCCTTCAAGAACTTCCCCGGCCGAGTCTTCTACACCTACGGAGACCCCAGAACCCACGTCTTCGGAATCTCCCGCTAGAACAACACCTGCAGAAACATCAGAGCCCACGGAGTCTTCCGCACCTAGTCCCTCGGAATCACCCGCACAGACATCTCCTGCAGAGACACCAACACCAACTGAATCTGCTGAACCTACACCATCAGAGTCTCCCGCAGAGACATCTCCAGCAAAGACATCTCCAGCAGAGACATCTCCAGCAGAGACATCTCCAGCAGAGACATCTCCAGCAGAGACATCTCCAGCAGAGACACCAACTCCAACTGAATCTGCTGAACCTACGCCATCAGAATCTCCCGTAAAGACATCATCCGCACAGACATCTCCTGCAGAGACATCTCCAGCACAGACACCAACACCAACTGAATCGGCTGAACCTACGCCATCAGAATCTCCCGCAGAGACATCATCCGCACAAACATCTCCTGCAGAGACGCCGACACCTACTGAATCTGCTGAACCTACACCATCAGAATCTCTATCAGAGACATCTTCCGCACAAACATCTCCTGCAGAGACGCCGACACCTACCGAATCTGCCGAGCTTACACCATCAGAGTCTCCAGCACAGACATCGCCCGCAGAAACATCAACTCCAACTGAATCTGCTGAACCTACACCATCAAAATCTCTATCAGAGACTGGAACACCTACTGAATCTTCTGGACCTACACTATCAGAGTCTCCATCACAAATATCTCCTGAAGAGACGGTGACCCCTACTTCAGTAGTGCTTTCTGCCACAATTACGCCTGCCCCAGAAAGGTCGGTGCCTGTTTTAAAGCGATATTTTGGTATTCTATTTTATTTATATGTTCCATTGACTGACCTTGTTGAATCTATTTTTATCATCTTAATTGGTCGCGAAAACATTTATTTTTTACTCTCTTCCCTTTCTTGACACAATCAACATCCTATGTGAATCACCTGTACGGATGTCTAACTTTGTGCTTGGAAAAATACCCAAAAAAAACCTAACTCAAATCCTTAATCGTGCGAACTAATTTGACTGTTGCTGGTATCTTCTTGTGCGGAATCTACATTGGTCTTTACCAATTTGACCTGGCTAACTTTGCTTTTGTCCTCCACTAATTCTATTTCCGCTTCTGACACACCCGTACTTTTCGATTCTAAATTCCAAAATTTTCCCTCTTTTTCTTCAACCTTGATATGTGGTGTTTTTTTTCTTGATATTCCTTTTCATCTACCTTTCTTTCACTCACTCACTCTCTCTTTAAATTTATTACTGTGCTGCTAATATTTGCTCTTTTTTTTACTCCATTATAATATACCCTTCTTAATTTCATATTTAATTTCTTAATTTATATTTATCATCATTATGGAAAATCCAACCTCCTCGCTTGAACCAACCAGTTCGGCTCCAACTAGCTCGGAATCCGTCGAATCTAATACACCCACATCTGTTGAACCTGTGTCCTCCAGTGCGACAGAGCCGCCTTCAAATAGCGAGTCAGTGTCCTCGAGTGCTCCAGAACCTACCGCGACTCCCACAGACTCATCAACATCAAATGCACAAACCACCGAGCCAGTATCCGAAACTTCATTGGGTCCTACTTCAAGCGTGGCTGAGCCAACATCTAGTGAAGCAGTCATTGTACCTACCGCAAGTACATCTGAGGCGGCTTCAACTGAGGCTGAGACCACCACAAACGCTGCAGACTCAACGAGCCCAGAATCAATTACTGCTACAAACACACTAGAACCAACATCCAATGTAGCAGAACCAACATCTAGTCCTGTAGAGCCAACATCTAGCATTGCAGAGCCAACGTCTGTTCCTGTAGATCAGACATCCAGTGCTGCAGAACCAACGTCTGCTCCTATAGAACCAACATCCAGCATTGCAGAGCCAACGTCTGTTCCTGTAGATCAGACATCCAGTGCTGCAGAACCAACGTCTGCTCCTATAGAACCAACATCCAGCGCTGCAGAACCGACATCTATTCCTGTAGAACCAACGTCTGCTCCTATAGAACCAACATCCAGCGCTGCAGAACCGACATCTGTTTCTATAGAGCCAACATCCAGCGCTGCAGAACCAACATCTGTTCCTATAGAGCCAACATCTAGTACAATTGATCCTACTTCTAGTGATGCTATAGTGCCAAGTTCAAGTGCCCCAGAGCCAACATCTAGTGCGATTGAAACTACCACAGATGCGGTAGAGCCCACAAGTTCAATAATAGAAACCACGCCTATTGAACCTTCTTCTACACCCTCGGTCGAACCCACCACTGAGCCTCCAAATACTACCCAAACACCTGTGCCATCAACCACTCCTGAACCAACCCCGACCCCAACCCCAACTCAAACAACACCACAACCTACAACCTCTCCTACCAAGACAACTGCCGAAAACACACCTGATACGACTTCCTTTGTGATACCTACTAACTCGCATCAAGTATGGGTGACTTCCACTACCAATATCGAAACAGTAACTGAGGTCGTAATTAATGGTGTTACCGTCGTCGTGACAACTGTCATTCCAAAAGCGTAAGTTGTATTCTTTTATTGTATTATTAGGACTAATCTAGAAATAACAACACAGTCTTATTTGCTGATATTGATAAGATGTATATCTAAAACAAATCTCTTGTTTTTTTAATAGTACACTCGTGCCTTCACTAGCAGCCGGTGGAGCATCGTCATCAGATGGTAGTAGTGGTGTGTCTGCTGGTACAATTGCTGGTAGTGTAGTTGGAGGTGTAGCTGGTTTGGCGTTAATAGTGATTGGTGCTGTACTACTGCGTAAACAGCACAAGAAGAAAGAAGTGCTCCGTCGAGAACAGAGTCAATTGGATAACGAAGAATTCTATGCTGATCCATATAATACATCTGCAGACTGGTCAAACCGATATCATTCAGATGGATTCCTCGGAAGCCAACCAAGCAATACACCTTCCTCCAATCCACCAGAAGAATTAGATGAGTATGGTCATCGTAAGACCCAGTCATGGTGGAATGGTCTTTCCCAGCGTTTACGAGGCAACTAAAGCAGAATATAATAACTATAATTATAATACGGAGTATATTATTATTTCATGCTTTTCCAAAAATAATACGAAAATTTATTAATAAAAAAGTACAGTATAGGCAGGTCTGTGAGACCGTATATATATATATATTTATGAACGGAGATTAACCGTTCAAAAAAAAACAAGCTGCTCTTAAAGAACCATGAACAAAATATATAAATTGTTGGAGGATTTATACTTCTATTTAATATGATCTCTAACATTGTATATTATAATACAAAATAGTATTTTCCCACTTTTAATCCTAAGCTAATTCTGAAATAAATTATACAAAATATAGAAATATGTAAATCTTGAACGGGATCTTATAAAGGCGTAGCTATTCTCTAAGGGGTATTCAATAATAAATGTAGATACGATTTGAAAATATTTGCTAGTCAATAGCATTGAATATCCCTAAAGTTTGCAATTTTTGCACTTTTATCAAATACAAATATCACTTGACAATTTTTATCTATAGTACAATCGATATATATCTACAGTGAAATTCACTATAAATATTAGTTTTTCCAAAATCATTTCAATATTCTAAACCCCAAAAGCTGTAGTATATTTTCGTATTGTACTCGATCATTGACCAATTTATAAAATCATGAGATAAGAAAGAAAAAGAATATATATAAAATAAAATAAAAGAACAATACAAAGGGCTTTTGTTTAAGGATTATATTCCACGGTTTTTTTTGGGAGGGACTTTTCAGTAGAGTTAACAAGCAAAAATTGTATATTCCTTTTACCTTTCTATAAGCTGAATATGTTGTTAGACTCTTTTTGGATCAGTACTTGGTAGTTCTTCAATTTATGTATCTTTCTTCGTTACCATCCCAAACTTAAAATAATATATGCTTTGCGAACATGAATATTTTATTTTAGAATAATTCTTTCTTCTAAAGTTGAGCTCTATCTTTATGGAGCTGGACAGCCATATCTGTAATGTTCTATTATATTTAGATCATCTCGAATACAAATCAGCGTTAAAAGAACCAATCATAGGTTTATTATTAAACATTAAGGTTAAAGAATAAGACATCTGCTTTAAAGACTCGGCTTATTTTAATCAAAAATGTATATAATGCAAATACGTGTATACAAATAGAAGTTTTGGATTTTATAAATACTACATCTAAATTAAGTTGACTTTAATTCTCATACAAAGTGAAGAAGAAGAAAAAACACTAGACTTTTATTATTTAATATATATATATATTCTACAAGATTGGTTTATTGTGTTAATGTCTTTGAGGGAGGAGCAATCTTGCCGTATATACGCCAGATATCTTCAGGATCGGAAATTGTCTTTTGGAAGACGATATATTCCTGTACAGTGTGGATCTTCTCAGGATCACCTCCAATCAAACGGTTCTTCTTATCAAATACAGCCATAGACTAATCCACAAACATCACAGTCAGCATATCGATGTTTAGCATATATTCATGTATTACCTGTTTAGTGACCATCTTTACTGTCACTTGCCCAACAGCAAAACCATGTTTGCTCATACCAGTAGTACCAACACATCGGACACAAACGATCTTTGGTGCCTCAGCATCACCGTGGTATTTCCACTCCCAACGTGCATTACCACGCTGCTTAAGCTGATTCTTCAAGTTCTGTATTCATATAAAAGCCAATATTCGTTTAGTACGTCCATCGAATAAAGGGCCACACACACACACACACATATATATATATATATATATATATTTATAAACATACAGAGTACATCGAATCCAAGCAGACTTCCTCAAGAACAGTACGATCACCTCTATTATTACCAAATATCTTAGAAATGTTCCATTATCCAATTCCACAAATTACCTTGCAAAGGCATCGTTCATATCCTTATAAGTCTCCTCAGCAACAGCCAAAAATTGTGCAGAGTTCCACTTGTCAAACTGGGACTTGTACTTAATCAAACCTACACTGTATCACATTTTTTTGGTGGTCCCTTATCAGACAATAAAATTCACAACAATTGTAACCGTGCCTTTATTGTATTGTATCTTATTTTACCTGAGCAAATTCTGTGCGTTATTCATCAAGTTACGCCACTTGGTAAGACGCCAGTTCTTAAAGTCAGTGATAGGTGGTGCGGTATCAGAAGGAATGTAGTTGGCTAACGAAACGTAATACGAATATGTACACAGCACATAGGAAGAATAGGAATAACAGAAGTAATAGAAGTAATAATAAAGGCAATTCACTATAAGTCTCAATTCTCGCTCAGTTTATATATTGTTTCTTCTCTACCAAAGACGCCATGGTCGCGCATGAGGACAAGCTTTCCAGGAGCGTCCCTGGTGGCATATGTACGGATGCTCAAAAGTGCCGACTTGGCGACCACAGAACCGATGGGCTGCTGGGTCTGGCTTGCCCAGAAACCAGTCGATTGGCGGGCCAAGGTTGCGAATCTGAGGCTACGTAAATTAGATGCCATGCTTAAAGCTTATTATACACACAAAAAATAAAACTAAAAAAAAATAGAGTATAATAGGTTTCTCCAGGTTTAGGGGAAGGGTTCCTTCCCCGGGATCCAGTCACATCCCCTGTCCCTGTATAGCATTGAGTGGCTTGGAAGAGCTCACGTGCCTTGAGCACAATGCGTGAGTTCGCGGGAAAACCTCAAGCTCTTGAAGAGAACGCCATGTTTAAAAAGGGAACTCGCATAAAGAACATTCGTCGCAAGATAGAAACCAGCGACGATGAAAGCCAAGATAAAACCAACAGTACGAAACTATATCATCACATTATTACATAAATATCTGAATGGTTTACCCTAGTTGAGACCGAAGTAAAGCAAACCATCACAAAGAGTTTGGTTGAAAAGAAAAAGAAGAAAGAATCTAAGAAATCACTCGGCCTGAGTTTTGAAGATGAGGCAAGCACAGAATCTTAATGAAAATTACGAAGACAACGACGAAAAATAAACGCCAAATTGACCCTGAGCGCATAATTTTAATAGGAAGAAGAAGAAAGTACATTCCAAATTAAAAAGAGTAAAGCCAGTCGACGGTTAGCTACCGGACGCACATTACCAACATTAGAGTGAGTGAGGCTTTGCTGCGAAGAGCATATATTTTTGAATTTTGCTGATTATTTTAAAAGTTCCACCGAAAAATCCAATGAAGATACCACATCATCAGCATCGTACACTGCAGAATTACTTGAATCGCTTCGTGCAAACACACCAAGCATGCCTGCAAATTTAAAGAATTCGACCATGACCGACGATGAAGCTCTATTGGCAGAAAAGTTTCCTACACTGATGAATGCTCAGATTGGATCTACAGGAATACCTGATGCTAATGCTATTCATGCTGCAAAAAAGAAGCGTGAATTGTTACGTAAAGGTGTTCACATTGTGGATCAAGAAGATGACTTTATTTCTCTGGACAGTGTAAGTTATGGGAGTAAATGTCATGTGCCGTGGAGAATTCAATTGACTTATTTGGAATTTTACCTCAGGCAACAGAAAACTCACGCTTAATACGTGAAGAAGATGAAATTGGGGATGATGGTGGCGCAGGTAATTTACCCATAGACACATAAAATGAAGGATATGATGATTTATTATTAGAAACTAGAGTATGAGAGATATGTTGGCGAAGACCTCTCCTTGAACAAGTCTACTGCAAAAAAACAGGCAAAGGAACGTAGGGATGGCGTAAGAGAGATGATTGAAGTTGCTCAGGAAGATGATGAAGATGAAGACGACTTGGCACGATGGGAGAAGGATATGATAAAGAACGGAGGAGTGCGATCCCAGTATAATCATGCCGAAAAGGATCCTTTCAAAACACCCCTAGATTATAAATCTGCTCAGAGTAAGCCAAGGAGACGATTAGATCAAATCCTTAATTCTAACAGCTAAGTTTTATAGTTCCGTTGGAAACTACTCTGCCAAGTATGGCGGATGTCATGCTTAGACTTGATGTGACATCTAGCCAATTGACCCACTCTCTCGATGAAGAAGGCACTCAGATCAAAAACGCTGAGAAGAATCTGAAGAATGCTAATGCATCTACAGAAGACCTTGATAAAGAGATCGAACGTTCCAGCAAACGATACAACTACTTCCAGGAACTTATGGGTTATGTGAATGATCTTGGTGAGATGTTGGATACAAAGGTAAGAACATACAAATGGATTTGTTTTTCTTTGGTAATAAATCAAGTATACACAATTTACTCATTTAACTAGTTCCCTGAATTGACTAAACTGGAGGAGGAAGCCCATGCTCTGTTCTTCACAAAGTACGAAGTAGTTACTGAACGACGATGGGAGGATGATTTGGATGATCTCTCTTTGTTTGCTATTCTCCCCCAAATGGAAGAAGTTGAAAGCGAACAAGTTGATGAATTTGGTCGGGTGATTGAGGTAAAATCCTCTGAAAGCTCTCGCCAACGAAGAAGAGAAGAACGTGCAGCACGGATACGAAAGAGAGATATGGAAGATGAGGATGTGGCTATGTGGACCGATGATGATATGCAAGAAGAATGGGTGTTGCAAAAAGAAGACAGGCTAGGTATTTCACTTATCGCGAGCTTGACATGTGTATATCCTAACATTGCTTATTTCTCTTTCTCTTTAAACAGAGACAATTCGGACGCAGAAGATAGCTGATCTCCTTTCTGATGTGAGCGATGATTTCAAGCCATTGCGTTCAGTGATGGATCGATTTGGGGCTTGGAAGACAGAGTTCTATGATGACTATCAAAAGGCATTTGGCAGTTTGAGTTTGCCAGGTGCATTTGAGTTCTATGTGCGATGCGAGCTCGTGTCATGGGATCCCTTTGAGGTATGCTATTAAGTCAAGTCATCAAGCCCCCTTTTGTGGGTGAATTAACAATAAGGGGTTTATAGGAAGCAATTGATTTCGATTCAATGAGGTGGCATTCTGTCCTGTCGGACTATGGTGTGATTGAAGGAGAGGATGGACATGAAGATGCAGATGTGGAACTATTGAATAAGGTGGTTGAGAAGGTGTTGATCAAAAGACTAAAGGGACTGTTGGACATTTTGAATCCTGCCTCGACAAGGGAGATGCGCCACGCTGCCCAAGCGTTTGAACAGGTCTCTTACTATGTTGAAAAGAAGGAGAATGCTTATCAGGTAAAGAGAATGTGGTAAAAATAGCGAGACCGACTAAAAAAAATCTTACTTTTTGCCTCCTTTGTTTCCAGGATCTTATTAGTGCAGTGATATCCAGTTTGGAGAGGCAATTAATACGCTATGCAGACTTCATTGAGCGTGTATCACTCAAAACTGATATAGACGAAAAGGCTAAGTTGGCCAAGTCACGGTTCTTCCATCGCCAGTGTAAAGTAAGAAATATGACTACAAGGTTTGACTTAAAGCTAAATCTGATTTTTTAAATAGTATCTCAAGACATTGACCTTCTGGCGTCGATATATCCCCAAAGACACCCTGTCAGTGCTGGGTGACATGGTGATGAACCGAATCCTCGCCCCTTTGTTGCGACCTCGTCTAGATGCCCAAGATAGCCAACTAGAGGCACATGGCTTAGAATTGCTAGCTCGTATTCAACAATAATAACACGCATTTTTACACCTTTTGTTAGCAGAGATAATATAATAATAGCATGTAAAAATAATAATAATAATGGCAAATGTATAAAATTAATTGGCAGGAGCATGTACACAAGTCTTAATTGAATCTATCTTCTTCGCTTGATGCGGGAAGGATGACTCTGAATGGGTCCTGCCAGTCGCTGCAGTTGAGTTAAACCTGGCTTAGCTATAATCTGGATATGCACAGCCGAGTTCGTTCTCTCCTGTGTCTTCAGGTCTTCATCCTATATACACAATACATATCAACCTTCACATCCCCAATTTCTCCCTCGTTTTAACATATTCTATACACTCCTTGGGAATATATAGCTCACCATGTCTTCTGGAACGACGTCATCCACTAGAACCACACTTTCTGTGGTAGGTTTAAGATCCACTTGGTGATTCATAGCTTCCTGAACAGCCAATGCCACTGACAGACAGTTTTTAATTGTTGCTCCCAAAGCATGCAGCGTCACTTTGTTGTTTCTAATTAAGAAATAACAATCATAATTCATGATTGTGTGCATGAATAAATGGAAGTTTTTTTTATATATTTTTATTATCATTATCATTATAATTATTATTTTTTTACCTCTCATTGATCATAAGACGTTTTATTCTTTTGACGATCGCAATTGTCTTACTCTTGTGAGATAGGTAGATGTGAGTAGGATCAGCAGCTGGTCTCTGAGGTGTTCTTTTGTGAATGACACCTAAAGTACAAATCAATCAAGAATGATCTTGCATTGTGTGTGGAATGCTACCTTCTACTTTCTCCCGTTTATGTTTGCTTAATTCTTTCATTAGTTGCAGATAAAAACAAAAGAAAGAAAGAAAACGCGGCTCCGACCATTCCTCTTAGAGATCATGCCATTTCAAACTTCGCTTACATTGACATTAAAGAGAAACAATGACTTTGTGTTTTTATTCTTAATTGTAAAAAAAAATATGTTTATGCCTCAACAGCAGCGGGGGCAGCGGGAGCAGGAGCAGGAGTGAAGTCCTGGACAATGGGCTCCTCAACATCGGTCTCCTCCTTGGGTTCAAGGATAGTGACAATATCGGGAAGAGTGTTCTTGGGTCCATTGCGACCGGTGGGATCACTGTCAAGCATGATCTTGACCTTGATACCGAGGACACCCTGGCGCAACATAACGTGACGGACAGCAGTGGTGATGAAATCACGAGCGGGCTGACCGGAGTGGATCATGAAACCATCGCTGAACTTCATGGCCTTGGCACGGGCAGCACGGAGCTTACCGGAAACAACAACTTCGCAACCCTTGGCGCCAGACTCCATGACGAAGCGGACGACACCGTAACAGGCACGACGGACAGCAAGACCGTTAAGGAGCTTGTACTTGACAGACTCGCACTGGGCAATGGCGCAGAGACCACGGTTCTGGACACGCTCAGCGTAAAGCTCGACAGCGTTCTCAGCGAACTTGAAACGCTTCTGGACGAGGAAGGTCAATTCACGAATGCGACGACCCTTCTCACCAAGAACGTTCTGGGTGTGTGTGGCACGGATGATGATCTCAGTGCGGGCGGGGGTAACGCGGACCTCAACACCAGCGTAACCATCCTCAGCAAGCTCACGGGTGAAGTATTCGTTCAACTCGGCGTAGAAGACACCATCGGCGACCTAAAGGGGAGTAGTGGGTCAAAATGAGGGGTGACTGGAAGGAGAAAAGTATATATGTGTAGTTATATATAAAAGATATGTAGAGGGGCGGAAAGGGGCTTCGTTGTAGTGAAGTATAGATTGACTTACAAACTACAAAGAAAAAATATGTGCGTTAGTTTTTTAGGTGGTCTTCATCCATTAAATCCATCCATCCATCCATCCATCTATGTACCTTTCTCTTCTTGGAGATCTGAGCAGCGGCACCGGCCATATTGAACGCGAGGCAGAAATAAAAGGAAGGGATAGTCCAAGGCGTGGGGGCAGTTGCCTTTTGGACCCCACCCCCTGCCCGCACTTGCTTTTGCCCAACCCTCTCTTTCGCCTTTCTGTCCCGCTGTCACCCCCCTCCCTCCTAATCACAGACGTCTTGTCCAATCAAATTCGAGTATTTTCTCTTCACCCACAAAGGGGAAGATTTGATATAGGGAGCCTTAGATTGGGGGCTAAGAAAACATAATGTTATCCAAGGGGACTTTATTACTTGGAAGAAAGGAAAAAAAAAGTCCTATAAAAGACGGCAGACCTTTTTAGTCTGTTTCTACCATCTCTCTTTTATTATGGTCGACTCATACCACCGCAGCAAAATGTCCCCAAGACTCACCGAAGATAGCCTCAGTACCCGGGAGTATGGTAGCAGTGGGCCCTTGAGCCGTGACCTGCTGCTAACACGCGAGCAGCAGCTGCGAGAGGAAATTGCAAGGCTCAAACTAGAAGAACAAGAACTGCGAGAAAAGGACCACTGGATTAAGCAGAATATCATGGCCGTCAGGGAGAAATTGGCCGCAGAACGACGCATGTAGACAGAAAAATCCCAAAAAAAAGACAATATCCTAAATCCCTCTTTAACTTTCCTCCACCATAACACTCCTCCTTCTCCCCTCCTCATCCTCCTCATAAAGAACAACTCCCTTTTTGTTTATCCTTGTTTTTATCCTTGTTTATAGTGCAGTGTTATGGCTCAGGGCCACCTCATGGACAATTAAAAAAAATCAAGTTTTGCCCTTTCTTTTTTTTTGTTCTTATCCCCCTTTATTTATATCTTTATTCGCCAAGTTGAGGACCCTTGAGCGATGTTCTACCAGCACGCATCATCTCATCAACCAACAAAAGGTTGCTGGCAATTACAGAGCTATAAAATAGTATTAGTATCTCTATTCATAAATAATAATAATAAAATAAAACAAACTCAATATTACCAAGAGTGTAACATGTGGCGGTGAACTCTGTAGTTGCTCCATACACCTTCCAACTTGGGGTCCATGGTCTCGCCTGTCTTGAGATCTACACCAACAATATGTCCCTCCATATGCTCATCCTGAAGAGCGACAATCACATCTTGAGCATCAAAACCAGCATTTTGAGCCAAAACCTTGGGGATGACGAGAAGAGCATCAGCGAATGCTTGTACACCCATCTTTGCTCTACCCTTTACACTCTTTTTGAATTCAACCAAATGTTGTGAAAGAGCAACTTCAAATGCGCCGGCTCCAGCAACTACAGCCTTGTCTTCGATTGCATTCTTTACTGCACGGAGTCCATCACGGACAGCATCGTTGATCTGGGCAATTGTGTGTTGGTTAGGTCCCTTGATGAGGATAGTGACACTGTAAGGATCTTTGACGTCTTCAATGAATGTGAATTTCTCTTCTCCAAGGACCTGCTCATACACAAGTCCAGCATAACCCAGAATCTCAGGCGACAAATCATCAACCGAGTTCTGAGCAACACCACCGCACACTAACTGGAGGCGCTCCATGTTTCTACGTTTGGCACGGCGAAGACCGAGAATGTTGTTCTTGGCAAGGATATCGAGTGAAAGAGGGTCAATACCCTTTTGGTTGATAATAACAAAGCCCTTGTTGGCGTTGACACCAGTGCAGAGAGAGTTCTTGAATTCGACCAACTTGCGCACCTTATCGTCTACATGTTTACGCTCACTCTCGACCAGTTTCTCGCGCTGCTCAGGGGTGGAATAGAAGAAACCAGAATTGATTTCACTCTTCTCATATTCCAGACTCACGTTAAGGGTAAGAATAAAAGCATCTTCAATCTTCTTGGGCATATCAGGGTGGCGGGCACCATGATCCATAACCAGACCACGCACAAGTCGTGACTCACTCTCGGAACGGTGCTGCATTTTCATGATCTCCACCATGTGCAAATCAATTGGCTCTCCTTCACGGTAAATAGCAAGAACAGCATCTACAACAGCCTCGGTCAATGTATCTGCCAACGAACGGTGTACCTTTGTACGCAATGAGGTACGTGCCACAGAAACCAACAATTCACGGTCTACTACAGGCTTAGGGGTCTTAAAGGTTTCAAGGAACTTGAGTGCCTCGTTCTTGGCCGCATCATAACCCTCGGTAATCACTCGAGGATGAAGTCCCTCAGAGATGTATCTCTCAGCCTGTTTCAAAAGCTCTCCGACAAGCAATACGATCGAAGTGGTACCATCACCTGTGATTTCGTCTTGTGCAGTGGCGGCCTTGGCAATCATAGCAGCAGTAGGGTGTTGGATTTGCTGCAGATCATCAAAGTCATCATTAGCTCTTAATTCCATAATTCTTCTCTTCATCCAATGTTATTTATTTTTACCATCTCGGTCAACAAAACCTTTCCATCTTTGGTCAATTTGATGGAGCCTGCACCATCGACCAACCTAAGATGCATATTATGATCAGTTTATTATCGGTGTGTACATGACATCATCAGAAAGATTGTATTACATTTTAATGGTACCGCGAGGGCCAAGGTTAGAGCGTAAGACTTCCTGGAGGCCAATAGCAGCGGTGATGTTCAATTGGAGAGCTTGACCGCGTCGGGCAACATCCGAGTTGGGGTTAATCAATTTCAGGGCAGACGAAGCCCTAAAGCAATCACGCGTGTCTTTGTTTAGATATTTAATTCGAGTTAAATGTAAATTATCTTACATTTAGATGCAATACTTGTTTATGATGGGAAGGAAGGAGTGGGAGAACAAGTGTCAAGCTGTCAAGGGCTCAAGATGGAGCCTCGTGGTGGCTGGCGGGTCACCTTTGACCCTCGTTTTACACGTCATCTAGAGGTTCGCTTATGCTTCTCCCCTTCAAACACCGCGCTAAACGTAAAATATCTTTATATAATAATATGAGATAATAGTGATATATGTATATAATAAAATAGGAAATAGATACATATAAAGAATGTATATGAATGTCTAAACGATCTGACAAAGAACCTTGTCAGTTGAATCACAAGTACTTGGGAAAATGCCGATATTGGCTTTAAGAAGAAGACAGCTTGCTCCATCCATGCCATAAGAGTCTCCATTCCATTGGCCAATCAGTACATCTTCATAGCCTATTTTGTGCAAGCTTTCTGAAAGGTTTAAGTAGCCTTCAGACGTAACAGAACCGAAGTTGTCATTTTGACACGCGTTTCTTGCATCCTCGTGGTTGGACCGACCCGTTTCAAGTGTCACAACACGGTACTTGACTCCGTCTACTTCAAACACAGTTTGACCTGGATCCTTACCAACAATGTTGGATATTTTGGATTCTGGACGAGGTAAAGAGTCTATTGATGGATTAGCTGAGGGCTCTGCAGTAGATATTGTTGATGAAACTTGTATAGGTATTGGTGACTGCTTTGATGATGACTTTCGTGAATGAGTTGGTGACGGTTTTGGTGATTGTCGACTTGGAGATTGTTTTGAAGGTGGTCGTGAGTGGGTATCAGCAATATTACTCGGTGGAATTTTTTGCTATCAAAGATTATAAAGACCCATTATGTTATATCTATTGTCATTCACATCAATCAAGAACTTACAGGTCCCCAAAATCCACAGACAGCAATCTAAGAAATTAATTTTAGTATTCAAGCCTGTAGTCAGTCTATGATGTCTCTTACACTGGCAGCTTTACATGTCTTGTGAGATTGTGGTAGATCAATAAATGTGGATGGTCTAAAAGAAACACATGCACAAATAAATTAATTTGACGCTCTCAAGATATACATATTTATTCTGTTTGGACTATTACTCTTGAAATTCAAAACAACCCATTCCGCTTCCTTTGACAATAAAAGATACAGTTATTATTGCTGTTCTATGTTGTATTTCTTAGATTTTTATAAGTACCTCCATCTGATTCTGGTAGACCGAGATGGTTCTAACGAATTATATATACTGTTAACCTTAACACATATTTTGCCTTGCTTTTCTATAAATTAACTTACAACAAGATATGCTTCTCCGGGCACAAAGAACCCAGACGCTCCCAAGAACGAGGATGCCATGTCCAGTACGGTCAATTGTTCTGTTGGACCAGAATTAGAGGACATCGTCAGTAAAGATCCTCCGCATCCAAAATAACAGGATTCTGGTCCAGGTGATGCATCTCGAGGGTTATCAACGGATGCTAAAGCAAACGTATAGTCATTTATGCTAGGATTTGGATGCTTTGCTGTTGCTATACAGCGTGCCTGGTCGCTTTTAACGACCAGACTAGACAAAATAAGAAAGCTAGCAAGATTAGCTACCAAAGATGAAGGCATATCTATAAATTGATGAGCTGTAAAGAAGTAAACAATAATGAAACTGTTTCTTCAATCGCCAATCTTATATTAGTATAAAGCAAAATATGTGAATTGTTTTAATTGAATGGAATTTTCCACGTATTATTTGACATTCTTCCCCCTCATACAAAAAATCGGCATACACAAAATAAACGCTCTCTTATATATACTTGCTTATGACTTTAATAAGTATATTGTATACAATTATAAAATTATAAAGAGAAAATATAGATAAATTACTATTAACATTAGCTGCTATATAAGCTTCTAAGTTTAATGCTAAACACTGAAAAGTAGAGCTGGACACAAAAACATTTGCTTTTTTTTTTGAAGAATTCAAACTTTATTCCATACTGTCTCTAAGTTTTACTCAAACAACTTCACCAACTTTTTTTTCATAACTTTGCCCATTGCATTTTTGGGTAATTCTGAAACAATGCGTAGCTGGCTAGGTACCTTATAAACTGCGAGCCGTGACTTTAGCTCGTCGCGCATTACCTTGAGATCAAGCGTCTATGTAATAAAATGAGTAAAACTTGTATATTTATGGATATCTATATTACACTTGCCTGGTCTTGCTCCATTACAGCTACAGCAGCAACACGTTGACCCCACTCTGGATCTGGAATGCCAATTACAGCTACGTCGTTTATATATAGAGGACAGGATAGTAGTTCACGCTCAATTTCTAGAGCAGACACCTTCTCGCCGCCCGACTGAACAATAGAAAGAGAAAAATTGAGATATTTATAAAAAAGAAACATGCTTAATTTTCTTTTACCTTAATTATGTCAATACTTCCTCTTCCTAATATTTTAAAGTAGCCTTTATCGCCTGTACGCATACCAAAATCGCCTGTTATAAACCTATTCTCATACATTAATGTCGGTTATACGATCACATAATCTACTATATGTACAAGTATAAAGGTTTTAACTTACCATAAATCTTCTGTGAACTCTTTCTTTGTAGCTTCTGGCCGACCCCAATATTCTTTGAACACATTGCGCCCCTTAATTTGGATCATGCCTGGTACATTCCGAGTGTCCGTCACGTCCTTGAAAATCTTAGACCCTTCAGGTGTTTCGGCCATCAAACGAACTTGAACTCCTTCCATAGGAAATCCAACTGTACCCTATAAACATGTTTCTGCCATTTATTCTCTGTAATAAAATGCATGAAAAAAGTATGTTCCATACCTCTATCCTCTCATCAATGTCATAACCTTGGCTGAGTGCCATACCAATTTCTTTTTTTTACATCACAATTTAAGATAAGCTTTTTTATTACTTTAATTTTCCGCTGCCTCATGAACTTACCTGTCATTCCATACCGCTCTAATAATATATGGCCACTAATTCTCTCCCACGACTCTCGTAAAGGAGTAGGTAAAGAAGCGGAGCCAGATACCATGAATCTGAATTGCTGGCATGCCTTTGAATATGATTGTTGTTCTTGTTCGCCCAATGTTTTGTAATATCCAATGAGCTTGGCTGCATTGGTTTAATATATAAGAATTCGTTCCAATAATCTTTCAATCATAGTCTCATGAAGAACACTTACAATAAATGGTTGGGACTGACATAAAAATAGTTAGTGCAGGTTTTTTGGGACTTAAACTCTCCGCCCATCTTTCCCAGACTTGCTTGGGATCAAACTTTTGGTGCATCTCCACAGTCGCACCAGAATATAGTGCACATGTCAGTGCATTTATGACACCATGCACATGATGGAGGGGAAGAATATGGTGTATTCTATCTTTCTCTGTCCATCTCCATGCTTTTACTAGAACTGCAGTCTGAGCATCAATAGTATCATGTGTTGATACAGCAGCCTTTGGTTTCCCTGCACGTAGATATCAAATATTAAGGGAAATCACACAAAGTTATATACCCATTCATAAATTTACCTGTAGTTCCACTCGTAAAAATAATCAGTGCACGTCGATTTTTATCCATGTTAAAAATTTCAGGCACCCTGGACTGAACGAGAATGTGAGCAGTATTTTATAATAGGGCAAAATTTGATATATATATATATTACCTCTTCATAGTAAAAATCAGAATCTTTGAGTAGTATTAACGGCTGCCCTGTCTTTTCTGCCAGCATATTGACACGCTCTTCAAAAACAACATGCCCGAGTAATCGGCTTGTCTGTGCCTCTTCCATGCTGTATACCTGTTCAGGAAGTGGGTGACTTGTACCTAAATATAAGTATGTCAATCAAATACATATAGAGATAATTATGTGTGGTTTTACACTTACAGAGAGGTACCGCAATACCACCGGCTGCCCATATTGCCCATTGACAGACAACATACGAGAACCCACTAATATATATATTATTTAAGTTTTTCTACTAATTAAATAAAGGCAATATGTATATATTTTACCTCGGGCAGAGAATTGCCACACGCTCTTCATTAAGATCCCTACATTATTCTCATGAGGTCATGTTGTCATGAGTACAAGAATGAAAACATCTTACATTCTGCCGTCTAACAATGAACTTCTTAGACTTGCTACTGCATGCACAAGTTCGCAGTAGGAAAATTGCTTTCCTATTCTAATGTCGTCAATTGCAGGTCCATTATTATGTTGAGCAAACCCAATGGCATTCTCAAAGAGAGGAAGGTTTGGGAGAGCCATGATAAAAACAGTGGATAAACAATTAAACTAGAATTTAATCCACCAACATGTTATTTTCCGCTTTCTATTTATTTGAGTTACAAATTGTACTTGTGAGAAGACGATAGATATAAATATATAGAGATAGATAGAATGATGTTATTAGAATAGATCAAATGTGTACAATTTAGTGTAGCCTGTGTTGTAAGCGTATATTTTATTTTTTTAATAGATATCTGTGCAGCATTGGAGTTTGCTTACGAGCCATATTTACAAGCCCCATTAAAAAGTGGTATACTTCAATGCAAATATCACATAGCTAGAAGTATATTCTATATTAGAACAACGTTATTAGAACCTGGATTGTTTTTCTTAATTAACCTTTCATAAAATACAATAGTTTGATGTAGTGAAGTTTGTCAAGCATTTTATTTATATGAAAGGAAACGCTTTTTAATAATGTCATATTATACTAGATAAGTATTCAGAAAGATAAAAAACACTAATCATTAAAAAATATAAGGAATTGAAGTTATTGGCCGCTTAATATTTAACATCAATTATGCCATCTATCGGGAGCGTCCGTCATATATGCTTAAACGTAGTAATCTTGTGTCCTACTTATACTATTTTCGACTGTCACACTACATAATAAGAATATGTCGCTCAGATAAAAGAAAGAGAAAAATGGGCAATATGTGAAAAGAAAATACTCTTATTGATATACAACCTTTTATTTCCCCCTCCAGGACCGGTACATTTTTATTATACTCACATACAATTATCATGCACGGAAGTTGGTATCTTAAAACAATAAACAAAAGATCTAGAAACTTATGCATCTGCTTGGGAGAGGACAAGAGTTATAAGCGGTGAATTAAATATTGTGATTTACATCTGAGAGGCCATCTTTCCCACAGATATACCTTGAGGGTAGAATACAGAAAAGTACATCAAAAACAGAGTAAAATAATGGAAATTTCACAGACCTAGCGTTTTATTTACATACTTCATTTTCAGCCAATCAAATACTGTTAATTCTTAAAAGTATAAGCTATTACCCAACAATACAATATTCAGTTACTTTACGTAAGGCTACATATTTGTAGATTGATAATAAAAGAAGCTATGATAGCAAGATACATTAATACAAAAATCATATATTAATATATTAATATATTACTATTTATTATATAATTACTATTCTTTAAGCTTACAAGAACAATAGTGCCACATCATAAAGTATAATGGATCGTATCTAAGGGTAATTAAATTTATAGGAAGATAAACGAGCTGGAGAAAGTGACATTTCACTCTTAAACCGGGTAATATCTGTAATAAAAGTCGTTCCGCTAGCCAATTTAGTGTGGTCTCGAGAGGATATATCAATAGTTTCTTCTGTTTTTTTAGTAGATATCTTATCAGAGATGCATGTAGCTGGATTTTCAGAAAGCCATATTTCAAGTACACTTTCTGCATCATGCTGGCCTTTTCCAAGTGTATATATTAAAAGTTGATTCATTTCTTCTTTGGATAGCGCTTTAACTCCTCGACTATCAATGGTGTCCTCAATGGCTTTGAGGTCTGAAGGGACTCCAATTCCATGTGCAACTAAGAGATCGTACAAAGCTCTTGCATGACAAACTTCTCTGGCAAACTTCTTCTGTGCCTGAATATGGATCGAGAGCTTGCTATAACGCGGAGAATTAGGATTGATATATACATCAAAGAAATCGAGTAGATCAGCCTTTTCAATCTTTTCAATTTCGGTGATTTCCTTGAGATTTCGGTCAAACTCGTGAGAGCCAGAGTCAATGTGGCTCCAATACTCGGATGCCTCTTGATAGATGCTTCTGAATTTTTGTTTTTTTGCATTGACTATAGAATCTACCTGGGTCTTATACTCTTCATAAGTCATATCTACTATAATCTCCCGTAACTTATCCAAAAATACTTCAACTCTATTTTCCAGATATATAGGGTCTCTTTCACTCTGTACGGTGATAGTGAGCCCAGTTATCCCATATTCGATATATACTTCACTATATACTGCATATCCAAGCTGCTCTTTTGTTCGCAGATGATCAAATATCGGCTCTTGGGCGATATGTTGCACCAAAATTAACAGTATGTAAAGGCGTATATTTGTTGGTTTGCAGACCTGGATATAGTATAAAATTGCAGAGTTCACATCTTCTGGATCACTTGCGGGAATTTGATGAACAAAATGCTGTCCTTCCGGGAGATAAATGCTTCGTGAATTGATCAGCTGGCTAGGCACGAGAGGTTTGGAATTTATGGTGGTTTTTATGGCATCGAAAAGAGATACTGCATCTGATTGTCCCATTGCTCCGTGTACGAGGCCTTCCACATTTAGTGTTTTGAGGAAGGTAGGATAGAAGTTTAGGACATCGTCTGGCTTAAGTTCCGTCAGCTCTGGCCACAATTCCTTATATTCCCATATAAAATCCCGAATAAGAACCGATACATAGATATCTATGTAGTTGAAAGGAGATCCCACGAAAATATTTTCATAGGATCGTTTCAATTCATCTTTTCTGATCTCAAACTGGTCGTTATCGATAACAAGATGTGTCATGGTGTATAGTAGTTTGTCGAAGAGTAGAGGAAGTTTGTCGCTGTACCCGGCTAGATGTATCTATTGTCTCGCGAATACATTAATACAGTAATCCCACACCGAAGTTTATTTTATGTATATACTTACTGTCAAACTATCAAAAGAGCAATACAATTGATAAGTCAACCCAGCTAACTCTGCGTTATAAGTATATTCTGTCATAGCTTTATTTATCATGGAGGTATATATCCTATCAGAAGATACCAATAAGCTTTCAATAATTGACTCTATAATAAACCTACATTAAGAGTACCGTATGACGCGGAGTACAATATCCCAATGGGTTTTTAAGGTTGGCCCATAAATATGTCTTTGGAATAGAAAATGTATCATCTCTTTTATACCAAAGTCTTAACCCGGGCTCTTCCTTGATTAATAAAGGTTGTTTCTGACGTTCTTTTGAGATAGAACCTGTCTCAAATTTAGTTGGAATCAAATCATTCTTAGTAGGAAGCTTGAAGGCCGCATTGGTCCCAGGGTTTTTGAGTTTCTGTTGGGACAATGTAAGTTTTACTTCACAAAATATACAATAGAATCTTTACTACTTACTTCTTTAAACTCTGGACTGAAATTTTGGACGTCGTATGGAGTCTTGTACCATCTCTCTGTCTGGGAACATTTGATATCAGCAGGAAATACTTGACTTACGATAATATATCTAAAATTATCGGGTGCAAGAAAATACAGGTGTTTCTTAATTAACTCTGGATCGTATCTAATCAAAGTTGCCGAAGAGCTAATATATAATTGAGGTGGTATGTTATCTTCCATTGTCTCGACGATTTTCTTTGTATCGTCGGATGGCCAGAGTTTCTTAGAGAACCGAAATCCGATAGAACCCATTTTTTGGGCCTCTTCAAAAATCCATTTCTGAACACCAGCAGATTTTATCATTTCAATATATTGGAATAAAGTCAAGACAACTTCTTCATGATAATCTAATGAATTTACCTGAGCTTAGTTTATGTACCTAGCAATTGTTTGGTTAAAAGAGCCTTTAACTTACCCAAGCCTTTCTTTGTTAATTCGATGTATATCTGAAAAAATACAATTCCTCTGGCTTCATTGCAAAGGCTTGAATTCAAGGAAGTTACCCAACCTTTCTTCTTTAAATAAAAAATGCAAGATCCAGACCCTTCATGATTCAGTAAACTTATTATGTATTCGGAGGGCTACAGCAAAAACATAAATTTAGCGGCTTTAAAAGAGAGAGTTTTTTTTAATGTATTGATCAGATAGTTACACGAGAGTCATAATATTGACTTTGATCTGGAAAGGGGAATTTCAATATGATATAGTGATCGTTCCTGATGCTCTTGATATATACTTGAGTCTGAGATAGAGATTAATACAATTGATTTAAGTCTGTCAACCCATATTACTCACCGTAAGCTCTTTTGAAGTCAAGGGATTATCTCCAAATGTGGGTAAATCTATCTTCTTATTTGGGATAATAGAGAACATTTCAACCACCCACTTTGTAAGATCGTCAAGAGATTCTATTTACTCCAGTTTTTTTATTAATAAATAAAAATCACACAAATAACCCTGTTACCTTTTCCTATTACACATAGCTTCATAATATTGGCTGAATAAAATTTGTTATGGAATTTTAATAATTCCTCCCGAACGTTCAATCCAAGACGCTCTGGGCTTTCTTTCAAGGTTTCTAAATTTCCTATCGAAAACGTATTCCATGGATGCTCAGGGCTACATAGCGACCTTTCAACCTGACATATACGCCAACAGTCTGATTGCAAGTTTTTCTTGTGCTCTATAATACCAACTAAGCTTTTGTTTTTTTTTGTCGTAATAAACCTTTTCAAATTTACCTGAATCTACAGCCTTTAACTCTCTCTCTGTACAACTCTCTGTAAATAACGGATCTACAAAGAAGCGAGAAAATCTATCCAATGCGCCTTTTAGGCCCTTGTCTCCAACTTCAAAATAGTAAACTGTAGCATCCGTGCGAGTATAGGCATTTATATAACCTATTTTTTTTAAAGTATATTAATTTTTTGGTACTATATATATTGTCACTTGGATTAAGCCTACCAGAGTAATCAGATATATAAGAAGAATATTCATTCTCTTTTGGGTACTTTTTGGTGCCCATAAATAAAAGGTGCTCACAAAAATGAGCGAGACCTTGTAAATTAAACTTAAGCAAATATGTAAGTAATTAATTGCAACAAAAATAAACTTGTAATTACCGGACTATTCATACTGCCAACTTGAACACTAAGCGCAGCGCTTGATCTGTCAGTTTCTGGATCACTGATGATAGTTACTTGTAGGCCATTAAGTAACTCTATAACACGATATAATCGTTTATCATTCTCAGGCTTTTCTATTGGGATTTTGAACTCGTTAAATGTTCCGTTCGATGCAGAAATCCACTCCTCAGAGTGAATAAATGTCATTAAAAGTTTTGATATGAGGAGAAGAGAGCTTGGGTGAATATTCAATGTGCTCTTAAATATATTGTTTTTACTCTACGTCATAAGATAGACAAGTATGGCTCAGCATCAATTCAAAGTATTCAGGTACCTTCTTTAAAAAATAAAATCCAAGTATGGTAATACCAAATATCTTCTTAAACTTAATTTAAGGTTATTCACTAATGGTAAGCTGCGGCTGTACCGTGCTGTATAACAGTTATGACTGTTTAATCCTATAAGGATACAAGCTTATATGATACAAGACATGAAGAGAGGATTTTTGGTTACTTTGGGGAACTTGGGCTCATTTCTCGTGTAACTCGTGGATGAAGAGGAAGATGTTGGATAATGTTTGTTTCCATTGGGATGTACGTGATCAGCCTCCTATCAAAATAAATTATTTAAGTCATCACCCTATTGAGCACAAATACATTCATCGCGGTGGTTTTGACACAAGACCCAAATCAATTTCAAATTAAACGATCCTTAAATTACTAAAGTCTCGTATGCTGCTTGACCTGGGTTACAAAATAACTCTCCCACGCGACTGACATATTGCTCACCTTATAATATGTGATATCTAAATATCTAATATTTAAGTAGTTACATATACCTACTTGTAATTTTTTGTGTGGATAGGCTTTCATTTTACCTCAAGTAGAATTAACCATATATCAAGCTGCCCAAGAAATAACCTCGAGACCTCATTATAACAGAATTCGTCTGAATATCTCCAGAAATTAATACCACGTCTATACATGGAATTTTAGCGACAATAGCCCAACTACAGTGACAGGCAGAATATTAACTCGAGATAATCTAATATAATAGATATATCCTTTTGTATTATTACTTTTATTCAAATTACAAAACTAAATCAAAATAATATATATTCTTGGCTTAGAATAAACATTTACTATATCTCTTCGGTATAGTATGTCTTATTTGTCGATATATATATATATATATATATATGAAATGAAAGTAATATGTTATTTAAAAAAAGCTGATGTATTTCCTCAAAAGTGGTAACATATCTACTATAAGTCTATTACTATAACTGTTAGAAAGAAAGAGAAAAGGCGTGCGTCAGATTTAAATATTTTAATATTGCAATTCATATGGCTCTAATAGAAAGTTTAACGGGTCATTGTGCAGATTTGAGAATATTTTTTTCTGAGTAAGGGCTGGTTTATTATTATTCTGGAATTATATACACTATTAAAAATACACCAATACATTAAGATTATTGTATACCTCTTGAATACTATGTCATTTACATTAGAGGCCGGCTCATAATATTCGAACAAGTTGCGCCGGTTCTTTTTTTTGTGATTGTACTGCTTGCACTTAATACATATATCTAAAAGATATCACTGTTATAGTGATGAGATAAATATAATTGAAATTCGATGACCCGACTTTCTCTTCAATTATTTAACCATGCTATCTACCTTGTAGGAACATGCATTATCTTACAGCACAAGAATTTCGGACTTCAATACTTATTGATTTTCCATGCTTTTTATTAGATTGCGCATAATACCCTCAATAAGCAATACAAAAAAAAAGTTTTTATTAGACCTTGCTCCACTACTGCTACATATTTTTCTACTGGACATAGTCTCCTCAATTTCTAAAGGACTCCCCACAATACTTTTAGAAGAAACATTCTCATAAAAGGGTGTAACATGCACTATATCACATATGGTCCTCGCAAGGGGCAAGGTCACTAAATATGCTATTATGATGAGGAAGGAATGTCCGAGTTATGGGATATCTATGTCCAGACTATGAATGCATGACAATAAAAGGTAACAGACAGCGCAAGAGGAGATTACTCCAATGTAATAATGAACTCTACTCGACTAATTAGGATTTACCAAATTATATTTAATTGGCTATGTGTACGAAGATGCGAATTAATTGGTAAGATTGGTTATATGAAATTGTTTTTTAAAGGTAAAAAACAAAAATATCATCTTTATTATTCTTCAACTTTTCACTGTATATTTTGCAATTATTTTCGAATCAAATACTTACGACAGTGAACTCTAGCGCCTTGGGTTATACAAACATTCCAGAAAGTGCTGTAAAAATCAGCCCAAAACTCTCATTTGAATGTTTGTTAAGACTGTGTAAGTTATATCATAGAGATATATGACTAATTTTTTTTATAAATCTATCATTGTCAAAATGAATCAGAAAGTAAATGCATAATATTAAGAGTAAGAATCAAAACATAAAAGGGATACAAAAAAGGAACTGCGACAGATCTCTGTATACATTTAATTTGGAGGGATAAACACACAGTTGGATTGCGCTTCATTCGTTTCAATATTAAGCGACTGGTAAATGACAAAGATCTCTCTTAACATGTTAACCACGTGTTGAAGAAGTTCTGCCCTTGTTCTTCTTGGAAGTCGACTTTGAAATATCCATTTCCACTCCTGTCTGTCGGATCCAAGGTTATTCACCTTTGATTCATCCGATGAGGCGGCCGGTTCCTGATCTTCCTCAGTGAGATTGATAGAATTTCTCACAGATAACATGCGCTGCCTGCGGGACGAGGGTCTATTTTTTACCTTTGGAGGGTGTTGTCTCTGACAGGTAAACCCTGATGTTTTTAACAAGGTACGAATTGCAGGTGCCTTCACGGTGAATCCCTCACTACACAACTGGTTTTCTGCTTCTTTGGTTGTTGTGAAATCCTCCCTCTTAAAAGCGCGTATAATACGGCGAGCGAGCTTTGGATCAATTTGGGGAGGCCTACCCTTACCCTCAAAGGCAGGAATACCCAACTTTCGTCGATGTCTCTTTACAGTAGTATCTGAAACACCGACAATCGATGCCACTTTGGCCGCGGATTCACCTTGTCTAAGGTGAGCTTCAATAGAAAAAGCTTTTTCGTGCGAGATGGGAGACATTTTGATTTTGATTTTAAAGAGAAGAACAAAACAACAGTTTTAATTAACTCCTTTAATCCAAATTTCAGTTACACAGCTGGTATGCAGTAACAAAGGCATTACGTACACACATTGTTGTAGTGGATGTCTTATATTTAAAATCAGGAGTAGCTTCTCTTTTATTTTTTGACCTACATCTAAAAGACAGATTCCAGGATTTGCATACTGCTTCTATATGATATTTTATTAATTAATACGTGTGCCATTACATGTAAAAATCGTCTCTACAAAACAAAAGCTACAAAAAATACATATGTCAAGACGTTTGCTTTATTTTGGTAGTCCGTTTTTTTTCAAGTGCAATCCACAATAAGTACACATATACAACACATATACAACACATCGCTCTCCCTTTTATTTTTTAAAGCATAATTTTCTATACAACGCAGAAAAAATCCAAATTAATTGAAGAAAAACCCAAAGCTCAAAACACCGGCTACAAACACACAGACGATACAACTCGCGCGATCATTGTACATGAAAGTGTTAAGAATGGAACTACTCAAGTTGGAATTACCAGAAAAGTCGATGTAAGCAGAGATGCGGTGAAGCGTGTCCTCAAAAGCTACAGAGAAACCGGCTCACATAAGACTGCCACAAGATCCGGTAGACCTTTGAAGATTAACGAAAGGAGTAAAAGAGAGATTCTACGCGAGATTAGCCGCGATCCAACACCACCAATGAACAATATTTGTAAAACACTGGCTACACATGTATCAGGTACAGCTCTACGCAAATTTCTACGTGAAGCGGGTATATAGTCTTGCACAATGTCACAATGCCCAAGGATTTTTTCTTTAAAAAAAAACAATCCAAAAAGAAACACTTGCAATGGACGATTGAACTCTTGACTGGAAAGTTGTGGATTTGATTGCCATCATCCGGTTTTATGAGCCTTAGCAGACTCCATGATAGTTACGAATGTTAGAGAGCTCTTGGAAAATCAGATACCGACTTTTCCTCCAAATGTCTTTCTCTCCCACACACACACACATCAACTATAAAGCCTAGAGGTGATTTTGCCATGGTCTGGGGATGCTTTTGTGAAAAAATAAAATGCCGGAGTTTCTGATGTGATAGTGGGGGGCAAATAGTCTCTGGCTCTAAATTGAGAACCAGTTTTTTATAAAACACATAAACTAGGTGGTTTTTCCTCTTTCCCCACCATTTGTCTTTTATCTTGCCACAACACAACCTTCTCCTTTTCCATTTTATTTATTTCAGCTCGGTAGCATAATAAAAGTGAGTTATAACAGGTACCTGTACCTCTCTCCTTCCCAAACACTCGTTTTCCCCAGTCCCGATACCAGAAACATACAGTTAAATATTTTATACGAACTTTGTAAGGATATTCTTGTGTAGCTGTGTAGATGCCAACAAATATGTGAGTTTGTGGGGGTGTGCGTTTCTGCTTGTAAGCTCTGCTTGCCTTTGTTCCAGCTATCTTTATTTTAAATATATATCAGATAGGCATATCACCTTTTTCTTTTACCAAATTATAGAATCTTTAGCTAGTATATAATACCCTATAGAAAAAAAATAGGCGATTTTAGTGAATTGTTGCAAGTTTTACGGGGTTTAAAGTGTCTTGTACTTGAGTTTTAATTAAGCACCAATTTCTACTCCACCATGTTTTTTTGCAGTCAAAGCAAAACATCTTTTTCTTAGCTTTTTCAACCCATTACAAAACTAAATACCAAGTTATTCAAATCTAATGGCTTACCAGTGGTAGCTTGGGTGGGTCCTAGGTGGTAACCAGGACAAAAATTTCTATCTTCTTTGAATTCTAGTCAGTCTTTGTCTCAAACGACGACCCTCCTGGAGATCTTCTTCTGCTTGTCTTCTGATACGACCAATCCGAATAACGTGGGTGAACCTTACAGGTATAATCCCATCATATCTCAAATTGTTAAGTATATGTCGGAAGTTCAGGACGGCAGCAAGATCCCGATTCCACAAACGATGCATAACCTCTGACCCGTCCATGTTCTCCAAACAATTTAGATTGGTACATCTAAAAGGACTTGTTTCTATTTTTTTTCACAAGGTCTAAAATTATTAAAAGTCTCTAAAAGGAACACACTTAATAACTATGAAGACTAGTATTAATAAAATAGGAATCGGCAAAGTTGACAAAAGAAAGCAATCTGAGAAGAATTGACAGAAGAATATCTGTATCATGTACAGTTTGGTTGTCAAGATTGCTCGCATGCTCATTAGAAATCTCGGTAGATTTAGAGAATTGCAAGGAATCTGTCTTCTTGTTTTTCAAAAGTAGGAATGAGACATGACAATGTTAACACAAAGCAGGTTTATACTCTTTGATAAAAAGAATTAATTAAGCAATATACATGCATGAGGTATTCGGGATTGTTTATGGGTTAGTATCTCAATAATGGGAAAAGTAGATACTGTGAGAGTGTTATTTATTAAAGAGACAAAATAATATTGTTTTTATATCTGCTACTATTCAAATCCCTGTAATTCAAATCCCTGTTGTGTAATGGTTGGTTTACACTGTATGAGTGTGTAGTGTACGTGTGCCTGGTGTGTAACAGTTCCGAAGATTGTTAACTTGCCAGATTCATTAGCAAGAAGGAACCAGTGTTTGGTTGTGGGGTCTGTTCTTCACTCAATTGTGGTGTGTATACCACAATGCCTTCATCAATATCATAGTACTTAGAGAATAGCCATTTTTTTTTGATAAAAAATGTAAAAAGTATTACATAGAAATAGATATATGTATATTATTTAGTAACTTTATAGCTTAAGCCGTTACTAAATATCATAAAAAATAGTACTTCTTCTTTCCATACTTCTTTATATTCAACTTGTATTATTTTGATCAATAAAAACTATAAAATTCCAATATAAAACCGTGTATTTGTTGAACCAATTATAAGAATAGAGATATCTAAAAAAAGGTATAGACTTGCCATACTTAGAATATTTGATTGGATTAGATGCAAAAATAATTGAAATTCCATAAATCATATTTGACATAATCTGAAATCTCATAAATAGTATATGTCCAAAAGTAAGGCTTATAGGTTAATGTCTGGCATGTTATTGGCCTAGAAGAAAGTTGCAGGTTGGCAACTTTGTTGCAGGTTCGGGGTTTAAGTGCTGCCATTTCCTACAGTGGTGATAATAAGCAGGTACGGGCCCAAATTTTCCAAAAAGGTATCACTATATCACGATTATCACTATATCGAATATCACTATATCGAGCTTTGACTGTATAAAGTATATATGCTCGAATTAACTGTGGCTGTATGTCAGCTACAGATTATACTAAGTACACATTCACTTTCTAAAACCTCTAGTTTGTCTTATTATCAACTTAGTTGCTTATTCTTATCAATTTATATATGCGTATGTTCTGTAGATATCCAGCTATAAATATTTAAACTACACTGTACTTCAGGACATCAGAATAATACAGCATTGTAAATAATGTATATTCATATATGTATTGATTAAATGATTTGTTTATTAATTGACTAATTAAAGAAAAGTCTTTAGTATAAGCATTCTACATTTCCACCCTGAAGAGTCGACTGGTGTTTCACGTCTTGTTCTTGTGCTTCAGAATCTGCTGTAATAAGAAAGAAAGAAAGAAATAAAGAAAGAAATATAAAAGTACATACCTGAAAAACCAAACACGCAAAAAAAAAGACGAGTCCGACGAGAAAAATCTAACTAAAAACACGGTACGAAGTTTGGGACATCTCACTCATACGACACCCGGTGGATCAGCTCACCAAAGTGAAGGACGACTAGCCAATCGTCAAACAAAAAAGAAGGACACAATGCCTTTAAACCCACATCTTCTAGTTCTAATATAATATCCTTGAAACCTTCGGCCTCGTACTCAAAATTCTGGACACCACCAGAGCTCGGTCAGGGTCCCGAGGGTTAACCTGTTGGCTTTAACTTCGTATATACAAAATATGAACAAGGTAAAGTGCTGAGATGCTTTGTTTCCTTTTATGTTTTGGAATGATTACTTGCCGAGTAGAAGAGTCTACCAAAATACTCGCGTATTTTAATGAGCTCGCTCGCTGAACTGCATTGTTTTTTTGGTAAAATTATGCAGATAAAACACATTAGTATCTTTTCATGTCAAGTCGGTAATTAGTAAACATGGCAATTAGCAGCAGATTTTTTTCACACAAAAACAAGAACGGAAGTGTTTTTCTAGGCTGCTAGTTATCTTTAACTGCTAGTATATAGCAAGTAACAAAAAAAATCTAGATCCTACTCAAGATTAATGAGCTTGAGCTTGGTAGCATTAGTCAATCTCTCGTTTCCTTGAATCCACAAAAGTTGAAAAATATTGAGCGCCTCTTTAAATAAAGAAAGGGCGAAAATATGTTCAGCAGCTTTTAACACCGAAAGAGACATATTTGAGTTGGCTTTAACACACTGATGGTCTTTACATTCATTACTTACCTAGTATACGCATAGATAGGCTTAAAGGAAGGGGGTGCAAGTAAACAGACGAGTATGCCCTTGAAACATTTCTTTCGTGCCAATACAGATGACATCCTCAATTATTTGTTATTCAAGCATTCTTAGTCACCATGAGAAGAAAAGAGGCGTTTAAGGGGGTTTTTTAAAGATAGCATAAGGATCTTTCATAATCGCTCTCTAAGTCACGCCTTTTTTTACCGTAGTGTAAAGCAAAATAACCACTCTTCTTAGGAGCCAGGATTTTACTACTAGTATCTTCACAGTGTGGTCTAATTATGTATATGCTGTTTTTTTTTACTAATTACTTGCCAAATGTGAATAAATTATTTACATACTTAAATTTTATTTTCCCACAGATGTATAAGGATAATCTTACTGAACATATCAAAGAATCTGTAAGAAAGATCAAGAGGTCCAATTGTCAAGGTTGGATCTACCACTCTATTATTTTATTCCCTCACTTCAAATATAAAGAACTACTTCTTTAAATATTGAAAGAATAACTTTATGTGAAAATAAAATTCAGGTATATAACTACTGATTAAAATGTGGAACTAATTTATTTAGTGCTGGTGAATAATTAGTAAAAATGCAGTATACTTATTAAAATATTGTTAGAAGCAATATCCCAGATGGTGAAAGGCAAAAGCTCAACAAACTACGAGAATTAACCAGATTATCCCTCGAAATCTTCTTTAATAAATTCAGACCTCAGCACAAAAAAAACCTGTTACAAAACAAAGTTGATTAATAGAAAAGCCTCAATGTATTATTGAAGCATGTATATAGCATGTCACATCCTACTCGGATGCTATTGTCGAGACTTTTAAAAACAAGAGCCTGTTTTATCCCAGGTATTGGCTATAAAGCTTTTAAATAACCCTTTGATGTATCATACAAATACATCTGATGGAGCGATATAAATATAGCCTGGAAATATTTAAAGGCTTCGGTATTTCTATAGAGTATGCTTTATTTATTTATTTATTTATTTATTATATTATATTTTAAGCTTTTAGTTTATTTAGTCAAAGTACAAGATGTTGTATTTCCCAAAGCCTATTCTTCTTTTTTGATAGAGATTTATTTGTGCACATCTATAATATTTATTTCTTTATGTGTTGATTGAAAGTCGTATATATAGAAAATACTCCCTTTCAAAATAAGTGCTTTTTATCTCCTATAATGCGTTTACTGTAGGGACCAAATTAATAACTTGTAAAAATAAAAAAATTGGAAGTGCAAGTTGGATATTCTTACAAGAGCCTCTTACTACTCAAAGATTTAAAGTTATCCATATATTAAAAGTGTTTCTCGCAAGAGAAGGTTTTATGACAATTCAACAGTACATTATTTATATGTGAGAAAAAAATGATTCAAGTAAACTATGTACTTCATCTTATTTTTACATTTGTTTACAACACACAATTACTCATATATAAAATTTCTGTAACTCGTAGCTATATAGCACACAAAAAAGAAAATCTGCAAACGATGGGTTGGCAGATCAAATGGTTTCTACTTTCCCTACAAGCACAAAGCAAATTATGTATCCAACTTCATCTGTATTATTGATACTATTATTTTTGTAAAAAAAATCACCTATTGACTTTTATATTGAGTAAGGGATGTTGTTAAATAAGCAGATGTTATTACAGATATCCGAATGAAGTGTAGTTTTATTAGATAATCTAAAAGTTGTATTATATATCTCGCTTTATATATATATATATATATTTCATAGAATTAGAATTATGGGGGTAATATAAGAAACTGGTGTTCTACTTTACTGCAATACGATTGCCGGCTTTTTTTCTTTTCTTCTTCTTACCATTGGACCAGCCCACTTTCACCACTAGAAGCATTACACTCTCAAATATAATATATAATGACCCCTTATGTATTGAGCTGATTGTAGTCACGATTCTTTAATTGATATCGCCCATAAAAGGAATCATTTGCTTGCTTTTTGTGAGTGATTTAAACCACCTTGTGGAATTTTGATCCGCCTAGATAACATTGTTGGAGATGTAAAGATACGTAGTTGAAGAAGCCGACTATCTTTTAATCTATAAGCCAAGACTTCGGTGCATTCTCCTATTTCTTCTTCCTCCTCCAATGATTTTTCTCTCTTTTTAAAGGGTATATTTTATTTAGTCTAGACAATCAATTTTTGGTCAAACAGAACGTTAATTTGCTGTTTCAATATTATTTATTATTAATAGAATCCTATTACTATGTAGATAAAGGCTCTTGCTTTATTTGTGGGACTATTTCTATATAATGAGAAGTTTTATTACCGTTATTATTATTATTTAATTATTGTACCATATTATATTACCTAACTTTAGTTAAAGGAGTACTTCCGAATAGAAATGTCTCCAGATAAACCCACAAGAATACAAATAAACAAATGTTTTAATTAAAAGGTTATATCAAAGTATAGCTACGTTTCAATATTCTTCTCTTTATATAATTTAGTGGGATCATATTTCTTTGTCCGTTGGTAGCTTTTGTATAAAACACGTGTGCTATATTTAATGTCGAATAACAGTAGAATATTTTTGTTTCGAATTAGTCTTTAATTTCAGCATTAGAGCAAATATTTTTATAGTTTTATACTTACTGCTAATACACACTGGCTATGTAGAACTTGTAATAGTCTACAAGACACAAACATCTGTGCGCCCAAGAATTTAATAATATTAATGTCATTAGAAATATCCTACTGCAGCCAACACTGTTTAAAGCTACAGATAACTTTTAAAAGTTATTCTATGAGCAAGCCTAGACTTTTATTAAAACTCCTTATTTCGAGGGGTGTTTTTCAGTAACTGTGCTTCTATTGGTCAAACGGCTTATTTTACCAGTCACAATTTCCCGTCTTTTAGTAAACTACCAAATGCGATTTCTCTTGTCAATTCCATCAAAAGTCATACAAGGGAATCTTGGCCATTCGATTGCTTGACCCAGCTTCCCCTTAGAAATAGCCACAATGCCCACCAATAAAGACCTGGTACAGACTGTAGCAACCGGAGCAGGAATTTCAGGTATAGCTATAGAACCTTCTGTACCAACTTGTATATATGTATATATAATATTTAAATAAAAAAGTGTCCATTAGCTGTAACTGGCGCTACAGTGGGAGCTACAGTAGCAGTCTTGACAAATTCGCCTGTTCGTACATTTGCAATCTCAACTGGACTTAATTGTGGTGTATTCGGTGCCACTTTCTTTGGTAAGACATAATATACATAAATTGATTTAAATACTGACAAGACATTAGCTGTCCGGGAGTCATTCCTTACTTATCAACGTAGTAAGAATCCTCTTTATGGACTAAAAGATTCTCAAACACGCGATGTCGATGACCTTGTCAGTAGCACCATGGCAGGCGTAACCACAGGAGGACTTTTGTCGGCAGCATATCGTAAGAACATAAAAATAAATAAACAAATAAACAAACATATGCACATGAAGGGGGATCTCAAGTCGAATTGATATAATACAAATACTAATTTCATTTTCTTAAAATGATAATAATAATAATAATAATAATAATAATAACAAATTAGGCGGCTCTCGGGGCGTTATTCCTGGATCAATCATGTTTGGTACATTCTGTGCAGGCACACAACTTCTTTATTCGGCAGCCAACAGATGGAGACAGGATAAGATTTTGGAAAAAGAGTCTGGTAATGAAGTAGTAGCCAAGAGTATATGGGAGTACATCAAGATGCCATCATGGTCACCCATTAGACAGTTATCCAACGATGAATACAATGAAATTCTGGATAACCAATTAAAAGCACTGGAGGAAGAGATGCGTGTGATTGAAAAGGAATTGAAGGAAAAGCGCGTACAATAAATAGAAGGCTATTGTTTCCTGTTTTTCTTTTTCTTTTTTTTTTGTAGAATAAATCCCAAAAAAAATTGTATTATTATTATTTGGTATTTGGTATTGTGTTTCTTTGGATTCTTGTTATATCCGTATTTTTGAAACATTCAAATATTTCCGTTACTTTTGAGAATATTATAAAACCAATAGCGACTTTTATTCTGTAACATAAATTCATGATATTAAAGTTATTTTTAGCGGATATTCTATTCTCTTGTGGCGCTGCGTAACATAGTGTGGTGTGGGGTGGGGCAAGGTGGTGTGACTTGATACCGCAGAAAATTATTTTTCTTGAGCAAAGACTCTTAGATATTTCCTAAATAGAAGTTTTGTCCCATGTAATGTATTGGCTGTTCTTTGGAATTATATTTTGAGATATGCTGTGGGCCATGTGCCACAGGGGTTGTGATGTACGTTCTCTAGCTATCTCTCTTTTATTTTACAAGCCTTGCCATTAATTTAATTTGTTGTCATGGTGACAGTTTCAAAGTGAGTAAAAGACGCGATTGATATTTCTGAGTTTAAATTAGGTGATTCCTGCAAATGTTGTAAAGAAAAAAAAACCTAGTAAAGTAGCAATCAGCCGATTGACGGTAGGGCTTGAGCAGAAGAGCTTTCTTTGTTACTAAGGAACCTTTTAGATTTAATGGTTCTAAGCGTGGGAAAGTGACCTCTTTTTTCCCTTTAATTTTATGTTTTGTGTTTGATTCGATTCGATTTTTTGGTTTGATTTGATTCCAAGAGCACTACAATGGATCAGATAATAAAAACAGTAAGTTTATAAGAGTTGAATGAATTTGAGAGTGTACTCCTATCTGCACCCGTTTTTCCCTTATCGTCTACTTATGAACGGGACAATTAGGAATCCAAGTAATGTCGGAACCATCATGGCCATTTTATCTGGGCACGGGCCCGTCTTTGTATTTCGTCATGAAAGGACTGATCCCCGCAATTGTTTAAAGAGAAAGAACCTAGTGAAGGTGAATATTATTATTATTATTTTTGGGGGGACAAATCTACTGGGCGGTATTTAGGTTACAATAATTTTTTTTTAAAAAAAATTGGCAAGGGCTGGGGGATGTTGCTATGTTGAATTTATTTGGTTTGCCTCAAATTTTGTATTGGTTCTTTGGGTTTAATGTGGGGCCATCAGGGCCCTTGCTCAATGTCTCTCAAAATAGTACTACAAAAAAATAAGAGAATAAACAGTCTGATCTGGATAGGTTGTTTTATTTTTGTTTGTGTGGCTCTATTTGAGCAAGACAAGTTCCCAGGACTTGTGATCCAAGTAGAATTGATGGTTGGCTGCGAATTAAGGCCAAAGATGTGGTGGATTTTCGTCATTAGTACACTGCGTATAGTACAAAAGGAGCTAATCGATAGAGAATACAAGAATGAGACTAAGCACGAGCGAAGATGGCTGTTTTGTGTATAAAGGTTTTGCTGTACATTTCAAAGAGCTCCAATTTGCCCCGCATCTTTGCATGTGCCTGTTCATGATTCTCCTTCCGATTCTAGCCGCGGAGTGGCTTGTCATGGACGTATATAAACCAGACCAAATTGTACTTTTTGCACATCTTAACTTGTTTCCCACCTTCAATTTTTGTACACTGAAAATATTTTAAAAAAATAGAAGAGATATTGCTGAACCCCATTATTCAATGAACAAAGTCCATCACAAGCCTATCAACACTATTTTCTGCGCTATTACTTCGTCGCTATTCCACCCTCCTGTTATTCTCAATTCATTAATTTAATTCTCTAATTTTTTATTATATATTTAATTCTTTATTTAAATACACATTTTTATATTACATTATATACAATAACATAAAGACAATAATGGCTTCATTCATGAGAAACAAAGCAAATGGACGTGCACCATCCACAGTCTTTTCTACCGCCGCAATGTCACCCCGCCAGGTTGCCAACAAAGCCTATTCTCTGGCATGTAAAAAACTTGATCGTGATGATCGCCGCAGCCGTCCACGTTACAATATCCGCGAAAGATTGTTGCTGTGCAACACTATCAACAAGGCCGAGGATGTTCTCAACAAGCGCACCCAGCGTTTCAATCGTCGTGTACTCTCTATCGAAGACGAAGACTTTGGCCACTCCGAGACCCCCGAATCCCACCAGCCCCACACCTCAAAGGAAACCGTCGCCCAGAAGTCCAGCCTGAGATCGTCTGGTTCTGAAGAAGAGGAAGAAGAAACTACAACTCAGATCGTGCCCGTCACGATGACTCCGGCGGAACCCAAACCCATTGTCCAAGAACATCAAGCACCAGCACCCTTCATTCATCAAATCTCCGCAGCAGAGGAGCTCATCAAAGATACTTTCCTCATCCCAACCAAGTCCCTCCCAGCCCCCATCTTTGTCATGCTCCCAAGTGGTCATCTCGAGCAGCTCATTGCTCTATCAGAATCTATGGCAGAAGCATTGTTACCCCGTGACTGTAGGCTTATCATGAGCCACAACAATATGTTGCCTATACCAATTGCTGCTGCAATCATCTAAATTTTTCATTTACTGTTATTTTCGCATATCATTCACTCAAAAATTGTCCATAGAACCCTCATTCAAATTTCAAATAAAAATTGTTACAATCAAAAATTTAAATAACAAAAAATAAAATAATAATATTTCCTAAATTAGTGATGTGGAGTTTGCCTTTTTTAGTCTCTATTTTGTTCCAAATAAACACTCTATTGGCTGTATTGAAACCAGATCAAGTTAGCTTTGATTTCTACTGTAATAATAACAATACTTGTAATATAAATAAAAAACACTTCTTCATCCAATTCTTATTCCTCTTTGCTTGTTAGTGTGAATATACCGGCAATTCTCGTAAGCATATGTAAAACTAACCGGTATCATCCGATAAAAACTTGACCGCGGAACGACTCTTGGCACGAGCCCCCACCTCTCTCCCTCCCCCTCTCCCCCCCCTCATTTGCAACACTCCTTCAGTACAATTGTGTTTGAATAAGGAAATATTTGAGATCTAATGGTGAAACATCATGGTAGACCGGGTCTCTTTTTTCTTAATTTTCACTTGTTATCAGAGTAGAAGTCAAAGGGCGTTCTTTACTTGAGAAGCAAAGCAAGAAACAAAACAAAAAGAAAGGTCAAAAAGTACACATTTGGTTGATTTTCTAATCCGGCCAAAAGAGTATCACACCTTTGGTTCAGCATCAACAACCAATGTCTATCTCTGCTCCTCAAAGCCAACCAACCAGAATCAATAACATAAATAGAATCCAAACGTGAGTTCCCAGTTCCGGTCAAATACATGGGCTCGACCAAGTACAACCAGTAATAAAAAAAGCGACCCTGTCTGTTAGAGGTAGACCAATCTTTTGTATTAATTTCACAGGAATGACCATAGTAGAAATTATGGTTGCTCTAAAAAGTGGTGGCCTGGGATGCTCATTCCTCCCTATCAATCAAGAAACAGTATAAAAAGGCGCAGACCTACAGACCTCATGTAGATAAAGGAGAACAGTTATACAGCCATGCTACCAAGTCCACACTTTTATTTTCTTTATGTTATCTAATTTACGGCTTATCTTGACTTTGCAAGAAATCTAAATAGCTCACTTGGTTTTTATAAATTTCTTTAAATATCTCCACTATAATCAGAAGTAAAAGTTATCAATAGAACAAGGCTTTGTTTTTAATGATCAGATACATGCATTTGATGTACATGTTGTTTATGTGCCCATAGTTTCACCACCAGCCATTCAAAAGTATATACCCTATATATAAATATTTATACTTCTTTCTTTATTTTGCGTAGTTTAACAATCATAACTTTGCAACAAACAAACAAACAAACAAACAAAACCCGAATATACATTGTCTTTACTATTAATAATATTACCAACTATCTCTATTATTATCATTATCATTATTTGATGTTTATTACTTACAAAATATGCATAGGTATTTAATATCGATTAGTATAACCAATTAACAAGGCACCTTTAAATATATAATCAGATTACGACATAATAGGGCTGTCAGTACAGCATTTGAAATACCTCATATTCATGACGAAATTAAAGTTTGATAGCTAAACACTAAAGTTGTATTTAGACTTATATGACGCAGCCAAAGAAAATTTATACCTCTTTACTAATAAATCAAATCAGATCAGATCAGATCAAACAAATAGTGTATAGATACAGCTTATCGATTAATAATTGTCAACCAAGCTTTTAAACATATTGAACGAATTTTAACCAGATAAACTTGATATATCAGAGATACTATTTCCGGGGTAACAAGTAGAATACTTAATAAATGAAATTAAAATCACTTGAAGCATAATTATATGAAGTTCAATTTGAAACCAACAGTTACAAACAAAATATTTGGATACAATTCTGTTAGGTATATATAGAAAAACAACAACAGAATCTAAACTGAATATCCCAAATAAACTTATTATATATCCCTTTCTTTTCGTTTTAATGGTAACCATTACATAATTATACCTAAATACAAGTAAGCCAACTTCTACGGTAGAGAGCTCGTTGAATATCCGGAAAAGAAAAACAGCAATTGAGAGTATACATTGAAGATGATCTCCAGGTACATCCGTATATCTTGTAATTGTGACGGACTATTGGTACAATAATCGACTACCACTGATCCTCGGGTCATTATCCAATTAAACTATTATGTTAAGATCCTAGGGTTCAATGCCAATCAAGCTGAAAGCTAGGTGATATATCCTATGCTTTCAATATGACTTTCTTGGCATCAATGTAATAGTCTGAGTGCATTGTAGTTTTCGCTTAAACAATATTTTATTAAATGACCACACAGTTAACATAATTAACAGCTATATGTTTCAATTATTTTCAATGATCAATAATGATAGCTAAAATATTGCTTTTTGTTGTACTGTCTTTAAGTGCATAGAAAGTCAAAGTTTATATTTATGAATATAATACTTTCTTCTTTTCTTTAATAATCATCATATTACATATACTGTTGGATACTGTATAAACGTCTTATGGTCTTGGCATATAAAATATACCCTAAGATTATCACATACAGCTGTAATCTTTTCAATAATAACAGAATTAGAAAAAATGCATAAAAAAACAATGTACTACAAGTCATGACTGTCATTGGCCCAGCACGTTTACAAGATGTCCAAGCGTTTTAATTTTCAACAATTGATTTGTAAAGAGAGAGAGAGAGAAAAAAAAGTGACCGTAGAAACACGTCCTTGAATCCTTATCCAGAATGTCACCCGCACCTACAGGACCCATTGAAAAAGCAGCACAGGCACTTCAGGCTGGTGCTAATATTTCGTTACAAGATAAAATAGCTTCTTTGAGATCCCTGTCTGTTTCACTCGGAGGTACATTATTGAATGCATTTATTAAATTCTAGTTGATTAACTTATATTGTCATTAGAGAATGTATCAATTTCACAAGCTACCCAAGTATTCCAAGTACTTCCTCTTGCAGATCTATATGGAGCATTTAGTGTTGAGGATGATGAATTGACAGACGCTGCATGTGCATTGATCTCTAAACTATTGGGTCCATTCTCATACGACATGGTAGTAGCAACTAATGAGGTAAATTAAACCCACCATTTAGTATTATTCCTTTTTAATGTAATGGAAACTACTAACTACTATATCTTTGTAGGAATTTTTATTACAAGGATTGAGTCACTTTACACCTGCTATTCGTTGTCTTTCATTAGAACAAGTCGAAAAATGTGTAGTGTCCAACTCATCTGTAATATCCATGGTAAGTATGATTTTAATTATTATAAATATAACGTAATGGCTGACCTTTTTGCTTTTGATATTACAGGTCAACTCCCAAGTATTCCCTCTTGTTTTGACAACATTAGCTTTCCAAGATATCAGAACAGCCTCAAAAGCTTCTGGTGTTCTTCAAAAGGTATATTGTTATATTGTTATTATTGGTACATAATTTTTATTCAATTTCTTGGATTTTTTTTTTACAATTCAAAATAATAATAATAATAGGTTGCCCTCACAGAACCTGGGTTGGAAGCATTTACAAGTGGGATTTCTCCTATGATGCTTCAACAGTTGGTTTACATGTATGTATAAAGTATACTCAACAATACTTGGTATTTAATTCAATATTTAACTTTTACTAGAGATGGAACAGTGTCTTTCAGGATCTATGAGCTTGTAGTTGACGTAGCTTCGTCATCAGAAAATGCTTTCAAAAAATGTGAATCATCCGGCCTCCTCAGTATCATTCATACACAAATTAGCTCTAACGATCTACTATTAAGAATCAATGCAATCGAGATCCTGCACAAGGTAAATAAGAACAAGGAAAAAAGTAAAATAAAAAATTGTTTAGTCTAATTGTTTTCTTTAGCTTGCTCTCAAATCTGGCATCGAGTTTTTGGAGAAAAATAATATCTTACAAGAGTTATCTGTTTTATTGTCCCAAGAATATGATACAGATGTAGTGCTTGTCCTGACAAAATGTGCTATCATAAAGTTCTTTGCGAATTTGAGCGAAAGTAGAGTACGTGCATTGAATTGATAGATAACATCGCAAGATTAACAAACATGGTACATATATTATCTTAGGATGTGGAATTCGGAGTGATTGAACAGAAACACGGCATCTTCGAGCGTCTAAGCAAATGCCTATACAGCACCAACAACGAAGTCTTGGCAAGTCAATAATCTAAGGATTATACTACACCACAATTATAATAATATCATTGTGTTCACTTTAGACCACAGCTGCTTCATGTGTCGGCATTATCGGGTCCAGTGTCACCGGTCTTGGTCTTATTCTATCCAGCTCTCTTTTGGGTGTCTTTATAGAAGGTTACCATTCATCTGGAGGAGAAACTAAAACAGTCTTTCTCAGAAGCTTATCTAAGATCCTCGGTATTCAGTAAGAACATCTTTTCAAGCCAATTTTAGAGATAACTAGAAACACCAAATTGAATATTTATTCTACTAGAGATGAGTCGAATCCAGTAGTAGAGACCATGACAGAAAATGTGTACAACCTCGTCAATGGTTTGTTATTATTATAAACAGTAAAATGATGTGTGCAAGGGATTCTGATAAACAAGTGCGGTACATAATATCTTAGGACGATCGACCACACTTGACGAGCTGATCAAAATGGCAAAGCAACCTATGGAGGACAGTAGAATTGCAGTGTTTTCCGTCATGCAATCAATCTCATCACACTCATGGGGACAAAAGGTAATATATAATATATCAAAGGCTATATAAAATGTACTCATATGACTCTATTAAAGTTGTTGTCTCAATCTACCGAATTTATTGAGTTTATTTTGAACCGGGCAGCAGAGACTACACAATCTGGACAGGTAACTTTTATTTAACCCCACCACACCCCGCTCGAATTTTGACGTTTCTTGTGAAACTAGACGTGGAAGTATGGAATCGTAAAGAACCTTGTGGCATCACCAGACTCTGCCTCAAATTTGGGTCAAAACTATACCTTGTTACAGCAATATATACGACAAGGACCATTCTACCAACCATCAGAGACTGCTGTGGCAGTAGGGAATATTTAATAGAACAACATGTGGCTTTAAGAAAGAAAGAAAAATAGGAATGTTTTACAAATTCTGTGCAATTAAGCTAATAAATACTTTCATTTTTTGCATATTAAATTAATAAATATGTATGAGTTGAAAACCTACAGGCTATTTGTGTGTGTGTGTGTTTGTATGGGTAATATTTATGTATAAGCCTTTTTTTTTAAGAAAACAAGAAATGTACGGGTACTCAATAACGTTTCTCCAGTGTAATCTTTAAGTCAAAGGGTGCCATGATATTAAATGCATAGACTTGGAGTTCATCTTTGTTAATCGTGTTTTCAGAAAGTTTCCATGTGTATTTTCGCACTATTCCCAATATAATTATGTTAGCACCCGTAAACACTTGTCAATAATACATTTGAATGCTTACACATCATGGCCAAGAGAACACGCTGTTCCACCAAACTGAAATTCATGCCGATGCACTGTCTACCGCCGTCACTGAATGGAATATATCCCATACCCTCAATCTTGTCTGCTTCTCCTCCAGGAAGGAATCGTTCTGGGCGGAATTCTTCTGGACTATCCCACAAAAGTGGATTTCTGTGTAAGCTGTAAACAGCTACCTTGACGGATGTACCCTTTGGGAGTAATACTCCATCCAACACAATGTCCTCTGTTACCAACCGGTCAAGTGGGCCACCAACAGGGGGATTGATTCTCATATTCTAAATAGAATTATTATTATCCTATTCAAAAGGAAACTAGTATAATGAACTCACCTCTTTGATAATGAGATTTAAGTAATCCAGCTGTCTTGTGTCTTCGATGCTTGGGATAACATCCTCAGGCTCATCTCCCAAGACATTTATAACCTCTTCTCTAGCCTTCTTCTGGACGTCTTGTTGTACTGCAAGATGATAAAGTGCGGAAGATAAGGCATTGGCGGTTGTATCATGACCGGCGAAGAAAAATGCACATAGGTTGCTCTAAAAAAAGAAGATTTATGTTTTTTTTTTAGTAAAGCGTACAAAATGTCATGGAGAAATGATGAGTTATTTACCATGAGCTCATCTTCTGACATGGGTTCATGACCCTCGTTTTCTGATTCGAGCAGTAAGGTGAGTAAATCTTTTTCTGTATCTTTCAGATTGGGATTTGGCTTGTTCTCTTTTAATCTTGCTTGCTTTTGAATGATTACTTGACGCATCATATCCTTAAGCTTGGTCATCTTATCGTGAACTCTCTTTCTCTTGGGGAACATCCAGAGGAAGCTCTTTTCTAAAACAGGGAGTATGTTGAAAATCGGAACAAATAGACTGGCATTGATCTCATAGTAAATACTGGTCCATTCATTGTTTGGCTTGGTAAGAGATTCGAAATCAAAATCTAAGTAATTAATAACATAATTAATAAAAAGGCGATAATAATGATAATAAAAAAATCCTCACCAAACACAGCTGAGCCAAGAGTATCAAGTGTCCATTTCTTCATAGTATCGAGGACATCGATGGTTGGGTCAATATTGTCCAAGTATTTAAAAAGGTTGATTGTAATTCGACCAAACATGTCGACTGGCATTGACCGACTAAAGGCAGGATTGGAAATCTATAGGAAAAAATAAATATTTAAGTACAAACACATATATTTTCGTATACTCTTTAACGATAGTTTTACCATGCGCTGTTTTCTCCACTTCTTTCCTTCGAGAAGGAAGACATTGGGACCTCCTATAAATCTATGTGCCAATGTTCCTTGGGACTTGCTTAAAGAATTTGCCTTTGGGAACATGTCTAAAGTTATATTATTAGCATTCTTTGCATCTTTTCGAAATCTTGTATAATATGCAACCTACCAAATTTAAGCAATATAGTTTTTATAGCAATAGGGTTTGCTACTTGGACACTCCATTTTCCAAGAAACGGAATCTAACAGATAATATATATATAGCTCGTAAACAAAGAACTTTCAATAATTTGTCATCAATTTACCGCATAAAAACCATTATTCTCGGCCAGGAGTGGCAAAAGAAGTTCTCTTGCTTGTTCTGATGCTGGCTGCTTTCTCAGTTGTGATCGTGTGTAGGCAATGTAATTAACATGGGGTATGTGGCGTAGAGATTTTGGTGGGTATATAATCTTGTTTATAGTATTATAGCACAAGACAAGCACTACAGCAGAGAATATTACTCCAGCTTGTTTTTTTCTCTGGACCAGCTGTGGCTGTACAAAGTCAACGAAAAGGCTCTGAAGATTCTCAAAAGAGCTATTTGCCATGGATACGGCCTTGGTACAATCAATTGTCATTTTCGTTTTATAAAGAAGAAGAAGCTGCAAAAAAGAAATAAGATATCTATTTTTTTATATATATATAATAAGTTTTTAAGTTGCTTAATTAAAGACTCTCCGCTATGAATACAGTCATTGGGTAAATTGAGTTTCAGGTAACTTGGAACTGTGCAACCGATCAAGATTATGTTGATACAAGCTATAGATTCTTAAAGCTCTTGTGTACCTAGAGCAATGCTTTTATTATATATACTCTTATATCGAATTAACCAACATTTCCTATATCCTTTTATTAAAAGTAAGATTCTTATTCGAAAGTTGGTAAAGACGAGATGAACGAAATAAATTTAGGTGTTAATTTATGTGAGAGCGTTACAATATTATTATTTTTGTTCGTTTTTTTTTTTGGAAAAAAAAATTACAATAGTTCTGTACCTTTGAGGCAACACAAATTCCAGAAACACACTGATTTACTTTTTGTATTCTTTATTGACTATTGCTGTCGTGCTTGTTACGCGGATATTAAATAATTTGAAAAGAGAGTGATACACTGTAGACAACAAGAACCAACATGGATGATAAACAGATGAAAGAGAAACGGAGTGAGAAAACGAGTATTGAGAGAAAAAAATGAAGATGGCCAATGTCGGTCCTCACCAATGCAGAATACTGCGGCTCAAAATCAGAGGCTTTTATTACCACCATACCAGAGAGATAAAGCAAAATGGTGTATACTCAAAAAATAAATACCCAGTGAGAACTCCAAATAGCATTAGATGATATGGGAATAGTAAGTATGGTAATAATGAGGGATGAACTGACACCAGAAACACTTTCACTTTGCAAGCTTTAGGACAGTCACGGTAACACCTGGAGCAAACTATCATTAATAAGAGTTAATATCAGCCTCTTAAATCTGGCAATTTTCGATCAAGACGATGTCCCGTAATAATAATAAATCTAACAGCATAATTTTTGGAGATATATTACATACAATTATGAGCTTTGGCACTATTGCTGTCTGCTCGCAGTTGTAAATAGACTTCCTAATAAAAAAATACAGGGTGTTTGAGTCCACAATTACTTTGAGAAGAAGAGGGTGGGTACGAGAGCGATGCGTACACAATCTCGCTCATTGAGAAGATATAATAAAATCTTGTAACAAGACCCCCACCTTCTATAGGCCATAATGTTTTTAATAAGCCTAGTCAAATAGGCAAAATAGAATTGTACACATTTTATAGAAATTTCTGCTCTTTTGCAGTAATTTCTTCAATATATATATTCAACTTATGTAAAAAAAAAAGTAAAATTTGATTATGTGCATTTTTTTCCAAGTCTAGACTATTTTCTTGTAAAGTGTATGCTAAATATCATTGTTGAAAGATATAAACTGTGGAAAAGTATAGAATATTTTGTTCTTTTTCTTTTTGCGAGGTGTGATTGGTTGCTTAAATTGTACAAGAATTTGGCTGTGCTCATCTGACTACCCTTATTATTTGTTTACAGAAAATTAATCCTAGAAAATCGTCGATATTTGCCCCAAGTTATCATCGACTTCTTCCACTAATAACTACTTTAATATACATATATGATATCGATACATTTACACGGAATAAGATTTATAAATAATCAAGGATAACTTGATATCTTACTTGAAAACAAAAAATAATCACATCAATGTAATATCTAGTCTTGGGATTTGATAGTACATCTACATTCTTCTTATGAAAGAAGTGATTATAAAAAGTTCAAATATAGTCAGTTAATACAAACAACACTATTCGACACATTTACTTTTCCTTGTAGCCAAGTTCTTCGCAATTGAAACACATTTTGAAATTGACAGGACACTGACAGGTATTAACTATTATGTTTCTTTCTCTCTCTCTTGTAGACTATTTAACGTTACAATATTATACTACATCTATTTACTGTAGTACATCAAAGGCTCCGGAAAAGGCATTCAGCCTAATCTTTTTTGTTTCTCACCTATTATTAATTCAAAAGACCCGAGGTTTGTAAAAAGCAGTATTTTGATTGATATCCAAAGAGAAGAAAAGATAATATGTTAAAAAAAAATAAAGAATGCTTTTTTCTAATATGATGTTGCTCAGGTATCAGTAGTACAGAAACAGCTTCTTTGAGCAATCAGACGTAACAATAAAGAACACAATGTACTATTTTGAATACAAAACATGTGCTCTGTGCTTGTAGAAATAATCTAAAATGTTTTTCAATCGCATGTTATTTTTTTTTATTAAAAGTAATAAGAACTATTTCACTCTTTTTGTATTCAAGATATGTATAAATATTCGTTGAATTCAAAGCCAAAACGTGCCAAGGTTTGAATAAGAACGACACCATGTCAATTTATTTACAGCAACAGCGCTAGATATATAATCTACAGCACAAAATAATATTAAAAGCGATAAGAAACCAAACGTATTATTGCCACGTTCCCCGTATTCTATATTGGCACATAATTTCCTAACCCTTTAATGTGCTATAGGCAAAGCATTATTGATATAAAAAATCACTAGAAGTTTCATTCTGTTTATTTCGAACTGAGACTCGGTGAGACTTTGTACCCTATGAAAAATTCTAAATTAACTTTATTTCCCTGGATCTGTACTCTCAAAGTGTAACCAGTCTTATTTTAGGCAGCAAATACTCCTATAGTAAAATATATAATTTATAATATAGAGCACCACCAGTGTAAAGGTCTTCATTAAAAAAGATATATATAATACAAATAAATAAATAAAAAAACAGTAAAGATCCTAACAACTATTTTAGCCTGGTTAAGTATCCACGGCTCTGACAGAGGTGTTATTAAAATCAGTAAAATAAATTACTATTATTTCAGGTGTTAACAATCTCAAGTAGATTTTCAAGTAACAAACTTTGGTTAACACATAATAATTTACAATTCAAGGTAAAGAAAGCACCCTACATTTTACTGCTAATCTAGAGATATATAGGTTATATTATTGTAGAATAGTTATGGGATTCTTATTAATACAGTGTCTGGTAAAACACACCTCTAAGCACACCCTGGAGCACATTAAATAAGACACCTACGAACACGCATTTATTTCTCGTAGCTGTAGTAGAGAGAAATATCTGTTGATTAATATGATACTATGTGTATGTATGTGTGCTTAAAAACAGTGTCGTACACCAACTTTAAAATTAGCCCACTATAATAGATAAAAGATGGAAGTATACTATGCAGAAGGGTGCGAGACATACAAACGATTGTATATCAAAGAAAAAAGGGCATTAATAAATCCAGACGACTCATTTTTTGGAACAATAGATGCACTGGAGAGTATTATCTAATAGACAGTACATAGACTAGCAGATTTTACCAGCTATTATGCTCGGATTTTTATATAGAGGTACTCCAATAAAAAAAATAGATTTTCTGAAATGGATCAAAAGAGTGGATTTCGATACCCAAGCATCAAATCTTTTCGTTAGATATTTGGATGTTTAGATGTTGAGATTTATTGAATATCATTGGATATAAAATAAAACACTGGTGTATCAAAAAAAAAAAGCACCGAAGACTGGTGAAACTCATTGTAGGTTTAAAGTATAGCATATATTCTGTTCTTGCTTTTTTATATCACTATTCTGAGTTTCTTCAGTGCTTCTTATACATTCTACCCTGTGTAATGTTTTTTATGCAACGTTATATATGCATTTAATCGGGTTCAGGTCCGGAACTGGCACACAATATCTTCCTTAAGAGGATATACTTTATGATAAAATATTTATCTGAAAATATTTGTTCTGTTAAAAAAACCGCTAATTATCCCTGGCGTACCATTATTCTATACTTTTTCTCTTTAAGTCTATAAGAAATACTTGAGAATAAAGCGACAGAAAGTTCACACTTTGCATAAACACTTTTGGGGTCCTACCTATTTAAAATCAAGTTTCTTGGGATTAAAATACACGGGGGTAAATTATCCATTTATAAAATCCGTGAATACTAAGAGTATAAATCTACATACAATACATCCCATCGTGTAATATTTTCTTTTCTTTTCAGAATATTTATTTGGGGTAAGCCAGTCAATAAATACAATACATATATACTTGAGACCGGTAGACCTAGTTTTATATCATAAATATAAGCATGGGATAATGTACTTGAAAATTGAAGACATTGATTTGAAATGATACTTGCTCCATGTTCTTTTTTTAAAACAAAAAAGGATAAGGTAATGTGTAGCATATTAAAGAAAAATACCATCCAAAATGTCTCGGCCAAAAATTCCAAAAAAAAATGGAGGATTTTTATTGTGCTTTAGTTTCTAAGCAATAATTCATATTTTCTGGGAAAGGAAATCCAAAGTTTGAATTATGCGAGCTTAACAAGAACAGTTTGCTGTCGACAGCTTTATAAGAAAATAATAATAAGAGCAGCAGCATTCTCATAATCTCTGGTACACTGTGCTTACCATTCCATATGATTATTTCTTATTGAAGGAGTATTCTACCTTATGTACAGTGAGCTCAATAAGCAGAATGAAATTATGGGCTATAACTATAGCAAAATACTTTCAGATATACAGTAAATATCAATACCAGAAAAAGCCATAGTACAGTACATTACAGTACAATATAATAGTAAAGCGAATAAAGCCATTAAAGAGATAATTATCCATCACATTAAAAACTAGCATCAAAGATAAAAGAAAAAAAAAGTACATTTCTACTAAGAACAACACAGGTTTAACAACTTTGGTACTGGCGGAGCTAGTATTTATTCAATGTACAGCGCAGAAATCAGGGTAACATGTTTTAGAGGACTGGGATATAACTGCCAATTCTATCCTTTTGGTTCTGGGAGACGCACTCTGCAATCCATACAATGTTACGGATCTCCTGTTCTCTGAGCTTGATGTAGGAATAGAAAACACCGTAGTTGAACTGTTGCTGGAAAGAAATTCCGTTCAAAAAGACTTCATACTCAAAGAATCTGTTTTCCAATGTGCTGTTGCTTGTTACAGTGTCAAAGAAAGGACGATATTCATGGAATACTTCACAAGCACTCTTAACCTGATCGATTTCATCGGCTACAGCCAGTCTTGCGTTTCCTTCGGGATAAAGACGACCAATGGTAGGGAATAGCTTGCGACGATCCTCTTTAGACAGCTCAGTACCAAAAGAATTGATGGTAATGTTGATTGTACGACGATCTGCCTCGAACTATATGTGTACATGTATGTAGATATATATATACAGATCTACAGTAAATACCCTCTCCATTTTCTTTTTTGCCCCAATATGAACAAGTTCCCATTTTTTATTTACCTGAAGAATCTCTCCCATAACTTCAGCTGTAGGGCCACCGAGTGTCTGGCAAAACTGGTAAAAGTCTTCGAGATATGCCTTGTGGAGAGTGTTACGAATGATTTCAATATTAAGCTCATCTAAATCGTGGGCACTCAGGCAGTTGGCAAAGTAAGGTGCCAAAGGAGTCTCCACCAAAACAGTGTTGTACAATTCAGCAACAGTAGTAGCCACACACAGAGCAGGCATAGAATCAAAAACACCCAGAGGATGACAACGCTCGAGCAACTCATGGGTATCACGCTCATGAAGAGTTCCAGTGATCAACAGAATGACATTGTCGATCATGTACTGATACCTATTCATCATAAATAATAAGCATGCCTTGCTTCATTCAACGCGCGCATGAACATCACTTGCGTAATGTAGTCGAGGAACTTTGTTAATGGCTGGACAGCATTGGCGCGAATATAGTCAAACTCTTCCACCAGGCGTTGGGTCAACTTCTCAGAGATAGTCGAGGTCGAGATGGGAGAAGGCTCATTTTGCAACAAGGTTCCATAATCTGTGGCTCCCAATTGAAGACGAAGATCTAGTGAAGTCATAATACTTTTTGTCATTTTCTTTTACTCTTTCTTATTTTTTGTATAGTTATTTTAACTTTTTTTTTTGTTTGTCTATTCACCTTCAAGAGTCTCGCTTTGGGTTAGGTTAGAGTACTGTGTCCGGGAAATAATTCCCGAGCGATAGCCTCGAAGAATACCATCCAGGTAACCGTTGTTCTCATTGAAATAAAGCGCGAATGCCATGATGGAGAGAGGAAGATGGAAGCAAGGGACAAACCTTGAATAGAAAGAAGACTGAAACAAGGGAGAGGCGGGATTTGAATGGACGTCATCGTCCATTAGACTTGAGAGAAAGCAATGCAAGAACACAAGAAATGGGCTCTGTTGAAAGAAGGCCAGCATAACATACTCAGTTCTACTCGAGAATTTATTTAGATACAAAGTTTTGCTACATAAGTAAATACAGATATTTTGGATACCCCAAACTGGCTTAATATTAAAAATAAAGGATATATAGTCTATCTTTGGTATAAGCATTTTCTTTATTATTATTATTTTTTATTCTTTTGGCTGTGGGCGAACCAAGGCTATATAAACGGCCTCTATAATATTGTGATAACGTCTTTGCTACCCTTAAGCTTATATAGCCTTCTGCTTTTATTATTATGTTTTATATGCAAATAATATAATAATGCTTTTATATATATATCTTGTATAAACAATATTATGTACATTATAAATTGTAATGACAATTTCAAATTGTATTCAAATTTTGACAGATCAACACATGTGCATCTTGTACGATTACTGAAATGTGTATAAGTAGTTGGATATTTTTCGTATTCTTTCTTGTTCTTTTGTCAAGAGAAGGAAAAACTAATAAAAATAAAAGCAGGTTCTTTTGATTGAAAACCTTTATTTTAAGATGAGTTTGACTTTTGGGGGAGTTTTTTGTTCTTGTTCCCAACCAAAGTTAATTAGTCGACCGTCACGCCTAACAATCGCCTTTATGACTTTTGGGCTCCCTCTACAGGATCATAAAATAGTTTTAACATATAAAGTAAATACGTTTTCAAATATATCATACAATACATCTTATCATTAATAAATATCGTGGATATTTACTTGAGATTAAAGAGTATAAAAATACAATCAAACTAATACAGGTACTGATGTTATATGCATATAAAGATTTGTTTCGTGGAGATCTGGTCGGGATAGCAGACCATTTTTACGCCTGTTTTGAATATATATACAGATACTTTTATTTTATCGTTAGAATACAATATGGTTCGAATATATATTTATACTATTGATATCTGTACTCTTTCTTCTATTAAAGGATGAGTCCAAAACTTGGTAATGTTTGTTTATGCGCAAATAAGCTCCTAAGTAAATACAAGTCTTCTTTTTCTGGACATAAATTGTATTAAAAACAAACAAACCATTAAGAATTATCTGGTAAGAATGTACAATGATGCTATGGTTTTACTTTGTTGCCTCAACTTCCTTAATGACCTCTACTACTGTTTCTTTTGTTACTAATGGCATTTCTACACTTTCCTGAATAGCAGGCAAAAATGTAGCAAAAGTCAAATAACTTGTGTGACCTCTAGCTTCCTCCGGTGTCTTGCTCACAAGTAAAGTCTCTACTGCAGTTGACAGTCCATCTGCATCTGTCTCTTCCTCAACTCCCTCGAGCAGCTTTCGTTTCCGTGTGTTGGTTACACCGGCTAACGCATTCAACTTTGCTTCTTCCAAGGCTTCGGAAAAGTCAATTTTGTGCAAAGGTATCACACCATGGCTTCGTATCAGACATTCGTACATGGTGATTTCTATTGATTTCTCTTATGAGTACCATATCACATTTTTCATTTTCCTTGCAGCAAATTTATACTCACCAACAAACTCATGATCGTTTAGTGCTGTGACAGTTCGTGCGACCTGTTCAATACATGGACTAAAAGTACAGATTTTTCCTGTGCGATGTTGTTTAAAAGCAGCCTTTGCAGACTCAATGGCTTCCCAAGGTGCTGGCAAATCAAGGAATACTATACACAGACATTTAGTTGTGTGTCCCACCACCAGAAAATTCATTTTATACTCCATTTGCATTTTACAATTATTCTTTACCTGCATTGACGGTATCTACAAGTCCAAATCCATTCTTGCACACATCACGATGTTCGAGCTGTATCATATCTCCCAAGCCATGGTCTTGGAACTCTTGTTTTGCAAGTGTTGCTCTCTCAAGATGGTATTCGAATGAGAAAAGCTTTCCAGTTGGTGCGATAGTTCTTGCAATTGAATGTGAGAAAGATCCACTACCAGTACCTAAAGTTGTATGGTACAACAGTAAGACTAAAATAAACTATCTCATTGTATATTTACCAGATTCAATGACACGTGCTCCTGGCTTCATGTCAAGGTAGGTAGTGATGAATGAAATGTCTGCAATGTAAAGAATCTGGGTGCGATGAGGGAGCACAAGGGTCCACAGTTCAGGTGTAGGGTGGAGCAGATAAATAAAACCTTTGTAGTTATTGGAGATCATCTACACACATGGTTTTAGACAAAATGTTCATAGAAAAACTGGCATTCTATTTTTTCAGGAAAAAGAAAAAAAGAAGTAGTAAGCTTGCCTTGGAGCCAAACTCTTTTCCAATCATATCTTTGTGCTTAAATACACCAAAGCGGTTGTTGAGGTCTCCGTCTTCTGTAATTACGATCGGGGTCATGTTGTCTTTTGTCTGATAGGATAGTAAGAAATTATGTCGGTGATTTGCTTCTGTTTAAGCGCACTCACCATGTAGACGATGACCAGATCGCCCACCTCAATGTATTTCTTCCAGCCGCTAAAACTCATGTCAAAAGTCTAAGAAAATAAAAATAAAAAGATGCCTTCCGAGACAAGTAATGATTTTTTTTTGTGGAGCTCGATGGACCCGACCAAGCCACGGCCGTGACGCTTAATTCATGCTTTTCTATCTAGAGAGATGTAGATTCCTTTCTGGTGTTTGCTGGGTTGGATGAAGACAATGGCAAAAGATCAACCTTTGAAGATTGAGCTCGAGGAGAATGACGTGATTGTCTCGTTATTCAATACGCTTTCCAAAACCAGCAAAAAGCTGCTACAAGAATCATATCAACAAGAAAAGCATAGATCTAGTTATCACAACCGGCGTAACCAAGAAAATCAAGAGCTAGAGAACGAGATGGATAACGTAGGAACACCGTATAGCTTATAGTATATTATAGAACAGTACAGTACAGTACATTATAGTATTGGGTAATCTCTTATATACTTTTTTAGTGGATTAAAGGCGTTTTTCATGTGGCAAGTGGGAATATTACTGTAAACGGTGAAGATTGTACTGATCTCATTGATTTAGATACAGGTAATTTGGATTATATTAAGTGAACACATATCTGGATTTTTAACGAGGTCATATGATTGTATAATATAGAGCCCCTCGATCTCGATTTAGAAAACCAGGTCAAAACATTAGAAAAGGAAGTGATAGCTATGAGAGAGCAAATGGCCGTAGAGCGCAGAGAGCTTCCACGACAAATAGAGCGTGTGTTGGAGACAACGCTTGAGAGGCAGATGGACGGCGAAGAAAGGGGCATTGATGATGAAGAGTATACCGAGCCAGGTAAAGCACTTGTGTTTGAGTATCGAGTTCTCATATCTCCATAGAGACCGTGCATTTACCGGTGATCGAACAGGAGACTATTGCTGAGTATAGGCGTGGGATAAAACTCTTGCAGAAATTGGAGAGGGTAATTTTGATTTCATTAATGACGGTAGAAATTTATTATTCAACATGTGTGCCTTTTAGACATTACCTGGTCGGGCAAGCCAATATGAGGACATTGAGAGAGTATTGGGGGAAAGATCCTCATGAAGGTTACACCCATAAGAAACTGTTTTGTATAAAGAGCAAAGAAATATGGAGACTTTTGTTTCTTATTCTTATTTACATCCATGGACTATTTTTACAAACCACATCGTACTACTCCCCATGATACTTATGATTCACCCTCGCCCGCACTCCCACCCGTGATGGAAGAACGCAAGACAGGTTGGGTACGAATCCAGTTCAAGAAAACGAAGCCTATCGAGACGCCACTACCAGACGCCACTACCAGACAAGTCTATAGAGATGAGACGACAGTAGAGGAACAGGTGTAACCTGAAGATTGCATATGATTTTCCCCCCTTCTGAACCACATGTCTTAATTCCTTTCTTTGTCTGACCTGTACTTATTATGCTAGCTTTTTGGACTAGTAAAACTTGACTGAGGCACAACTTATAAAACATTTATACATTTATTTATATCATAGCATGATACGGATAAGCACGTTTGCTTAATAATTAGTGGTGAAATGGTAATAAAAAAATTGAATAAAGTCAAAGGGTTCAAAATTAAACGAAGAGGGAATGAATTATATTAATGCGGGCATCACAGGCCATGTCTATTGATTACATGTCACATGCCCTGCAGCAGACTGATCAGGGGAGGTGGGGGAGTGAGGGGGGAGTGAAGGGGGGAGGAAAGGGGAGGAGATAAAATAGATTAGGTGGTGCGGTATCGTCGGGCGATGTCGAGAACATTTTCATATTCGTTTCGAAAGTCCCAGCCGACATCGTAACGGGCTATTTTGGTGCATGCATTGGCAAGAGAGTCAAGCCAAGACTGGGGAGGGTCAAGGATAGAAACCACGGCAGACCACTCTGACGAGGACAGAGGAGGATTCTTGTGGTTCTTAAGGACAGCGGCCATTTCAAGGATGACAGTCCGTCCGAACTTGGCATGATAAAAAACATGTTGGCGTACTTCTGGGGGTGCATCAAGACTCTCCTGGACAATTATTAAGAGACCAAGAAGTGCAACTAATGAGTGACCCTGGGAAGACGAGTGTAGTGTAAGACTGCAGAGACGAACGAGACTATGAAGTTCGTCAGCAATATCAGCAGCGCGTGCAAATTGCTCTGATGGTCGTAGCTGGTCAAGCCCATGGACCAAAGAACGGGCCCTCTCTTGGGCAAGCAAGATCTCACCAAGCCTATCCGGAGTAGGGGTTGAAGCTGAAGGACGGTAATCGGCCATCATTTGGTCACAAAGAGCCGGGTTCTGGAGAGCAGTATTAGAGAGGATATGGCATAGGACCATCTTGGGTAGACCAGATATCCAGGACCTGAAGACCCAGGCGGAGGAGGCTAGCTTCTCATCGCAGTGATCATAAAGATCTGCGTGGCTGACTATCAGAGTGGAGTCTGACAGTACACTCGATGTCCCAAACTCATGTGACTTGGGTCGTGAGTAGCCGTCAAGGCCAATGAGGGCAAGGAGATAGGAAAAGAAACGTCTTGGTTTGGCTGTAGAATTGGGCTGTGGCATAGGGTTCGGCTGTAGAGAATAAAGGGTGTAGAGAATAAAGGGTTCAGGCGGGTATCGTCATGGGTGTCTTGGTTTGAGGAGATACTGGCCATGGTCTTGGTAATTGGGTGCTTGAGTCTTGTTTGGACTTGACTTCTAGACTAGAACTTGACCAACGTTCACTCACTCGTTTGTACTTTTGATCTCTTGCCGAATAGACTACAAAAGACAAAAGATAAAAGAAAGAAAAGGAAGAAGAGGAAAGATGGCAGGAAAAATAGAGAGCATCCGATTTCTTCTTTGACATTGCTTTTATACTGCCCCTGACCACATGACTATACTCATGGCTCGACTCTGTGACTGGTCGTGCTTACGGTCTATTGAACTTGCATTCCTCTACTCAATCCAATCCTCTACAAGGGTGACGCAACCCTACTCTTACCACATGACCCTTTCGCACTAACCATTTATCCGTATGCTTTAGAAACGAATGTCGATCAACCATAGAGGAAATTAACCTACAATCAATTTACATGGCATACAATCAATGGGATAAGCAACACCGCCTTATCTGAGCTAAACGCGTTAATCTGAGATGGAAACTTTCACGGTCGCGTCCCTATTTTCCAATACACGTCCCACGCGTCCAAACATCCAATTTATTTTACGCAGCGTCCTGCACGCCTCTTCCTCCCTCATTTTCTTTTTGCTTCTTATTTTCTTTTCTATTTTATCATTCTGGCCATTGCTGCCTCCATTAGCCCACTGCGATACCTACCAAATCTACTGCCATACTCTTTTTGTTTATGGGGGCAAGAAAGGATGTTCTCATTGAAGGACCTTGTCCTGATCTATTCTGCGGATTATGCCAGGGTAAACACACACACATACATACATACATACATACATGTACATATACACATTCGTATATATCATTTAATGTAACCCTTAAAACACATCTCATATAATTTTACTTAATCACAGATCTATTGGATGAACCTATCCAAGTGCGCTGCCCTGAAGGTACAAAAACAAAAAAACAAAAGAGAAAAACAAAAACAAACAATATACAACGAATGCTTAATCGATTGTTTTTTCTCGTTTTATTTTATAGACCACATCTTTTGCAAACGATGCATAACAAATTACATTGAACAAAATGATGTTTGTCCTTTTTGCCAAACTACGATTGACCCAACCCAATTTCAACCTTCCAAGTTTGTAATGCGACAGATCGGCCGGCTACCTGTTTATTGTGTTTACCGAAATACAGGTTGTTCCTGGCAAGGATTATTTTATGAAGACCACTCAAACCAGGTAAACGAATAAAGTGGTATTAAAGTACAACTAGTGGGATACAAGATGTATAAATGCAAACATTCAGCGTAACATACCTTCTGGCCCTCAATAGTGCGAACATCAACCGGCAGATTGTCCTAATAAGGAGCAAGGGTGTGTAGACATACTACGGACCATGGATCTTGAACATCACAAAAGCCAATGCACTTATGAACTTATTTCATGTCCCAATCATATGCCAGGATGTACACCATTTTTACGTAAGGATATATTGATCCACGAGAGACAATGTAGATCATATCCATGTACGTATGCGGCTGAAGGGTGCCCGTTTTTTGGCACTCTTCAGGAAAGGATAGCACATGAAGACACTTATTGTGGAAAATTGCATTCGAGGCTCTTACAGTTGGAGCAAGAGTGTGAACAATTAAAGAAACTTTTGTCAGAACAGCGTGTCAGTCAAAACACACTACTTCAAAGTGCACCCAGTATGTTACAGTCTTCCGACGAACAAATAAGGCCTGAAAGTATTCAAAATGACTCCACAATGGCAGATCTTGACCTTCTTCACCAAGTTCTTAATAACGACGCTTTTCCTGCAATGTCTTTTCTCAACAATACAAATTCTAGTACTACCAACAGCACCAATAATAACAACACCAACGACACCAACAACAACATAAATAATATTAATAGTATCAAAACCACTAATATAGACACCACTACACATCCTATACACACAAACGAGTTTATGGACTTTAGTATCTCTCTTCCTGGATTCGCTTTTCCCACAAACCTTACAACATCTCCACCAATTCCAGCCCCAACACAACTAGCTGCGTCTTCTGCTCCAAAACGATCTTCAAATGGAAAACGTATTCGCTACAGCAAAAACGTAAGACTTGCTCACAGTGCATTGCGGATAGCACGTCAACAGGGAACATATCATGAAAACAATCCAGACAACCTGCACACAGGTGACGCTATTCTGCAAGGGCTCGATATTGCCGGATCCGCTTCCGGTCAGCGTGTAGACAAGAGTTTACTTGCCACTCAATCCAACGTCGAACTGAAGGATTTACTCACGCAACAACAAGGCCATTTACCCAACGTATCATCAGCACCTCTGTCAGGTCACCAATTCCCTCTATATGATCTTGATGAAATGGCAAAATTTCTTTCTGAAATGCCGATGCCTGCCGATTCAAACATACCCAAGCCATGTTTGGAATCGGCTGTAGTAGAGAAGACAGTACCAAATCCTTCTCAGCTGACTAATGCATCTACTGCAAAAAGTCGAAAAGATGATACGGGAAGCACGAGTGGAACATCGACTACGACTCGTAAAAAAAAGGCATCTGCCAAAGATCGTAAAAAAGAAGAGCCCGAACAATCTTTGCCACGTTCGCCACCAAATCCTGGATCTCCTAATAATCACGCCTCACCGCCTTCAACAGCGGCACCAAAACGAAGGCCAATGTTCGTTCTTGCCTCAAGCTATCTCACCAACTACAAATAATGCTCATTTCATTTCACTTCATTTCACTCCATTTCACTCCATTTCACTTTACTTCACCCCACTCTACCATGTTGTACATACACTCTTTATTATTGTATCGTTTTTTTTTCTCTCGTTTTCCTTACTTTTTATTTCTTCAATCATACTCTTCAATACATACCAACTCAATTTTCCAATTCATTGCATAAATGGGAGCCAGCCTAGGAGATTAACTTATCAGAACTAGTTCTGTTTAACACTCCATTTATTAATTCTTATTTGTTTTTAAGATTTATCGATTGATTTAAACTTTGCTAGCCAAGTTAATGCTTTTCTGTTAGGAAATGAGCATACTACGGAACTACCTGCTTTTCAGATATATATAACCCCGGTTACTTGCCATTGGAAATGTGTGTGTGTGTTTTTTAATATAAGATTCAGAAAGACCATACCATACCGTATCATATTGTATCATATTGTATCATAAGATGCCATACCATAATATGACACTACACGACACGGCATGACATAGCATTAAATGTTATTATTATTATTAAATGGTATCTTATTGGTGCCTTGGTTTGATTACCGTATTCCCATATATATATAGAAAAGAGAAATTGTATCTATAAATAATATTCTATCTCTCCTCTGTTCTCCTGTTGATGACCTTTTTTTTTTACATTCAAAGGGAACTATAGAAAGAACAGTTATATATATGTGTGTATTAGCTTTTCTTTGAGCTAGTTGTTTTAGGTCATTAAATGAAGTAATAATGATACTTTACTTGTTAGGTGTTGTTAGAAGCAGATCATATATGATACATCAGAAAAGTACAGCCTAAATAGACCAAGACAAGTGGGTGTAAAAATGTATGTATATATACATATATATATAATAGTCTTTATCTATCTGCTCCTATAGGATCCATTGAGATCTTCATAACCTTACAAGGGATTTTAGAGTTAAAGATATGATTTTGTAGTTCTATCCACATATCAGAACATATCTATCTTTGGCAGCTGATTCGTCTTTCACAGAATTTTCCTTGTAAATCCAAGCTAATATATGAGTGTGTTTGTCCCTCTACTAGAATTTGCATACAGTCTTGGTTTCCCTGCTAGTTCTATTTAGGGTATTATTTATATACATATGCATTACTATCATTTGCATTATTGAAAATATAGTACATCTTTAATACAGTAAATCATCTTGCTTCATTGCTGCTGTCCCTCGATGTTTATCCATTCCCAAGAAGTGAGTCAATTGTTTCAAGGATATATAATTGTTCCACTTTGTTCGAATAAGACATTGTTACCTCTAACTTGGAATGGACTTTCTGATATAAACCTCGGAAAAGTAAGATAGAGAGAGAAAAAGAAATCTCCTTGTAGTACTTTCTATTACAATAAAAACAGCTATGTAGCTGTAGTAATTAATAAGACAATAAAGTAGGAATTTGTCTTTGATTATATAGATAAAACTATTGGTTCTCTTATATTTACATCAAAACTATTCATACTTGCCCAATTCAATACTCTTTAATGAGATAAGTGATTAAGATTCAAACATATATATATGAAATACGCGCGCAAAACAAAAAGAGACTGGTTGAAACTTTTATCAAATGTTCTCATAGTAAAGACCTGATGCATAAAGGGTTTTTATTTGAACGACTGGATGTAATATAAAGAGAGAATAAAATATATATTCCAAAAGCTTATAAGCTAATTCATATTATTTTCTATGTACATATGTATTCTGTCGAATAACCAAGTAAGTCGATTAAGTTCATATAGACTTTGAAAATGACAAACAACCTTGCATCTGTGTCCTATCTCCTATATATTTTGGTTGTAGAAAGTAAACCCCAGAGTACGCCAATGAATAACTATTTATTATTATTTACATTCTTCTTTAATTGGTCAATATCCCTGTAGTCCCTCTCCCTCTCTATCTATATTTAAAATGCACCTTGTATATGATGTAAAGAACATCAACGCTTTTATGATTTTGATTTTGTTTTTTTGTGGGAGACGATGCTACTTTGTGTATTAGGATTGAGATTTTAATTTTATTTTATTTTTGCAGAAAAAATGTATATTAAAATACTATTGTATAGCGCATTTTCTATATATTTAAATCATGGCAACTCGAGCTGTCTTAGAGATGTTACGTTTGAATTGATACAATACAATGGACTTATTGTTATTAAATATACATTTCTTTCATACCGGACACCATCTTGATCAAATTAAGATCAATTTTTTTTTTACAAAGCAAAATTTCGATATAAAATATATTTTAGTGGACATCCACTGTTATCAAATGACTCCCTCGTATTAATTTGATAGACTTAACAGCAGTAAGATGGTACATAATGCTAGTTTTTGTGGTGTATTACGTGGTATTTCTATAGGGGATGCATTTCATAAACCTCTTTAACAATATTTTTGGATCATTCGAAAAAAAAGGGGGCGCACATAACTCTAGTAATGTACACTCACAATCAAAAACGTTTCGACCCCCGCAAAAAATGCCTAAAAAAAATCGAAAAAATAAAAATAAAAACATTGTTTTCTCCCAATATTATTAATCAAATCCAACATGCAAGACGTAAATTCATCAGAAAACACCCACGGATCATATGAAAAGGCCAATCCCTATAAACACGGATGCATCATGTACATGCATTTAGCAAATTACGGGGCGACCCAGATTTCATTGGTGGTTGGCATGAGTCTGTCCACTGTCAAGTACATCATTAAGAGAGTGGACGAGACAGGATCGCCTGAGCCAAGAAAAGGGTCCGGACGACCTAGAAAGATTGACGAGAGGACAGAAAGACACCTTGTTCAAATAGTTTGTAAGGACTCCTTTGCCTCATTTTCTAGGCTAAGGGCTTCCTTAAAGAACATGGAGGTATTTGTCTGCAGAAAGACAATAATCAGTTGTCTGAAGCGTTTGGGCTTCGGATCATATATCGCAGCTCACAAGCCAACTTTAACCGAAAGCCACAAGAAAAGAAGGCTGGAATGGGCCCGTGAGCATGTGAATTGGACAGATGACCAGTGGAGAGGTGTAGTGTGGTCAGATGAATCACGGTTCACAGTTGAGGGTAATGATGGAGGAGCTAGAGCTATCAGGAAAGTCGGTGAAAGGTTCAAGGAAGAAAATATCATCGAAGGAACCAAGTGGGGGAAGGGTAGTGTGATGATCTGGAGTTGTTTCTGGGCCGGTGGTTTTGGCCCTTTGGTGTTCCTAGATGGTAACGTAAACCAAGACCAATACGTGAACACTTTGGCTCAGAACTTCCTCCCTTGGTTCCAAAATCTTTCGCGGGAACAAAACAGGAGCTTCGTGTTCCAAGAAGACAACGCCAGCTGTCATACTGGGTCGTACTCGAGGTGGTGGAAAGATAGCCATGAGATCCGAGGTTTTGACTACTGGCCCGCTCAAAGCCCGGATCTCAACCCCATCGAGCATCTCTGGTGGGCTCTCCAGAGGCGCATGAGTGACGAGAGGGCCAGTATTAACAATGTTGAAGATCTGAAGGTTGTAATGCAACGAGAGTGGCGAAGGATAGGTCTCGAACTTTCGTCAACTTTGGCTGGAAGCATGCAGCATCGATGCCAGGCTGTAATTGAGGCCAAAGGAGGTCATACAAAATATTGATCTTTTATTTTTTTCTATATTTCAATAATAAACATATATATAATCTTTTATTTGAAGTTTGAATGCTTTAGCTTTTATTACTGAGGAGCAGTTGCATGTTGAATACATGCCATGATTTCTCTCATGCATTTTTTGGGCTCAGAGGTCGAAACGTTTTTGATTGTGACTGTATTATAAAGCTAAAATCTTGTCGCACGAATGATGAAGTGTGAAATCGAAGTCTAATGGAAAGATCTAGCAATCCTTCAGTATACTGTAATAAAATAAAGCAAAACAAAAAAAAAGTTCTTTTTTATTCATATATCAATTATTACAGAAATATTTTATAGGGTGTTAACTATATACCTATTTACATCAATCAAAATAATAGTTGAACTTGTCTTTCATTTGTTTCGCTAGCAAATAAAGGGATATTTGCATTACTGTGTCTTATTAACTTGGTACATCCTAAGCCTGTATTATAATTTAATATTAGGATGGACATTTATATGATGAAGTATATAGGTAAGCAGTTGCAAGGAGATATTGGAGATAACAAAGAGGTATGTGTATATATATCTGCCTGGAAATGGAATATAGCGTATTTTTCTTTGACTGGATTAACTAAAGATGAATTGCCTGCCTTTTATTGTTAATCTCATATGCGACATTAATAAATACTCATTTGCGAAAGTTATAACATAACAATAAATAAAAATTCAATGTACAAGAAAGTTTAGGGGTTATTTTTGCGCTTTGACGCAACAACTTTATTTTTAATATTGTATAATTTTTTTTCGCGACAGGAATGGCTTTTAGTCCCGGGAAGCTTCTTACAAAAGGAACATAATAATATCGCAGGACTAATGTGGAACATGCCCAAAACACCAGTTTCTTCAATAATGGGCTTTCCTCCTCCAAGCAGACATTCCTCCGTCGTGTGATCCCCACCTGGATGGATGGGACATTTCTTATCCCCAAGCTCCGGAAGGTCAGGTATGGGATTTGCTTTTGGTTTTGGGTTTCCTTTTTGGTTTTTACTTTTGGTTGTGGAGGGAGTGCTGCCGTTCTGGTCTGAAATAATAAAATAAAATAAAGCAAAAAATTATCATTCTGGTAGCTGGGCTAATCCGAGAAAGGCTTTATAGCTGGTTGAGCAGACTTACTGACGGTGAATTTATCAATGGATTTGTTCATATGTACTTTGGGATTTTATTTTACTGTTTTGATTGGCGGCTGTAGGTAGAAATATACGAGCAAAGAAAAAGAGAAAAGAAAAAGAAAAAGGATTCGAACAGGTCCATACACTGACTACTCTCGATATTTATATGTTTTCTGAATTTGTATTTTTTTTGACTGTGTTTTAGCATTGCAGTGTTGCATAGCGAGGCAGTTCGAAGGCAGTCACCCTCGAAACTCGTATGGCTTTAAGTTGCACGACTTACGAGCTCATACCAATAGTCACCATAATTTGTCTTTAAGGCCCTGACAAATAAAAGGTACAGCCTTTTTTACTTTTCTTATCCTGGTTTACCTACTTTAACTGAACAGCCCAAGTTCGAAGCTATAGTACTAAAAATAATATCGAGACTATTAGCATAGGCTTTTGTATATCTGTCAATACTCTATCACTAAAGTATTAATATATTAGAGGTTTGTGGGCAAGATATTTTTAGAGTTGTACAAGAACGTAAGACCGAATAAGGTAATCAGTCCGAAATTACTTTACCCAGAGATATTTCTATATTGAACTTTTTTCCTGTTATAAGATGGTTTAGTACTTGGGATTATTATTGGCTTAAAATGAGTTTAAAATCAAAATTAAGTAATATTATTGGTGGATATTTAAAAGAATCTTTATTTTAGCTATCGTTGGTCTGTATTAGAGTCTCAAAAACATAAATTGAAAAGTATGTCGAAATATTAGTAGTTTCATTATATGGATATAGATAATTATATATATATATATATACTGATTATAATTTACAGTGTTGTATTACAACTTCCAGACGCAGCAATATATATAAACAAGAAGATACATTTCATTACAGGTTATAGAAATAGCTCAAGACACAAGCCCAAAGGTTTAAAGAAGTGTTTTTATATCTATTTATTTAGTCATATAGTTCTGGATAGGTAACTTTGATCGCATAGACTAGATAATTGTGTCATACATACTGGAAGAATATGGCCAATTATCACTACTAAGCTTATAAGTCATAGCCTTATGTTTTCTTTGTATTTCTCTTGCCTTTTGAAGTTGTCTAACACAGAGTGTTGTGAAAGAGAAAAAAAAGAGAGAAGATTGAAACCCAGTCACGAGAGTCTATCAAAGGCACATCCCCTTCCCTTTATTTTTATTTATTTTTTAAGGCTCCTACTTGGTTTGCCCTTGTAACAATAACAAAAAGAGACCCTTTGACGTCTTCCTTTGCTTTTTTATCATGCTGTTTGTGCGACTTCAAGTCCGTCCGCTTATATCTTGTGCGGCTAAGAATTCTTCAGAAACTCTTTGTGGGGTAAGCGGCCGTCTGTTTCATTCTACCACGTTGTCTGCGTCAAAACCAAGGTCCGTTTTCACTCTTTATTGTATTTATATATACATGCATACATATAATTGTATGGTTCTAGTATACTATTCCTACTGCTGCTGCTGTTACTGTACTGACTTCTTTTCTTTTTGGATTGTGTATAGGTTAATCAGAATCCCAGCTCCATCTCGATTACTATCCAAATTACAAAAGTCTCGACCATCAGCTCTTCCAATCTGCTTCGTCGATCTTCGTCGATCTTTCTCTGACAAAAAAAACGCACAAACAATCTTGACAGACAACGAGAATGCAGATAACAACAACAAAAATGTAATTAAAATTTAAAAGCAAAAGAAAAGAATGATAAAGTCCTGCAAAGCAAACATATACATATGATTGTTTTACACAATTTAGATCAAAGAGATCATCCCGACACATGAAAACATTTACACGATTCCAAACCTTTTGACCTTTGGTCGCTTACTATCTGCACCTTATATTGGACATTTGATTATACAACACGACTATAACCTAGCATTGGGAATATTTGCATTGGCAGGATTTACTGACATGGTAAAAACACACACACTTACGCATATTTTTATTTTATTATATTGGTTATTTATTTGAATATCTTAATGAATACAAGTCTTACTAAATTTTTTGTGGTGGGAATGAAACTATGAACTAAGTTGGACGGGTGGATTGCACGTCGATACAATCTGAAAACAGTAGTTGGTAGCATCATCGATCCCGCAGCAGACAAAGCCTTGATGACAGTCATGACAATAACATTGGCTATGGAAGGTGTCTTACCAGGTTAGTTAAATTATTATTATCATTATCATTATCATTATCATTTCTTTTTTAAAAAAAAGATGGTACCAATAGTGGTATATTTTACTTGTATAATTAACTGTTTTCTCTCTCTCTCTCTTTCTGTTTATAGTACCTTTGGCCACTCTTATTCTCGGTAGAGATGCAGGCCTCATATTGGCTTCTTTTTATTACCGTTACATCTCTCTACCTCAACCCGTATGTGAAATAATACCTGCACCGATTCATATATATATACATATATGATAGCTCTAATGGTTTTTGCATAATAGAAAACGTTGGTGCGTTATTTTGATTTCTCCATACCTTCTGCAGAAGTAAGGCCAACCATGATCAGCAAAATCAACACAGCCCTTCAGCTCTTACTCGTTGGAACTTCTCTGACATCAATTACCATGGGACTACCAAGTTCTGAGATTATGACGGCCATGCAGTAAGTTGTTACGTAGATATTCCACACACACACACACACAAAAGAGAGAGAGAGAAGGAAAGAAAGAAAGAAAGTATGCTAAACAATATATGTTTCTTAGTTGGGTGGTGGGCGGTACAACTATTTGGTCAGGTGCAAGTTATATTTACACCAAAGATGCTGTTCGAATCCTCAATAAGCACAAGCTTTGATAACTTGAGATTATCCTTTTGTAACCATAGCATATACATATACACAAATCCAAATACAAATCCAAATGCATATACAAATACGCGCATAAACATAATTATGTTTGTATATATACAGTTGACTTTCTCTTGGCACAAAGGGTATGAAAGATGCAAACACTTTATATATGAAGCATATCCTATAACACAACCACATTTCCCTTCTTCCTTTTCTCTATCTTTTTCATTATTTTGTGAGCTTCCCTTTTGAACTCTTTTAATTCTTGTATTCTTCTTTTTACCTTGATCTATAGCTTTCTAATAAATATCTATGTAGAAACAAGATTTACAGCTGTAATATCAACCCATTTTCACCTTTTTTTTTCTTTTGATATTATTACCATGTCCGAGAACATAACAAAAGCTATAAATGAGCTAATTTCTAAATATATTCAAGATACAATTAACTTTGTATCGATATTTTACTGAGCTTTTGACTCTGGGTCATGATAATGCCATTATATTTAATATTTGTTTATATATGCAGATATGAATATACCTTGAATTCCCAATCGTATGGTGTCTTTATAATAATTAGTATTGTTAACAAATTGTAACATATAATTGTAGGGTTAGGCGCTTCCAAGACATCTATCTAAACGCCTATCAACTGGCCAGGAACAAAGAAACAAACAAAAAAAAAGAAAAGTGGTACACTAAAAGTGTAATTAACTTAATTAACAGGATTGCATGCTGTCTTTTTACAGCCCTCAAGATTTTATCTTGTACGCTCTCAACCCTGTTTAAGCAGCTGGCACCCAACAACAATGACGATGATGATAATTATGATAATGGTTGTAATAGTGATAATGAGCCAATAGTCGTACACTATAGTAAAAGATAAAAAAAAAATAGCGAGTTTAGTAGGAGATTTTTGCAAGATCTTGCTTCCACAATCGACCCTTTAAGCGTAACGGACTCATGCTCTCCAAATAATTTAGATCGGTAAATCCAAAATTATCTATAGGACTAATAATAAAAGATTGGGGACTGGTTCTATTGTTTGTCTTGGAAGACTATGACAGGTTGCATGTGGTGTTTGAGTGCGATGATATAAGCAAAGACTGGTAACTTTCGTAAGTTTTTTTTTGAATAGGTGATCGGTAGCATAAAGGACATTGGGTTCATACTTGCAAAGTAGACGTCTCATCTCAACACCTTTAATTGGCTCATTGTATCTGCTGTGAGGTGTAGACCGGTTTCTCATGACCAAGACAGAAGATCGACCAAACTCAGCGCTAATATCACTTTTTAAGGCGTTTGTTGACTTGGGATTGGTTGATGTACAAGGAAAGGCGAAGTTTGCGGAATAAAAGCGGCTGACTCGTTTGACCTTTGGTTCCTTGTAGTAATATCTTCACAATAAGGGCTTGAGATGGGGTAGTTTAGTTCACTGTCTTCCAATCTACAAAGCGCTAGATATCAGAGGCTTGCTTGCTCGGTACTTTTAAAGTGCCAATTGATAGGAATGATATACAAAGAAAAATTTGTGAGATTATATGCTGTAAGTTAGTTAATAGATCAAGTACTTATAAGAGTAAAGAAGAAGAAAAAAAGAAGACTTCTTTTATATAAATATCTGCCATAGATGACCTTGATACATGAGAATATAGTATGTAATTAACCAGATAAACGTATTGATAGATAGGTGGATATGTATAAAGAAGAGTTTGTTTAAATATATAAATATATTTATATAGCTCATTTGATTACTATCCTGTAGATATATCAAAGCAAGATTTAGATTTCTTGTATCTGACTACCACCGTTTTATACTCATCATTGTTTTGAATTTTGTGTATCTATCACTAAAATCACGTATGAGTTTGGTGATTCAAGCCTTAAACAAAAAAAATTACTAGGGGTATATTATATGTTTTATGGACATATATTGTTTTGCTTACAAAAAACCTTTACGTATTTTATCATAGGTAATAATCAGTTCAAAGATTGATTGTGTACCTTTGTTTTGTAGACAATAGAACAGCCAGCAGAATCAAATTTTCAAGAGAATTTCTTTATTAAAACACACACATACACGCAGCAACTTAAATAAGGTAAACCTGTAGTCCTTTGAACTTGACAGATTATCTGGAAAGCTCAAAGCAGACTTCTCTTCAATCATATTCTTCTATTCTTTTTATTCTAAAATGACGCTGCAAAATTAGTGAGAATACAAGAACAATGGGAAGTTTTGAATGTAAGGCCTACAGTCGTACAAACAAAGTCTCATTGTATGTTTTTCACTCAAATATTTCCAATGTATGTATCAAATATGACCTTGATTTTAATAGGTTCAATAGAATATTCAAGATACAGATATTTTATAGTAAAACGCCAAACCAAGCCTCTTGGTTAAACTAACAGTACGTTATGATTTGTAAGTTTAGGAATAACAATGTAATTATAAAATGTAGAATATATATATATATATCGATGTGTGAATGAAAGCTTACATCCGCAAGATAACGGAGATACACTGCTGTCCATAAAAGTAAAGGATCGAAAAAGAGGTATAAACGAAAAGCGTCCTCTAGAATCGCCTCTGAAAACATCTTTGATATCACCCTTTTTTTCCCGTAATCATAGGTCAGATCAGACCGCACCGATGGTCAGCGCAGGTGTCGTTCTTCGAGGTACAGTACTTTCTCCTGATTAGCCTCATGAAATCAGCGAGCTCGCCTAAACGCCAAAACTGTATCGGTATCTGTGCTTCTGTATCCACAACCCAAAAAAAGGCATGTATTGTATTGAAGACGCATGGAGGTGATACACACACTTTTTTTTTGAAGTCCATCCATGTGGTCAGCTCACTTTTTTTTGACACTCCTTTCATTAACAAGCTATTTGATCTTGGGTCTTGAACACCGCTCTTCTTCAGCATCCTCTCATGCCTTGTTTTCGATTATCTTGACTCAAGAAGAGTGAAAGCCCTCTAGTACTTAGAAAAAGATGACAACATCATATTCAGCAAATTCAGGCGAGTGGCATAAAAGAGTATCGAGCTTCCATGCGGTTGATTTGGTTACATTGGACTCAAGTATCTTACCAGCCAGCATAAGCCGGACATTGAGAGATGCATTAGATGGAAGAGACACGACGGTTGTAGTTAACCACGAAAAATCCATAAAATCACCCACTACTCCTGCTACTATTACGGCTACTATCACCTCTTCTCAACAGACACTTCAACTTAGAACCGTACCCAGCTTGGAAAATATCGGACATTGTAATAATCATAATTATTATAATAATAATCATCACAAACATCATAATCCTACACAGCCCATTCTGACTTTACCTATGGGACCAGAGATTGAGCGGATAAGCATCCTCGAACAAGCCTTGGAAGAAGCAAACCAAAAGGTCCATCAGATGAACAACCATCTGTGGGAACATGAGCAAGGAACTCAGATCACTCTTGGGCTACGACTCGAAGAACTTGAAAAGACCAAGCTTCAATTAAAAACCCTAGAACAAATCGAAGAAAAACAGACCGCAATCATCGAACAGTTACTCAACAAGCAGGACTCAATGGAGATACTTTTAAAAAGGCAGCAGATCCACAGTGTCAAGATGATGGAAGAGTTTGCACGCGCAAAGGCAGACACCACAAAATATTTTCAGCACAAAATCGAACATGTGGTTAAAGAAGTAACACGAATCTCAGCAGTACGCCAGGATCTTGAAAAACGAATGAGTGATATACAAGACCAGAAGATCCTCGAGAAACGGTCGAGTGATATAGATTTGCAGCGGACAATGGCGCTGGAAGGCCGAGTTGAAGAGTTAGACATGATCGTAGAGAAGCTTGATTTTCAGAAGAAGCGGACATCGGCCGCCTTGACTAGAAAGACCAGTGCCTATCGACAGATGGAGCAATGCTTGCAGAGACACACAGAAATTATCAAGACATATGAACAGAAGATTAAGATGCTCGAGAAGGCGGCCCTAGAGGCCTCCCAACAGCGAGTCCTGTCACCAAACAAAGATGCATCTGATCTTCTAGACGAGTCGGATACGACCACTGTACCTCTACCTGCGTCTGTACCTGTGTCTGTACCCGCGAACCCTGGCGAAAAAAGCGTAATTTGCCACGAGGCCTGTGCGACCAAACATCAAGATGGACCCCACAACTCAACAAATTCGAAAAAAGTCAGTGCACGCATGGAGAACGGGTATCATTGGCAGGGCCAAAGATCTCTTCGCCATTCCCATCAACCCACACGCTCGATCTTGAAAAAATGTGATTCAAGTGTAATTAATCGATTGGACGAGCAGGCACTACAGAAGCAGTGCCAAGAGTGGCTTGATGAAGGCAAAGGCGAGACTCTGGTATATAAAATTGTAGAGATCTGCAAGGACAATAAATACCTCATTGTACAGATGCAAGATATGCAAAACGAACTAAACCTTTGGCACCAACATGCCGCCATGCTCAGAGACGCTCAACGTCACTCAAACCCTAAGAAACCTACATCAGCATCTACATCTACATCAGCATCAACATCAACATTAGCATCAACACATACACCAACATCAAAAAAACATAGACACGATTGTGAAAGTCGACTAGATCACACTTCACACCGTACCCAATTACGCTCTACTGATAATTCAGAAACTATGCATTCATATCCATCATATAAACTCAATAACTCTTCCCAAAACCTGAATTTACCTCCTCCGACTGCCCCTCCATCGAACCCACCACCACCTATACCCAGTTCACCTTCCTCTCGACACTCTACAAAGTCAATTGAAAAGGAAAACAATAATCATAATACTACAACCACAACTGCTAATAGATCTTCTCAGCATAATATCCGGGACCTAAAACGCCGTTTATCGCATGCGGAAGCGGCGGCATTTTCGATGGCAAAGAAACTTGATGCTGTTTTACACGAAAAAGAAGGACTAAACTTAGAAACATCACGCTGGAGGGCAGAAGTCGATAAACTGTTAGAGGCACAGGCTGAGAAGGAAGCACAGGCAGCCAAGGTGCAACAAGAACTAGAAAAGCAATTAGAAGAAGAGCGTGCGCTAAAGGCCAAATCTGAGAAAGCACGCCAAGTATTGGAATCTCAAACGGATGCCTGGTTGAGTAAAAAGAGTGTATTTAAATGCTTCTAAGTTTTTAGTTTTCTTTTTCCCTTCTCCCCACCCATTATATATATTTAGTCAATAGGACAAATTTACATCTTGTACAGTATAGAAAGAGCCAATTTAACATATATATATATATAGTATATTATGTGAAATAAATTATTTGAGTGAAATATATTTATGTATGAATGTGATGCTTTTTTTATAGATATATAAAATGAGGGGAAATGATAAGTGTATAAAAATTCATATTATTATTACTTTTTAAGCAGTGATTTGCTTATTCTTTTGAGCTTCATGGAATTTTGAGAGGACGATCTTGCATTGTGTTTCTCTGCAAAGGTCGTTCAAACCAGCCTTGGCATCACCCATTCTGTCAAAGAAAACCAAACCAGCGCTACGTTCAACAGCATCAATAGGAACCTTGAATGTTTCGAGAGGAGTCTCGTCTGGTATACGCTGGTTAGGCAATACAAAAGCAGCCGTACTGTATTTTCCGTCGCGCTGGGTCATGATCACCTTGTAGAAATGAGTGGGGACAGCGACATTGGGAACGCCGTTTGTGCCGATGACCTGATACTTGACGTAGAACTTTCCGTCATTTTCCTGATGTGGAAGGTAGAGAGGTCCCGTGAACACATACACATCAGGGAATGTTTTTGTGAGAGAGCGGCAGAAGTTTTCGAAATGAGCCCAATCTAGAAAACATATGTAAATACATATACATATACATATACATATAATTAAAATTTAAATAATCAATAGTAATTAATCAAGCAATCGATCAATTAATACTTACAGTCTCTGTTGAAACCTTCTCCAACCTGAGGAGCGATGTTTGAGAGGTAAAAAGTTTCATTCATGGCCTGCTGACTGTTCTTGACATCGGCAGCGGGTACCATGTGGCCACGGTCAAAGTTACTCTTATAATAATCTGTCAAACGAGCTCTGAATTGAGGAGGCACGCTGTCCTCTTCTTTAAAAGCGGATTTACTGCGTTCAACACCTTCTGCTCTCTTAAGAGAGGCAGGTGTAAGGTGTTCAGCAACCCAATTGGGATTTCTGTCTCTGCGGTTGTAAGACACAACATAGGCATCACGATAAATCAGATCGCTGACAGGGCCTTTTGTTGTTGTTATGGTTATGGTTGTTATGGTAATTAATAACGATAATTAATTAGAATTTTTTTTATGTACAATACAGAATAAATAATAATAGTTTATAATTTTTACCGGGGAATCCGAAAGGAAGAATTGTCTTCGCCTTCTCAATGGAAGACATTGGGCGTGCGGGTGGTGCTGTTTGTTGAGGCATGTTGGTGATGGGCTTTGGTGCCTGAGGTTGAGGTTGAGTCTGGGCTACAGGTACCATCATGGCAGCAGGGCGAGGTTTTTGTGTGAACTTTTGGTAGGCAGCCATAGATATGGCGCCAATTGCAGCACCACCAAACAAAAAGGTAACACGTTCAGATGCCATGAGGGAAATGAGGTTAAGGATGTCTAAACTCTTGTTATTTTTATTTTTTATTTTTTTTGCTTGGGTTATCTTTTTTTGGAGGTTAAAATGAATAATTCAAGCCACGACGGAGGTTCAAAATATAATAGACATTTGTTACCAGGGCGGATGAACAGATTTCGGTACATTACATTGCAGTACATTGCAGTAGAATAGAGTATAATTTATTAAATGTATATATGTATATCATAGTCCTGACCTCCTCAATTATCCAATTCTTTTTCTTTTTTGTTAAGATTTTTTCTTAGTATTTAATTATTGGATCTTTTACTTGCTCTATACTTATATTTTTTATATATGACATTTAATTAATTAAACAAAGAAAAGAAAAGAAAAAAAAAGAAAATTAAAACCGCTTTTATAATTAGCTTATTTAAAATAGAGACAGAAAAGTAATATTATAGTATTTGACAGAAACAAGCTATATAAAGCATAAAAGAAATACATATATACTTTACTCATCAATTATTAGCTTACAAACTACAAAGCTACACCAAATATATATAATAAATAAGATTGCTTATAATTCCTTACAAAAAAAAACCTCCAAATCACCCGTGATACGTTTGGAAGAAGAGATATGTATATCTCTGTGTGTATTTGTTTGTTTGGATTATATTTAAGAGTATCAGTTATTCCAAAGCCTCTTTATTTGTTTTGATTTAATTTCTTTTGGATATTATTTTCAATTTTCAATTTTTTTTGTACAAACCAAAAAATATATTATTATATTTATAAAAACAGAGGCTATCTGTCGCCATCTCAAATTAAAAATAATAAATTCTATAGCATTTACCCGGTCAAGCCTAAATCATTCGATTCCTTTCAATTCAACAACTAAATGTTATAAGAAAATACGATTTAACAGAATATAGACAAATACTCTTCTCCCCCAACCAATTTAAGTTTTTTTCTTCTTCTTCTTGCTTGTAACCACCTTCAATCCAATCCAACCCAATAGAACAAACGCCCTTCAAGTTTTGTATTCTTCTTCTTTATAGTTCGTATGCTCATGTGGTTTCCAAGGCTACACGGAATCGAACAAAGAAGGAAGACCATCATGGTTCTACCAGTAAATTTGTTCCGGGCCACACAGTATATCTTTGTTTATTTATTTATTTATATATTCTTCATGGCAGATCTATTCTTGGATTGTCTAAACGTAACCAACATGTTCATCTTAATAAAAATATACAAGGATCATTGCTCCGTAAGATATATAGCTACTGATGGTAAGACTATAGCTATATATATATATATACATACATATACTGGTCAATCTCGTTTGAACTACATACCATACATCATACATTAACACTAATAACAAAAGAAGGAAGTATCAAGATTGGCCTTAATCCCTTCCCTGCTCATTCTTCTTTTACCTTTTTCTTTTAAGAAAATTGGCTAGGATATGTATTACTAATTTACCAGTAAATGAAGATAAAAAAGAAAACTCCTTCTACTCCTTGTCCTTCCTCATCTTTCTATCCCCTTAGAATAATGATGATCATTTTTATCATTATCATGATCATGATCAGTATCAGTATGTTTATTATTACTATTTTGTAAAAAAAAAAAAAAAAAAGTCATTGTCTTGTTTCAAATCAGATCAAATCATATAATTTCAAATTTCAATTTTATTTATTTATTTTTAAAATATAATATACTAACAAAGTTCTTGTATTACTATTTGCCTCGTTAACCACCCCCTCTCCCCCCTTGTGTGTTACGTTATTAGATACAAGGTTCTCTCTAAACAAACCATATATTTGTTAAAATAATATCTGTTGTTTTGATTCTATACTGTCTCTTTATTCTATTATCGGATTGTCATTGTTTTCTCATCATGGTAGATTTGGATGATATTCTAAAAATATCTATATTCAGAATAATGATAATGATACTGATAATAATACCTTTATTTTTGGTTATTCTAAAGAATTGTTGTACACCTTGGCATTACCATCGCACCATGTCTATAGATACACCTTGTAGTCAAGGAATACATCGGTTTGTGTTTCAGCTGGTAACACGCGTACAGAGGTACAATCTTTAAAAAAAAAACTTCTAAAAGGTAAGAAGACCAAACAAAGTTACCATAGCGACGATGACCGCATTTATATAATAAATAAATAAATAAACACTAGCGCCTTTATGCCTTTTGTATTTGGATATATATGAATAAATAGTATGTAATTTTATTTAAATCACAACGCAGAAGCCATATGTACAGTATCTATGTAACCAGGTCCATAAAAGAAAAAAATAAGAGGCATCGAAGAATCCAAGTATAATTGGTCAAATAACACTAATAACAAATTGAATAGGACCTGGGATAAGACCACTTTATTAATCAACAATAAAGAGTGAATATTTTAATACGTTTTTAATTTTTTGATACAATTGAAATTACATAAACTTGAATAAAGAGCATGAATTTTACTGATTTTCGCATTTTCGTTTCGTAAACTTCCAAAATTGGTTGCGAAGAGTGTCTGCATTTTTTTTAATTCAGGCAATTTCCATTGTCTACCTTCTTTCAAGCATGCTATTCAATCTATCTTTTTGAGGCCTTTTTTTCAATTATTACTTGCTCAAATTCCTCAACAAAAGAAGCAGGAGAAGTAAAAGACAATCCAACTGTAATAAGTGGGCTTAAAGATGTATTTATATTGTTTTCACCAAAGTTTTCTTTGGAAAGAATAATACAGTCATTAGCCCAAGGATTGGGGAGAAAGTCATATCTACCAGTGAAGCGACTGACTGATGTATGCTAAGTAACATAACTGTGCAAGGTATAAATTCAAGCACTAAGGATAATTGGATCCACCTTGTATCTCTTAAAAGCCTCTAAGCAGTAGTTTAACTGCTCTCTCTAGAGGCAATTTATTAACGGTGTGTTGAACTTCCGCAATAGTTGATAGGATATTGATTGCTAAAGATTTTGGTTCCAAGACCATATCTGAGCGCGTTCAATTGCTCTATTTTGGGTTTCTAAAATAGTTGTGGTGATATAGTTAGGCACTATGGGATCTTGAGTGATGATTTTGGACATCGGATCTTTGCCTGGGTGCGACTTTTGAGATAAAGAGTTATTCATAAAGAAACCTATGGGAAACCAACACTGCTACAGCTACAACTGATCCTAGGCACACGGTGTTTCCTTGTGGAAGATGTCATTTTGAATCTACCGGACCACAACTTAATTTTTTTTGGTGCCATTAAAGAATTATATCTGGTCCCTAAGGATACATAATATTCGTATCAAGATTTTCTTTTGTGATTTGAAGAATTAAAACTGTGGATTGGTGGGGATTACTTGCCAGTTAATATTCTAAGGCTTTAGTAATATAGCTACAATATGTGAAATAGAGAAAGACATGATACGCGTAAGAAGACGAATAAATAATAAAATACCCAACAAGATTACATCATAGTTTAATGGCAACAGCTTCTTATAATCTTCTGTATAACTAGCTATTGATATAGTATATTTGTAACTAATCACTACTTTTCATGGCCAAATAAGTCTAATTTTAGGGCTACTAATTGAATATATTGTATGAATTTTAGGGAAATATGCTGTGTCCTAAAGAATTAGATAAAGACACCGGGCCCCGGACAGATAATCGCAACACATTAGCCCAGTTAGATAGAAAGGTCGACCCTGTAAGATCGCTGAAGAGAATACAAAATTGTCTCAAGTTCAAGTTAAAGTACTGTGAGGGTATTTATATATTATCTAAATTACTGTATGATTCTATCTAGGCTATAACAGTCCAAGAATCTCATTTGAACAACTCTGAAAACGCCTAGGGCGTATAGCGCCATTGAAAAAAATAAAATAAGAAAAAAAAATGTGATCACCTGGACATTCTAATTTTGGTAATATATTGAGTTCATTAACGATATCATTATTATCATTATCATTATCATTATTATTATTTTATAACCATGGCAATAGATTGCATGATATTTGCATGATATTACAAGATATTACATTGTATTTATGTTTAATATCTTGCCTTAAATATATATTAAGGGGAGAATAAGAGTAGGAGTAGGAAGGAATAATTGAATTTCATTTTATTTGAGCTGACATGTTTCCAATTGACAGTATCAGCAGATATACATACAAATTTCAATTGTGTGGATATTTTGGCTTCGAATCTAATTATAATAATGAAACAAAGAGTATTGGATAATATAAATCATAAGAATGACATAAACATTTTGCTTTGTTTTAGTCAATTCATTTTATTGAATAATGGCAAACAGATATATATATATTGGTTAGATGGCTTCAGGTACACCGGCTAATTACAGTGTCATAAATTATTGAAATGTTTTTTTGTGGGGTTACTAACCAGATCAAGACGCACAGGATAGTCTTTAATTATTTCCACTCTTATTTCTTTTTTTTTCTTTCATGGGTCCCTTTTATTTCTTCTATTCTATTCTATTCTATTGTACTTTATTGTATTCTAGTTTTACAAAAATTCATGGGTATAATATTACCAGATACTTGACATAAAGGTGTATTTAACCTCATGGTTCAATATTTTTCTTCTTCTTTCTTTCATGAATAGATAGCTTGTTTGATTTATTTTATATACTAGTTACCCGAGTCTAGTTGTCTTACACTTCTAGTCTCCAAAATAAATAAATGATTAGAGTTATTTGGAAATGAAGAATAAAATGGTCTAAATTATACCCCATATTTTTTTTTTTGGTTGAGCCCATATATAATATTATCTGTCGGCTGAGCTGGTAGTACCAAGAATTTGTGAAGGTTGCCTATAAATCCATTAGTATTACAATTTTCTTGGGACTAACTGCCAAGTTCAAAAAAAAACAAAAAACAAAAACAAGGGCTAATTTGCTTTGAAAGAAAGAAGGAAAGAAGGAAAGAAACGCAAAAAGTCAAAGAGTTAATTACATAAATATTACCCGAACTTCTTTTACTTTTGGTATTTTAGTTTTTTTTTGTTTTCATAACAAAAAACAAGAATTAATATTTCTAAAGTACATTTCATTGATAGTAGTTTTTTCTTCTTCTTTTTCTTTCAAACTTTTTGTTTCTTTCGAATGCACTGACCAGACCTTGGTTTTTTTTTGTTTCTATGTTACAAGGTTTGAGCTACAAATGGCTTAGCTTGATCGAAGATGTCTGATTGGTGAGATTGCTTATTTGTCTATACAGTGTATATACATATATGTATCTATGAAACCCAGCTAGATTTACTTTGTGTTCAACCAGATTAAGAGAGAGAGAGGAGGAGGAAGAAGAAGAAGACGAAGAAAAAAAAATCAGAGAGAAAGCGACGAGTAACCCAATTTGGCAAATATTTAAGGTATTTTCCTCTGTATCACAGTCTCCATATACAAGCTGTAATTGTAAAGTGCGACAGGTGTGTCATTCATTGAGTGTACGCGGCAATTTCGTGCTACATGGTTTAAACGTAAGCCATTCCGGCACCATTCCTTTGTCCTTCCACTATTATTTTTTTATACAGTTTCTATACTGCAGACACAACAATCCGATACATATATTTATATAGTACATATAAAAAGGTACAATTTACTGGGTAACAATGGTCATGAACAAATAAGGTTTTTGGTATATTTTATATAAAAACAAGTGAAAGAAAGATACACTTGTTGGTCCGGAAGAGCGGCCAAAGGTAAGGTCAGTGTAGAATTATATATATATATATATATACTTTACATTATTTAGAGTGGCGACTACAAAAAGTGTGGAAGATTAAGCTATTTGTCTGGCCGGTTTACACCTTGTCTAAAACGGAAATGATACTGAGAGCGTATCTTTTTTCTTTCCTTTCTTCTTTATTTCTTATGAGGCATTTGTGGTACAGAAATGACTGACCAAACCAAGCCAAGTCAAGTCAAGTCAGTTAAAAATAAAAAATAAAAGTGATATTTGTCTATATATAGATAGATAGATAGATAGATAAATAGAAGTAATAATATATATATATATATAAAGTATAGTATCGTGCAGTGGAGTGCAGTGAAGTGCAGTGCCGTGAAGCATAACGTAGCGTAGTGTGGTATATGTCAGATGGAAAGAGATCATCCCCAGCATCGCCTGCTCATTGGAAGGATAATGAGCGGAAACCAACCATTCTTTTAGACAACTGACGTACAGGCGATAATGAACTATTTATCTATCTCTTTAGTGCATACCAATACTTACTTAAACTTTAGTTCGCTAGTTGACATCATCACAATTATAGCAAAAGAGAGTAAGAGACTTCTTTTTAGGTTTATTTGATGTACTTGAACCCTGATGTTACAGTAACAAAGAAATGTATTTTTTTTATTAAAATTTGTAAAAGGGGAGTGAAGAAAGGTGAGGGGAAAAAGGGAACATAGGGTTTGTTTGGGATGAAAGAAGTCATTCCACAAATACTACTGCTACTGTTAATAGTGTTGCTACTTTTATTACCATTTCATTTTTTTTAAAAAAAAATATGTACAAGACAAGAAGAGGTGTTTTGTACAGCTTGACCACCCCCTTGTACCAAAAAAATAAAAAATAAAAAAAGTAAGATAAAATGTAGCACCACTTTACTTTAGAAGAGCAAGATTTTTATTTATTGAACCTATAAAGTGTCTATATAGTTATGGTTATAAAGATAATTAACCCCTTGCTATTGTTCAACCAAAAATGAAATGCTTTCATATCACTTCATGTCTGGACTTGGGCGGCAGTGAAGCCAATCCTTTACCGGTTGTACGACCCAGCCCGATCCAGATTTGTGTACCCCCCAAAAAAAAATCATAAAAAAAAGTTACTCGTGTTCTCTTATTAGGGCTCCCTCCGTTCCGATTCCTTCTCGGCTAAAAAAAAACAAGTGAAAAAGAACCAAATTCTCTTTTTCTTTCTCTTCTTTACTCTACTTTCTCTTTCTCTTTTTCCATATTTTTTTTTTTAATATTTTTTTTTCTTGGCTTTGAAAAAAGAGAACACTGCCTATAAAAGCACCTAAGCTCGAGAAAGTCGAAACCAACAAAGCGAGCAGAGTCCAGCATACAACAAAAAAATATATATCGACAGCTGCCTTTGGAAACAGAAAAAAAAAAGCACCAAATAATAATAATAATAATAATATAAGAAACCTATTCGACGCAGTAGTTTTTCTTTATTTTATTTTATTTTGCTGGGTGCCTGGGTGCCTGCCTGTTAGAAATCTAAATAATAAAAAAAAGAGTTAGAAAAAGTATTTTGCCGCTTCAATTCTACACCAAAAGATATGACTTCAACCGCAGTGAGGTTAGACCAATTCATTTTTATTGTATAAGCATATATGTATAAGCATACATATTCATTTCGCCATCTTACTCATCTCCATTTAACAACAGAGTCGCCTTGCGTGTTCGTCCTCTTGCACAACGAGAACAACTCACAAATTGTACAGAATGTCTCTCATTCATTCCTAATGAGCCTCAAATTCTCATTGGCACAGACAAGTCATTTACATACGACTATGTCTTTGACCCAAATACACCTCAAAACGATGTTTACAAAAAGGCAGCTGGTCCACTATTAGATAAATTTGTAGACGGGTAAGCGCACCTAAAAAAAACCAATATATGTATATTATCGAGCCTAAAATAAGAAAGATATATTAAAATAATAATAATAATTTATCAGTTCAGTTTACAAGAAAGTTATATATATTATATTAATTTTTTTAAAAAAATAACAACAATAATAATAATAATAATAATAATTTGTATATAAAGTTTCAACGCCACCATTCTTGCTTATGGGTAAGTCAACAATAACGTATTAATGAATAAATATTAAGATTAATATTAGTACGACAATATTTATTATGTGTACGCACAATGGTTAAGCTCATAATTTTTTAATATTTTGGCATCTGTAGTCAAACAGGCTCTGGAAAAACATATAGCATGGGCACAGGCCTCGAGAATCCAGCGGATACTGAAAATGAAGGTAAAAGCAACAGCTTATAACAACTACAAAAACAACTTGACATTCAAACACATAAAATAAATAAATAAACAAACAAAGAGATATAGTCCAACAAACTTTAATATATATAAATTTACATTCTTATTTGTTTTTTTTTGTTACAGGCATTGTTCCTCGGTGTATCATTGATTTGTTTCAAAGCTTAGAAGAGCGTGCACAACGTAGTGCCGACTTTAAATATGAAGTCTATGTCTCTTTTCTGGAGTTGTACAATGAAGAGCTCATCGATCTCCTCAACCCACATACTTCCCATAAACGCAAAAACCATTCTTCACCGGGCCATAATTCCATGTCTCATAACAACAACAATAACAATATTCCAGCTGCTGCTGAAGTAACCATTCGAGAAGATGTTGCCGGCAATATCTACTGGAGCGGTGTAAAAGAAGAACTATGCACGTCCCCAAAAGAGCTTTTAGGGTAACACAACCAACAATTTCTATATATTCTTTATATTATTGTATATACAGTCAGTTTTCAATTTGCGGCAAAATTACTCATGGCCGTATGCCTTTTATAGATTTCTTGAAAAGGGCTCGCTTTGTAGAACAACTGGATCAACAGATATGAACAGTGTTTCCTCTCGTTCTCACGCTGTCTTTTCTGTTATCCTCAAACAGCAACGGCCGCAAGAAGAAGCAGAAAATCATGATCGTTCTTCTTCTCCTTTGGGTGCAACAAAAAAATTACAATCCTTGACCAGCAAATTCCACTTTGTAGATCTTGCAGGCTCTGAACGTGTAAGTAAAATTTCCTGTTGCAGTACTATAGGGGGGGTACCACAGACACACATACACACACACAAAAATGCACACAAAATACACAAACACAAACACACAAACACAAATGTTAACACCAACCCTATCCAATTATATTATGTTAAATTTTATATTATCTTATTATATTATATCATCATTCTTTAGCTTAAACGAACAAACGCACAAGGCGACCGAGCCAAGGAAGGAATAGCCATTAATGCTGGTCTGTTGGCACTTGGAAACGTTATCTCGGCCCTGGGGGACGAATCTCGCCGGACAGCCCATGTACCCTACCGTGACAGCAAACTCACCCGTCTTCTCCAGGATTCATTAGGAGGCAACAGTCAGACCCTCATGCTGGCCTGTGTGTCGCCTGCTGATTCCAATTTCATGGAAACCCTCAACACCATGAAATACGCCAACCGCGCACGGAATATCAAAAACAGAGTCGCTATCAACCAGGACTTTGCTGGCAGCTCAATAGAGGTCAACCAACTACGAGCCCAGCTGTCCAGACTCCGATTGGAGATCGCCTCTATGCGTAACGAAGCCAGCAACGGATTTAGTCCCCACCAAGAAGATGAAAACCGTGCCTTGCGTGCTGAAGTCGGGCGCCTGCGGGGTCGTGTCCAGGACCTATCGAACAATATGGTTCAGATCACGAGTGAGCGTGACACATTGATCATGGAACGCGAACTGGGTGATTTCTTGGCCAATGAGTCCCAAGACATCCCATTAACCAGCTCAAGTTATGATCTCAATCCCTCTGGTACACATCAGCAGCACCAAAATGACCAGCAGCAACAGCAGCAGCAACAGCAGCATCAACAGCAGTTATTGTCATCATCAGCATCATCAAAGATCCAAACCCACCCATTGATTGCTCAATATCAAAAGACAATCCAGGATCTCAACAATGAGCTGGCAGATACCCGCGATCGTCTCTGTTTCCTCGAAAACGTCAAGGCTTCAGTACCCGTCCATGCCGCCCTTGACAAGTTCTCTGATCTCCATAACAACCACAGCACTACTTCTCAGACCAATCGCCGCCACAAGGGTCACAATAGCAACACTACTCACAACATCAACGGCAGCAACAGCAACAGCACCCGTCGCCGTCGCAATGGCCGTCTGTCTGCAAATGCTAGCAGCAGCACAACATCGTCTTCCCGCAGCAGACCTGGTTCCAAGCATGCCAGACGCCCTGTCAGCGTAACAAAGAGTTCAAGTCTCAAAACCAAACTCCGCAAGCACATCACCGGCACCACAAAAGACAAGGGAGATATCTCTTCCGAAGACACCTATGATGACGAAGGCTACTTTAACGAGGAGACCCAAGACACCGAGGTCCGCCAGGAGGTTAAGGAGAGCATCGCAAAGGCCCGTGCCGAGATTCTCAAGGGAATGGAAGTTCTTGAGCTTATCAAGCCTCTCGAAGAAACTGCCCTTGCCTGGGAGGAAGAACTCAAGGCCTTTGAAGAAGATGCCCGCCTTCATGCCAACAACCGGGATCTTGTGGACCACATGGATTCGTCAGACGAAGGTAACTTTACGCTCACTTCTACTTCGCCAGTAGACCACAGCGACCAAGACGACTTTGACCTCGACATCGAGGCCCTTGCGGTGCCACTGTGGAACGAGTCCGCCAATCCTATCCGACGAATCATCAAGGAAGACAGCATCAATGGGTCGGTGACTTCAACTGACCACAGTCTAAATTCGGCTGATTCCAAACCTTCTTTGGCCCACTCATCAGCCTCGGCCTCAGCAGCAGCACTAGCAGCCGAGTCCAAGTCTAACCCCCAACTGGCTCGTATGCTCCACCAGATCCAGGCCGACATTAGAGTCAAGGAAGAGCTGGTTTCTCACCTCGAAAAGTCCGAAAATGCCTATAGCTTTATGCGCCGCAAGTACGACGAAAAGATGGGCCACCTCCAGGTCCAATTGGCCGATCTCCAGCGTGAGCGAGATTCGACTCTTACCCGCACAAAGCATAGCAGCATGGGTCACCACAATGGCAACAGCCATACGGGTAGCAAGAATGATCTGTTGTCATCGGCGGCTGCAGCAGCACGCGACAAGCAGCAGATGATCGAGGTCCGACATGCGTACGAGACCAAGATGAAGCAGCTGCTGGTTGAGATCCAGGAACTCAAGCGCAAGTATGCTCAGACCACAATGACGATGCAGGCCACCCGCAATCAGAACGAGTCTCTGCTCCGATCACTGCGAGTCAATGTAGAGACCCTCAAGGTCGAGAAGAAGCGTATGGTCAAGCGCATGAAACAGGAGACCGAGCGAGTCCGGGATCAGATGACAGGCCAGGAACGCAAAATTCAGCAGCTCCAGCGCCAGAATGCAGAGTCGACCATGGCCCACCGCCGTCTTGAGCGCGAGCACGAGGCCCAGAAGCAGACTCTGAAGCGAAGAAGCGAAGAAATGTCACTCAGCAGTGGTCAGCTCAAGCAGCTCACCAGCATGCTCAAGAAAGCAATCCGCGAGGGTGGTGTCTTGGACGAGCGCCTCTTAAGCAAGGTTTCGCACATTATTGGCGGAAGCTTTGCCATGTTTGCCCGTGGCGGTGGAAGCTCGTCAGCCAATGGTTCCCGCAGAACACGCCGCAAGAACCCAATTCCTGTTCAAGTCCGTGCGACTCGCAAGAAGCAGCTTCTGGACCGTGCTCTCTACCAGTACATCCAGGGCAAGCAAGCCGTGGTTGAGATGGAGCAGCTTTTGGTCCGCCGTGAGCGCTTGGCAGCCGAGAAGCTCGACCTTGTTGATGAGAGAAAGCACATCTACATGGCCGAGAAGGAGAACGCACAGGCCATGAGCCTCTCGATGGACACCATGGCACTCGAATTCACTGATGAGCGCATCGATCTGATCGAGGCTGAGATTTCTTACCTTTCTGCTCGCATCCGTGCACTCCAGTCCGAGGCCGCAGGTGAAGCCATGTCAGAAGACGAGCTCTCATCATCGTCCCCACACGTCCCTGCTGCCGAATCTCCCCGTCCCGAGAAGCGTGTGACCTTTGCAGATGAGATTGTCAGAGACCCAAGCCCAACCAATAACGATTGGGCTGACATGGATGCCATTGAAGAGAAGTTCAATGTTCCTGCCAATGCAGCTCCTGAGATTGCTTATGACATCACCGCAAAGTTACTCAGGACTCTCGAGGCTGATGAATGCAAGAGCATTGCAGAGGCGCTTGTTGATGACATTATGAACGTGCGTATGAGCGAGTGTAACCGACAGGTGACCATGCAAAACCTCGAGAAGACCGTCCAGGACTTGCGTCGTACATTGATAGTAATGAAGCGTGCGGCGATTGCGACTACCATTGAGAATGAACGCCGGATCCGCAAACTCGAAGGCAAAGATGACCCTACCAAAGAAGACCAGGACAGCTCATTCGATGTTAAGATTGAAGAGTTTATCAATGGAGGAAACACCATCTTCGACAAGATTTACGAAGACGGTCTTCGTGGTATGATTACCACCCCCGAACCTGGACTTGATTATGCCTTTAACGAGTCATCTTCACCTGGTTCGTCGGTCGTGTCATTTGGCACAAACAGTGGCCAAAGCGATGATATGATGCTGATGCCACCGCCATCTCCATTGACCTCCCCAACACTTGTCATTGGACATAGCCGCTCCCAGACATTCATCAATGGTCCTGGTGCGGGTATCAAGCCACCTGTGTCTCTTGCTGACACTCTTTCGGCTCGTAACCACATCCCCAACCGTGACTCAACCCCATCTCCTGATCGATTCTACAACATGATCCAGAAGAGAATGTCATGGCAGCAGCGCATGGGTGGATCAGAGTCCCCTATTCCTATGACAATGGTAAACCCATCCGATTTTACTCGCTATTCGACCGACCGTGAGTCGTCTACTTCTTCTATCCGTAGTAGCCATATGAGAAGATCGTCTGTCCAGTCCGATTGCTCATCTGGTCACTCCCAGACTTCGTCTTCACAAGGCTCAATTCACCGCAAGCGTGCATTCTCATTGCAGCAGCCGCCAGTGCCAGCCCGCCGCCGTGCTTCCTTGCGTGAGCTGTCTTTGATGGGAACAGCAACTGCGGCACTGAACTCAAAATTGAGCCACACCACTATCAATGCCACCACCTCCACCTCCATTTCTTCTTCACCAATTCACCACCACATTGGCAATGGTAGCGATCACGACATCCACGGCTATGAGCCCACTTCCCCACACTCCCCGCACTCTCCTCACGTCTCGGTGTCATATCAGCAACATCGGTCTACAATCCCACAGAGACGGTCTCAACAGTTCTATCCTACAGGACCCGGACAACCATTGATGATGGAGCGGGCCGCGTCTACTTCTTCTGTGACTTCATCAGGAAACAATGTCTTTGATCGACTTTCCCAGACGCCCACCCGTGCTTCGCGTGCAAAGATGGCTCACCGCCACAGCAGCGGTAGTCTTGAAGACTTGAGAATGCACTGGGATTTGGAAAGATCCTCCAGCTCAATGAGTGGTTCTTACTATGGCGATTAGATCCAATGTAAACTAACTTGACTGTGTCTCAACCCCAAAACAACCCAACACCACCCAACCTAAAAGAAAAAAAAGATTTTGTTTTTGTTTTAATTCCATTTCATCCTCTCTATATCTCTACCTCTTTACCTCTCTACATCTTTTTAAAAAAATTGTTATAATATCCTTTACTCCCCCCCCCTCTCTCTCTCTACCCACCACCTTATTTGATTTTGCCTTTATCATTATTTATATTATTATTCTTATTTATCTGTTCTTGCTGTAATCTATTATATCCTTGCTTCTTCTCTGTCTTTCTTTCTCTTTATTATATAAAAATATATATAATATAAATGTATACAAATATATATATATATAAAAATGTAGCACTCTTTCTTTTTTGGGTATTTTACCATCTTAAATACTTCACTCATCTAAAAATTTTGGGCCCCAAAAAAAAGGTTTCTTTATAGAAAGAAAACAAGATTCATGTTGACTGTGTGGTATACCAGAATTTCAAGTAACACACTCTATTTCTATTGTATTGTATTGTATTTTTTTTTTTAAGAAAAAGACAATGAAAACAACCGCGAAATACATAGCTCTAGGTCCTTGTATGCTCTTTTTTTCAGTCTTTTCCTTTTTCTTTTTGGTATGCTATATAGAGATAGAGAGGACTTGCTTTTTCGCCGGATCAATTCCGAGTAAGTATAAATGTCATATAAAAACCAAGGGTAAAAGCAAGAGAAAAACATAGCCAGAAACATCAGGTTTTTGTCATTAAACAAGACAAGGTAATGCAACATGCAGGTCTTTATCTTTTTTTTTGTGAGCGATTCAACTCAATATTTCACAAACAACAGCCTTTGAGCTTTTATGCTTACTGTTAATAATATACAAAATATATAAAAGTATATAGTATGTATGTCACAATATTCTTCATAATACTAGCCCTTTACTTCTTTTTGGCTTTATTCCCCTTCTTCTTTATCTCAAGGGAGTACAGAATATAATTTTCTAATTAAATGAGAAGCACATAATTATTTACTGAGCCATCTTAATTGAATACAAGCAATATTTCTCTGTATACATACTATGTATCCCACTAAATCACAATGAACCTCTTTAGAGTCATACCTTAAAAATCAACAAAATAAAATTTGCTCTTCTTCTTCTTCCTTTTTTATATAAAATAAACAGCCTATTGTTATATGTTTTCTTTTTACTATTAAATAGTTTTCCTCCGTTTGTTTATAAAGTAAAACACACATAACAATAACAACAATAACAACAACAACAACAACAACAACAACAACAAAAAAACAATAAAAACAATAAAAGTCCTGAGAAAATTCTCAAGCGTATTTGTATCACAATAGGCTTTTTATTATTATTATTTTCAAAGAAAGAAATGCACGGTGACAAGAATTCAACCATGGTTAGTGCGTGGGGTTACATTGTCCACTGTGCATGAACCCAATGAACACGAATGATAATTGGTTCTTGTAGCCACAAGCTTTACATTATACAATGTACTTTTAAAAAATAATAGTACTATTGTAAGACTTCAGACTTTTTTTTGTTTTTTGTTTTTATTTTTTGTTCTTGGTATACACTAAATTCCAAAATAGCAGCCTTGCTCAACAACAAAAAAAAGTGTAACCAGATATATATAATACGACAACCATTACAAAGAATAAGAAGAAGAAAAAGAAATCTATTTACAAGCCTACAAGTTAAACCCTTTTTTTCTTGTACACCAAAAAATGGGCCCATGAACCACGAAGCTTGAACCCCACAAGTATCGCCGAAAATTTTCTTTTTTTGGAATTTCTGGATACATTATTAGATAGAAGCTGTCAAAGTAGGCATGAAGTATATATAAAAAGATGTAATAAAAGACGTTTCTGAGCATTAGAAATATAATTCACATATGGCTGAGGAGGTGTGTAAGAAAGCAAAAAAAAAAAGAAAGAAAGAAAAAACATAATCTAATCGTGAGATCACGACTATACTGTATTTGTGATAAATATTTGTAATATTTAAATAATAATGTTGAATAATCGAGAGTTAATAGCACTGATAAAGAATATAGATAGAGAAAATAACAGCCAAGAATTACAATGTTTCAAAATGAATTAATTCGTTATCTCATCAGTCGGGTTTATGTTCTTACTTGGATAAATCTGAAGTTCATTATCAGAAAAAAATATGCTAGCCAAGAAGATAATAAAAGTAAAAATAAAATCTAAATTTATATATAAAAAGGTGTCTAATAATGCACATAGCTTTACTAATACTGTACCATTAATTACAAGTATATACTAGGGTTTTACATTATATATAGTACAAAACAAAGTTAAAATGATTTAGTTATTTTTTTTAAAAAAAAAAAAAAAACAATCTACTCCCACCTCAAAGTGCAATGTTATATGTGAAATCCCATTATTTAATTTTCACTCGCCGATCTTTTTTGCTACTTTATTTGTAGCATATAAAAAATAGACAGTTTAGTAAGATTTTTTCTAAAGTAAGATATTAACTCCGTAGTGGAAAATTTTTGCGTTTTTTATTATACGACATTAGGAGAAACAATATTTTCAAACACCGTCGCATTTTTTTTTGTGTAGGAGAATTGCTAGCCTCACAAAAATGCTACGCTCCCAGGTGTTTTTAAATTACTAAAAACAGCTTAGACAGTTTGAGTTCCAAAAATGCCCTGCAATCTACCAAAAAGATTTGGCATTTGAAATTCAAATTATTTATTTTATTTTCTTTTCTTTTCTTTTTATTTTTTTACGAGTTTTCAATTAGTCTTTTATTTTTTATTATTATTTGCCAACAAGTAATTGACCCTCTTATTCCAATTATAATTTTATTTAAATATTATACTGCATTGCAATAAAGGTATTTATGTTCGATTTCGGATTAGTATCTCAATATTAGAAAAAATAAATACTGTGAGAGTTTTATTTATTAAAGAAAGCTAAAATAATATTCGAGGTGTTCAGAACTGATCTTGGGTTAGTATCTTAAGATTAGAAAAATTAAATACTGTGAGAGTGTTATTTATTAAAGAGACAAAACAATAAGTATATATATCAATCGATAAAGACTTTCTTTTTCTTACTGTGGTATACACACCACAATTGAGTGAAGAACAGACCCCACAACCAAACACTGGTTCCTTCTTGCTAATGAACCTGGCAAGTTAACAATCTCCGGAACTGTTACACACCAGGCACACGTACACTACACACTCATACAGTGTAAACCAACCATTACACAACAGGGATTTGAATTACAGGGATTTGAATAGTAGCAGATATAAACAATATTATTTGGTCTCTTTAATAAATAACACTCTCACAGTATCTACTCTTCCCATTATTGAGATACTAACCCATAAACAATCCCGAATACCTCACTTACTATTCAATTTGCCTCTCTTGATATTTGTACTTCCGCTATGCTACGTCTGGCACACAAAATCTATCTACACACACATAAATCTACCCAGGCACACATAAATTCATTCGGACACACATAAATTTACTCGGACACACACATTTTTTTTGTGATGAATTCATAGACCTATATAAAGAATAAATTAATAAATAATTAGCATACTTTTTGAAAGTAGGGCTTTCCCTTTCCCCTCAAGTTTTATGTAACTCTTCGTTGTGAAAAGCTTAGCTACTATATTACAATTTAGGTGTAAAAATAAGTCGAGCAGTTTATTGAATGGATAGTAGACTTTGTGATGTGGTTGTAAAATGGTTAGAAGATTTGCAGAGAATCTAAAAGCAGAGCCCAAGTTACGTGCTTATATTCCAACCTTTTAAAAATATAGATATATCATTCCTGTTGGTAATAACCAGCCAAAAATAGCCAAGTTTTTGTTTTACGTGTATTGAAAACAAAAAACAAGAAAGAAAGTGGGGTTTAATTTTGCTCATTTTTGTTTCAATGCAAGTAATTCTTTATTTCATAAAGGTTTACTATAATATATATATAAAGACACAATACATTAATACATTAAAGCAATATCTCACTTTATCTTGTAAAGTACCCCATATTATTCCCCAAGGCTTCAATATAAATTTGAGCTCAAACAAGTTGAAAAGAAACAACAACAAAAACAGTAAATTTATATATGTACCTCATAGGTGATTCGAGATTTGTAAATGTTATTTTTTATGCACTTCTTTAGATGTAGAAATAAGAAACTTTTTTGAGAACAAGTTGAAACTGAAAAGGGGTTGTAGCCTTTCTTCGCAAACAGTCTGGCACTCGTTTCTATGCTCAAGCGCTCGGTTGGCACTTATCATTGTATTCTCCATCAACATAGCTACAGTCATAGGGCCTACACCTCCAGGAACAGGTGTAATCGCTCCAGCCACCTTTGAGGCAGTTTCATATTCTACATCACCAACCAGTCTTTTACCAGAAGCCTTTGAAGTATCTTTATATATATATATATATTAAATAATAATAATATTGTTAATGAATAAAATATAAGCATTGTACTACTAAATGCACATACCTGTAACTGAGTTTATACCAACGTCAATAACAACTGCTCCAGGCTTAATCCATTCACCCTTGATAAATTCAGGTTGACCAATAGCCACAACTAGCACATCAGCCTTATTGATCTACCAAAATTAATAGTATGAACAATAATATAGAAAGAAAAGGTTACATTAATATGGTTTACCATTAATTAACAGTTTTACAAAAGTAAAATGAGATAGAGACTTACGACAGATTTAATATTCTCAGTTTTTGAGTGACAGATAGTCACTGTTGCATCTTCAGCTGACAAGAGAGCAGCTACAGGGAAACCCTGCAATGAATAGAGAGAGAAAGAGAGAGAATTAAATTAAATTAAATTAAATTAATAGTCAAGTGGATTCAGGACTTAAAACTCACCACAATATCACTGCGTCCGACTACTACAGCATTCTTCCCGCTTAGTGAAATTTCTATAAAGAAAATTAATATTAAAATTAATAAATAAATTCATATTAAAGGCTTACTGTTTGCTTTAAGTAGTTCGATAATGCCCTTTGGAGTACATGGTAAGAAGAGCGGGGTGGTTGATCTTTTAGCCATTTTACCGACGTTCAATGCATGAAATCTAAAGCATTAAATAATACCAATAAAAAAAGGTTGCATATATTAAATTTATATAAATTACCATTCCCATCTTCATCTAGTTATAGATAGACGGATAGATAGATAGATAGATACCCATCTACATCTTTGTGGTAGTCAATGGCTTCAATTACAGTGGTTTCATTAATATGAGGCGGTAATGGCATCTGTACAATCATTCCATGAACTTTGCTATCTTCATTAAGTTCTCTGACTCTATTTAATAATTCTTGTTCGGAAATTGACTCTGGTAATTGTTCAAGTGTAAATCCAATTCCAGTCTAAACAACCAAAACAACAACAATAACAATCAGACAGCCAGACATGAATACTTTCTTAATTTAATAATATAACAGAAAAAGGGTAAATGGGATCTCTTTTGTCATCATTTAATTTACGTACCTCTTTAGCTGCTCTTTGCTTCATACGAAGATATACAGACGAGTCTTCACGCGTACCGACTTGAACCACAGCCAGACGAGGCTTATAGTCAGGAACCTTTGCCTGGGTAGATTTGATATTTTCTTTCACGCGTTTCCGGACCTCACTAATATAATATATAGCTTGTGTTAGGTTCAATAGTTCAATGTTTGACAAGGAGAGAGGAAAAGAAAAGAAAACAGAAAAGAAACAAGGCTCACTTTGCTAGAGCCTTTCCATCGAGGATCTTAGGCATGCAAGCACGTTGGGTACATTGACTCATGAAATGTCGCATTGGATGCATTAACTGACTAGATCGATTGAATTGTAACATTATTGCAGACTTTCAGGACATTCTGGAAAAAAAATAAATAAAAAATAAATTCAGCTGTATAGTTTTATTTTTTATGTAAGTAATAAACCTCCAGTCTCCGCCCAGTCAACTCTTTCATTCTGCTTATTTCTAGCACTCAGTTATATCTACGTTATTGCAGATACTAAACTATCATAGTGGGAACTCCCTTGCCATACAGATTAATATATATATATATATCTTTATATATCTATATAGCTGTAGTCAAAATAATACAAAATAATAGTACTAATAATTTTAATAGCCATTTATTGTATTCTTATTTAAGTAAAAAAAAAACAAAGGGCCTACTGATCGATTATAACATTTGCACATGCACACACGCACACACGCACTATTTATTTAGTGCCAATTTTAATGTACCTGGTTCTTGGTTATAGGCGGAGGCTCAAATAAATAAATAAAAATACGTCTTGCTTCCCATGTTGTCTACAAAGAAGTTTATACAATGGACCCTTGGGGTGGTCATGCTTGCGTATGCTTTTGGGCCAACAGATAGAAAAACTCTGGGCTCTCACAGTGACAGTCCTTCAGAGTACTACCCACCTGATTTCTATCCTAATGGCACTGATTTAGTCTTGCCAATGGGTTCGATTCGTTACTGGCTCATGGGTGACCCTAATGGTAAAAAAGTTGTCTTGATCCACGGAATCTCAACTGGAGCAGCCTGCTACATTTCTCTCTCCAAAATTCTGGTAAGATATTCAAGTATTTTTTCCTTTCTTTCCACACTTTCCATATATTCTCTTTCTTTACTTTACTTATCTATGTTTACTTTGATTACTTTATTTATAGGCTGATAAAGGACATTATGTTCTGTTGTTTGATCTCTGGGGAAGAGTAAGTCTAGTAATAATAAACCACAGCTTTATTCCAATGTGTTACTAACAGCTGTTTTATCTCCACAAAAAAAAGGGATATGCAGAAGCACCTCCACATTACTACGACGAAAGCCTATATACAACTCAGGTGGCTCTTGTACTACAAAAGGTTGGCTGGACATCTACCGATGTTGTAGGTGTCTCACTTGGAGGTAAACCAATAATTGCTGTCAGTGTACTCAAAATAAGAATCCACGAATTAACTATATACTATGCAAATTATATATATATATATACATTTACTAGGCGCTATTGCAACCTCGTTTGCTTCATTCTATCCAGAGATGGTGAATAAACTTGTCCTTATTGCACCAGCAGGACTAATGCATCGTGCCGATATTCCTATGTCAGGGAAAATTGTTGCCCACCCATTGCTTATGAGACTCTTTGAGCAAGGATGGATACAACCATTCGCTAGAAAGGCATTTAAACTCTTTATCGACAATTCTTCTCTTCGCAAAGAGCTTGCAGATGATCCGCTTGTCGACCAAATATCTTCAGTTGCTACTCACCAATTCATCCATCATCCTGGATTTATTCGGGCATTTCTAGGAACTCTTGCAGACTATCCGTTGAGTGGACTTGATGAAAGGTACAGGATCCTTGGAAATTACTCGAATATTCCAGTATTTGTCCTCTGGGGTGATAACGATAAGGTTCGTAGCTTTGGTGTATATCTTGAATTTTTGTTTGTTTGTTTGTTTGTTTGTTTATCTGTTTTTTTTTATAACCAACAACAAATTTCTTAATAACCTTTAGACCGTTCCATACAAGTACCATCATGTTCTGCAAAAATATGTACCTCATGCTCAGATATCACATTATAAAGGTGGAGGGCATGATATTTTATTGAGTCACCGAGATAGACTGAACTCAGAGATTTGCGACTTTTTGTCTTAATAATGCAAAATACAATATACACTACTCTCGACCCAACCTTCTTCTCTCTCTCTCTCTCTCTCTTTCTCGTCCCGTTTATCCTTCGTGACTTGTTTAAACATCCAAGTTAATTCTGTTGCCAAGCCGAGATTGTCTTGATTCGGAATGACATCATTACATTGGTGTTTGTTACTATGTTTGCTTAACATGGTCTCAGTGGAATGCCACTTGGGTGCCATGAAGATCAAGCAGGCAAATGTCAATCCTACTTACACAGAAACTACTGACCCTGGACCACCAGCCAGTCCCGAAAGTCTGCTAGTAGCCAACATCACATCCTTTATTCGAGTCGAGCTTCTCTGTGATATCGATCAAGTATTTTGTGGAAAAGTTATGGAATCTTTAACTTCAGCTGCTCGGGAGTTTTCCTTGGTCATAAATATCAAGAGTTCTATTGTGTATGTGGTTTTAATAGTAATAATAATAGTATGCCAAACACAAAAAACAAAAAAGAATAAGATTAAGGTCCATGATTCAACATGTGTATTGATAGAAGCTGTATGAAATATACTTTAGGATCCATACATCATATTATAGTTTCTGCAATACTGGCTGCAGTAATGAAACCTATGGCTGGGGAACACCTGCATCTCAGGTACGCCAAGAAATAAATAAAAATAAAAAACGGAAAATATATATAAATACAAACTTTATGCATACCTGACAGCTAAATAAAAAATGAGTAATTTTCCCCCCATCAATTTTGTATAAATGCACAGTTTACCCTTCCGTTCCAGAATGGGATAGTGGATCCAAACTATGTATACCCGCAAGCGTTAGCTAAACAGCTAGCTCCGTATGGCTTTACCTCTGCGTGGGCTGACTATGATATCGAGATGGAGATTAACCATGATCCATATCTAAATGCTGTCGATTATGACGATGCCTATGATGAAGGATGGAATGGTACAGGTGTTCCTCCTGGTGGAAAGTACTGGTTCAAGGTAAGATATATATATGGGTGTGTCGGTGATTATCATTATCATCAATTGGAATTATTAATCTTTTTGGTAAATAGAATAATGAAACATCTATAGGTGATGATCAGATTGATATGGAGTATCTATTGTTGCACGAAATCATTCATGGTGCTGGTTTTATTAGTTCGTGGGCTGCCTACTTCTCCAACCGCGCTTCTCCTTTCCAAACCATGTTGGCTGGTTTATTTCCGGACCTAGAGCTTAGATTAGTTACACCTAATCCATATTGGTATGTAAACCAGCAAGGCGGACCTACATATGTCACTGGGTTCCAACCGACAATGATATTCGACAAGTTTCTGACGGTGAATGGTTCTCGAGCAAATGAATTGTCCGTTCAGATTGACAGGGCAAACGGGTCCCTGGTAGACCTCGCATTCGAAATGGAAGACTTTTGTGTACAGGACAGCGATGCCTTTGTTGTCCACTTTATGAAGAGCTTTATTTATTCAGACATGTTTTTACCAGCGCGTCAATTGTGGAATATCATGAGCTATCCTAGTTCGATATATTTTTACTCTCCAGAACCAAACACTACCCAGACATCCGTGTACAACAATGACTCGTACCGATATATGGTTCTGGCAACAGGAACCGAGGCCCTTAACTCTGCGAGTGAGCAGTCTGATCGTCACTTCCGTACGAGTGCATCGATTTCCCATATCGATGCAATGTATGCATCGACGCCTGATTTTCTTATGACCGATATATTTATTACCGGACAAACGCTGGACTCCTTGGTGGAAGATGCGTATGATATGTTGGATGATCCGATTACCTACAATACATCGATATACAACTCCACCACACTCAATACTACCATAACTGTCAATGAGTATCGATCACCGATCGGACCAGGAATATTGCGAATGCTCGATGCTATGGGATATTCAACCATTCTAACAAACGATAACTACACATCATCAGTCAATTCGAGTGAAGCGGCGCGAAGGAAATCCGTGTGCGACGATGTTAATGATCGGGTGTCTATAGCTGAGCCAATAACTCTTTCTATAAACAATGGATATAAAGGAGGTACAAGTGTGTACGGAGGATTACTGTGGGTATCGATTACATTGGCAGTTATAGCAGCAGCACCTTGTTAATAATAATTATTACTATTATTTTTGATTGTAAATAAATAAATAAATATAATATAATATAATATCTGGCTACAGATTCTATCTGATTTTACGCATCAACAGCTTTATATATATGATACACTATGAAAACTTTCCAGGCAAAAATAAACGATATCCTTCATATTTCACTATCGATCGGACTGCTTTCTAATTATAACAGTCCTTCTATCAATAACCATGGTAAATGCATCAAGTCAAAAGCATATTCAGGTTCTTATATATATGATTTACTATTATGTTAGAACCTTTGAATCCAAAAGACTATATTGTGCAATACTAGAAATTATTCAATGCTTCCAAAAGAGCTATATACATAAAATATCCGGATCAATTCCACAAGAAAATGATCGAATTTAAAGATGGAGAAGTTATTACATATACGAATCCTACTCCATATAAGCGAACAGGTGTACTGAATCTTAGTAGAGCAAGTTGATAGCAGTATTCATTAAGAGGCCAATAACTAACATAAAAAATAAGAATATTATGATTTATACTGGTAAGAATTGGCCTCCCTTAAAGTATGATATAATTATGAATAAACTCTGCACAATAGATTATTCTAGCAATCGGCAAATAACCCGTGATACTAAAGCATAACATATTACTAATAGTATTAAGAAAAGTATAAACCATTATATTGCTTCTGCAGACATGAATCGATAATTTCACTATACATATCCAAGCACTTTATCTGTAGTCGAAAATGCCAAAACCAGCATGAGAATGTCATGGAACTTATCTGGCTTCGGAAGAAGACGTATATAACTAAGGTATATACAATTAATGCAAAATCATATGCTTTACGCTTTACATCGTCCCTCGTTTATCTTTAACCATTGTTAGTGGAGTTGATAATATCTATTCTTTTCTTGGTGTTTCTTGCTCATTTTTATTTATTTTTCTCATCAGTATACGCAATTGGGATCATTATTTTATTATAGGTTCGACTACCTTTATTCTAATCAAACATACTAACTAAAGAAATTAGTAATGATAACGATAATAAAAACAAAAAGTAAAATAGTACCTATTAAAAACGTCGTGTTTTTATAATTTTTTGTTATTTAACCGTGTAAATTCTCTCCTTTTCAAAAATTAATTCTAGCCAATAATTTTCTGTATTAAACATTTGTTAGCCTAAAATCCGTTAATCTCAAATTACTGAAACCCTCCTAAATATATAATATAGTATATTATATAATCATAAAATGCAAAAAAAATAGGGTTGCCCAATAGAAAATCACAGCATATACAAAGGCTCAACCATAAAATATTAGCAGAAACAAAACAAAGCGAGTTAATCAGAATTAATCAGAGCCAAGGTATTAAAATTGTGTTATGAGGTAACGTATTAATTGAAATGACCACATCGTTTAAAAGCATATAGGAAGAAAGTAATCTATTGATTTATGCACTCTAAAACCAGTAAGTAGCATATCGCAGTATACAAAATAGAATATACGTATCCAGCTTAATTTCTCTGCTGTTGTGGATTTAAAACGGAAGAACAATTGTAATTAGAATCGTATTAATATTATTTTTCTTTTGCCTTTTGCTTGGCTGCCAAGCGTATCCATACAATTCATGTAATATATTAAAGTATTACCCATTTTAATATATGCTGGTAAAAAGGGAGAAAGATAGACAGTAAAGGTGATACATGTGCATGAAAGAAAAGGTCAATTTAAATTTACTATGTTAGCAACAAGACCATGATGGCCGAATTCTAATGAAATACTCGAAGAATATATTGTGGTTATAAAGCTTGGGGTTTAGGCCAATTTATGGGTTAAAGCTTGGATTGACTGACATCCAAGTTCGGTGCTTTGATGTTGGAGGTATTGAGGGGTTTCTCTTAATAAATGATGAGAGAGAGAGAGAGAACCAGATTATAAATAATGCTAGACGATGTACCCGTACAAACTTGTCTAGGAAGAAAGATTATTGCTGTTATTATTGTAAAGTGCTGTGTAAAGGGGTTCTTTGATATCAAGTGTGTTAGGTTCGATAAACTTATCTATATCATTGATATATATATAAATACAAAGAAAAGACAATTCAATTGAAATATGAATAGGTTGGCCGTTTGGCTATTTACCAATAGTAGTCCATTGATAGCTTTCTAATGAAATTATCTTGATTGTAAATAACGAGTTCATATACATAGATATGACTGTTTATGTACTGTAAAATAATAATAATAATGTTTAGCACAAGTTTCCAAAGAATCATAGAATCACATAATCAAGATAGTCTTTTATTTATTTATCTATCACTGTACCCTACAATATGCAGAACATCATGCCTTTCTTCCAAGTCATACAGACAAGTTAAAAGAACAAGCTACTTATATTTGCAAAATTCTGGTAATCTGTTGAGCGATTGGTCCTTACCCCCAAAAAAATATCCAAAAAAAAGACTGAATTGATGAGGTTAAAGACACACTTTTTATTTATTTATTTTCATAGCTTAGACTAGAAAATTAACCTACACTTCCAATGGACAGAGAGAGAGAAAAGGAAGTTATCAGTCAAAGCTGAGTTAGGTAAGCAGATATTCAGACTTTCTATTTTACGAATAATATTTCTGGAATCCAATAAATAATATATGCCACTTTAGATGGAATATGGAATGTGGGATTTTTCTTGCTTTTTTTTTTTTTTTTTTTTTTTTTTACTTATATTTTACCCTGAAGCCAACCCAGCCAAAGACTCCCCCCAACGATCTAGAACCCAGCCACAGCAAGTCAAAAATTTTTTGAGTTCGTGGCGGGCTATATTTTCTTCCCCAAAGCCTTTATCAACCCTCCTTCCCTTCTCGCTTGTTCGCTTCTCTTCCTATGGATCAGCAAACAGGTGCGACCCTCATCTCTCATTTCGTTTCGAAAAAATAACTAACCTATTTCATAACAGCTTCCGGCGTAGAAATCAAGAACAAGCTCGGATCCTTCACTGCACCTACTCCCCAGAACACACCTATTAATCCTGCCCCCATCGCCTCCAACTACCGTCCCACCGTAACGACTATTTCAGAAGACATGGAGACTATTACTACCCCCGGTAAGCTACAAATAAATAATAGCAACAACAACAAAAAAATAGCAATAGCAATAGACATAAAACTAACTCTACAATAGGTGCCTCTGGTCAGGCCTCTGCTCTCAGCGGTGCCTTCACTGGCAACCCTGCTCTTATCAGCATGCTCCAGGGCAAGCTTGGCAACCTTGTTGGTCGTCCCTCAGGTTATATTGACTCTCTCCCTGCCCAGGTCAAGCGTCGCATTAATGGCCTCAAGTACTTCCAGTCCAAGCACGGTGAATTGGAACACAAGTTCCAGGAAGAAGTCCTTGCCCTTGAGAAGAAGTACCTTGAGTTGTACCGCCCCCTCTACGAGAAGCGTGCTGAAGTAATCAGCGGCAAGTACGAGCCCACCCCTGAGCAAATCGCCATCGGTGAGAAGGTCGACGAAGAAGACGAAGATGAGGAGGAGGACGATAAGAAGAAGGATGAAGAGGAAGATGAGAAGGACGAGGAGGATATTGTTGGTATCCCCGAGTTCTGGCTCACTCTCTTGAAGAACCACCCCCAGATTGCCGAGACCATCACTGAGAGTGACGAGGAGGTCTTGAAGCACTTGGTCGATGTCCGCATGTCGTACATGGAAAACCCTGGCTTCAAGCTCGACTTTGAGTTCTCTCCCAACGCCTTCTTCACCGAGAAGATCCTCAGCAAGGTCTACTACTACCAGGACCACGCCTACGGTGGTGACTTTGTCTACGACCACGCCGAAGGTTGCGAAATTCACTGGAACGAAGGCAAGAACCTTACAGTCACTGTTGAGACCAAGAAGCAGCGTCACAAGGGTACAAACAAGACTCGTGTAGTCAAGCGTACCGTCCCCGCCGACTCCTTCTTCCTTTTCTTCAGCCCACCTGCCTTCCCTGGTGAGGAAGAAGAGCTCGATGAAGAAGAAGCCGAAGGTCTCGACGCCAAGCTCGAGGCTGATTACGAGATGGGTGAAGAGTTCAAGGATAAGATTATTCCCCGTGCCGTCGATTACTTCACCGGCAAGGCACTCGAATACGAAGACTTTGAAGGTGACGATGAGTTTGACGAAGACTTTTACGATGAGGATGAAGATGAGGAAGATGATGACGATGAGGAAGACGATGATGAGGAAGATGATGACAGTGGTGTAAGTTGACTTTATATTTTTGAAACATCCTATGCAGACACATACATATTATTTTACATATATTAATACCTCTTTCTTTTTTTTTCTTTAAAAAAATTATAGCACCCTGCCAAGGGCGATAACACTCCCGAGTGCAAGCAATCTTAAGCGTCTTTTTTTCTTTTTCACAACTCCTTTCTCCACCTACTTCAATCACTTTCTTTTGCCCTAAAGGCTACCTAGAACAGAAACCCTAATGAGCCTTTTTCCCCGTGTTTCTCTCTTTCTCTCTTATCTCTCCATCTCTCTTTTTTTTGCTCCTCTGTTTTTCTCCTATATTCTTTCAAAAATAAACATACAAAAGATACAGCAGTGCGAAATTTGGTTATTAAAATGTATATATTTCTTCTATACATTGCTGTTAAAATATGCTTTGTTTCATAGACAATAAAGCCAAAGAAAAAGAGGTGGATTGTATGGTGAAATTGGAACAATGGTTTAAAAAGTGGCTTTGCGGTCTCACTTTTTGACCAGAAATAGGCTGCCGGGCGTATCTTACCCAATAAATCCTCTCCCCCAGCCCTATTTAAACCTCATGACGTCTCTCTCTCCTCTCCTCTCCTCTCTCTCTTACCCGCGCGTACCCACATGGTTCAGTAGCCGTTATGGCGCCATCAGTACAACATTATTTTCAAGCCATTGTAAACTCCTTTGGCGGGATTGGCACAGTCTGTGTCGTGTTTGATACCCTCGGATCCCACACCGTTTATGATCTAAAACTACGTCTAGCACAGACGACCTCTATAGCTGTTGGACAACAACGTATCACAACTGTAGGCGGCCACCTCCTAACAGATTCTCATGTCTTATTCGCTGATCTCCAAGGACCAGCAATCTTTAATCTATCTGTCTCTCTAAGAGGTGGCAGAAGCGCAATATTACCTGATCCTACATCATTCATTCAAGAAGACGAATTATTAGAGTAAGAATATATTATATGCATCTACTTTACATGTATACATAATGCATTTAATTATCGTAATCACATTCAAATTCGAATACTATTCCCAATTGTAGGCATCCTGAAAAGAAGTGTCGATTAAACGAACCCACCTCCCTTCCTCTACGATTGCACTGCACAGCTGAATCTTCGTCTCAATCCAAAAAGATTAACGAACGACCTACAAACACACCCGAAAAGACAAAGGGAAAGGAAAGAGAAACAAGAAAACGGAAACAAAGGGAATAGAAGCCTGTTTTCTATCATTTCTCCTTACCATTATTAATGTACATAGCACACAAACACAACATGCATTTAACATCTTCATCTTCTTTACTCTGTCTGTCTGTCTGTCTTTCTAAAAGTGGATATATAACAAACGCATTTTTTCTTCTTCTTACAGACTTAACACTGTGTACCCTTCTTTCTTTTTTATACATATATTTTCACTCTTATTTTTCATTTCATTTTTTCTTTAATTATGTTGAACATGGCAATGAATACACAGGTAATTCATATTTTGCCTTTCTCTCTCTTTTTTTTTATTCAACTTCCTTTGGAATCACCAGTGCACTACTCTGCCATCCACCAAACCCAATGCCAAATACAAATTTGTCATTTAAGGCGCTCACTTTTTTTGGGTGATGAATATCTTGTCGTCTTGCGCCGTGTCCCAAAGCGCCAGAGCTATAACTCCCCCAAGTATATAAGCTACCCGCTGTAGTCAATGCGCCTGTGTGATAACTAAAAAAAAATAAAAAATAAATATATATATAAACATATCAGTTATTAGAATCTTAAATTACAAACTCCAATATATATATATACTTACTCGCCAAAGGACACATTGCAAATGTTACTTCCAATCCAATGGATCTTGACATTTGAATTCTCACTAGTCCTAGCACGACTAGTACGACGAACACCTCTATTAATTCGTGAAATAAAATGAAAGTGTTGTGGTTGATGAGGATCTACATTGTTTTCTTCCTCTTCTTCTTCTTCATCGCTATTGGTCTCGGGCTCATCTTCCTTGTATTCTTCGAGTGTATATTCTCCAGAATAATCAGTATCTTGGTTACCAAGCAATACTCTGCCAGGGGTGGTATACACAGCAAACTGCCTGAATGCTCCACTGACGAATCTCTGGACGGTATTTCCGCGATCATTTAGCTCCTTTGAGGTGGCACTGAAAGGTGCCAGCAGAGTTGTGTAGGTGGCGGGTGTGTTTTGAAGTTCGTCTAGTCTACGAAGTTCGATCTTAAACACTTTTCCAAACAGTGAAAGTGCGATCATCGAAGACTCTAATCCAGCCACTTGTACTATTCTGTCTCCCTCTTCTATAGCCTCAGAAACGGCATTATTCTGAGTCCGAACAGCATCTTCGCGTAAAGAGTCTAGTGAGAAGCTGACTCCTTGCCATAATGTTTCTTGTTCGTGAACCTCGTTTTCGGATCGAGTAGGTGTAGGAAGGTCCACGATGCAAACAACTCCTTTGCATGTCAATGCCAACGATCCGCGCCATGTAGCGGAAACCTGAACCAATTTGTCGACAAAAACCACCTTTTTTGGTGTCCACAAGTTGTCCCAATGCCAGAGAACGGTAGGGTTTCTCTCCATTGCTACGGCGTGTGAACGCCCGCATGCCAAAGAAGTGATGCAGATATCTTGTGGAAGATTGACCAATGTTGGCTCAGAGACTATTTTGAATGCAAGAGTACCGCGGGCCTCCCATTCACTATCCATCTATTGGTACAAGTCAGAATTGTTCCGATACAAATATACATATATATATGTATATATATAGCTTGATTCATTTCGGGAAATCTATTAGTAATTCCAACTTACAGTACCCCACATCCAAACCTTTCCATGTTTAGACAGGCAATGGAAAGACCAACCACCAGACGCAATAGACACAACTCCTTTTCCTCTCAGAAACGTTAACTCTTTGGGTTCAGTCACCCTATCAATGCTTTACTAAACCTTTTGCACATAAAATAAGAAGAGAAAAAAAAATTGACTTACGACATGGATAAGCGCTGCCAATGATTTCCTCTTGGAGGACCAAAACCAAGCCGACCATCACCATTCTCTCCCCATGTATATACCGCACTGTGTTCTAACTGTCCGTAGAGTGCTTTCCAGCCTTTATTTCGATAGCTGACATCGTGTGAAAGATTGTAATCGTCAAATACTAGATTGCGCCAGAGATATTCGTCATTACATAGCTGAAAAAAGTGACGAGAAGTTTGTGACAGTCGAGTAAGAGAAACAGCATCTAGCAGTGGTAATATAACCTGCTGCCACACTGTCCATGGTAATTCTTGAATGAGCATAGATTAACACAAATTAAACAAAAAAAGGATAAAGACGAGAATCAAAGAGAGAGGGAGAGAGGGAGAAAAAAAATAGCGACAACAGTAGCAACAGCAATACTATTAATGATACGTCAGCCTATAAAGATAATAATAATAATTGTAGTAGTGGTGGTGGTGGTGGTGGTGGTAGTAGTAGTAGTAGTAGTAGTTTGCCTTATCTCGTGATTTTAGACCTGCATAAGAGGCGTACGACATGAACTGGTCAAAATGACGAATTTTTGTTTTTTTTTTTGTTTTTCATTTTGAAAGTATATTATATAGATAAAGAAGTATATTATATATAAATATATATAGACGAAAGCAAACAAATAAATAGATGCATATATACAACGACGTGATCGTAAAAAGAAATAACAATGAGAATTAATGAGTGTCTTCGGGTAGCGCGTCGTATTTTTCTTGAAGCTGGGCAATCCTTGGCCGTGTTTTGGATTCTAAAAGACAACGTATTGTAAGATCTGCGGTGTGTTTGAGTAGATCTGTGTAAGCATGGGTATAGCCTTCAATAGCCTCTCGTGCAGTGATACGATCGCCAGAGTAATACGGGGATCCTCGTGAATCCTCTGCATAGTTAATCTAATAAATAAATAAATACATAAATAAATAAATAAATAAAATAAAATAAAATAAAATAAAATAAAATAAAATAAAATAAAATAAAATAAAATAAAATAAAATAAAATAAAATAAAATAAAATAAAAGGACATGGACGACAACAATCAGCTTTTAATTTAATTTAATTTAATTTAATTTATTTATTTATTTATTTATTATTATTATTATTATTATTATTATTATTTTGAATTTTACAAGTGTTATATACCTCATCCAAGGCTAGTGCAAACAAGTCATCAAGATGTCCTGTCTCGGGTGGAGGTGTGTCTGGAATCGGATTAGGAGTTCGTTTGGACAGACGACGGAGAAAAACATGGGAGTATACAGGTTCAATATCCAAATTCTTTTCGTTGGAGAACAAGCGTTTCTTGGACCGTCCAAATGTAGGTGGAGGTGTAGAAGGTGTAGAAAGCTCTGAGCAGGTACTGCTTTGAGATCCTCGTCGGCTTTGAATGTCTCGTGTGAACCAAGTGAAAAAGGTACTCCACTTGGATTTTGAAGGTCGACTGAGTGGCATCTGAAAGTAAGGTGAAGAAAAAGAAGAAGAAAAAAAAGGAGGATAATAATAATAAAAAAGCTTTGGGTTATTTATACTATTTACCAGGAGAAAGATATAGAAGAACGTCAGACAAGCATCCATACAACAAAAAACAACAACAACAACAACAAAACAACAACAACAGGAGGCAAGGAGGGAGGATAGGGGAAGAACATAAGTAAAAAGGCATTCTTGCAGGGGACCAGTGTCGCATGAATGGGTTGAATACGATATAAAGAGCAAGGCATTGTATGTTGCTTGAAGACGAGCATAAAAAAAGAGTACTTGAAACTAAAGGGGTGCTCTCTACAAAGGGGATATATGGACCACAGAGTCCATCTTCATCAGCCTCTCCGTCTTAGATTTCAAACTGCCTTATAATGCCACCCCGTGAGAAGCACAGGAAGAGGTTGTTCTCCTGCATCGTAGAGGTACACAGTTCATGCGAACTTCTCTATTGGTAAATCTTCTTTTTCACTCTGATATCCAAAGCAATATTGATATTAGACTAGGATCACACTCGTTGACGTAATCACTTTATTGGCTGTCTAGTAAAGAAGCGTATTTGGAGATGTATCTTTTGGATACCATATCTGGGTCTGTACTTCTTGGTCCTGCTGTCTCTTGAGACCTGTGTACTACATAAAAGCTATGGTATGCCTTGTCATGTTTAAACATTCAGTAATCCTGTTTTTCCTTATAATAATAAAAGAAACAAACGGCTTGTGAATATACCTAAGCGTACACATATGCGTATATATCTACATACACAATAAGATGCACCTGATCCTTGCATAGCAAATGTGGCGTCCCAAATGCATGTCAGGCTTGATAGCCGCAACCACAAGGACCTGCATAGCTGATACCATGGATACTTGGCCAAGTGAAAAAAAAAACAAAATCAATACTCATTTAAGTCACCTCCTAGTAAAGATAGTAATATTCATACAAGTAATATTCATTATTTATGTATATATGAATATATCTATATATCTATATATCTATATATGTATCTATACGTCGGTTCGGAACTTACTTGTCCGCGCCTAAAGGAGAGATATCCCTCTGGCCCTTCTTTTAAAAAAATAAAAATAAAATAAAAATAAATGTCACTGACAATCGTACTCTCTAATACATCGGAATATATTGTCTTCCGCGCATATCTACAAAGCATACAAGTCTTCTGACAGTATGCCGGAAGTACAGACTTCGGGTGGAATCCCGTCCAACCTCCGTGCCACCTGTTAGCGATTGCGACAAGACAGAGGAGGCGACTGGAAGAAGAGACAGGTTATGTATATCAGTAGTCAAGCTTACTTTTTTCTTTCTTTCTCAAAGACCATAGGATTATACTAGTCATTCTGATCATTTGCAAAAAAAAATATGTAGGTTTTGTATCAGCATTAAAAGACTTTCTCCGTTTTTATAGAGTGGCTTTTGAAATTATTACTATTATATATATATATTAAGATAAAAGGATAGTATTTTAGACTTTAATGCAATTCAAGCTATTTGTCAATACAAAAAAAAATGTAGTAATGGCGATCTATTCTGTTGGTTCTTATCAAAGCATGAAGCATGAAGCATGAAGCATAAACATACATCTACTCTATTGGCATCACAGCTTGATTCTTGTATATACAGAAATGAATATAAGTACAAAAAGTAGATTATTACCTGTTCTATTAATTTCAGTATATATACATATACAGATTAATATTAATATTAATATTAATTGAAAATAAGAATAGCTCTTTAATCATATATTTCTGCTATATATTTTACGCATGTATGGCCAAAAGTAAATAAAGATAACTATAATTATTTATTACCCCTTGGATTCTAAGTTGAACGCGTATTAAGATATCGCAGGAATGACCCTACCAAACTATAACACTTTATTAATCACTCAGTAATATCATTATGAGTCTAAATGCACCAAGATTATATACATGTATTTTGAAGACTATCTTATAAAAACTAGAAATCATCAAGTATACCTCTATAATGAACGGGTCTTTATCAAGTACTAGTTCTAGTATTTAATTCCATAAAATGCCAGATAATTAATCTTGAATATTAATGCATTCATGATCTTTAATTGAGTGTTCTAAATATTGTACATTGTTATTACTATTATAATTATAATCTAAGCTTTTAAACTATAGGACATATCCATATAAATTTCCTTATTCTTCAGAGACAGGTACAAAGTCTATATTACACGTAGAATGTATTATAGCCAGTAAGACATTAAGCATCTAAAATAAACTATACCTTTATACATCTGTATTATACTAACGTTCTTAAAAATTCTAGAAAGGTAAGTACTCTAGCATAATATACAGAGGGATAAATAAAAAGAAACCCATCAGAGCTGCTTGAAATCTCGACGTAATGATACAATAGTTTTTCCGAGATTCTAGATAAAGATTGTTTTCCTAATTACCTTGACTCTACCTATAAAAGTCACATACATGAAAACATTGACATGATAAAAAGAAACCATCTTTATCCAATTTAGCTTGATATTATCCAACATATATATATATATATATGTGTGTGTGTGTGTATATAGTATCTCACTCATAGAGATACCTTAATATTATATTTCATCAGGGCTACATTGAGAATGTCAGAATTAAGTGATGCAGAAAGACTTTGCTACCTAAGCATCCTAGTTTAAAAGAGGTATAAATACCGTCATATTAACATTAATATGTGTTGTATAGATCATTATACACTCCTACCTTGTTGTGTAAATGAAGGTTGAAATAAGAAAGGTACAATGCTGTCATATTCTTATTTTACATTTCTTTTCATCCCTCTCTATCGTTCTTTCTTTTATATTACAGGAAAGTCAATTTTTTTTCACACAGATCATATTCTCAAGCAATATTGTCAAATAGAAAGCCTTGGGGTTTTTCAAGCTTAAAAGCAATTTTGTTATCACTGTGATGATTATAGTTCCAATTATCAAACATAGTTACTATTATTATTACTATTGAATATTATTCTGCAAAAAAAAAATTCCCCTGCCAAGCTTCTTTTGGATACTGATTCTGAGAATCGATCAAAGCCATTAGAGCAACACTCCTAGTTCTCTAGAGACTGCAGGGAGATAGTTCGTGTATCAGAGCAGGACAATGATAACTGTACAGCCCATCTGTTAATTACGCAAATTATCATATGCTTGCAGTTTGAATTTGTTCTCCTTAATTCCAGTAATAACAAGCACAATAATGAGTTTGGATATAGAGACACCTAATCATAAAAGAAAGAACGAAAGAAAAGGTTGATATTCAATATAAAGAAATATCATTCCTCAACAGGTAAAATGTCTTAATTGATATATAACCTTGGTTCAAAAACTTCTTTGTGATTAGACAATTAAACACATATGAAAATGATAAATGAATTAAGATAAAACCCTCCCTGACTTGACACGCTGTGAATTCCGATCATTGTGCAGAGAAGAGAAGAATAAAAAAAAGATTACTTAGGTGATAAACTGGCCTCTTGTTATATACATAATATATATATATATATATAATCACAAACGAAAAGACCAAAAAAAAACAAAAGACAGGTCTTAACAGAAAGCTTTATTAAAACAAGCCATTCTTTAGATCTGGTATGGTATCTCTATAGAGCTTGTAGCTCAAAAAATAAATAAATCAAAAAGGAGAACGTACAAAAGTAGGGCTAATGAATAACATAATATGTATATATATATACATTTAAAGTCTACCTCCTGGAAGGATGTTGAGAAATATTTGTAAGCTTAAAAGTGAGTGGCAAAAGAAATGTTAGAGGTATGTTAATGTACAGTGCGTTAATGCACAGTATGATGCCGAGCAGTGCAGAGCTGTAGAGCCACCTTGTTTGTACGGATAGAACAAATAAAAAGGGTTATAAAAGTATGTTAATGTATTGAGATTTCCGGACCTGGAACGGACCAACATATTCCGGTCCGGAAAATACTCAAAAGTTTTAAATATAAATTATTATTATAATAATAATATTAAGATTCTTGTCAGCTTTTGAGCATTGTATAGATGATCGATTGTGTAGATAATAAAAGATACCATTCAGTTTATTGTTTCTTGATATATTTCTATGGTTTTTGGACGAGATATTGTACAAGGAAATAGAATGAATATTATGAATGAATATATGAATAAGGGGAAAAGGAGTAATAGAGGGGGAAAGGGAGAGAAGGAAAGGAAGAAAATCTATGCTTTGTTTGATTTTGATTTTGATTTTTTTTTTACTTTGATAATATTCTCTCATAATATTAATTTTTGCCAGTAAATTTGAACGGTGTTTCATCACATCTAACTGGTCGCGACGCCCGATAATCCCCATAGGCAGGTGGAGGGAGTGCGTACGCTGATTTGGCCAGGTTTGGGTCTTCGTTGAGTACAATTGTAGGAACACCCAAGGGGTTACGTATCATAGATTGCATGGGCTTGAACGATGGCTGGCGTACAGAGCTTGGACGGACAATCGTCTCTGCCATGACAGACAATGGCCGAACCTTTTGCTGGAATCCGTCTATCTTCCAATCTGAAAGTGGAGGCAGTTGGCCAGCCGTGCGTGCCTGGCCATCCTTCAGACCCCAGCTGGGCTGTCGGTTACTACCCGTGTGCACTTGTTTGAGGGTTGAGGGTCGCATAGCCTCTAGTTGAGATGCCGTAACAAACTGGACCTGCTCCTGCTGGCGAGGACCTGTCATCCTGTGAATAAGGTAGACGAGGGCAAGGAGAGCGATGAAGAAGAGGATAACAATCATCACGACAAAGAGGATTTCATCGGTGGAAGCCATTGTGAAAAATTGGAGAAGAGAAACAAAAAAAAAAGTGAAGGGGAAGGTCTGAAAGGATGATTGAAAAGAAAGAAGAAAGATTTGAGCTTCAAATGTCAAGGGGAGTATTGCCTTGGTGTCACGGTCATGCATCCAAATCAAGAGAACCACCATGTGTAGAAAATGATCTCAAGTCTCAGTGGTCTTTTGCCAAAAAGGCATCAATCAAAGGGACACATTCTTTATAACTCGGTGTGCACTAAGGGGTCAATCTCTAAATATTCAGCAACAAACGCACGAAATATAACCGCAAAGTTAAGTACGACGTTGGGATCGATACACTCTGACATGTCCTAAAAGAATACAAGGAAACAATGGAGTCAATCCGATAAGCCATCTTATCTTATTTCAAAGGAGCTTGCTTGCAGTATTAAATAAGAAAGACCGATCAGTGTTCTTACCCCGGGATTATGCCAAACAGAAGGAAACGGAAACGGAATGATATGGAGTACTTCTACACCTCTTTGAAGAAACGGAGTATGGTCGTCGCCGATCATTTCGCCTCGGAAGGTCATAGACGATTTCGGGTTAAATACCGGCCTAAGTTCTGTTCCATCTTCGGCCACCGTAGCCAAAAGTGAATTGGCCAAGAGACGCTTCTCGAGACTCAGGAGACGGTAGAACAACCGATTGGTGTCCCTGTAATAATTGTTGATGCTAGGATTGGGAGTCCCCAAAAGATCAAGTAAGACCAAGAGCTCTATTTGGTCCAATCGATTACCCCTTCGGATCTGCTGGCTAGAGTCAAAAACGGTGTTTTCCCACGTGTCTGCAAGATGTCTATGTATATTTAGGATGAGACTCAGAGCCAACCAACCACTTTATATATATATATTTTAAAATAATAATAAAAATAAAAATAATAAAAACGAAACACTGAAGGAGGGGGATAAGGAGGATAATTAGGACATTAAGCGACAACAATAACTTGCCGTGCACCATAAATAGAGTCCGTGCTGCTCCATTCTCTGACAGCCTCTTCGCCGTCAAAAAAGATCAATTGAAGTGATTTTTGTTTTGGCGGTTGCTGATCCAACAAATCGTTCATTGTAGTTGCTACATCCATTAGAATTGCACAAGGCACAGCAGAGTCTGTAGCGCCAATAAACTCAAAGTCAGGATAGTATTTTGAATCAAAATGAGCCCCCATCACAAGATGATGATCAGAATTTGGGTTTTTGGTTACAATAATATTTGTAAACTTTGTAGGACCCATAGGTGTGTAATCTACAAAAGAATCCAGTTCGACATGCCAACCAAGCTGTTGAAAGTGATTCACAATAAATTCGCGCACTCTAGTGTTCCCAGGCGTTCCTGAAACGCGCGGGACGAGCAAAGGTGAAAGCAATGAACCGGTGATGTTGAGGCGATCTGGTACAGAGAGTGCTCTCAGTTTGTTGAGAGAATGAACCCCTAGGGGTCTGTATCCCAAGGCATAACAAACATAGCTAATTAAAATCAGTGTAGTAGGCCAGGTCGATATTATCATTGAAGCTTATTATTTTTGATAAGTGGGAAAGAATAGGGGAGGGTTCAATTAGAAATAGGCGTTGTCTCAACACGTCAGACACAGTATATTAATTATATGCTGTATTTATATACACATATATAATAGTCTTGTATATTTTTAAAGTAATAGTAATAAATAATAATAAAAAATAATAAAAAATAATAAAATAAAATAAAAATCAAATTAAAAGTATGTTGTGGTGAGAGATAGAGGTAGACAAACAAACCCCACTGTAATTGTGTATGTATCTCCGTGGGTTGTATTTGATAGGGTTTTGTGTGTGTGTGTGTGTGTAGGTTATTACTGTCATTAAATTAGGCGAATCCACAAGACACTTCTCTATTCGTCAGGCATAAAAATGGTTTCCATAAACTGCTCATAACTCCTGTAATATTTCAATATAATGAGATTTCGTTCTTTGGACTCACAGTATAATTCACTTTACCATGCAGCAACTTTGTGTCGGTTGGCAATTGTCTGAACATCATTTGCACGGTGAGAGTACACACATTTGTAGAAAGAGTACAAATTAGTGTGGACAGAAGCTCGGAATGCATTTGCTGCTGTTGCCCTAACCAGAGGTCCAAGTGTAGCCCGAGATACGACCATTCGGTCAAAAAGCGGGCCAAAGTAAGGAATCTAAAAACAGAAAAAGGTGAATCATCAAAGCTTATAAAATAAGGCCAAAATACTACTGTAGTATACTATACTATAATGTAATGTAATATACTGTACTGTACTGCACCGCACTGTACTATAGTGTAGTGTAGTGTAGTGTAGTGTAGTGTAGTGTAGTGTAGTGTAGTGTAGTGTAGTGTAATGCATTATATAGAATTGTACCATGTATTTAATTTAATATTACCTTTGGATCACGGTGGACATGAATTGCAAACAAGGAATTGGCCATTGGAGTCACCACAATTTGAGCATTACCAAAATCACCGCCAATAGTACCAATACGATAGTCTCGATTGTGCTCGTTCCATACAATATGAACATGGTCGTTTCCAATATGTCGTTTCTTAAAGATCGGCATAAGTCATCATGTAATTATATAAGTATATGCTTACCTTCTTGAGCTGCTTTGGGTCGTTTGGATCTGTTGGCATCTTTGTCACGTCATGAAAGATCATTTCCAATGTAGACGAGCAATAATAATTTGTTCGTGTACCATTCGTCAAATTCTTCTCGAGACCACCCAAATACCCCGTGTGTGTCGCAATATCTACTTCCCATCCTAGACTCTTCACAAAAGAACTATACATTGGACTTCCTTGGCTGTTACACAATATACTCTGCTCATCTTCTTGATTTTGCCCGACATATACAACAGCAATCTTCATTGTCTCTCGTCTAAATGCCCACAGAACAAAAAAAAATACAGGTATCGTGAGTATGTTTATCAATGCAAGCATTTAAGAGTCCAGGTACTTCTTATCAATATCTACTAACCCATGCTTTCGATCAAGGCCCCTTAAATCTCGGTAAAGACCAGGTGTTTTGTTTAACAGACGGAACGACCCATCTTTGAGATGATCGTAATTGATAAACCCAAAATGGCTCATCAAAAGCCGACTCTGTTGAAAAGGTACATGAGGTTTTTCAGACTCATGCGGAAATGCTGGTAAAAAGTCCTTTCTCATCGAGAAATTGGCCATAAGATGAGCATGCATAGACTCAGCACGATCATTAATGCCTTCAGTTGCCTCCTTTTGCCTAAGGACGTTCATCTTTGAATACCATAATTGTCTATATCATCAAAAAATTCCATGATTAATTCAGACATATTACACATGACTATCGCATTAAAAAAACACAAAAAGTAAAGCTCACATGTCTGATTCTTCCTGTTCATTGTTATCAGACTCATTCCTTAGGTACTCGTCCAATTTCTGTCCAAGACTTCCTACCATGTTTGTCTGGAACTGGGAAGCTGGAGAAGGGTGATCCAGAGGAACGGCCGGATCCCACACACAATCTGGATTGTCTTCTCCGATTCTATTATCGAGGGGGTTAACAAATAATATATATACATATACATATACATATATATATATATAACAAGGATGAAAGAAGATTGGTATATAAGCCAAATAACAATCTGATTAACTTACTGTAGAAGGAGACGGCTAAGACCATCGGTTGTTTCTGAACTAGATGGAGCTAACACTGGTTTTGATTCTTTTTGGATAGATATATTAGAGCGCATCTTGTATCCTTGGTCGTCTCCTAAAATGTCTGATATTGGATCATTATACGACGGTGTGGCTTTAGGGTTCACAGGAGTCAGATCTCTGGATGGCTCTAGCTGTGAATCCCACACGTATCTGCCTGTAAGATCACGTATAATAATTCTAGCTTGCGAACCTAATAAGAATTATATTGTTTAGTAAAAAATACAAAAAAAGAAAAGGTTGAACAGTATAACATACTTCTGAGTTCAGTAGCAGGCAGTTCAACAAAAGCAATAATGGTAGTATCGTTAAATGAAAAGTATTGGTACTGGTGGTAGTTTTCTTGTTTTTCATCCAGAACCATCCCTGGACCAACTATAGTGCTATGTAATGTAGCTGGACCATATGGTGGGGCAAAGTTATTAAAATGATGTAACAAATGCAATAAAACAGCTTCAGCAGATTCCTAAACAAACATTAGATTAATTTCAATTATATCAATATATATATATATATCTTCTTTAGTACCTTGACATAACCATGGTCACTTTCAGGTATATCTCCCCAAGAAGCAAAATTGGGCTGTTCATGGAGATCATTTGGACCTCGGTCATTCGAGAGTTTGAATTTAAATGGCAGCTCTTTTTTCTTGTGATTATTTGGGCGTACCACCGGAGGGCGAGGAAGCATTTTTTCCGATCCATCCTAATAAGATCCATATATTTTAGTATACAATTATACGTATAAGAGATAATACGTACTGAAGTGATATGAATAGCATATGCGATCACATCAAACACTAATGAACAAAGCTCAGATTCAGGGTTTGAAAGATTAGCAGGATCTGCCATCATCACCCATTCCAAAAGACAGCTGAATAGCTTAGAGATAATAAAACCTAGTGAAGAGAGAAAACAATGATATAAATAACGAGACAGGTAACTTTTATAATATACCTCTTCTATTCTGTTTGTTAGCCTCGTACGATTTGAGATGTACATTGAGTGCATCAATAACTCTTGTCAATACTTCTTGAAGGATTTTCTAAAAGAAATAATCAGATAAGTTATTGTTCTCAGTTCATCGAATTGAGACCTACTTTTTGGAAATCCAAATCCTCACGATATATGTGAGCCAGCATATTGAGGCAGTCGACTGCTGTGTTAAGCACAGGAATACTGCTCCAATAAAGATGATCAACAATTGCTACAATGCATTCATGTACATATTCTGGTTGTGGACTAGTAATAATCACCCATAGTTAGCTTGTTATAGTTTATAATATATGGAGCTTACGTTGTAGACGCAAGAAGTTCATCCAAAATAATAGAGCTAAGCGCTCCCATGAGCATACAATGTACTTCTTCGTCTTCTTTTGTATGTACAGTAGTCGTGCCATTATTTATTAAACGCAACAAAAGTTCTTTGAGCCAGCGTTTGCACTAAGAAAAAAAGGTATTGGTATAAATCTTGTAGTTGGGTTTACTTACTTTAGCAAAAGAAAACTCTTTCCCATTGTAGCCTTGAATCCATCCCATATCATACTCCTCTATGTTGATTGTCGTATCCCTGAGATGATTGGTAATTGATACCAAAGATCCAAGGAGAGTGACACAGCTCTTTCGCAATGCAATAGAGGCTTCCTTTGAGCCATTTTCGTCTACCAGCTAATATATAATATATTGTTTTGGTTTGCTCAAACTTTGCCAATCGAATCCAAATTTCATGGTAAATAGTTTATACCTGTTTTTCGATTGCATCAAGAAAAGGTGGGATTAAGATGTGGATACTTGGTAGACAGAACGAGAATATACGCTCTGAATTCTTCAGAATAGCTTGTATGATCACACTGTCGTTTGATCCCAAACCCTATATTAATGTTATATATGTAGGTATTGCTTAGTATTCGATGGACTAAAACAATACTATATTAACTTTACCCTTAGAATAGCTTTGTAGAAATGGGCGTAATAGGTGTTTGGTACTGGCTCTTCTGGTCTTCTAGACACCAGTCGACACAAGCATCCGTATGCATCTGCCTTTCCAGCATCATATTCGCTAAATAGTATATATACATATATATTAAAGCTTACACTTACACAATCTACATTTATCTTACCTTGAAAGCTCAGTAGCTTGTAATAACCAAGGTGTCATTTCATAAAGAGCAGGAATAGGTACATTTCGATACGGCTGTTTAGACCGAATCTTTTATACGAACAACCACATGTGTTATTATTAGCGATACTGCTACTGTCATTGTTATTCTTATCGTCATCGTTATAGCTGTTGTTATCATTGTTTCTTCTACTTGTATATATATAGACAATTCTATTTAGGCTCACCCAATTTAGCATATCCCAAGTATCAACAACACATCGCATTGCAACAGCATAGTTTTGAGGACCCTAATCAATATAATTTTTTTAAATAAATATTTTTTTGTATATATATATATATAAGAAAATACCTGAATTAAGTTCACATTCCCCACAGCACAAAGCATGTTCTTCCACAAGACTAACACACCCTGCCCATCCAAGGTCAAACCATTAAGAGTAAGAAACTCGTTGCTTCTAAAAACACCCAGGCTAGCTGGCAGTTTTTCATTGACCGTTTCAAAACTTGAAACTATCTTGACTGGTTCCTTTGGAGAGATTATTGTAGAAGCCAATGTGCGAACAGACTAATTCGTCACAGTCAATAAGTATAATACAAACCAAATATATATATATATCTTTTAAATACACTTTCTTCGTCCGTTACTTACTTTTCCAGACGGCAAAAGTCCATCCTCGGGATTGGTGCGCTCCACTGAACTACCTGAGCTTTTATTATCCCATTCTGGTTTCGACTTCTTGACTTCTTCTTCTTCTTTGACCCCGTTGTATGTAGCCGACTTTGCTTGTCCTGGTGTTTCTAGATGTTTGTCGTGGTGGGCAGAATGATGCACAAGATTCATCAATTTATTACCGGAATCCTGCCACAGAGAATCGAGCTGGTGAATGCTCATGGTTCGACGGCCACTGGACCGTTTCTTTAGGCTTGACCCTACCGAATTCCCGGATGGCCCGTTTCCTCCACTATTTCCACCGCTACCTGAGTTATTGGCAGTCGAGAACGAAGCAGTTGGAAGGATGTTTTTTATTCCAAATTTTACTCCGCTCTGCTTTCCAGTACTGGTGCTAGGCCCAATAGGTTCATCCAATACTGGTTCTTCAATGTGTGGTATATCTGTGGAAAGATTAGCAGACCTCCTATCGGCTGTTTGAGGTTCTATCGCAGGCATACTAATCTTGCTGCGCAAAGTAACAGGTGTAGTAGCTTCAGATGCAGTTTCATAGGGTGTATCAATACCAGATTGTGTCTTATCATTTACAGAATCTATCAATTGACCATCGCTTCCACCGGCAGAAAGAGGTCTACCGGCCACACGATTTGAAGCCGACGTACGTGGTCGGTCTCCCTGGATACTTAAATGACGGGTACGAGCCTTGGTACGACCTCGGTTCCCAGGCGCAGCATTTGCATTAAATTGCATTGAGTACCTATTCTGTACAGCATGGCTCTCTAACAAAGGTTGTCGATGGGTTTCTAAAGAAGGTTCGTACTCGACCTTGTACAGACGAAAAGCAAGCAGACGAGTAACTTTATTCATAATTTTCTAATTAAAAAAATAAATAAATAAATTATCAGTTTATTTGCACGCTATTATATATATATATATATATAATGACTTACGACCCATTGAGAGAGTGTTTGTGACCATTTGATAGAGCTCAGCAAGTGTTCTTTCAATTCTATCCACAGAGACGCGTGAATTAAGCGCGCTCGAACAAAAGCGTGCAAGAGGGTCTAGGTAATATTAACAACCACATGTCGTATGCTATGCTTTCTTTTATGATTATCATATTCGATTTACCTCACAAACAAAATCTGCCATCTCTTCTGCCAAAGGTTGAACAGGGATTCTGCTATATTTTTCAGGTGGGCTCATAAACCAATTCTGAATGTCTAAAAGACACCGTAAAAGAAGTTCCCTGTATATCTGCATTAAACCCAGCACTTCTTTTTTGGAAATGTATACTAAATATCTTACCAAGTCTCATCCTCCATCTCAATACCTCCGCGTGAAACGGTTACAGCACGATAAAGGTTTATCGCATCTTTATAAAGGGCAGTCAGGCCTTCCCAATCAGTCACTTGCTGTACCTGAGCTACCAATACATCTCTGTCTCGACTCCCGCTTTTGTTCTCAAACAATAATTTTATCATCAAAAAATAGCGCCTCAAAAAAATGTTGGCATCACCATCATCGGATTCAGGTTTGTCGGATGTTCGCCATACTGAGGAGGTTGGGGATGTTGATAAGACTTTTGGCTCAACTATAGAATTCTTTGAGGTGGCAACTGAAGCAATGCTGCTCGACCGTGTCATACTATGACCTACAGTGCCTACAGAGGCACCTCCTGTTTTTCGCAAGAAAGAAGGGCGTTCATCCTCATTTCCCAGAACCCACACACCAAGAATATGGATCGCTCCACGTGTGATATCACGATATTGTGGGTTAGTACATGGTAGAACCATGCATTGTTTGAGAATTTCGTGTAGCATCTCGCGAGTTTCATGAGAAGACAATACAATAGACTTTAAGATAGGAGTTGCTGGTGATGATGTAGGTGCGGAGGGAAGATGAGCCCAATGGGCATGGGAGTTGCTGTTATTATCGAGACAGTACCCGATTAGAAATCTCAACAGAGTACGTAATATACTTGGAGGACATAAAGGAAACCCGACAAGAGCTGGATACACACACACACGCGCGCATGAGCTGTGATTGTTTGTTACTAGTATTGCTATTATTTGTTTTAATTACCTTGCTTTTCTTGAGTTTCTACCTTCTTATGATCATCTGTTGTTGTTGTTGGCTTTTTGGATTTATTACTCTCCGTGTGAAGAGATTTTGCAACAGCAGGAACAAATTTTGTGAGATAATATGTCCTAAATATACGGAACAAGAATTTTGCACTGGCTGTTGCAGCATCAATTCCAATACCGGTCGCAATACCATCATCTGTTTCTACATAGTCTCCAGGCGGGTATTCATAATCATCAGGCGGAGGTGGAGATCCAGCTGCAACATAAGCAAGTCTGACAAGATTTGAAATAAAAATATGAATTAAGACAACCGAGTCGCTGAATGTTGGTTGGGAATGACTGGGAAACAGAGGAGCATGCTCATCACCTACAGCCATATTTTATGAGTATACAAGGTCGAAACTTATTTCCCAACAGATATGCTCACCTAGTATGAATGTCTGGTTGAAAGTAAGTTTACTCCTCTTGATTCTATCGTCTCTCAATAGCCCATATCCTTGAGGTTTCTCTGTGTGTCGCTCGCTCAGTTTTTTGACAAACTGCACGCTGCTCTGGAGTTTGTTAATAGTTTCTTTATCATCTGTCACATTGACTGCATCTGTATTTTGTGTGGTTGTGGATGGGAAGGCGTATATATCATCAAGAATAAACAGATCAAGCGAGATGGCGTTGGAGAATAGTTCCATGCATTCAGGGTACTCGACTACCTGGTCATTGAGCCAAAGCAACAAAAGATGGAATCCCTGTGCACGTAATCTTATGTGGTTTCCATGATCTAGCACATGCGCTAGTATTTTGGCTACAACCAGAATATAATATATCTGTATAAGTACCGTTGATCTGTGGATCAAAATAACATATTACTTTACCAATATTCTTGCGTTGCCATCCATTTCGCATCAATTCTGGAACAAATAAGAAAATTTTGCGAAGAAGTAAAAGCGATTTCTGAAGATTTACAAGCTCTTTCGAGTTCCATGACTGAGGCCGTTCACTTTTCTCTATTGACTCTTTATATAAGTACACGCTAGGTATTCAATATACAGCAATACTTACGCTTGATCTTTTCGATCTGGTGGACGCATGTTTCGTAAAAAACCGCAAAAACTTGCTCAGCATTTTCTTGGAAGAAGCGAGCCTGGTCAAATGAATTGGTAGCATCTACAATAAGTCCATTATATAAGCATGTCAACTCAAAAGCACCTTGTTTTTAGCACATGCCAATGTAACTCCATAGACTCTGTGCTCTTGATTTGGTTTTTTGTCGTTCATCCAGGAAGTTTTTTAGTTTCTTCTTAAGTTTTTCTGGCTTATCTTCTTTTCCGGAAATTGTGAATGTTGATGAGGACGGGAGGATGGGCAGATCGAACGAAACATTGTCTGGGTTGGATGCTGCGGTTGGAATCACGCGAATTCCGTCTGGTTTATTAATCTTCTTAGGCATCAGCGTGTGCGCTTGCTTGCTATTTTCTTCGTTGTTTTCATGTGATGCTTCTGCGATACTAGAGGCTGTGGATGTCGATGGTATGGCCACAGGTGTTCCGGGGTTAAAGGTCTTCTTCATTACGGAGCTCGCCTTCCGCATGACGGACACCAAAAAGGTGTTAAAATGGGGTTGGCGGAAATCAGGGAAAAGGGGGGGGGGGGGGTGGGAGAGAATAAAAATCAAGTCAACGTCCTTTAAAATATTTATCTAAAAAAGAACTCGTTTCCTTGAGTCCAGGCACGCTTGAGTCTACTCTGATAATTTGTGTGGCCTTTTGGATAGACTACTCTGAAAGGGATGGATCTACTTTCAGATATTGCTATCTGCACATCTTCTGTGTCCTCTCTTGTGACGTCGTCTTGATCAAAGCAAGTTGCTCAGGTTTTGTTGGTTTGGCACCAGACATTCAAAATTCTGAAGGAAGGCTAAGCATCATAAAGTTCCTAATAAAGTAAATTGCAATATACATCATGACTTATTTGGTCATCCGTAATCGATTCATCTATACAAGTAACAATAAACAAAATCCCGGAATGTCTTTGTCAGTTATGTTGTTGTTATTGTTATTTGTCTCCAAGTACAGAATATAGTGTACTGTTTGGTTAATTTTCGTTTACTCTATTATATCTTTCTTGGTAAATAAAAAATGATAATACAATGCAACTTGGATGAAGATCCGATAGAAATCTATTAAATAGAAGTATCCTACTCGAAACCTTTCTTGTTTTCATTATTTACTGCAGTCTGTAGCTATGTTTGCCATCCTCCCCTTTTTATGTTTATTCCTCTCGCTCGAGACTGTTCCCGCTATGGTTAACATACGACAAGAACAATTAGTCCCTGATGAAGATAATATGCTTAAAGCTATAGCTGAAATACCACTCCGAGGAAATGCGTCCGTTGTTTTTATGCTAAAGCAGTACGAAGATCATCTTGAGTACGACATCCACTTCAATGCCCTAAATTCGGATGCCTCCTGTATCTCCTGGGCTATTGGAGTCCCTGGATATTTAAATGGAGGAAACGAGTGTCATTTTCTCGACACCAGGTGTGCTAATGATGTTCCGACCAATGCTTGTATATCTGGCCTAGGTATGCTTGGCGAATGTGGAGCTATCCTAACAAGATCAGGTATATATAAGATCACATTGCATATTACCATAACAAACTATTAGTATGACATGCTAAAAAAAAGACGAAAGGTCTTAATATTAGTAAATACACTGAGCAAACGAATCTTGTAATTCAGTCTGCAAAAACAAATGCTATTACTCTCAATAACAGACACCCACGTAATGTCGTCGGTAAAGGTATTCTGGTAGCATACTCTACTGGTGAGGATAAACAAGAGTTGGCATGTGGGACAATTTATCCAGGTCAAGGAACATTCGGAGCCTTTACTGTCAGCTCTCAGGCCCGCAGTGGCATCTTTGAAAATAGTGGATCCAGTACTTTGAGAGTCATGGGTCTATGTAGTGCTCTTCTAATGGCATCTACAATATGCTTTATTGGACTTTAGAAGGCGCGGTATGAATATGTAATGGATGCAAATGCTTATTAACGTACTCCGAGAATTTATAATAAAAAATAATGCAATAATATAACGTCCATGAATTTTTCTCTGTTCAATATCGGTTTCTTTGGAAAGGAATTTAACATGGTATTTATACGCATACACACATACATATAAATAGGTACTATAAGCCTTTCATGGGAATTGAAGAGCAAATAGTTTGACATAGTAATAATTTAGTAATATGTGCTTGAATAAAAATGACTATTTCAAAGCGTCATTAATACTTTAGATAAGAACTTAGTATATGTAATATAAGCTTATTATTTCTCTTTGGTGAGCAAGATCTCTTTTTCTCTATTTACTATGTACCAAACAATATTAATAAAACGGAAAGTAAAATGATGTTTGTTAAATACCTAATCTAAGTACGATTTTGAAAACTATAGGCAGGCTTCTATAATATTTCAGTTACATATGATAACTTGCTTTGTTTAGGCGTAAAATCATCGCTAGAAAAAATCTTAGATATGTAGCTATGTATTTGACGTAAAAAGAGCACCGAATACTCTATTACAGTAAAAAGAATGTAGCCTTTTTATCAGTATTTTCAAGACACGTACAAAATGTACCTATCTTTATCATTCCTTTATGGCTAATATTTTAGTTCTTTGTATAAGAAAACAATCATTCAAGTAAAAAGTAGAAACAACACGCTATTTTCTGTATTATTTATTAGAAGTAAAAATACATAGGCTTAAAGCTCTTAATGTAATATCTATTCTTAAATATAATAAATATACTCCAATAACTATATAAAATATGTATGATATGAGATAAGACCCTCGGTCGTAAATTCAAGGGTGAATTACTATTCCGAAATTTACTTTTGTTTAACAATAGTCTTCTTTATCTTATACTTTTTAAGTGCTCTTTATAAAAGAAGAATGAAGCATGTCTTTTGTTTGCTTTACATAATTACCCTCAATATATATATATATAAGCATTTACATTTAATGTGTTCCCATATATTTTACCATGCATCTATTATTATTCTTGCTTTACTTTATATTCAAATTTCAATTTGTTTTTGGGATACTTACCAAACGTCAAGATGAATGGCCAAATAACCAGTTAATCGAATCCCAGGGTAGAATTGCCATGGCCCGTATACCCCTTGCTGGAAACTCAACCATTGTTTTCATGTTCCAACAGATGGAAACCCGCCTGGAGGCCAATATATTCTTTGATTCTCCAGCTGCAGATGGTGCTTGTTTGTCTTGGGGAATAGGTTTTCCTCAAATTGTGGATGGTACAAATGATTGCTACTTTATGAGAGGACCGGTCTGTAGGGATAGCATATTTCCCGATGTGTGTGAATCTGGGTTTTCAAATATCTCTGCTTGTGGTGCCTTCTACACCATTACTGGTAAGAAAATAAGTTAAAATACCTAAAAGTTCAGGCGAATTGATTTTAGTTGGCTATTTAAAGGAATGGGAATGGAACAATACAACCCACAGACCCACATTAATTTATTCAACTTCCACACCAATGTCATGAGCTTGGGACCATCTCGTCAACATAATATTCTTCTTAAATCCATCATGGTAGTATACGCAACAAAGAATAATCCAGTACAACAGATCGCATGTTCCAATGTAGTACTCGGCAAAGGTTCAGAAACCAATTTCACCATAAAAGCCAGTGATGCAAGTAATAAAGCTGTACATAAATATGGACTTGCATTATTTTTAGCTCCCATTTTATACTTTATAGGGATTTAAAGCTGGAGAAAATTTTTAATAAAGAAGTATGTATTGTGTTTAATGACTTTCTTAAAATACAGTCTCTTTTTTTTCTACCCAAATTTTTTAAAGTTATATATTGAGATAACAGCCTCTTAAGATTTTATTATTCAATTTGAGCTTTTCAAAGTGGTCGATTTAGTATATGTATAGTATTATATATAGGCAAAGGTCTGTTTACAAATGTTTGGTATAAAGGTAACATAGTTATTTAGCTCTTGATACCATTAACTTTCTCAGGATTATAGAAAGGATAATCTGTGTACCCAACGCTGCCTCCCTCGTAAAATGTAGATCGGTCATATTTGTTGAGGGGCCAGTCGTTCTTGAGACGAAGAACAAGGTCAGGGTTTGCAATGAACGTACGGCCAAATCCGATCAAGGTATTCTCAAGCCTTTCGGTTGTTTCGAATGCACGTTTAGGAGTAGTGGTATATCCACCAGCAGTAATAAATGGGCCCTTCCATGCTTTGCGGAATGGCTCGATTGTATCGTTCTCAAGGATCTCAGTTCTATCTACTTCAGGGTTATAGCCGGGGAGATAATCATCGCGAGGTTCGATAAAGTGAATGTAGGCCAGGTTAGGGTGTTTTTCTTGGAATTGGTTTACAATATATCCCCAGGTCTCGTATGGTGTATCGTCTTCCATGTCCTGGAATCCAGACCAAGGCGAAAAACGAACCCCAGTACGGTCTTCTCCGATAGCTTTGGTGACATTTTCTACAACTTCCAGGACAAAACGAGCACGATTTTCGATAGATCCACCATACTTATCAGTGCGTAAATTTGACGAGCTATTAATAAATTGATCGATAAGAAACCCATTTGCACCGTGGATCTCAACACCATCAAAACCAGCACTAATAGCATTCTTGGAAGCCTCAACAAATGTCTGTATGATCTGGGATATCTCCTCAGTCTCAAGGGCGCGAGGTACTTCATAATCCTCTCCAACGCCATTTTTATCGCTGATTGCAATGGCAGATGGAGATACAGGAATTTTATTTCCGGGTATAAAAGCAGAGGCACTTGCACGCCCAAAGTGAAGCAGCTGAAGATATATAAATCCTTTTTTATCATGGACAGCATCGGTTATATCTCTCCACTTTTCAATTTGTTTGTCGTTATAGATACCGGGAGCAAAAGGGTAGCCACCACAATCTTCCGATATAAGTGTGCCTTCTGCAATAATCAAGCCGCCTTCAGAGGCACGCTGCTGGTGATATTCGATCATCAAGGGAACTGGAACATGGTCAGCATCAGCGCGTCTACGAGTCAATGGACTATGAACAACACGATGACTCAAGAGTAACCTTCCAACTTTAATTGGTGTGAAGAGAGCAGGAGACATAGTTTGATTTAAGAATTGAGAGTTTAAAGTTGAATTGAAAAATGCTGGTTATTTTGCTGTCGGTATTTGGGTGACTATATATATATGTGTGTAATTATTTTCTGATAACCGTAAATAGATTGAGGGTTCTGGACTTGATATGTCAGCAAAAGCTCAAAAGGTTATTTATCTAATGAGTACAATATAAGCATTTTCTCTGATCTGGACTACAACGGATAAATTCATCATAACCGTGTAGGACAGATTTAAGGGGATTAGTAATATGTTCAATACATAGTCTAAGCTTTCTGAATTCTTCTACATAAATAGCCTAATATAGCCTTAGTGCTAGAAACAAAAAATTGTGTGCTTATAAATCAAAAGATGATGCGATGTAAGTATTTAATAGGATATTTCATCATTTTTTAACGCTTAACTTTAAATAAAGCCGTTATATAATCAAGGAATATGGTCGGCTGAAGTTAATTTAAAAAATACTGTATGAAAGCATAATATCTAATCATCCAGCAAAAAGTTTACATGTTTGAATGTTGAGACTTGACAGAAAATTACACATTAATGCGTTACATGTACAATTAATAGCTAAATGTATTTAGAAACAAAGTAGAAAAGAGAGTATACCCATTATATACGACAGCGACTTATTGAAAGCTAAATCACCCGCGAATGCTTCACTCAAGAGTATTATGAACAACCAATAGCCTCTTTCTTTTCTTTTTAATATTCTGTTATTGTGTGGTGCATAAAGCATCGTTACATCGAACTGTCAAGTATGAAGAGATAGTAAAAGCTTCTAATATAGATATGTATATGTATACAACGCTTTGTTATTTGCATATATTTTCGAAAATTTGGAAGAGGATTTGAAGGCGTCAGTGTCTCACAATAAGTAAATAAACGACAGAGTGGTAAGGACACGGACCACCATTGAAAAATAAAAGTCGAAGTTTCCAAAGTTAGTTGAGGCTTGATACATACTGTTCATTTGGTCATTATTTTCTAATATAAGTGTTAAGAACCAACAAACTTACCACACCCCGTATTAAATATATCGGACAAGGCTTTCAACCGAGGTATCCGCCGGTATAAAATACGGAATGAACCAGGTTCATACTCCTGTCATAAAACCGGTTCACTAACACTTGTACTTAATTCGTAGTCCGGATCAGAAGTCTACTTCAGAAAGAAATGGAACCTGGTTGACACTTTACATGATATATTTTATCTATCAATGTTTTTTTTTCATCACTTGTTGTAGTGGGCTTAGAAGTAATAATACAGCTGTATAAATGACCTGAAGTAGTTAAATGCTTCATTTAATTTGATTTTTCTTAATAAAATAGTTTTTTCTAACTGTGCTTATTCTCTTTTCACAGAATTAGATATTTACACTACATAGCCAATTAACCGCGCGTGTCTATGATTTAATTTTAAGCGTATTGGATTTGATTCAATAATAGTGTGAGAAGGTGAAGAAACTAATGTACTTACATTAACCAAAACATTTATTATACCACGTTTGCTTTTCTATGCACTCCCTGGTTAGTTCTTTTTAGCACCCAAGATTGATTGAAAAACATTATGAGGATAAACGAATCTTTTCTTCTAATCTTGAGTTCATATATGCAATCAAAATAGTCTGAGAAATGAGGTACATCTGATAGAGCAAATGGTAAGGTATTATAGGAATATATTTTTTTCTTCTTCTTCTTAAAAAACGACATACCCATAAAACATAATGGAATATACCTAATTGTTAAGCTATTAAAGAAAACAGCTGTGATATATTGCTTATCGATTACCAAAGAAATCTTTTCAACATAATCGCAGTCTCAAGCTTCTTCAAGTGCCTCTTTCATTTCGAGATATATTATTTCGAAAGAAAAGACGCCTTTAACAGCTGAATACAGCAATGAACCCCTTCTCTAATCCTAGCACTATGATAAAAAAAAAGGAGGGGAGGAGGGGGGGGGGGAGTAATTTTAGTAATAGATTCTTGCAAGACTTTCTTGGGTTTAAGGTGTGTTTTAAAGAGGAATTTTTCTTAACCTCTATTTTTTTTCTACTGTTGTAGTTCAAAAGTAAAGCCACACTTTTAAATATCCTAATTTTACTCCACCGTGTCTGCAATCTATGCAAAACAAAATGCACCTTTAAGCACTTATCGTAGCACGTTTAAAAAACACATTCTTAAATACCCATTTTTCCCGTAATGATAGTAAAAAGTATTTTAGATGGGAAGTATGTTAACCTTTTTTGTTAAAAAAAGAAGGCCCAATTTTAACAGCTTCTTGTAGTTATTGATTTAAAGGTTTTGTGAAATGTAGATACGATTGAGAATAGGCTCTAAATGTCAAATAGATAGCGATAAATAAATGAGCTATTAAATATGTTAGTTTCGAGAAGACCTTGTTTGGAGAACTGTTACGCTTACATAAAATTGAAAGGAATTATAGGATTCACTATAAAATAATGTAATTATTTATGTTATGTATTCAAAGCTTTTCATAAGAGTTTAGGAAAAAAAAAGCCGATTATCTATTTAGTGCCTATAGAGTAGGAAGCTTGTCTTCTTCTTTTTTAAAGAAAGAAAAAAAATCGAGTGCGTTTATATGTATATGTGTATGTATATGTGTATGTATATATTATTTATATAGAGATGCGAGTGTTATGTGCGTATGAATGTGAGTGTATGTGCATAAATAAAACATGGTACCGAATGATACAAAGAACAAAGTAAAAAAAAAATATCACTATAATTATAACTATCTATGCGATACATCCCGTCCCTTCATCGCTATTTCCTTTTGGCTGGTAAGCAGATTTTCGATTAGTTGAAATGCAGAAGATGAGGTAATTTTATGGGTCTTAATGAAGCGTTCAGCCAAGACTACGGGATCATCCAGTAGGCGAATATTAACTGATACTGGATTCTTCTTGCCTATATCAATATTTATCTTGATTATAATTGGGTTATCTGCTAGAGACGGAGGTGCAACACGCAAAGGAGGATGCGGGCCCTGTTTGAGCTGGTAATTTGATGGTACAGGAGCGTATGAGCCAGCTGGTCTGGAGTATTTCTGCCGGTTTGGGTTAGAGTATCTACTCAAACCAGAATCAGAATCTTCGGTTCCCGCTGTAGTTCCAGCAGGATAAAGTATTTTCTGAATAGGTTTGACAGAAGAGATATTAGAATCGGGCCCAGGCGGTCGACTGAATATCGTCTCGGATCTAGTGCTAAAGTTTGACGATGATCGACTGTACACTGTTTGGGAGTCTGGATTGATAGCTGGGGAAGATCGGCTGAACACTGTCTGGGATTCACCCGATACAGGTGATGCTTTAGAGAGGGAGTTGTTGGAGTAATTAAAAGGTCGTGAGAAAGGACCTGGCTGTTTCTGAGTTTGTGGCATGGGTGAGTAGACAGTTTGTTCACCTTGTTCTCTTAATTGTTGGTTTCGATTAAAGGTATTTTTTGTATTATGAGGTGTAGAAGATGAAGGTGTCCCCGTAGCTATATCGGTTGGTGAGTTTTCGGTCTATTTTGTGCATCGACGTAACAGTTAATTAAAAAAATCAATTTGGTCACAACCAACACACTTACTGCAGCTTTTATTCCCCAGAAATATTCTTCTGACAAGGCTGTATTAAGCCATGGGTTGTTGCTGTTGGAAGTTTTCCCTCTGGCTGGAGATCGTACAGTTGTAGATTTGGGAATTGAATTTTTTGATTGATTGTCAGGCTGGCGAGGATTATTTGGAGAAAGACCACCAAGAGAAACTATATTGCGAGTCTTTTCACCTTCATAGTCCTTATTCCTTTCTTTACTCCCGGAAGAAGTTAGGGGCAAATTGTTAGCCTTCCCGAAATTCTGTGTCGAAGAAGATTGGGTGTGCTTCTTTGGTGATTTTAACTGTCGACTAAAACTCTCTTGGGATTTTGGTGCTGACTTATTAAGAGGGGGGTTGGCTTTAGTTAAAACACCTTTCTTGAGTCGTTGACTGATAATGACTTGTTCATCTACGGGTATAAAGTTGGGGCCTTTGCGATGGAGGTTTCCACTCCCAATACCACGAGATGTTTTAACAGAATCTGGGTCTATAAGTGCATTCCAATCAGCCAGAGGTTTTGGTTGAGATCCCCATGTATTGGCCAGTGGTCCAAAATCATCTGATGAATCATGCAACATTTTGTTCACAATGCAAGGAAATATCTCAAGAAATCTCCTTTTCAAGAGTTCGGGGCTTTCCTTCTTTTATTAGATTATCAAGAAAAGTTATACAAACTGGTTTGAGTTTCCAAATAAGGTTGAAAGATGCCTTGTTCCCTTTAATATTCCTGCCTTCAAGAAATACAGTCTTTTGAAAGTCACAAGCATACCGTTTAAAGATGGACTTAACAAATTCCTCCAGTATATGAATCTATGTTTATTAAGTTGGTAACTTTCGTGTAGCAATGTATTCAACTCGTGTAGATATTATGTTATAAAGCATATATATATATATATATACTTTAACAAAAAAATAAATCAATTTAAAGTATAAACTATCCGAAAAAAGTGATTAATTAAATGATCAGAGAATAAAGAGCCACTTAACAAAAAGTTAGCTTTGTGATTGTTTTGGTTATATGTCTTAGAATTATCTCTTGCTTAAAGAGATTGATTTATATTTATACTTATTTACTTGATAACTTAGGTCAAGGGTATTAATGATATACTAGTAATTATTTACTTTATCAAAAAAAGTAACCAGTATAATAGTAATAATAGCAATAGTGTTTAGGTTGGATGATATTGAAATATATATGTAAGTCGAGTCTAAACTATTTAATCTCATACATTTCTAACACGTAAAAAATAAAATACAAATAATCGAGGAAAAGTCATATCCCCATAAACATATGTGAAAGCTTCTTTAATATCAACGCACATATTTTTCTAATAGAAAAGTAAGTAAATTCTTGTACCCTACAAATGGTTGCCTGTAGTAAAATCCTCAGAAACCCAGTTGCCTATAAGAAACGTCATGTTTCGCGGTCACATCACGTGCGGAATCGGACACCGGAGATCTCGCAGCAAAAGCTATGGGCGAAGTGAGCCAGCCATTGAACTTCCTTTTTGAACAAGATCCATCATGGGTATGTAGTCCATCTGTACACGAACAAAGAATGAGGGGGATGCAAACGACGTGGATGTAAAAATAAGATGAAGAAATGGATGGATTGAATCGAAAAGAATCATGCAAAAAGTCATCTATTCTCAAAAATTCACCTATAATATACATGTCTACCGATGCAACATCCTCCTCACTGTCATTGTGTTCCATTGCTGATTGTCTCTTTGCATAGGTAAGGGACAACCGAGAGGATTGAACGCTGCTCGTAAGCTTCGTAACCACCGCCGCGAACAACGCTGGGCCGATAAGCAGTACAAGAAGAGAGCCCTCGGTACTGCTTTCCGCTCCAACCCCTTCGGTGGTGCTTCCCACGCCAAGGGTATCGTCCTCGAAAAGATGTATGTAGTGTAGATACATTTATTTGGTGCTGTACTGACAATTTCAATAGTGGTGTTGAAGCCAAGCAGCCTAACTCTGCCATTCGTAAGTGTGTCCGTGTTCAGCTCATCAAGAACGGAAAGAAGGTCACTGCCTTCGTTCCCAATGATGGTTGTTTGAACTTTGTCGATGAGAACGACGAAGTCTTGATTGCCGGTTTCGGTCGTAAGGGTCGTGCTATTGGTGATATTCCCGGTGTCCGTTTCAAGGTCGTCAAGGTCGCCGGTGTCTCCCTCCTCGCTCTCTACAAGGAGAAGAAGGAGAAGCCCAGATCATAAACAGCTTTTCTATATGTTCCTTAATTATAGTCAGTCTTTAGTGTTTAGTCACCCTGTTGATCACAATAAAAGATCTGCATTATTAAAGTAAAAAAAAACCAATTGTATTGCGGATGTAATTGTAATTTCGTCCTTAAATTCTGCTTTAAAATCTTATGTACTTTCCCTTAATTTCGAGCCAAAATTTTTTGTCTTTATACGTTATGGAAGCATATTATATTACGAATATCTAATTTTCAAATTCTATTCTTTTTATTACAATTTAATGCGAATTTAAAATATTCTTCAGGTCTTAACGTCAAACGTTTATTCATAATTTTCAGTGACCCCAAAACCCGTTTCCCTACTGTGCATCCCTTTATAGTTGTTTTATTTTAAAAATAGAGAGAAAAAATAAAGTATGGCTTATGATAGGTCAAAGGACGATTTTTAAGCCTCCTCAAGGACATTGCGCTCAGAGACGTAGATACCATCCAAGAACTTACGGATATCCTTGTTCTTGACGAGGCAAGACTGCTGGATATCGGCAGCGGACTGGGAGACAGCCTCAAGATCGTTACCGGTGAGGGTCAACTCATCCTTCTGGTTCTTGGAAGCCTCAATGTGGACACCCTCGCGCATCTGGACGCGGAAGACAACCTTCTGGCCGAGGAAGTTACGGATTTCGACATCCTTACCACCGTTGTTGATGATGCAGTTGATGGGGAAATGTGCGTATACGTAACGCATCTTGTACTCGAAGCCCTTGGTAACACCGGTGATCATGTTGTTGATCAAAGAGCGGACGGTACGAATGCAGGCAACGTGCTTGCGGAGACCGTGGTGAACGACAAACTTGAGCTTGTCCTTACCCTCGAACTTGATCTCGATGTTCAAGTGACGGAGGTTCTTGTTCAAAACACCACGGGGACCCTTAACGGTGACATCGCGGGCCTTGACGGTGACCTCGACACCAGCGGGGATCATGAGCTCGTCGTCCTTGTAGATATCCTTCATTGCTTAAAAAAATAAAACTAGGCTGGATGGGGGTATCGTAAGTGGATGTGTACAGAGACGTGATGGTTGGGTCTGTTCGTCCATCCATGATATATAATGGATGGATGGCACCAATATATTTCTCTTTGGTGTATTCAACATACCGGATGCACAAGTGATGGGAAAAGAGGAGGATCCCTGTTTGGCCATCCGCATTGGCTACAAACTGCCTGGCCTCTCCGGCAAGACTGTGTGGCTTGTTCTAATACTCCGCTCTTTTGTTCAAAAGACGTTTAAGAGGACTTTGGTTTATTGGAACAGAAAAAAAAAGAGTTGAAATAGAAGGGAAGTAGAGCTACTGTTACATTTACAAGATCTAGTTTACTCAACTACTCCTCATCGGGCGGGTATCCATCATCAGCTACCAAAAAGTATTAGTTATGTTACATGTATTAGAAAAACTTACTCTTTCGTCTGAACATTGTGATTTCTTGCTGTTTAAAATAGCGGCGGTTCTCCTCATCAATAAGAACAAGGTTAAGATAATAACGAGTAGAGAACTTCTTGTTGACATCTAATATCCACAAAAAAATTTGAGTTTCGTTCACAATAAAACCACATAATTGATCATTAGTTCCTATCATTATAATTTACCTCTAAAAGTGGGTGCCAATTCAAATCCTCCAAGGAACAATCTGATAGGAATCGTCTCTCCCCTGACTGGTGCACCATCCATAATCTCAAACTTGGTCACAGTCTCACTTTCATTGTAGACGTTTGGAACTACTGCCGATTCAGTTATTTTGACACCAAGAATGCTCCACTTTTTAAAATACTTACGAGCGCCAGTAGTCTCTCTACGAATGATAGATAGCTCCATTGTCTTAATCTTTATGCGAACCAACAAGAAATAAATCTTTCCAACAATCACATCCTTGAGATGATATCTGTAATCCACATAAATCAACACAGGTTCGAATGATCTCGTACATATTCTGCAAAATCCTTACTTCGATTTGTTGTATTCAAACTCGATATGCAAGCAGTCTTCAATACCAACTTCCATCTTGATCGAGTTATTAACCTCTGTAGGCATTCTGTAAGAGTACACCCAAATATCACGCTCACGGATGATATCTGGCATGCGACGAGCTACAGTAACACGTACAAAGTATCTATTGATATAAAGTATAGTGTCAATAGTTTCAATAGTCAAAATATGCCAGCTGGTTGCAATATTACCTTAACTTCACGTTAATTCCATTATAGCATTCATACTGTTTCTCAACATTCTTGAACTCAAAGTCAAACTGTGTGTTCTGACGCAGTTCTCCTGGTGCAGCAAGCTCTTGAGAAAGGGTCAAGAATTCATGCGACTTTCCACGATCATAGAAGAGCTCTGATTTTACTCTAAAATTAGTTTTCCTTTTGTAAAAATAAATAAAGATAATAATAACATTGAGATATTACCTATGCTTCCGACAAATTCGACTTTGATACCACTATGTTCAAGCTTCTTTCCATCCTTGATACGAATTGCAATCTATAATACCCAGTCTCATCAGACTTAATTTCGTTGAGTTGTCATCCTTACCTTTCCGGTTACAGTCTCACCATCGAGATAAACTGGGTAACTCTCGCGTCTATCCTTATCGACCTTAACGTCTACATGCTTTCGTTGGTCTTCATTGTTGAACTGAACATCAATGTCCACAGGTGTGGACAGTCCAAAGATGCTCTAAGAGCAGAAATACAAGCACAAAATAAGGTGAGTTTTGGCTCGCTTATTTATTTGGAGTATCTTTTAAAAGCTTTTTCTTACTGCCATTGACATTTTGAAGTAAGGGGGAAGGGAAAAAAAAGGCGAATACAGGCCAAGGAAAGGACCAAGAAAGAGTATCAGCTGTACCGGAAATGCAATCTCCGCGCGGAGACCCACATACTGATACACATTTTGTACTCGTTTAAACGTCTCTGTGTAGGTTGCTATGTCTAGATTTAAGCGAGTCTCTTATTTAGTTGGGTATTTGTATAATAACGGTCCTCATAAAATATATATTTAAGAATTTAATTTGTATATACATATATCTAGCTATATGTATATATATATCCCTTTAACCTCCAACTCTAAAACAAATGGTTCTACTTGGTTGATGTCACTTGTGTCATAGGGCTCCCTTTTCACTGAGTTTTAAATCGCAGGCGTAGGATCTCGAATAAGCCTCCTTCTTCACTTCAAGCTTTGTTTTCTTCTACACATTATGAGTGCCTCAGATTCTGACGACCAACCCATCGAGATCCCCGATCGCCCGATCCCAAACATCCTTGTGACCGGTACCCCGGGTACAGGAAAAACTACAACAAGTGAATTGATTGCCCAAGTCACTGGCCTTCAACATGTTAATGTTGGTGCAATTGTCAAAGCAAAACAACTTCACGAAGGTTATCTCGAGGAGTTCGATACCCATGTTCTCGATGAAGACAAGGTATTTTGAAGAGATTGGTACCGTATTTTTTTGGCAGATCAAATTGACATTTCTTTTCTTAGTTGATTGATGAACTTGAAGACACAATGACTGAGGGAGGAAAGATTGTGGATTTCCATACCTGTGAAATTTTCCCTGAGCGTTGGTTTGATCTTGTAATTGTTCTCAGAGCTGATACTGCTACTCTCTATGACCGTATGGAGAAGAGGTAAATTGCGCAAACATTGTATATATTAATGGTCATTTACTAATTAAGTAATAAACCCAAAAAAAAAATTAGAGGATATAATAAGCGTAAGATCGAGGAAAACATGGAGTGCGAGATTATGCAAATCGTATTGGAGAATGCACATGAATCCTATGAGCCTGAAATTGTTGTTGAATTACAAAGCAATACTGTTGATGATATGGAGTCTAATGTTGAGAGGGTTAAACAGTGGCTTGATGCTTATAGAGCCCGTCATGCTTAATAGAAGTGCAAGGATGGTTTTATTGGTAAAGAAACAAAACAACATAATATATAAAAAAATAAAATATATATAGACAGTAACTGTAACCTTTTGACCTCATACACAATGTAAAAGATGAATGAGAATGAGAATGCATAATAGAAGGATATTTCTGAATGGAATGTTACTTTTTTTGACTTTTTTTTTGAATCAGTGATCAGGTTGATCTATTTTTCTTTTCGAGAGAAGGGTGGATGATAAAGTCATCGAGAGCTTTACCACCAGGTACCATTGGGAAAAGATGCTCTTTCTTGCATACGACGGCATCCATCAGTACAGGTCCATCATGAGCTAAGAATTCAGCCATCTTTTCTTCAATTTCAGATGTCTTTGTTACGCGGATAGCCTTGACACCCATAGCTTCAGCCAACTTGCAGAAATCAGGGTTCTTCATAGTAGTTCCAGAATAACGGTTCTTGTAGAAAAGATCCTGCCATTGCTTAACCATACCCTGGAAAGAGTTGTTGAGCAAAAGAACCTTGACACCAATCTTGAATTCAGCAGCAGTGGCCAATTCCATTGCGGTCATTGAGAATGAAGCATCGCCATCAATGTCGACAACAATATGGTCAGGTTTGGCCACCTTGGCACCAATAGCACTGGGAAGACCGTAGCCCATAGTACCGAGACCACCGGAAGTAATGAAAGAACGAGGATGTCTCCAACGGAAGAGCTGGGCAGCCCACATTTGATGTTGTCCAACACCGGTTGTGATGATGACCTTATCCTTTATATCTCTGGTTTGGCGATCGAGGGCTTCAATGAGCTGCTGAGGCTTAAGAGTAGCTTCATCATCGACGGGCTTCTCATAATACCAAGGGTATTTCTCCTTCCATTCAGTGATCTGATCGAACCAGCCCTTGCGCTCTGAAGAGCGGATCATAGGCAACATAGAACGCACATTTTCGGTTACATCGCCTTCGATGGCATGGGTAGCCTCAACCACCTTGTTGATATTCTTAGGCATGATTTCAAAGTGGAGGATACCACCACGGTCTTCATTGGCAGCTTTGACAGCTTCAGGGGCAAACAGCTTGAGGTTACCAGTGACACGGTCATCGAAACGGGCACCAAGGGCAATGATCAAATCTGCATTCTGCATGGCAAGGTTGGCATAACAAGAACCGTGCATACCGAGCATATGAAGAGATTTGGGATCCATCTCGTCAAAGGCACCAAGTCCACAGAGAGTAGTAGTGACAGGAATGTTACCATCGTTGGCTAACTTGGCAAGAATCTTGTGGCCGTCGGGATGACCAAGAACACCCTGACCAGCATAGATTACAGGACGCTTGGCCATGTTGATGAGAGCGGCAGCCTTCTCCAACAAAGGTTCGGGTCTAACCTGGGCATCTTCAGTAAAGGCACCGATGGCAGTGTTAGGGATTGCGGTAGGACGAGCAGGGATGAAAGCGTTTGTGGGGATAGGGCGACGGAGGATTGCAGCGGTAACATCCTTGGGAAGGTCGACCAAGACTGGACCGGGACGGCCAGATGTGGCAATGGTGAAAGCTTCATTGATGCGACGAGGCAATTCGGCAATATCCTTCACCATTACGTTCCACTTGGTGCAACCACGAGAGATACCGACCACATCAGCTAGATGATTTTTCAAAATTTAATATAACAAATAATTATACTAAATCCGATCGAATTAATTGTTTACCTTCTTGGAAAGCATCAGTTCCAATAGCGCCAGTGGGAACCTGCCCAGTAAAGACAACAAGGGGAATTCCATCGGCAAGGGCATCTGCCATAGCAGTCACCACATTTGTTGCACCTGGACCTGAAGTTACCAACACAACACCAACCTTTCCACTTGAAGAAATTCATTTAAGTATGCAATCGAACTCATATGTGTAAATATTTGCAGTTGTAACTTACGTTGCCTTAGCATAACCTTCGGCCATGTGTCCTGCACCTTGTTCATGACGAGGAAGGATAAACTTGAAGTATTCTGATTCATGGATTGCATCGAATACGGGCAAAATAGCACCTCCAGGGTAGCCAAAGATATGTTCGACCTTTTGACGGAGCATCATCTCATGAAAAATTTCTCCACCGGACATTCCAACAAACGAGTCGTCCATTTCTACAGCTGAGGGTTTCTTCAACTGGCGTACACTAGTTTTCTTCTTATGGACAGGAGTAGCTTCACGTTCGGCCACATCGACATTTCTGGAAAGTAGGTTTTTGTTTATTTAATTAATTCGCTGAACAATAGAAGGCAGTATGATGTGACTTTAAGAGAAACTCACTTGGCAACAGCGGCACCACGGGTAGCAATAGCAGTGTGGAGACAGGCAAGAGTCTGGGGGCGAACGAGCGTACGTCTCAGCAGAGAAGCCGAAGTTCTTGCGGTAGAGGAGAGCATTATTTATGGCTTAATGATGGTCCTTTGATATCTTGGTAAAAGATCGTCTGTCAAGAGGCTCTATATATAAACAGAAAAGGGAGAGAGAAAATCTAGAAAGCCCAAGACCTTTATTGGCCTTTGAATGAGACTCACAAATTTTAAGACGGCGATGGCCACAAAGACTGAGTTGATCTTGTTTTGTTGACCAAACAATACTTCTCTTACACTCTCCACCTTTATCTCTTTTCTCTCAAAGACCTTTTTCTCATGATCAATTCCATTGCGAGGCTCTATTTACTTGTCTTTAGCTTTAATTCTGCCTAACAAAGCCAAAGGATTTAATAAACTTGCCCGGAGATACGACATGAGTCACACCAATCAGGAGCAGTGGATGTACTGAGGTGGATGAGATAGGAAGCATTAAATTATGATTGGCTAAAAAGATCGATGATTCGCCTTTGGTCACCACTGTCACGTGCCCAATGCACAAACCTTCATAGTGAGCGAACCTTGTGTTGGTGTGGTTCATTGGCCTTCCGCTTTATGCTGCTATAGCCAATCACATCTGATAATAACGGTCCGATAACCATTCAGGCCACCTTGACTTTTGTCATTTACTAACACACACCATACTTCACACCTGTGCCTAGAATTTTATACAAAAACACAAACAAATGTTTCTAGGATTTCATATTCATTCATGAAATTACACCCAAATGCACCAAATCTGCTTCTAGATAATGTCGGCTTCAATATCCGATAGGTTCCGTATACTATATTGAAATATCACATATAATAACATTTACAAATCCACTATGTGTTGTATTAATATATGAAATATATACATTTATATATCCACACAAAAAAAAGAGTTTTTTTTTGGTTTGATTAAAAGTCTTTTATACTTGTTCTATATAAAGATTATTTATAGTATAAAAACAGAAAGAATGATAATAGACATTTGGTGGCGAGTATGACAAAAATGAACACAAAAACAGTAAGCCCCTTTAGTTAAGTATCTTTATCAAGATTATAAGCCAGGCATTGTGGAGATCCAACTACAAATGAAATAAAAATAAAACAAAAAAGAAATCCTAGAGATCTTCACGTCACACCCAATCCTCAAGTTCGTCATTATTCATCTGCCAATCAGAACCAATGCTGCATTACAGCTCATCATTGGCCCACATCAACATGAATCATCTCCACATACTTCAAAGCACAGTCAAAAAGATTAAAGTTTTTTGTGCCTGTTGCAAGCATAAAAATAAATATCCTCAAGTCACAAGCTAGACGCGCTTCTTCTCCAAAGCTCAATACAAATTTACCTTTTTTTTTCATAATATCTAACAAAACTATAATGGTCAAGCCTATTTCTATTGTCTGCCTCCCCGGTGATGGTGTCGGTCCTGAAGTTGTCGGTGAAGCCGTCAAGGTGCTCAAGGCTATTGCTACTCACAGATCTGCAGCCCTTGGTGTCGATTTTAAGTTCTCTGAGGAACTAATTGGCCTTGCTGCTCTTGAGAAGACTGGTAACTTTAGAACTATGGCCTAGCCAGCATACACGCACATATACTAATCCACATGTACAAAAAAAAAGGTGAACCTCTTCCCGACTCTGCCCTTGAAGCCTGTAGAGCTGCAGATGCTATCTTGCTGGGTGCTGTAGGTGGTCTCCCAGGTGCTCACATTGGCAGTGGCCCTCGTCCTGAGCAGGGTTTACTCAAATTGCGCAAATCGCTTGACTTGTATGCCAACCTTCGTCCTGTCACATTCGCCTCTGAATCTCTCACCAGTCTTTCACCCCTCAAGGATCACGTTGTCAAAGGAACCGAGTTTGTGTTTGTTAGAGAGTTGGTTGGTGGTATTTACTTTGGCGATCGCAAGGAAGCTGGAGAAGATGGCAAAGGTAATTAAGGATATTTAATTAAGACCAGGGTGTGCCATATAGTGATTAAGGCTAACGACGATTGTGGTAAATTATCTCTAGCTTATGATACTCTTCCCTATTCTGCCGAGGAAATTGAGCGTGTGACACGCCTTGCTGCTCTGTTGGCATTGAAGCAGAACCCTATTGGCAAAATTCACTCTATTGACAAGGCCAACGTATTGGCAACCTCTCGTTTGTGGCGTAAGACTGTCACCCGAGTTTTGGAGACAGAGTTCCCTCAAATTCAATTTGAGCATCATCTTGTTGACTCAGCTGCAATGGCAATGGTACAAAACCCCAAACGTCTTAACGGTGTTGTCTTGACCGAAAACATGTTTGGCGATATCCTGTCCGACGAGGCTTCTGTCATCGTTGGTTCCCTTGGTTTGTTGCCCTCGGCTTCGTTGAATGGTCTCCCCGATGGTAAGCAAAAGTGTGTTGGTCTGTACGAACCTATCCACGGATCTGCTCCCGATATTGCTGGCCAGAACATTGCCAACCCTATCGCTACCATCCTCAGTGTCGCTCTCTTGCTGCGTTATTCTCTTGGTTACGAAAAGGAAGCTGTTGCAGTTGAGAAGGCTGTCCGTGATGTTCTTGACGGTGGTTTGCGCACTCGTGATTTGGGTGGCAACCAGTCTACAACCGAAGTCGGTGACAAGATTGTTCAGGCTCTTATTCCTATCCTCAAGACACTTTAAATAGCCAACTGTCAAAAAAGAGGAGTATTTCTTTTATGTGTATATATAAATGTGTGTTTTAAATAAAATCAAGAGAAATAAAAAAAAGAAACAATAATCAACAAAAAAAACTATCTGTCCCGGCTGCTATTTCTTCCGCCACTACTGCTATTATTACTGTTGCTATTGTTGCTGTTGCTGTTACTATTGCTATTGCTATTGTTGTTGTTGTTGCTGCTGCTGCTGTTATTATTGCTGGTACTGTTGTTGCCACCTCGCATTAGTCCCATGCGAGCTATTGTACTTGATCCTCCTCGCATCGGTGACCGTCCTCTAAAGTCGCCATCAAAGTTCATGGGCCCTCCTTGCATGGCTGGATTGAAGAATGTCAATCCCATCGGATTACCCGTCATTTCTGAGGGAAACATATTCATTGGCATACTAGATCCGCTCTGGAAGTCCATCGGAAACATCCCATCATCCATATTCATTCTGGTGCAAGGGTGAATAAATTAAAGACTTGTATCACAAACCAAAAGTTATTTTATCTTACATGGAATCGCCATCTCGATCATTTCCTCCCTCAGAGCTTTTGGGACGACCTCCCATAGACATCCCTGTTCTGCCAGTACTACGAATAGGGAAGTTTGTATTTCTTCCGCTTCGAATACCCTGTCCACTACTGGAAGACGTTGTACCCATACCAACTGTCGTACCCATTCCCATAGGCATGCCCATCATTGAATTTGTCATACTGCCTATACTCATTGGCATACTTCCATCCATCATCGAAGTCGGCATCATCATTCCCATAGACATAAAGTCAGACATATCTATATCTCCCATCATCTAAGTAAACCGAATGAATATAGTTAATAAACATCTTCCTGTCATACCCCCAAATAAAATATGTGCGCACACCTTTTTGTTTTCGCGGAGCATCTTTTGCTTAAGACAATAAGCTCGCCAGGTCACTTCATTGAAACCATAATTGAAGAAATCTGTGATGTCAGCACCTGGCTTTCTCCATGGTTTATCCTCAACTGTGTCCAAATCAACATCTGTAATAGGCTGGCCATTCAATTCACCCACAGCCTCAAGATTGATTCCTCCAGTGCTTGTCTTTCCACTAGAGGCAGAGGGATTCGATTGTGAGTTAGCCTGGGGTGTATTCGAAGATTTTCCTTGCTGGCCGGGTTTGATGGTCACTAGTGGGTTTGAGCCCCCCTTTGTAGTGGCTGGTTCAGGAGATCCATTGGTAGCTGCTGCCGGAGCTCCGTCTTGGCTAAATAAATAGACTATATATCAACACATAATCACTTTCCCTGAGATATGTACATCCTTACCCAGAAGCTTCAGTGTTATCTCCGACATTCTCACTCTCATCGTTTTCCAGCATGATCTCCAAGTCCTATACAGTAAATTCGATAAATATCTAAATCAAGGTATAACAGACCCTAACGTGTCTATCACATTAAGTTTATACACTTACATCATCACTATAATCTTCTTCATTCTCTCCCTGTTCTTCTTTTACTTCTTTGGTGTCAGTCTCCATAACATCCTCTTCTTTTTCTTGTCTATTCCAATATTGTGTTCAGAGGCATGTGTTTCGAAGCTGATGCGTTTATAGATTATATTACCTTGAGATGTCTTGTGCCCTAATGTATGCATAAGTTATATGTAATCTTTAGTTTTGCATCATGGCTTACTCATTAGCCGTGCTTCCTTTGTATAGCTCATAAAGATCCTCGTCTTCTTCCGATTCGGCTTAACATAATGGTCTTTAGTTTAGAGCAGATCTACATAGTGTGTTCGCAAATCTAAACACACACCTTCACCCTTAACATCATCCTGCTGTACTATAAGTGGAGCATTATAATTGCTTGTATTGGTTTTCTTTTCGGTTTCTCCACTAGAAGGTCCGTACAAGAACTCATCTACATCGTCTTCATCAGCAGAATTATGAGAATTCATTGTCTTCGCAGTAGTAGCTTTTGGTTATAAGATTGGTATGAAAATTTAAAGACGTGTTTCGAGGTGCAGTCACACACTAATGATTTCTTAAATCCAGAGAATTGCATTTCTTTTGTATATATTTAATTATTTTGTAATTCTACTACCAAGACAAGAAAGAATACAATTGTTTAGGTATAGCTATCGCCACAAAATAAGTTGTCTAAAGACTGGGGAATATAAAGCATATTTGTGCTAAAATGAAAAGGGAAAAAGATCCTTAGCGCCGACTTTATGCTTCAATAAGTACGAATGAGATCAATAAGTCAAAATTGGGGTCTTAGTATATGTGAATGCATTAGTAATTGATTTGTAGACTCCCTCTTTCATCTCTCTTTCATCTCTCTTTCATCTCTCTGTCCATCTTCTCGATTTACTTTATTAAATACACTTCAGCTCAATGGAATGCAATATACTAAATACATAATTGGCTATTATAATAATTCCTTTTCTACTATCAGCCGAAATTCTTGCAATAAAATTGCCGGATTATGTTGTAGCTGATATAAAACAGCTTTGTTTACCCAAGTAGAGCATTGTTTGTGATAGTCTTCAGATTTTTCTTTATCCGTCTCTAAACTTTTTAGCCATCTTGAGGTAATCCATAAAGTGATCAGATTTTCGAATCAGTTCGTATGTTTTTACAGAATTACGAAACCATTCTTTTTCAGACACTTGGCCTCGCTTTCCAGCTCTACGGGGTGCTGCCATGACTTGATCCCGCAAGCTAGCCATTAATATATCAAATGATTCGACTCCACTTGCAGGGTTAGTAGTAGGTAAGAAGAACAGGTTGATAGGATCTGGGATATCAAATGCTGGTAACACATATCCCAAAGAGACGAGGCCTGTGTGATAAAAGGTTAACTTCACGCATACCCGACCAAAAGTCTAGTGAGTTGCCTCACCTGAGATCTTTAAAGAAGATCCAGCCAGGGCACTTTTTAGTACTGTTTGTGCATTTCTGTAATGCCGCCAAGTGAATTCCAAATCCTGACATTTGTTACCAACAAATACTATATTCGTAATGTGAATAAACATATTATTATTACATATACATATATATATATATATATAGTTGATAAAATTACCAATATCAGCGACATAGTGGGGATCTTGCGTCAGACTTGAAAGTGGAATCAAAGGGAATTCAGGCAGATTAACTTTAAGCATCTCGGCTCGCCTAAGACTTTGTAGTATAAGGCTATCTACTTCTGAGCCTTCAGAAACAAACATCACCACATTACAAACAGAAAGCATAAACACGAGTTGATAGAGGGACTGTAATGAATAGTTAAATATCAATCGATGAGGGAAAGCAGCGCAATCGAGTCTGGTATCCTAATATGTACCTCCATTTCTATCCAAATATCAGGTGGTAGACCTTCAAGACCTCCAGTTCTCAATGCTCTATCCATCACTGACCAGCTTAATATCGGCTACAAACCAACAATAAACGGATATACATAAATAAATAAATAAAATATGGAGAGGGGGACCATAATATGGACAATCTACCTCTGTGTCAAGTAATATTGTTCGTTCAGATGTGATATGCATATCTATACCCAACGTTTTATGGCCTTCATAAGCTAATATATCTGTATTTTGCGTTGCAAATCCCTGATTATATACAATCTTAGTAAATTGTATCTTTCCAGACAGATAAAAATGCTTATTATTACCTCAGTGGTGTCCTGCATAAGACTTGAGAGTAAGGTGGATTTTCCTACCCCTTGCTTTCCTACAACACCCACAACAAAATGGCCCGGATGATCTCCTAGACACTAGATTATTGTCATCTACTGGTGCCTTTTTCTCTTGTGTATAAACAAGTACCCATTCTAAGCTTACTTTTAATACAGTGTCTATCTGAAACTTTGTTTGCCTTCTGAAAAATGGCAAAACTGCTTTAATCTCTTCTGGTTTTGCTGGGCGTGGCTGATCACATTGTTTTCGATCATCAACAGGCTCAGATTGAGTAGGCTCTATACGATTTGGTCGTTCGAGGATCACTGGAGCCTGCATAAACGGTTTAACTGTATTTCGCGAGTACTCATCCTAAATTGGTCATTAGTTTTTTGTAAAGTGCAATCATTTTTGAATTACCCTGCGACGATCTTTGCGCTTGGAATCCCGTCCTCTTTTTTCCATTATTGTACCAAACAATTCTAGATTATTATTTTTATTGTGATCTATACTTTATTAGTCCTGCACAGATTATGGAGACAGCGCGCAGTGTTCGGACTTGAGCTATTTGATTTTCTCAGGTACGGGTAAATTTTTCACCTATAAAAAAAAAAGAATGAAGGGGAAGGGAAATATATGCAGTTGGTGTGGACAGACTAAAAGTTCAAAAAAAAGGGCAAAAAAAAACAAAAATTTAAGTCATATCATTGGTCTAGAGTTTTAATTTATTTTACCCTTTTTTTGCCCTTTTTTTTTGAACCTCCAAAAAAAAAGGGCAAAAAAGGGTAAAAAATTTATTCGACTCTAATTAGCTAGCTTTCTTCCATTGCCACTAGGATTGAGAAGAGAAGCATTTTTTATGGAGAGTATGTGCCATACAATGAGAGGTCTAGAAAAACTCGCAATAAAAGGTTCTCACTTAATGACAGAGACGGGATTATATGCAAATATTGTTCAAGATTGCCAATCATATTCATTTAAAAAAAGAACAAATAAAATTCAATTTCGGGCAAAGTGCATCTGTCTACCACTACAGTACACACTTTCTGAAATTCAACCAGAATAACTAGTGTAACGCTATTTTTTGGTCAAGTCACTGCACCCAAGAAACCCTGAAAGGATCGCGTTTATATCCTTCTTCTTCTTTCCTGTTCCTCTTTGCAAATAATATTACTATGACCAAAGTTGTTCATATCGGTAAATATTATTGAATGAAAAATTCTTTCTTTAAATTCTAATATGTATCGTTTCTTGTGTTTTTGTAGTTATTGTAAAATTCAAGCCTGAAGTAACTGAAGAGGTTAAACAGCAAGCGATTCGTGATGTAATTGCTTTGAAGGAAGTCATTCCCGAGATCATCAATTGTTCTGCTGGAACCACCTACACTGATCGTAGCAAAGGTTATGAGCACGGTAAGACATTATTTAGGATGAGAAAACATGACTTTGGTACTTATTCACCATTATTTTATATATATTTATTTTAGGCTGGGTTGTTGAACTGGAAAAGGAAGAGGTAATATAAGAGAGATTTAAAGATATAGAAAATATACAGCAATAACTAACTCATGAATGAAATAGCACTTGCCTCTGTACGCCGAGCATCCCAGTCATTTAGACTTTGTTAAACAATACAAGCCCTTGTTCGCTGATTTAATTGCTTTGGATTATGTTTATTAAAACATAAATAAAGATTAATAATAATGTTCAAAAACAAGTGTTTAAGCTTGAGATTGAGACAGACTGGATTTTTTGAGACCAATGAGAATTAGTTTTTAGACAAATAACGACTATTTTGTAGAACATTTACTTGTTAAAATATAAATTCTTTCGGAAGGAAAACATGTTCGAGACGGAAGATGCGTATAAAATATTACCAACGTTATTTAGTTATGAGAAGATCTTTAAGGCGACTACGGCCACTGATAACCTCTTGAAATCTCAAAAAAAAATTCAAAGCATTGACATCGCTTTGCCATATATTTTCGAAGTCTTTGCAAGAAAAAACACTATTTAACTCGAGTAAAATTCAGTAAAAATTATTTTATTACATTAATTACAAGTCTTTATTTTGGACATTATTAGATCCAGTCATATAATAAAATCAGTTTGACTTCTTGTACCTTGGACTTCTGAAATTTATCAAAATAAACAAATAAAATATTGCCATATATTGGCCCCTGTTTAAGCTATTCCCAAATTATTCCCGTGTCATCTGCTTGTAGACAGCAGGGCTTGCTAGAGTTTTTGCCAAAAACCCCATTTCCAAAAGATGTTATACATAGATTGTCTTTATCCTAGTGGTTTTTCTTTTCACTTTTTAATATTTGTTGACTCTTCTAACATAAGCAGCAAATGAATATGGTACTTACCTCAATTTTCTGCTACAACTAATGTTGTATCGCTTGGAACTGTTTGTTTCTTTTTGTCTTTAGGCTGATGTGCTTTCTTTTTCTTTCTTTTTTTCTCTGACCCTTCTTCGTTTTTTCTTTTGCTTAAACTTATTATATTATCTTACCACTATTGATCAATATGTTTTCCATTTCTTGTTTGGCTCTTTGTGTGCTTTAGTATACATAAGAAAGTTTATATGCTGTTGAAAAACTATTAAACTCCAAGATGCTATAAAAAAATCTCAAAAGTTAACAAATATACTGGAGATATCTTGAGAGATTCACACTTTTTGCCGTCGGCACATCTAATAGAGCTGTACTTACTAAGGAAAATTTATCCGTAAACCATGAACTCATTTACCGTATAAACCGAAGTCGTTCAATATTTGTTCTTCTTGGAAAGTCATTTATTAAGGCTCGGCCTCTACTTTATTCCGTAATATTCAAGACAGCTTATATTAAACTCGTCTGAAAAGATATCAGTATCTTAGCCCTCCAAGTTAAAGTTAATATACCTTCTTAATGGTAGTGCGCGTTGCTTTCAGACTAAAATATTTGCTATATCTTCAAACTCTAGCCTTCCTTGTAAGTAAACATTGATTTTTCTTTTAAAAAAAAGGGAGGAGGGTAGGCTTTTGGAGCCAAAATAACACTATGTCGCTGTATTTTTACCTTTGTACTCTCTTGGTAAGAATTAATTATTTGGTAATAAAGTTCCGGATAAGCTTTTTATTGATATACGAAGACCAGGTATTTACACTTAAAGTGAACTTCCGGTTGTGTAGGTGCTCTTTGATAGTAGTATAATAAACACTTATAATTTCTGCTACTTTTGCTTCAGATTTCTATTTTCTAAAATAGGTATTAACAGAAAATATTTGTTTTTATGTGAAATTGAAGATACTTTGATTTTAAGTACAGAGAATAATAAATTAAAGCGTTGAAGCTGTTTATAGCATGTCCTTTTCTTTTATATTACCAATAGCCCTCTGGATTAATTATATATTACTCTATGTTTCGTCCTCATGGAGAGTTTACTTGCTACATACCTGAACAGTATATATATATATATATATATTATAACAGCACGATATCATAAACATAGCAACTGGTAAAATCAAACCTTTACTGCCGTTTGTTTAATTTCTCTTATTATTTTTATATGCTATTAAAAAGAAATCTCTTTACGCAAAAATAATTAATCGAAAATAATGCATATTATGCATTTTTAAGTTAGAGATGCGGTAACTACCATGTTTAACTGTGTTAAATTTCTATATTTGCAAGGAGTAACCATGTTTAACTAACTCCCATATAGTCAGTACATTGCCTTCACGGTCACAAACACTTTCTCTTTACTCTTTTTTCTTTTTATTATTATCAAATATATATATATATATATATATTTATATATTTATTAAATGGAAGATAATCCAACCATAAACCTCTCATCAATCTATAAAGACATTCGTTCTACCGATCCTGTCATCAGATTAGCAATCCAGACCAAAATACGAGATCTCCCTCTAATACAACTCGACAATCTTCTTCGACAATGGATCGGTCATGCACTTCGTCAAACACAGAGATGGCCAATACATCGCCTACTTCGCTGCATCGATATAATTATTCAAAGCATTGATCAAAATGAGAAACATGTTCTTCGCCTGCCTTCTCTTCACAAAAGTATCCAACAAGTTCTTGTGGTGACACACACATCTCCAAGCGACGTGACTGCTCAGGCTTTCTTACCTTGCTTCACCAAGCTATTCGAGAGGTTTTCTAGGTTATTGCCACGCAAAGAATGTCAGAGTGCCGTTGGAAACCTTATTAAATGGTGTATGGAATCTGAAAAATCTATCCGTCTTATTTGTCTTCGAGGTCTATTAAAACCGTGTTTCCAAAAGACTCTTGTACAATGTGATGCATACTGGTTATTAACTCAGCAACTTCACACTATCCAAACGGAACGTGACGAACTTACTTTAGTATCTCGTCTACTAGAGCAATTAATAAAGTATGGAAGAGATGCTCCTATCGGTAAACACGCCCACACCCAACTAGTAAATTTCTCGAACGCTGCACACTTTCATATCCTTGTTGGTGTTTGGGAAAATGTCTCCAAAACCTACCAAGAACAACCACTAGACATTCGACCAATTCACTCTTTGACAACAATAGTCAATATATGTTGTCATGTATCTGAAAAGGCAGTAGAGCGAATTTCTGAACGGAAAAGTATAGAAAAATGGCAACCTCTAATGTATCAGGCGATGCGAGACTTTTTGATTCAATCTAGCGCACTTAAGCAGTCTCTCTACGGGCAGATGTCAGAGGCAGAGCAATCGAAAGAAACACCATGGCCAAAGCCAGAACCTTCGTCAAAGTATAAAAACGAAACCGATATTTCTGCATCTCTCTTGAGCCGTATTCTCCAATGCAATTCCAGAGTATTTCCCGCCTCTCAGAAAATAAAAACTCCACTAGCCATTAATCAATGTGTTTTAGCAATCATTCAATGCTTAACAGTTTATATATCATGGCCGATCACCCCCGAAGATATTTCTCAAGTTGGTCAAGAAAACTGGACGACCAATTTGTACATTGATGCAGAAACACGGGCATTCTGTTGTGTGGACGCTGGTCTTCTACTACTATATGAACCGTTGTTTGTAATACTTCTTGATGGCTTAATACAAATAGTACCACATATTCCTACACACCAAGTAGCCCAGATATCTCGATCGATAGCAGTCTGCATACAAGCTATATGGACCAGCTTATTACGAAGTAATAGGGAATCCCCCCAGATTAGCAGTCGATTGGAGAAATTGACTATATTCTTACTTCATTATAATAATGCCATTGATCAATTTGCGAATGCATCTTCTTCTCTCCAGCCTCTTATCTGGCGACCAACCCTGGATCAAGCCAAACAGTGTCTTATGGCCATGACCTCTCAGAAACCAACAGAATGGGCTCCCAACGTGATAGACAAAGCCAAAAGAGCCCTTATATCTCTAGAGAAAGCAACTCATCATGCTCGCGCTTGCGAAAGGCTAGTAAGTGAAGATGCTTTATCACTTGTATCACCCGAATTGGTTCCAGATGAGTCCAGAACAGGAGCATCTACCGACAGTCTGACGATATACGCACTTCTTGTACGCTTCATATCATCTCTCGTGAATAAAACAGCATACGTACGAATACGACTAAGGGAAGAGCAGACATTGATGCCGATGATATTTCATTTATTGACCATTGGCGTACAAGAAAGAGAAAAATCAATATCACAAAGGAAAGAATGGAATCGTTTGTTGTTCTGGTCTATTGATGTGATTCGCGCCTTTAAGTTCGATCATGTTTCATTGCGTGCGTGGATAACTTGGACCGATCAAAAATTAGCCAAGATGAATATTTCTACAGCCACAGCTACTTATAAGCCCTCGCTCTGCACAATTTTAAAGCTCATCTTAACGCCCTTTCAACAAACCAGCATATACCCCTCAATGGATATTTGGAGTAGTGATGAAGAAGTTATAATAACTGCTATATTCCTTATGGACCAACTGATAGTGTTACCTGATTTTGGAAAACAAATCATGGAGACACCTGGATTTCTGGAATGTCTCTCTAAACTTTTAATCACCGTCTGTTGTCCCGTTACCGGGAGATCAAGAAGAATGGCTATAGACGAAATAGTTAATCCAGATCTCATGGAGTATAAAAGTAGCGAATACACAACAGAACTACCCAAATCTATCGACAGGCATGGTATTAGTTCGCCATACATACAGGTTCTCCAAAAAACTATTACTCGACTACTGACTACCAAGGAGAACATCATGGTTATTTTGAATCAATATCTTCTCACATCCTTCTTTAATCCTATGCTTCGGACCATGTCAACCCAAGGAACTTACTGGCAAGATTTCTTCAGTGAACAGATTTACGAGAGGATTTACGACGACCTGCAACGCATATTTCTGTTTACGGCAGACGATAATAATGCTATTATCCTTCATGAATCCACTGCAATTGCCATTTCATACGCATGTATGGACCCTAGTCATTGGGGACTTTTATCAGAAGAGCATTCAGGGGGTATCTTGTACACGAACTCTGTGCTAGGAGTAATCTGTCATATGTTAGTCTATGATCTTGAGCATACTCAAACAGACTATGCTATGGAAAGATATATTATTGGGAGAAAGGTGGCCGCGGCTCAAGTACTGGAAACTATGGGGACTAAGGCAGCTCAATTTTGGTATAGATCTCCTTTTCAATGGCCCGGAAAACGAGATATTGAAACAAATACAACATCTACTCCGGTACTATTCATCACGGATGATAGCGATGAATTAGTCGAGTCAACCTCAGATGTGCTTATACCCCAGTCATCATCATTTACAGCACTTTTAAGTAACATATACAGCGAATCGACCGTAAAGCCAATTCGTCTCCATGATGTATCCTGTTCAGGGCTCCGCTTACTCTTTAGTCTTCTCAGCCGACTTAAAACACGTCCTACTCTATCAGACGCGGCCCTCTTACCACAATCAATATCATGGCCTGACGTTATAGAATTACTTAAACTAGCAGATCGGTTTGGATGTTATGATGCTCTTTATGTGTGTGAGCAATGGATATTAGACCAAGTAAAACACAGAGTCGTTACCAATGAATGTCTTGAGGGTTGTGTAATGCTTTTCAGAGCATGCCGGGATCCAACTGCTAATGATGGAGGCATAACATCAAATGTGTGGCCGTTTCAACAAGTGGTCCAAATATGTGTCCAAGGTCTTATATCTCACTGTGTACGCATGGTATCTCTCAAGAGTTTTAAATCGATGGTTGAAGACAATGATTCCGATGAACTAAGTGCATTCTGTGATTCCATTGTAATCACCTTGAAATTTGGAGTCATTCCCAGAGATGATACTGTTAAATAGCGTTTTTTTTTTTGTAAATTTTGATCGATATTAAATGTAAAATATATGTATGTATGTATCTATATAATGGTGACTGCTGAGCATTTCATTTTGTATTGGTATCAACGAAAAGAAAAGATAGATTAGATCAGTTTAAGATGCAAGGATTAGTAGATTATGATTCTGAATCAAGTGATGAATATTTACGCACACCAGCTTCTTTAAAACGCTCTAACTCGGAAGACACATCACCTCGCAAGCGGTAATACTCGTATTAAAAAGCCAAATCTAGACTCTTCTAATACAAGCCATCCATAGGCAAGTTATGCCACCCTTGCCAGATTTTTTCAAATCAGGTACTATTTCAGTGTAAACGAACTTTGATCTTGTATTTAATTTTACTTATAATAGTCAAAACAAAAATATCCAAGGAATCTTCAGCACAGCTAGATGCTCCGTCTATAAAGCCTTTTAGAGAAGACAGCTGGGCAACACATGTGTTTATTAAAGGTACAATACTTTACGGGAGTACTCCATATTTGGTTGTTAATATTATCATTGGTTGAAAAAGTTGATATTGGTAAAGAAATGCAAAACATACTTCGAGTTCTATTGGATCAGAACAAGGCAGACATTGAAGAGTCTGACAGAATAATCTCTGTTCCTGATCAGGGGAAGCCACTCCATATTAGCTTGAGTCGCTGTGTAGTATTAAGAACACATCAGTTGCATACATTTGAATCAAGCATCAGAAAGCATTTAAAGGATGTACAAAAGTAAGAATTCATTTTGCAAAGATGTAGCATCCAATGAATTGGATAAATTAATTAAGTTCCATCAGATTTTTCATATCTTTTGCCAATCTTTCAATATTAACAAACGATACTGGGAAAGCATCATTTCTAACAGCTGAAGTAGGAGCTGGGTACAATGAGGTAATTCTAAAGGGTGGCCTTTTTTTAACTCTTGCTCTTACACAGTTTTTTTTAGCTATTAAAATGTCTTTCGGCTGTAGACAAAATAGTTGAACGTTTCAAGCACCCTGTTTTTTACCAGGCAGGTGTATAGATGTAGAGTATAGCTCTATATAACCGTAGAGTATATTTATTAATGTAATTTTATTATTTAGCCACCTCGATTTCATGCGAGTCTTGTACGCGCGAACACTTCTGATCTTTTACAAAAAGCATTAAAAGAAATCCCGGAAGACTTGGTTGAGGATTTGCGTCCAGTTAGCACCAGCGTCACGAAAATTTATATCAATATGGGAAATAATATTGAAAAAGAGATCATTTTGAAAACTTGATATTAACTATATACTTTTTCTTATATGAGACGTATGCTTTTACTATACATACGTAGAGACATAATAGGTCTCCTTGGATATATTCCCCCAAAACTAAAATAAAACATTTCTGTATTAAACACAGCGTCTTTCTTTAATAAAAAAAAGGAAATTCAAATTTCAATCGAATCCTTTTTTTTTTAAAGAAAAGGTTTATTTAGGGTGTGATAGCTTATTTGAAATTTTGTAAGATAGTGATAACGATGTAGTCTGTTTGATGTAAATTTCATTTCTAAATAGAAAGTACTAAACCAAAATGTAATAACTATGTGGGTTGGTAAATATTTTGACCAGAAAAGATCTTGTCTTTTCGTTGTGACTGTACCCGCAGAAGAATGGATTTAATCGAGTCCATACGCATATTACAGTCTCATTGAATCAAGATTATGCGATCCACCATGCGATTCATTGGTAAGTAATAAACATAAATGTTTGTTGAAGATTTAAAACTAACTTACTGTGCTAATAATATGTTGAATTCTTAATATAAAAAGATATTGGAGCAAATTTGACAGATCCCATGTTCAGAGGAATCTACCGTGGAAAACATGCTCATTCTGGTAAAACAGTTTTTGTTGATCAAAAAAAAAGTTGTTCGAGTAATCCTCTTTTTAACAAATAATTGTAATAGATGACTTTAAGCTAATTCTTCAACGCGCTCGGGATGCTGGTGTCCAGAAATTGATCATTACAGGTACAAATCTTGCCGAGTCAGAAGAAGCTGTTGAGGAAACAAATAAGGAGAGCCAAGGTAAACTGGTTACTATCTAGTGTTAATTTATTTCCATTCTAATGCGTGTGTCCTAGGCCCTGCTCTGTATTCAACTGTGGGATGCCACCCAACACGGTGTGAAGAATTTGATAGCTACCCATCTGGACCTGACGGCTATTATGCAGCACTTTTAAAACTTGCTACTGACAAGAGAGAGAAGATTGTGGCCATTGGTGAATGTGGTTTGGGTAAGCTTGATTTAATTTGATATTTAGTGATTAATTTAGATTTATAGATTACGATCGTCTTCAGTTCTGCCCCAAAGATATTCAAAAGCGCTATTTTGAAATACAATTTAACTTGGCCGAAAAGACGCGATTACCCATGTTTCTCCACAACCGTAACACAAATGATGATTTTTATGATATCCTTTTTGCATTAAGTACATGTACACACTTAATTTATATCATGCTTAACGTTCGATAATACAAATGGTAAAAGCCAATCGCCACAAGTTCTCTCACGGTGTGGTACATTCGTTTACTGGCAGTCTGGAAGAGATGAAAAAACTGGTGGAACTTGACCTGTTTATTGGGATCAATGGCTGTTCTCTAAAAACACAAGAAAATCTTGACGTAGTCAAGGAGATTCCTGAGGATAAGCTTATGATTGAAACAGGTACGATGGATAATGGAAATAGAAGTGGCAGTACAGTATAATATAATAAATATCCCCTTTAAATTACTTTTTTCATTATAGATGCACCATGGTGTGATATTAGGTCTACCCATGCCTCTTTTAGCTATTTAAAACTTGTAGACAAGGCAGAGATGGATTTGTATGCTCCAGCCAGCAAAAAGAAAGAAAAGTTTGAGATGGGACTTGCGGTGAAGAATCGTAATGAGCCTTGTGCAATCGGGTAACTATTGTATAATTGTTATTCTAGTTTGTTTATCAACTGAAATTCTAAATATGATTCAATTTGTCGATAGATTGGTGCTACACATTGTAGCCTCTGTACGCAAGACCGATCCGCATGAGCTGGCAGAGAAGATCTGGCATAACACATGCAGTGTATTTTTCCCAAATGAACTTTAACCCTAGCTATTTTGTTGAAAGAACAACAATATAATGTGTTGAATATTAATATATATATGCTCATAATGAGTTGATCCTACAGCAAAGATGGCAATCTAAGCAAGTACCTTATCTAGAAGACTGTAATACTAAGGAAATATAATTTCTTGTGATAAGTCAATATCAAATATACAGTGCAACCAAAATAATAATTACATGAAGTACGCCATGACACCTTTCAAGGAGATCCCAATTAGCTAAGCGAAACACTATCTACTCTTGAATATAGTTTTGTGAGTAAAGATATATCACTCTTATTTGATATTATCTTAAGCTACTAAAATAACAATAATAACACCCCCTTAATATTTATACCAGTTAGAGTGTATGTAAGCTACTTTTTTTTAAGAAAAAAGTAGATATTACAGTGAAAAAACTAAAGTTTCTTGTCAATGAAAACCAATGTCACATGTTTAAGTGTGGATTTAACCTGTTTTAATGTTCTCTTCAGCCTACTCGGTAAAGTACACAATTCCGTGAAGAAATTATTAGCTGGATACAGTAGATGTATACTAAATCATCATGAATGTCTTTCCGGAAAAAAAACATGAATTCTACCAAGCAGTTATCCGCGCGAATTTGCGTGGATAACTATTTTGCATAACTCAAATAGGCGCTACAAACATAGAGTATATCTAAACAGCGGTTTTGCTAAAACGTCTTCCATTTTTTTTACTTGAGAAAAATTCACCGAGTACACTGAAGATCACCTTGAACATGAAACTACTGGGAAACTTAAAAAAGGTAAAAAATACAAAGACTTTTTGATTAGTTATTTCTGTTAAATATATGCACTCTTAGTTAGTGGAATAGAAGCTATCAAATGGCTCGTTAATAAAGTCGATAAAACGTAGACTTCGACTTGGGATTATTGGTGTATATAATTGTTGTATATAATTGTTGTATATCGAATAGAGCTTCCTTTTTCGATAGTCCTAAATTCTTTACTTTAGACTAATTCAGTCGAATAATTGAAACCCTATCCTACAAATTCATCAGGGCCTATACAGTTCTTCATGTAGAATAATTCTTGCATAATAAATATAAAGCAATGTCTGACTAACTCATATTAAAATATCTGCGTGAGGTACGAATCCGGTCTCTCTAAAGCTCGTTATACTTACTATATAGTGAAGTTAATTGTGGTAGCTGTATCATGGTTCCAAGTCGATTAAATCATTCAAGTACCGATTAAAAAGTACTGCCAGTTTTGGCAGGAGAAATATCGACTCTGTGACAAGCTATATAATACGATAGTTGAGTGATTCCGAAGCGAAACTTGGTGCAAATAAAGGCTGGAAATGAGCCTTTAATAAGACAAGCTTTGGCCAGCAGAAAATCTAAAATTGAATTTTATAATAACGAAGACTGGTCGAAGGCCAAGGAGAAATTAATTCATTGGAAAACGAAATGTGGGAGTATAATGCACTGTAAAAAAAACTTTCCTAAAATAGAAAATTATATATGTAGTTAAAACTGAGCGTGTCTGAAAATAAAGCAGCTTTACCGGAAATTAAAATTGATTGTACAAAAATGAGTATGGCTTTGTCCGAAATAAAAATGAAGAATGCCCGAATTTTTTTTTGATAAGGTCCGAAAGCCAAATAAAGACACGGTACCAAAATAGGTGACATTCACTTGAAACATGTGACTTAAACTTTCACTGCCAAGCGACTCTAGTTTTTTAGTAACACTGTACAATGAAACCATTTTCAACAATGTTAAGCAAAGAGGGTTTTTTTTGGTCATGCTGAGTGGTAGATACAAATAGATGGGAATTAGGTCTTTATAACCTTACCCATCTTGCTCCACGCGTAAGAAAACAATATATTCAAGTATTAAAGAGCATATAACGTAGATAAAGAAAAGCTATACAAAGAATAAAAATAAAAAATAATAGTAATAGTAATAGTAATAGTAATAGTAATAACAATAGTAGTAATAGTAAAATATAAAAAGACGAATCATACACAAAGAAAGAAAGAAGATATATAGAAACATGCCTGCATAAAGAATTGTGCATAAATAATGAAAGATGCTACAGCATTTTAGCCGTCTGAAAAATAACAAAATAAAACAAATAACAATAGAAGAAACTAGTTCTTATATATGTAGTTGAATCGTCTTTGGCGGTAATGTCCGTTGGCAAAGACCGGGTCCTCATCCTCGTCAAGCGACAGACATTCAGAGGACTGGGTCAAAAGCGGATCCAGCCGCTTTGCGCTGGAGTTTCGATATCGAGACACATGAAAAATAGCGGAATCTTCAAATGGATATTTATTGCGCGTAGGGGCGGTAGGAAGGCGGGCGGGGGTATATTTATGATAATTTGTCGCTAATCCTTTACCCTTGAGTGGTTCCTTGACCGAGTGTGGTGAGGCATGTGTCCAAGTGAGGGGTTTAGGGTGCACAGGAGATACGTAGATCGTCGTATCTGTCGACGAAAATGAGTCAAGGGACGACGATGACGAAGAAGCAGAGAGTTCGAGTGAACTTGGGATAAGCGTAGTATCTTGGTAATTATGGAAAGAGTAGGTCTGCAATCGAGAAAGTGTGTTTTCAATTGTCTGTGAAAATCCGCTTTGCTTCCTATGTGGAGGTAAAAGTACAAATGGCTTTTGCTTCTGACCGATCACTCTGTAAGAATCATCTTCCCAAGACACGCCTGACGAATGGTGTAAAGATGGTATTGCGTGGCTCGAAGAGAATGGATGAGATGTTGATAATATAGGCATCAAGGAAGCCTCAAAGGCATAAAGGACATGAAAGAGATCATCAAGAGTAATCGAAAGTTGAAAGTCCTAAATAGGAAATACACACAAGTGTGGGATGAATACAAAGCCCCGCCTTAGTTTCATGCAATGACTAACCATGAGTGACAAGAACTGGCGTTCCATGATATTGACTTCTTCCAAAGGGAATAAAGAAGTGTATCGGGCCCAATACCTGTTCTTGGGAGATGTATCATGTAACACTTTTGTCGTGACGATAAGAGTGGCAAGGAATATCCGCTGACAAGAACAGGGGGAGCTGCTAGGAACTGTAGCTACTCTGCGCTGAAGACGATCAAGATAAACAAGTGAACCGATCAATGTGCCTGAGGACACACATGAACGTTGAACAAGAAGAGGTACAAAATGTTGAATAGATGGTACAATGCTATGGTCGTCATGGTTCAAGGGTGGACTGGCAATGACAAGAGAAGCTCGATGAGAAACGTAAGAAAGTAGTTGTGGACTAATAGGTTGTTCAATGAGGTCAACTAGCCTCCGATGAAGATCTCTCGAATCCATCCAATTAAGTTGATCAAGTAAAGTGAAAGAAAAGAGAGAAAGAGAAAGAGAGAAAGAACTAAAAGGAAAGGGGGGGTATTGATGAGGGAGGACGACTAGAATTTTTGGCTGCCTTTATGACTACAGAGTTGGCAATTGGTGGTTAGGTTATAATTCTCATGAGCCCCAAATTCAAGCTCGCTCTTTCTAAAATGAAGCAAGGCAACCTTCCGATTGTCGGAGAATCCCTTTGAACTGTTTCCCCTGTGTTTCAGTCTTCATTGGAATCCTTTTTCTTATTCTTCTTTGCCCACCGAAGTCCACATGCATTGCAAAGACTATGAGTTAAAAAGGGTTATTATGATGTTTGCAGCTCCGTCTGATCCACCTACGTTTTTGGTCCATGCGGCCCCTTGCGCCATTCAGGTGAAGTAGTTGTACCACAATCAGCGCACACAAACTCATCTGAACCCTTGTGTTTCTTCTATCGAAGTGTGAATAACGCTGCATATGAAATCCCAAATCTCACAATAAACCCTATATTTGAACTCACACGTCGTTTGGCTCTATCGTTTAATCCCATATCTGAAGTATCAATTGGATCACTCTTGGATATGGCGTGAAGAATTCTTGCGTATTCATCTGGAGACCCTTCCATGTCTTGCCCATTTATATCCCATTCCTCCACCTCGTCTTTTAGCACATATGTCCCAATGTTATTTTCATCCAAACCCGGCTCCATTTTGCCTGAATTTATATCCTCTGTTTCTGTTAAAGGTGCAAATGTGTCAAGTTCCCCGATACTGTCCTCTGATTGAAGTTCATCTATTCTCCACCGAAGCCATTCATTTTCCATCTTTAGCTCAAGAAAGGAATCCACAAGCATTCCATTTTTGGTTGGCATCGGTTGCGCAATACCAAAAAACGATTTAGGTGCCTCCCCAGGAGCATCTGATTTAGGCTGGCCAACAAGTTCAAAAATCCCAAAAGTCTCGTCTTTCTTTCTTATCCGATAATAAGCTTTGATCTGTGACCTTGTCTCAAACGCCATGTTAAAGTCTCTAAAGAATACGTCCAGGTCGTCCACGTGTAGAAAGTCTGTAAGTGACTGGCCAACCATCTCGTGTGGTCTGTAACCTGTCAGATCTGTAGTTGATTCTGAACAGTACAGGATCTTTCCAAGGGGTGAAAGAACATAGATAAGTCCAGTCATTTCAACAATAATGCGTTCTGACCAGTTCTTTCTACGAGTAAAGTCTGTATTCCCTTTGTTGATTCGAGAAGTTGGATTGGTGTCTCCTGCATTGTCAATTGTCGGATGATTACCAGAGTAAGAGGATTCGTGGAGATTGTCTTGAAAGAGTGGATCCTGTGGTCTCATCATCGTTGTGTGTATTGATGGTCCTGCATCTGCTACTAGACGAGTCGGGTGTTCGATTGGTTGATTGATGTGATACATTTCTTGATGAGATTGGGTGATTTGGGGATCATCTTCCATAAAACCGTAAAAATTTGAGTGATGCATGGTGATTATGCCAATTTGTAAACAAAAGGCAAAAGCTTGATAGGGAAGTAAAGTCTAAGTAAGAAGCAACAACAAAAAAGAGAGTTCGAAAACAAAGCAATACAGAAATAAAAATCAAAAGAAATATGCACGATCAAGGACATAGATCCTGCGCGCTGTTTATACTTTTATTATTATAGAATACAATACAATACAATACATACATATGTATATGTATATGTATATACGTGTATATATGCGTGTATGTACATGTGTATTTTGTAAAGAAAAACAATTCTAGGGAGGAATTCAAATAAGAACATGTTGTTTTATTTATTTATTTACTTATTTACTTAAATATTTTCTTATAGGAGGTTTGTAGAATGGTCTTCTTCTGAGACACTTTGATTAGGGTTATCACTATCATGCCATTGACGTGGAGGGGCTATTGACCGTAAAAGAACTGGCTGAATACCCTTTTGCTGAAGAGTATTTATACGAACTAAGCGTGCCAATTGTTCGCATACTTTTCGTCTCTCTCTTTCATCCTTTAATCATATTTGTATTTATTTTTGAATTCACGTTCAAACCCTTCTTCTTTGCCTTACAATTACCTTTAAATTCACATGGAATACCTGTGCTTCCGAATATTTTTCTACGCATGTATTGACTTCATTTGTATCAATTACTGCCAACCCGGCCTGATCAACTGTTATTTGTTAAAATCATGTATAATTTACAAACTTTAATATCAAACCTTTGGTTACAATAACACAGCACTGGAAAGACAAGTGACGAGGTGATAATCCCTGTAAAGCTTTTTCCAGCAATGTTGTGCTTGTACCATTGGTTATATCCACAACCAGCATAACATAATCAATACTTGGGATAGATCCTAGTGATTCAGACGAAAAGCTTTCTGCGACATTTCTGTATTTTTTTTAGAGTCAAACAATACTTTAAGAGATTGGAAATCTACAACCCACATTGAAAAGAATACGTCTGTACATCGCATCAACTGACGTGCCAATGTACGTTTTCCACTTGATGGGGGTCCAATAAGCTATACTGCATCTGTCAATAGGCTACATTAATCATATATTAGAGATTACCAGCAACTCGGTTGCTTTATGTGTGTAAAGTGGCCGAATCATCATGCAAAAGAGGACACGTGAAGTGTGGCTTATTTACTGTATCTGACGCAACAGAGACTGACTGAATGGGCAAAACCAGAGTGCAAATAGTCCTAAGAAAAAAACTGTCCCGCACGCCAGAAGAGGGCCGGCCACTGGAGTGCGAGCTTGAACACAATTTTTTTGGGCAAACGGTAGGAAGACAACCAGTCGATTAAGTTTTGAAGTGTTTCTCACCTGGTTTTTACCAAAGAATCTGTTATAATAAAATAAAAAATGTCTAATCGTCTACAATTTTGTCTTGTTTTGTATCCAATGCTTGCCTATACATGACTCTAGTTTATTCTGGTGATCATGAATCCATCACCTACTCCCTTATCACCAGCACTCTTAGCTGACTTTAGTCTGAATGCCCTCACGAAAGAACGATTGAACATTGTCTTGCAGGTAGAGCTCATGCAATCCTGACTGTCGATTAATGACGCGTTTGCAGAGAGCGAAACAACTACAGGCTGCAGGAGAAAAAGAAGACGGAAAGAATGAATTCTCCCAACTGATGAGCCTATTGAGGCTACTTCAACAGCAACAAGTACAACAGCAGCACCAACAAACCGTCCTTTTGCAACAACAATTACTTCAACAGCAACAGACAGCACAGGATCCTCAACAGCAACAGCAACAACAAATACAACTCCAATTATTACAGCAACATCTCCTTCAACAACAACAACAGCAACAACAGCAACAACAGCAGCAGCAACAACAACAACAGCAGCAGCAGCAGCAGCAACTCCAACTCCAACAGCTTCAACAACAACATCAACAGCTTCAGCAGCAGCAACAACAACAGCAGCAGCAGCCACAACAACAGCAGCAGCAGCCACAACAACAACAACAACAGCAACAGCAGCAGCAACAGCAACAGCAGCAGCAGCAACAACAGCCACAACAACAGCAGCAGCAACAACAACAACAACAACAACAACAACAACAACAACAACAACAGCAACAACAACAACAGCAACAACAGCAACAACAACAGGCATCTCAATCAACAGGTGAGTTGAAAACTTTGCTGATAGGCATATACTTATATAATATAAACAGCTACTCCATCTTCTGCCGCCCTCTCTGCAGGCGCATCTCCCTCATCTGCATTCAATACTCTCCAGTATCAGATGCTCGCCTACAACTTTCTCCAAAAGAATTTATCTGGACAATCCACTGCAGCTTCTACGCCAACTATAGAAACTCCTGTCATGAAATTGGGCGAGGAAGAAATAGAAGAACCAAAAACACTTTCAGAAAAACTTGTCGAAGCAGTATATCGGCAGGCGAGCGATTACAGAACTCTCAATGCAATCAAATTTAAAGAACTTCAAAAAACCAATACTGACCTTTCTCCAGTCGATCTTTTATGTGGACAACAACGATCCCACGCTCACGCTTCACGCCAACAGCGTCTATTACTCCCAGATATAGCTCCTATTGGACTTGATCCATACACCGTCCTTAAGGAAAGAGACAGACGAATTGATAGACGAATTGAAAGCAGACGAGAAACCTTAGAATCAATGGAGGTAGAAGAGCACCAGAAGCAACCATTGGGTTATTTATTGCGTGAATATTACGAAGAAATGGCAAAGAGTGCTTCTCCTGAAAGACAGCGTGACATTATTGAATTAAGATCCCTTCAACTGAGAGATAAGCAAAGCAAGGTACAATGCATATTTTTTTTAGTTTGCGTATTGGTATTGTTTATTTGAAGAAAGAAAGAAAAAAGCATGTGCTTATACATGTATTAGCTTCGAGAAGAGATTGTGAGGGGTATGGAAGAGGCCAGCAAATTGGCCACTTCAGTAGATAGAGCCGCCTACCGCAAGATCATGAAGCAGACATTACGAGAAGCGAAAATTACAGAGAAACTTGAGAAACAGCAGAGAATCGACCGTGAAAAGAAAGAGAAACAGCGACATCTTGATTACTTGCAAACAGTATGTAACCAAGGTCGCGATCTTATTTCATGGCACAAGGCCCATCAAGCCAAAATGGGTAAGCTTGGAAAGGCTGTCCTCCAATTCCATGCACATGTAGATCGAGAAGAACAAAGAAGAGCAGATAAAATGTCAAAAGAGCGCATCAAAGCTTTAAGAAACGATGATGAAGAAGCTTACATGAAACTGATTGATGAGGCTAAGGATACTCGTCTTACATTGCTTCTAAAGCAAACTGGATCTTACCTCGAGTCCCTCACTCGGGCAGTTGTTGACCAACAAAATGATCCGATACACAGTCAAAACGAGGAAGATAGCCTTGCACCAGATGAGCCAGACGAAGAGACAATGTTGACTGTAAGTAATATATATATATATATATATTATGCTATAAAGTCTTGCGCTGATGGACACCAAAAATGTAGGATAAAAATGGCAATAAGATTGATTACTTTAGAATGGCGCATCGAATCCAAGAATCAGTACGTCAACCAGACATGCTGGTAGGGGGTACACTCAAAGAGTACCAAGTCAAAGGTTTACAATGGATGGTATCACTCTACAATAACCGTTTGAACGGTATCTTAGCAGATGAGATGGGCCTGGGTAAAACCATTCAAACAATTAGTCTGATCACATATTTAATTGAGCACAAAGGTCTACAAGGACCTTACCTAATTGTTGTGCCTCTCTCGACTCTCACAAATTGGGCACTTGAGTTTGAGAAATGGGCACCATCTGTAAGAAAGATTGTCTACAAAGGTCCTCCGGATGTGCGCAAAGAGATCCAGAAAAAACAGATTAAGCACAGAGACTTCCAAGTTCTCTTGACTACCTTTGATTATGTTATCAAAGACAGGCCCGCATTATCGAAAATCAAGTGGCTTCATATGATTATTGATGAAGGTCATCGTATGAAGAATATCAATTCTAAACTCACGCTCGTTCTTCGACAATACTATCAATCCCGATACCGTCTCATTTTGACTGGTACCCCACTCCAGAACAACTTACCTGAGTTGTGGGCACTTTTGAACTTTATCTTGCCCAAGATCTTTAACAGTGTAAAAAGCTTTGAAGAATGGTTTAATACACCGTTCTCAAATCAGGGAGTTCAGGATAGGGTTGATTTGAACGAGGAAGAACAATTACTTATCATCAAACGTCTTCACAAGGTAACAATCACATACAAAAAAGAAACTAAATTATATTCTTAAGATGCTTATAAGTTCTTTATTTTTTCGTTTATTTCTCGTTCAGGTTTTGAGACCATTCCTTCTACGCCGTCTGAAAAGAGATGTAGAATCTGAACTGCCAGATAAAATTGAGCGTGTTGTGAAATGCAAACTATCTGCTCTTCAGCTACGTCTTTACACCCAAATGAAGAAACATGGTATTCTGTTTGCCAAGGGATCTGGTGAAGGAGGGTAAGTGGACTAAAAACTATATTTTTGGATTTGTGCAATTCGCCCCTTTAACATGACATTGTACAGACGGACGAGTATCAAAGGTCTGAACAACACAATCATGCAACTGAGGAAGATATGCAACCACCCCTTTGTGTTTGAAGAGGTCGAGCGATCCATTAATCCTTACAAGATCAGTAATGAACTATTGTATCGTACTTCTGGAAAGTTTGAGCTCCTCGATCGTCTCCTTCCAAAGTTAAAAGCAACTGGGCATCGAGTAAGTTAATGTTATTGTTCACCTATCCTCACTAACAAAACCCCCTTTATGTTTGTTTGTTTGTTTCTGTTATGAAAAAATAAAGGTATTGATTTTCTTCCAAATGACTCAAATCATGGACATCATGGAGGATTTCTGTATCTATCGAGGACATCGTCATTTGCGTCTGGATGGCTCTACAAAATCGGACGACAGATCTCACTTGTTGGAGATTTTCAATGCACCCGAATCACCTTACTTTATCTTCTTACTGAGTACGCGTGCAGGAGGTCTTGGCTTGAATTTGCAGACGGCCGATACTGTGATCATCTTTGACTCTGACTGGTAAGGGTGCGTACACAGGGAATATGAGGAGGCTAATGGCTGGATAGGAACCCACATCAGGATCTCCAGGCTCAGGACAGAGCCCATCGTATTGGACAGACAAAAGAAGTGCGAATTTTTAGACTGATTACCGAAAACTCAATTGAGGAGAGTATTCTTGCGAGAGCACAATACAAGTTGGACATTGATGGCAAGGTTATTCAGGCAGGAAAATTCGATAATCGTAGTACAGAAGAGGACCGGGAGGCGTTCTTGCGTTCACTACTCGAAGATAAAACTGACGAGGATGATGGCGGAGAGGAAGAGAGCGAAGATTTAGACGATGAGGAGTTGAATCTGATGCTGAAGCGCTCAGACCAGGAGTACGCGGTGTTTACAAAGATTGATCTGGAAAGGCAAAGATCGGATCTTGAAGACTGGCGGCGTCGATATGGAAACACCACTACCAAGAAACCGGAGCGATTGATTCAGGATTGGGAGTTACCAGAGGTGTATCGGTATGAGAGTGATGGTCTTGAAGAAAGTCGTGATTCGGATCTTGTTATGGGACGTGGGCAACGTTCTAAAGAGACTGTGCGGTATGATGATGGACTTACCGAGGGACAATGGCTTAAAGCAATGGAGTCAGAGGAGGCAGGGAATAAGCATGCTACTAATAGTAAACGGGGCTGGTCTCCTCAGGAGGGTCAGACAAAGAAGCGTCCAAGGATGCAGTGAAATTAAATAAATAAGAATATATACTGTTAGTTAATTAAATCAATAAATAAATAAATAAATAAATAATACATCTTAATAATCACTGTATAGTTTCTCTGCTTTGGCTCGTGCCTGTAATGAGAGGCAAAGTGTCCATGTGCTCTCCCTTTTGTTCCTACTGTAAAAAAGACATGTGCCTTGTCCAATGCACGTTGCTGTTACACGTCTCCTATTTGAGCAATCCTGAATGGGTCTCTGGATAACGAATGATTTGTAGACCTTAAAATGCACACCAGCGAATCACGGAAGACGGCTGGCTCCATGTCTGTTCTCCATTGGCCCTGTTTCATTCCATACCCATACCCTCCTTCTTTTACATCACCGACAAAATTTCTTCCCACCAATTTGGTTTATAAAAATAAATTAAAATAGCAACATTTTTTTTTTGAAAAAATAATAATAATATGAAAAATACTATAAAAATCATTAATTAAACTGATTGTTTGTTCTCTTGTTGTTATTGTTGAATCTTTCACTATCCAGTCTCCGCACACGGCTCTCGTATGAGAAAAGTGCAAGGACCTTGATACTTTATTCCACAACCCCCCCCCCCCCCCCGTACCTCTTCTTCCAACTATATCTCATCTATTTATCTATTCAATAAACATGTCTGCTACTCTTGGCCCCATTGATCCCACTGCATGGCCAAGCTCCTATGGTCGTTCAAAGCGTATAGATCTAGAGCAATTCTATACCGATATACTCAGACAAAACACGCCCCCTGATAAACCCACGCAAACTACAACCACAATCACAAAACGCAAGGGCTCCATCAGAAATAGACCCTCCTGTGGCCGTAAAGTGAGTTTCTCAGTCGAACCACCCACAGTACACGAGTATGAGTCAGAACAGACGGCTAGAATGGATGCGTGGTCAAAATTGGATACAATGATGAGTGAATGTTGGCCTGGCCATTTGATCCAGCCAAACCAGGTCACCAGTTATGGAGAATTCAAGCGGTCTGTGATGAGTCAAACTCAACCGATATCCACACACGCAGTTGTACCCAGCTACGAATCGTTCAAGAAGGCAGCCAGCATTGATCATTTTGAGCAGCCTATCACCAGTACTCTTGGCTATGAATCATTTAAATCAACAGCTGCAGCTGCAGCTGCAATT